TTATGTTCTCCGTGCAGCTGTCATTCTACGACCTCTTACCCCCAAACTTTACCCCGGCAAATCATCATGCTGGGTGGATGGTGGGTCGAAAGCTCAATCGCAAATGCTGCTGAATCTGGGTAGAGTAGAGCTGTCACAACGGGACGCCTTGTCTAACCACCAAGCCACCCGGCAATATCCAAGAGAAGAAAGCATGGTAGAAGCGAGTAAGAGAGCAGAAAGCCGGGGCAGGACCATTTCCCGGATGCGGTTGGTACTCGGTCAATTTTAGCATCACGGTGTAACGTGGTGAAGAGAAGGGGTATGTGTAAATGCCATGGACCATAGTGAAATAGATCGGAGATTGCCGAGGAGGCATGAGTCTGTTTTAGGATGATTTTAGGTTGAACGAGTGACACGGACCGATACCAAGTTAGAAGCCGAAGGATACCGTCACCGCTATAAAGGACCCGGATGAGAAGCTCTGGGTGCAGAATGCTGCGTGTCATTGGGCTGCCCTGTCGGTCTAGCAAAGGGCGATGATGAAGAGAGGGTCTGCCCTCCCGAGGCGACGGTGCAGGAGAGAAACTGCAGGTTTCTCGTCCACCGCCAGGAACATTTTTCTAGATGGTTACTAGAACGGTACTACTGCACTTTCAACCAGGCATCCGGGGTTGAGCAAGGCCCGTGAATGGTGGAGATCCCTGTTCTGGAGGGGATGGGGGCCAAGGATGACGGTAGGAGGCTTGTCATTCCAGCGGGGACGTGGGCGTTAACAGCGGTGAAGATGCAAGACAGAGTTGGAGAATCGAGGAGAGATTACAGAGAGTACAAGGAGTACAGAGTACTTAGAGTAGCAAAGAAGGCTGAGGTACGACAGGCTGTGCAGTCATGTGCACTTTCCCCAATTAGGAAGAAGGTCTCTACACTTTTTCAGCCCTACCACTCTGACACTGAAACATATTTGGAATATAGAAAACTAATTATGATTTATTCTTTGTTACTGTTATTGTTATTATCGTTACATCCACTCACGTTAACCCGATCTCGCACTGACTACTTGTTCCATTTCCCCCTTACTGCCACTCACCCTCTTCTAACCACCACCCCCTCCACCAAGTTCGCTGCGCCGAGTGATTGGCACGTTGCCTGCACGCCTAATCCCCGCCAATCCCTCTCGATCTCCTCCAATGTCCTTCCACCATACCCGAGCCTCGTTCATCCTGCCAATCCCGTACGCTGCTCGCGTTCCCGATATGCATATACCGCATACGGCTTGGCTTGCTGGCACCCTAGCAACCTAACCAACGCAAGTTACCATATCCTATTTCGGCCCTCGTTTAAACAGCCCCCCCCCCGCGCCCTCAGCCATGATAATGTTCCAGAGTTAAAATAATACTAGAGAGCCAAGAAAACAAACTATCTGGGTAAGCACCTTGGGGCCAACAGTGCGCCGCATACCACCCGCTGCAGATTACGAGTACGCCAATCGGGGAAGTAGAATAAACGCGGACATGTGAATTCCACCGAGACAGAAAGACTCCATGTGGTTTAGTTTGTCTCTAGATATAGAATCACATTCATCACGGCCGAACTAATAGCAAAATGCAAATACTCCAGTCTAGCTCGGTAATTAAAATATAGTACTGAGCACACAAGAACTGAGCACCAGCGCGAAAAGGAGCCAAAAAAGAAACGACCCGACCACATAACATCTCAATCTCGCAGGTTCATTGAGCGTTACATTGGACGGGATTCAGATGAGACAGGGGAGGATGCTCCCGGGAGACCGGACCAGCTAAGCCACGAGGGGATTAGGGTTGACAGAATACGGCCGTAGAGTGGTGGAATGCAGACAACGGACAGCAGACAATAATATAACCAACTAACCACTAATGAGTCGAAGCTAATACTGTAATGGGCACATTCATAACCGAAATCCGAACCAAACCCAATCCTAGAAACGAGCCAGCATGCAAATCTGAATCTCAACCAACCGCGCCGATCCTGCCCAAATGAATAGGATGAGCTAAACCTCGATTGAGTACTAACAGACGAACCAACGAGCTAATCCTCATATGTACATCGAACTAATTTCCTGATTGACACCAACAGTTCAGTCCACGACATCTTCTATTTTATTCCCGAAAATACTCTTAGCCTTGTCTCTCTCCAGGATTTCAGCGAGCCCAGTCCCGACCCTGGCCCGGGCGCCTCCATTTAGCACCAACCACTTACGAACGACCCAATCACAAGACAAGCCCGTTTTGGACCCCGTCAAAATTGGGACCTGTTAGGCGATACTCGATTGGCCCCATTTCTATTCAGTGCGGACTATGCCCGCTGGTCTCTTGATTTTATTATTTGATTTTATTTTATTTCCGTGAATCTGCAAACTCCGAGTCCAGAATGGTTGGTGGCACTTGGAGGTTGTCTTTTTTTCTCCACTCGCTTCCCTTTTCCCCCACTTGCTATCAATAATGTCTAAAGTTCTTGGAAGTTGGAAGTTGGACGGCTGGGCTAGATGGGTTCTGGGCGCTTCCTCGTCCATGGTTTATCGAATAAATGACACGATAAACGTATGATGCAGAGATATAGCAATGCTTGGTATAGCAAGTATTCCCTATTATTGTATTAATTCTTTTTTTTAAATCATTTCGTTGTCATTTTCGGTCTTTCCCCTCTTTCCATTCCCCGCTTCCTGTTCACCCGATCGCAAACTCGGACTCCGGGATCCGATGTGGTACGTCATTTGGATCTCTCGAAGAAAGTTCCCGATTAAGAAATGGGGCTATTCGATTTCCATGCGAAGATAAGTAGAATATAGTTCAAAACAGCACATAGGAATGAAGTCAAGACTAACCATTATGATCATCAAGATCAGCGCAACCCGTTGGGTCAGATCTTTATCCCCTTAGTCCGTTGCCAAGAGACTGCACCGACGAGACAACGGAAAAACGTGGCAGGGCCCCCAGTTCTCCCACGGCCCACTGCGCAACACTAGCCTATTTGGGTCGGATCGAGTTCAGCTGGAGTGGAGAAAGGAGCGTACGGCGTATCTCCGTCCATCCCTAGCTGTCTCCCAGTTGAAAGGGGGGAGCGTATTAGGATACAGTACTGGATCACCGAATTGATGATAATCACCTAATCAATCATTCATCCATCTAATCAGTTTCAGCTCACCTAGCTAAATTAATACTACCAACTGTACTGGGAGTATGTAGCTATGACACCTTCCAGCTACTCCAAGCCGTTTCAAGTCTGATAATTCCAGTCTCTAAATCTAATTTGACCTGGGAAATTCTTCCAGAACTGCGATCTGGGACAGCAGCCAAATTCCCGTCACCGGTATACTATGCTATCCCTGTACGGTTACCTTACCTTCCAGTCTAAACCGAATTCTTTCCTGTCCTCTCTCCGTTCTTCCCTTCAGCTCCTGTATCCACGTGAGAACAAACGTGTTAGTGTAACCACCCTCATGGACACATTGATGCGTCCGCGCATTTCCCCGTTTCATCATATCCCCCCCTGGCCTCGCTGTGTCGTGTCTTGGACCAGTCAGAACGCCGTAGGCGAACGTTGCTCTAGCCCAGAATGCACTTTGAGCACTTTGGCACAACCCCGCGCACAGGTCTCCTATGTTGTTATCCGTGGATTTCCAGTCGATCGCTTCTATTCCTTCTACTCTTTCTATTTGATGTTCGCTCGTATATGTACGACATAGTTGACTCCGCCCGAGTTTTTGCCCTTTAACTAAGGCGCCGTAGCAAACATGTATACTCTCAACCCCACATATTTGATCTTCTACTTTAACCATGGTTTCGCGATCGTAGATGACTAAACGCCCCCGATAACTTAACCCATCCCCCATCGGATTTAGGAAAATTACGACGAGGAGGGGGCCATACTCAATAGGGCGGAAAAAAGAAGAGGGAGGGGGCACGCAAGCAATAGTGACCGGGGGGGCCGAAATCATGGATCATGAATCATCATCACAAATTCAACCCTGGACAGACCGGCAAGGGGGTTAAAAGGACGTGGTATAATGCAAGTGTAGAAGATAGTAAAATAGATCAATACTATTGTCTTTGTATTCTCTACTTGTTCATCGTCTGGCTTGTATAGTACCTAGCACGATGCGCCCCGTGCAGCCCTTCTGGGAATCCGAAAAACGTGGCCCAGATTGGTGGGTGGATGAGGGTGGCCCAAGATGGTCCTGGACCCAGTCGAGGCTGAACGGCAACCCGGATCCATCCCTGCCCATGCGCGAAACGCTCATTATATTCTATTTATTTGGAGTTTGGAATTAGAGAGAGTCACTTAAGGCGAGGTGGCTGCGTAGGGATGAATTGCAGTTTGTATTTGGCGAAAAAAAAATCATTTGAAATAAAATATAGTAGTAGAAGAGACGTCTTGACCTACTTACATAGGCTATTAGCTTAGAGGTCGAAGAGGACCAAGTCAAGATAATTTAGCATGATTCACTGCCTTGGGAATAGTCATGGCAAATCATGGATTTAAAAAAAAATAATAATAAATATTATTTTTTGGATAAATTTCTGGAAAAAATAATTATTATTTTCCTGCACCAAGCTTCGAGTCGACTTGGGCCAGAGTATTAACTACGGACGTGCACGGGTTTATCGCGACGGGGCTTAGCCCACGGCCCAAGGCCATGTCGTGCCCATGCAAGGCCCCAAAAGGCCCCAAAAGGCCCGAGGAAATCAACCCAGCTGATCGACGTGTTTAGGAGCCCCATTCTGTCAGTGAACTAATCCACTCCTCGTTACGCCGTTGTCCGAACCCCCGATGCTATATAATCAATCTGAACGCCCCCCCCTCTCCCCTACTTAATCATCTTGGTCCTTTTCTCGTGCCTTCTACTTCTACACCTATACACCTTTTATATACATTATATACTCTTCTTCTGGCTCGATCTATACATCCTTCTACCCCACTTCGCCAAACAAACCTGATACTATACACTATCACATTACCACCACGGCTACTGCCTATTCACAATGCATCGCTCCTCAAGTCACAGTAACAGCAGCGCTTTCAGTCCCAACGCCAACCCTAACGAGGACTGGACCAAGATCTCCGATCTTGCAGAGCGCAGGCGCATTCAAAACCGTATTGCGCAACGAAACTATCGTGAGTTCCTCGCGCAAACCCAATAATCTCGTTCTTTCTACTAACTACTTCCCACAGGCAAGAAGCTGAAGCGACGATTGGAAGATCTAGAGCGCCGCGCAGCATCTTCTGCTTCACCAGAAGCCTCACACGCTGAGCCAGTGGCCCCTCCCAAAGCTACGCCTAACAAGTCTCGCTCCAAACAATCACGAGCCAGCAAAGCCACCGACAAGACGCACACAGTACACGCACCAGCACCCGAGCGCCCAGCCTCGTACGAATATTACACAAACACACAAGATGAGCGTGGTATGTTCGGACAACAATGTACTCGCCAACTATCCGCCTCGCCGCCCCCAGTCTTCTCATACCCACCGCTCCCATCCTACGATACCTATCGACCTAGCTACGGGCAAATGCCAGTCTATCACACCGTCCCAAGCTCCTACAGCGAGATCTCATTCGCCGAGTACGGCGAACCAGTCCCTAGCGTGGTGCCGATGGTGGGCGCCCCGGGAATAGGCCGCAAGCCATACGACGAGGACATGATGAGTCCGTTCAGCATGAGCTACGCAACGATGGCAGGCATCGACCTAGTGCCACAACAGCACGCAGAACAAAGCCTTCCGGTACATTTCCCTCGCTAGTCTCCAAAATTCTCTCAAATACGCGCGACTGCAAGCACCTGTTTTCCTCTCTTCCTTTTTTTCTTTCATGGAATATACGATCTTCGACCGGACAACGAGAAAGCTAATATCTTCTGTTGTTTCTGCACGCAGGTGCCCTCGCTTTCTTACGGCTATACACATGGCTCTGCCCAGAGTCATGAACATGATCATCGAGCGGCTTCGATTTCGACTGCATCGCCTGAAGCTTCGATTTTTACGTTTCCCCTGACTCCCGAGTCACCCCCATGCTCGCCGCGCTCAATGCCGGGCTTGTTCGAGTATGATCTGAGACAATACTGAATTCGAAAATTCAAATCGGGGGCTCAGGGTCGGGATCGGATCAGTGCGCCGCCCCTCTTCTAATTACCATTTTACTTTTTGGGTAATGGGACAAGGACGCGTTACAACGGGCAGGCTCTGCGGGTAGTTCCGCCCTGCTGGGTCAGACCGTCTCTCCGCGCTTCCTCGTTCAGGGCTGTCGATTAGGGAGCTGAAAAAGAAATGGGAACTACGTTACGACTCTCCATTCTTTGTTCTGTCACTTTCTTGGTCCAAATCATCTCCACTTTGTTCGGTTCTTTTTCTTAATCTCGTTTACTTTCCTCTCTGTTATTTTTTTATTACTTTGTTTCTTTATGACCCTGCCCTGCGGGGACATGTGTGACGAGCGAGCATCATCTTGGCGTTTTCGAGTCTCTCGGCTCCTCGAGTCCTCTCTGGTATTTTTGATTTTTTTTCTTGGTCAAGACCGTGTATTGGTATACGGGTATACTACGAGCTCTGGTGTTTAACTGGGGGAAATGGGACACCGGGATTTTAGTCTATTTTCATTTTTGGGAGCGGAAGATCATTACGATTGATAACGGAACTAGAATACAGGAGCAAATGCCAATATTTCGCCTTTTTTAATTACCACCTTCTTCATTCAATACTACTATCTACAAAGTACCACAGTACTGCCTGAACTATGACTTTCTCGGTAATGCTCGTATTGACCACTTGTGTAGCTATAAATATTTTCGCAGCAGTTTGAGACAGCCTAGAGTGCTTTCCACCCTCCGCTAGCTTCTCCCTTAGGGCCAGACTCACAATAACCTTTCGATCGGCGGCGGCGATTGGCTCCATCGCGGGGACAAAACCTCCGCTTGGCCCCCAACCCTGCGGGATTTTCAGGCTTCCTACATTCCTACTCGTTCTGGAGTGCGTATTTCGTATAGTATTTCGAAATGCTGGTTACCTAGCAGACTTCTGCCTACTCTTTGGCTCCTGCCTCTGCCTAGAGGGAGATAGGCATGACTATAGTTGGAGAGCTACCGTAGTTGTGCTTTCTCCAACTGACCCCAGAGTGTTCTGGAGGGCGGAGGTCGGAGGGCAAACGCCGGGGCCTAGCAGCCTACTTACTTACATACTGTACTGAGAAAGTGGAGCGCCGAGTCCCGACGGATTGGGAAGTCTACAACATGCCGGATTGGGCATACGATGATTAGCTAAAATAACAGAATAAATCGACGTGTTGGTTGTCTAACCTGTTATATCGTAGTGAAATAGTTATGACCACAAGGTAACCCGTTTAAGCGAATCTCAACGGCGATGAAACATCCTGCTTTTTCCCTGTTGGGATGCTCGAGAGTGGGCATCGAGATCGCCAGGACTGACTTCTTCAGCCTTCTCTCATGATTGTCTAGTTGAATTTCAACAGATTGATTACGATTCAGCCCCTTCGAGCTTATTACTGCATTATCAAGACCCTGTGAGTCTTGGCTCTCTTTATCTTTCCGTTACCCTGCGTACGCCGTACAGCAAGCACCAGAGTTACCTCGTGTCGGCCGGACCATGTGGCCGACCGGAAACTACACCCGGTCCATCGGCAATCTTTTAGAGGATCGCTGCAGAAATCGGAAATGCCATCATGGCCCCGTTCCCCCCAGAATCCCCAGACTCGAACTGCTGCCTATAAGGCGTTGAGGCTGTGAATCATTTTTTTTTAATTTGGAATTAACCTTCGATTTGAATTAATATGAGCAGAATACGTCGCCCCTCTAACCGCAGACCTCCGACAAAAACGCCCATTCTATTGTAGCCAGGGTACATGGTCTTAGAGCACTGTTGGTATACCGTGCGGATTGTTAACCATGATTTCTAATTAGCAGATTAACTTCTCGGGTCCAATTTTCCGTTAAACCCCGAAAGCCGAAATCCCAAGAACTACACTAGTTTAATGATGTGATTCAAAGTACAGTACTTATACTGTACATACTACAAGAACCCCCTCACTTCAGCCCCGTCCTAAAAGAGCATAAACGCATACCATCTTGGGCGAAGGGCTGAACCGGCCTGACATGTGGAGAGGCAACAAATGTGCTGCGCCTCCCAAGCTGCAGCAACCCACGAGGGCGGGAGCTTTCTTAGCATGACATCGTACGGTGATTAGATGGATTAGGTGCTTAGCTCATAACCTATCACCGACCCGAAGACCCCTGGTATACACGTTGTACCGGCTAGCCATTGTCGTTGGGCAGAGGTACGACCCACTAGTATAGTTATAGTTAGCGCTGCGACCTGCTGTTCTACCCGCAGCCTGCCTAGTGCAGAAGGGTACTTAGCCCAACCACCCATTACTTATGATGTGGCTACCTTCTGCTTTGCTGCAGTAAACCCTGCAAGCCCCCAAACCCTCTTTGACGCACCACCCACCAACCACAAATCAAGCCGACCGCCGCAAAGGACTCGGATTGGCGATGTTCCGACGGACCAATACTGCGTCCGTGCCGGAACAAGAGCCGCCTCGAAACGGCGAATGATGATTTGGACGCTCGTTGGACACTATGCCACGAGGAGCACTAGGCCCCAGAATGCTGGGCCCGGGAAGAAGAAGAACGTACACTGAACAGGTCGAGTCAAAGAACGGCTTTTGGCGCCGTTGGTAGGTGCATCCAGTTCTGGTCTAGTCGTGGCCCAGCCGTGTTTTGAGTCTAATAATGTGCAAGTCGGAGTTACCAAGAACTGGAATATCCTGGTTAGTTAGTATAGTACTTCCCGATGAATATTGTTCTAATAACCATATTCCCTGCTTTGCTATGTACTTACTCGTACTCCACACCGCGGACACTCCCCGCCGAAGTTTCGGCCGTCAATGACGGGATCCCAAGAAGGTTTAGGTCAGGCCAAAGGGCTGAAAATGGGCCTGTCCATCGCATCCACCTGGTTGGGAACTGCAGGGTTCCTTTTATGGCTACTCAATGAGTTCCTCCATACTCATAGGGCCAGCAGACACTTACAGCTGCAAGTAAGTTGCTGCCCACCTCCGCCTTGAGCCGGCTGGGCCCGGCCATGGAGATGACTGGTCATTACCTGGATATGATTGATACAGAAACTGGAGATTCTAACCGGAGTTAAGGAGATACTCTGCCCGGAGAATCACCGAATTGCCCGGTGTGGTACCCATACTATCTAAACTCCATAGTGGGGGAAGGGGATCACGATTAGGGGGCAAACCATGGGTTTGGCTAAAGGGCTAAAGGGGATCCTTCTTCAAATTCTTTGCCTCTCCATTATTATGATCCTTCCATTATTATTCCCCCTCTCCCATGCACGGTTTAGGGGTCTCCATTTTCCTATCTAAGTTAGCCTGCATGCTTGGCTCTTATCAAAGCCCCGCTAGGCCGCTAGCTCGCCGGTGGTCTTGAGTTTCGGCTCTCGCTTGCTGAGTTTCGTTCCAGCCCGTCAGGTTCCTCCCTACGCGTACTTTGCCCGTTCAAGGGGCTGCATGTCGTCTGCAGGTCTGCAGCATCGGCTGGTTGCACCCGCCCACATGCTCAACCTTATCGGTGGCAAAGAGAGGCGGATTTCGGGGATTCGGTCATTTCTACCGAGAAACTAAGTTCATACCGGTAGTGTTGGAAGTACAACAGGAAATCATTTACCTCAATCGTAGATAAACACTGTATATTCAAAACTCATGCTTGAATGACTATGTATTCCCGAAACCGAAACCTAATTTACTGCATCGTACTCGTTCGATTGACCTGGCCACTCATTTCTCTTCCTATCCTAGCTCTGAGCATGACGTGGCGTTGTCCGCTGCAAAAAATTGCCGTTCAGGATCAATAGAATTGGTCGGCCATGTAGATCCATATCATATCTTCTCATCGGCATTCGACATGAAACATGAAAATGTTGGGGGCAGTTTAAGGAACTTTTCTCCTTTCCATTCAACGGGAAGCTAACGAGGCTGAATTCGCCAGATTGCACAAGGATAGCGCAATCCTTTGCTTTCCACATCATGTCAAAGCAGGGCGACAAATGGTCAACACTGGATCATAGCTCCCCGTCCGGGCCAATTGCCAGGTTGTGGGGGGGGGGGCCACTGCCGACACCACGCTCAAGGTCCAACGCAAATCCAGTCGTTTGCCAAACACAGATTTCGTACAATGCTGGAAATTCAGGGTGTAATGGATTTAAGAAAATTGAGCTATGAGCGTAAGAGGGAACCTAAACGAAAAATGACTATGAATACGCCGTATGTTTGTGTACACGACTGCCGACTCTATCCAAAAAATAAGATTAGAACTGGCGAGATTGCGGCACGTCCTGAGTCAATTTGAGTTGACCCACCATAGCATTGATGATTCATGAATCATGAATCGCTGATTTAAGTAGAGACGAGACCACCCATCTAATCACCAAACCCCGAAGATTCAACAGGCTAGAACGATTCTGCAGACCTGCCACATCAAACTATTGAATACTAAAGTACAATCTACCAGGCTAGGGGCCGTCTAGAGCACCAAGTCCCGAGCCATGTTTCTGCAAAACCCACCCTACAGAGCCAGTCGAAGATAGGCGGTTAGTCGAGCCAATTTGGCCCCCTCATCCAAACTCCAAATATCACCCCCACAAGTCTCCATCGTCTCGATCTTTACTCTATCAGGAGTAGTTTCTTCGACCAACGGATCCAGCCGCATCTAGGACCCAAAGAGATGGCGCGAAACACCTCCCTAGAGTAGTTTAGCTGGGGGGCCGCGATTGGTTTCCTTTGAATTGTTTTTTTTTTGGCGCCCGGAAACCTGCCGAACCATAGTGATCCTGGCACCGCTAGTCGATTGGCATTTCATCATTACCCGAGCATACCTATCGCAGTTCTTTCTACAAACTGATAATGATCGCTTTTGCTGGTGATGAATCATTCTGCATCGGCCCCGCTAGACTTGGTAGACCCGCTATATACAAACACCTACGAATTAATCAACAAGTGTTGACTACCAATTTCGCCCCCTTTACTAGATATTAACCACACGGCAAAGCTCGCACCTATTACTCCTCATAGAGAGACTGGACAAAACCAAAACGATCACTAGTTTCAAATACAAAGTAAATTAAAATCAATTTTATCAGGGAACCCATCGCCGTTTTGAGATTCTGGCCAATCAGCCCCCACCCTCAAACACCACTACTAAGACCAATAGGGCAGGGCCAAGGCCAAGGCCAAGACAAAATAGTCCCAGCATGAAAGTGCCTTCCGATCATTGCCTGCCTAGCTATACGACCTATACGACTGTCGAAGGGGTATTAACACGCGCGCCAAGTATGCCCGTCTTGCTCCTTGGCTCATTATTGATTAATATGATCTACACCCATGTGACTCGCACGCAGTGACACCAGCCGGCGATCTTGACTGCAGAATTGCCAACAAAGCCAATCAGGCAATGCATCTGTGAGCGGACGCCCATACATACACAGCTACGCGCTAGCGGCTCGGCTCCGAGGATATAGTACTGATGCGATACCATGCTATGCTGCATCTTCCATTTGTCCGCTTTACGGCCGTCTACACCAGGAATCTATATTCTAGATGTAGATTCACCGAATACAGCAATATGCGTGGCAAACTGCACTCTCCTAGATTAATCAGCTTGCTCAACCCTGATACCATATATTTACTGATTATTATCTCGCCACGACCATGATTCGTAATCCGGGATATGGATTCTCTCTGTCGGGATTTGACTTGGGACAGGCAATGATTAGCAATATATTGCCCAGAGATCCGTGCTGACCAATATTCGCCGTTGCCTCAATGTGACGGCGAAGAGCAGGGCATACCTTGATCCCGGTCATTCGAAGAAACTCCGCTAGGGCCGATGTACAAATTACTCACCAAGTCTGTCATGTCGTGGAAGGTAGGACGGAAGTATATGAGTGGATGGCGTCGCTTTGCATCGGCGTCGCCGATGGGGTGGGACAACGAGGCGATGGAAGGGCATGCGAGATGGAAAGCCACTGGGCTGGGCGGCTCTGGTTGGCTTGGCTTGGTTTGGTCCAGTTGGGAATACTCGATGGTAGTCACGGGCGAATGAGATTCAAGGACTATTGAGGTCGATGCATAGCAGTACCATTGACTGAGGTATACTTCGTATGCTATTGCTAGGGATTCTGGCTTGAGCTTTATGATGGCGTGACTGAGGATTGGAATCCGTGCTAGGTATTCTAGTTTTCAGAATGTTACCTTTGAGCATGCCTTCCTCGTAGACCCTGCTGTTTCAAATAAGACTGTTCCCATACGACGTAGCAGATGCCGTCTACACTGCTGCCTTATACTACGGTGACAATGCTAACCACGAAAAAGGTGACGACATCAATCTGGAGAAAAGTGGCAATGACTGGACTAGCTATCCAGGCCCCATAATTGTATTGTAGTTGGTAACGACTGGGCAGTCAAGTGATTCGACTTGGTTGCTTAGTGTCATAGCAGGCTAGCGGGATTCATCTCCTAAGACTGGATGCAGGAGGTGCGTCTTTGATATGCAAGCAACTAGGCAATCCAATGTTAGCCAAATGACGGGCGAGAATCTAGATCTTGTGGGCGTAGGCTTTTCAGAATTTATGGCTTCCTATCGTAGTAGACAGGATCCCAGCCTGAAAATACATGGCTGTTGAAAAGATGAAGAAACTCAATGAACGTACGGGCCAAATCATAGTTACTACAATAAGAGAGGTCGACGCTAAACTCGTAAGTATCAAGCCGGATGTTGATTGCAGCAGCTGCTGCTGCACCTGGTGAACCTTGATGCTCTAGGTCGACGGGAGATGGTTGAAATAGGCTTGCTTCATCATCTAGGAATCTGATATTGTATGGAGCACGGAGCGACGTTGATCTACAGGTTACTTTGAAATCTGGAAGTCGTATATTAACCCACTGTTTTCCATTCAGATACAACGGTCAAGGGATCAAAAGCCTAGGGACCAGGACACACAGACAGAGACTGAAAGATCAAGAACTACAGGTGAGGAGAAAGTAAACATCCCATTCGAACCAGAGAAAAAGAAATAAATGAACCCAACGCATCGTCTGTCGTCATCATCATCAATCCCCGGCTACTTCCTTCCACCATTGCCTTGAACTCTAACCCACCACTGTAATACAATACAAGACTCCATCTTGAAAGCATCCGCTGATGAGAAAGATTGTTGTAGATTTGAAAAAGTCGCTCATCAATCCGGTCCGACACAACTCAATTCGCACAGTATTAACCAACTCCTTTCGCCTAGCCGATCTCTGCGCTCTGCACACTCATTTGGTCCGAAGGTGCCGTCTGGCTGGGTCCCTGTCGTCGTCGGCGCATGGGTGCCTTTTTCCGATTCGCAATTGCCGCTTCTTGTGATTGTTCAGCATTCATTTCCGTATCGCCATCATTGTCAGCCTCACGTTCGCGTGCTTCGTGTTCCCGTGCCTCTTCCTCGCGGTCTGCAGCATTCAATTCGTAGTTGCGTGCCTCATCCACCTCGTAGATATCCCTCGGCTTCATTCGCAGCCACTTCATGCGCGGGCCGACCCGCGAGACCTCGGATACCTTAAATCCGTAGATCTTGGGGTCGTAGATCTTGCCGCGTCCGAGGCCGGGGCAGAAGTTAGACGTGTGCATGCCGTTGATTTCGACGGGTTGCTCTTCGGGAGTGGGTGGTTCGTTCGGCATCTGGGGAGGAGGGGATCGGTTGGCTAGCGTAGACTGAGCTCGGGCTGCAGCAGACAGGGGACCGTCCAGGCGTGATCCGACGCTAAGATCTGGGAAGGTCATGAAGAAAAGGCATCCGAAAGTCGTGCCGAAGAATGCGCCATCCACGGAGTGGAAGCGGCTGTTAGGCGGGGTGTAGATATCCATGCAACCGGGGCAGAAGAGCTTGACCGTTTCCTGGCCCGGGGTATCAGATCGGCCGACGGGAAGGACCTTACAACCTCCGCAGTTGACGCGGGGGCAGACACCGAAATGTTGCATTTCATATTTTTCAAGCATCTGTTGGATACCGGGGCGCGAGGTAATGTACCGCTGGTGGATCAGTCCGTAAAGCAGCTCTGCGGAGCTCTCGATAACGCTCAAGTCACTCGCGACGCGAGCATGCCGGCGGTCGCCTGCCCTCCGGTAGCCGAGGGGTCGCTCGTCGCCCAGAACCTCATCCTCATCTTCCTCCTCCTCTTCTTCTTCCTCTTCCTCCTCGTCATCTTCTGGCTCCACGTCCAGAATCATCTCCAGGGCCTCCTTGTACATTGGCACCTGGGACTGCAACCCGGTGAGATTGAAATCATCCTCGATGAAGTCCTCCGACACTTCGGCAAAGAACTCATGGCCCATCAACGAGCAAAAGGAGGAGATCCATGACTCCGGCGCACCCTCTGACGACGACATATCGAATGAGGCAGAGACGGACGAGGAAAGGGTTGATTCAGACAGTTGACTCAGATCCAGCCTATCCAGGCCGTCGGCCAACGCCGAACCAGTCTCTCTCGACACGTTGCCGAGATTGTTGATGGACAAGCGGGTGGAATTCGGCGCCGACGAAGCGACCTCGTCACGCGAAAATCTGAGGGGTTGGGAACGGCGACGGTGAAAGGATCAACGCTGCTTACGTGGGGACAGCGGGGAGGAGCTCCGGTGGACGGTGTGGAAGCAATGGACGGTTTGAATTGACTCAATCGTCACTCGAAATTGAAGATCGTACCTTTGGCCGATGAGAGAGGGGGTGAGGCCGATGTTTAGGTGGGGAAAGCTAGACGGTCATGGCAATTTGCGGGAGGGGTGAGGTTGTGCGATCAAAGTCGAGAACACCCGTATCTCAGCCTAGCCCCACAAGCCGCTTATCAGTTTCCCATCACTTTGGACGAAGTTTGATAGAAGTAGGAAGAGAACTCACCCAGGGTGAATTCAACGAGAAGTTCAGACTCGGCTCAGAGGTGGGGTGAGCCACGTCTTGGTGTTGCTTGTCGACCTGGTAGAGGGAGCCCAATCGCGGCTCAGTTCGGTCGGTGGGTGGAGTGAAATGAGCCGCAAAGAAGCTGGACCTTCTTGCGATGCAATTTGGAATCAAGCTTGTCGATGTAGGTGAGGTGATGTTTCCGAGAGGTGGTGACAATGCGGCGGGGAGAAAATCAGAGGCGACGAGACTGGCGTGCTGTAGTCACGTGAAAGTCATTTGCGTCTATATAGCTCAAGCAACGCCGGCCATGATTCTTCGCCCAGGCTTCACCATAAGGGGGAACTTGAATATAAACGAACCAGATATGGACTTATATCTTAGTAAATAACAGGGTGGGAAGTGTGGAATAACTGGGAATTCTAAATAAGCGAAGACTCAGTTACATCGAGTGCAACTCTAACTGCTCCAGCACTAACATCATTCGAAATCGTTATCTAAGAAGTTTGTACTGTCCTGCTGTTGACGCTCGACTTCAACGATTGTTCCCCCTGTTTCCACTGGCGACCAAACGACGCCGAAAATGGCTCCCCTCTGCATCCCAACCCAGGGGCCCCTCCATCTCGCTCAGAGCGCGTATAAGATGCCCCGTCCGCCCTCTCTTCCGGGGTCTTTCTGCTTGCGCCGCAGGTGCATCGACATCCGCAGGTCCAGATTGGTTCCGAGAAAAACCAAGCTGTGTCCACAGCATTTAGATCTTTCGGCCACTGCATTTGATCGAGTTAGTTGTCGCCTCAAGGTCTATTCCAGATCCCACTTACATCATTAGGTTTCAGGTTGATATTGGCTCTTCCATGAGTGATTTCACACAGGCCATTGAAAACGTCTCCAGGATATCGGCAAAGCCCGAATGATTGGGTGGCGTTATGCTCATGAAGTAATTCCTTTAAAGCGCTTCATAAATTGTAACTCTTGTTCCCCAAAGTTAGGCTATTACCCGCCGAGAAACAAAATTTAGTGGGTTTAAAGTCGCTATCTGACGAGATTGCCTAGATAGCGGGCTTAGTGGGGTTCATTTAGGAGACATCGGCCTCGTTCTAAGGCATAGATATACCCTCGTAATCAATAAGCATTTTACCGGGTTCGAGGTTAAAATGACGATAAAGAATAGCGAGACTAAACGTACGATCTATACCTTGCTCAATAAAGAATTCTTTAAAGACATTTTTGATAATTTTATCGCTATCTGACTTCATAAAATTAGCACGTGTATCCTTAAGGGAAGGAAGGGTCTAAAAATGGTCGACAGAGTATTCACTAACGGACATATTAGGTGAAAATTTAACTTAAAAAAAATTAAGAATCGAAAGTTAGATAATCTAAGATAAACTAATATACTAACCGACGTTAGATCACTATTAAACTAGATATTACTTACGGAGAAAAAGATCTCGCTTTTAATAATCGGCAGATCCGTATATATTCGCTAAATATCTACAGTCTAATGCGTCTTTATAGCTCACAACACTATTTATGAATATATTCATTATGGATCCAATAATCTACACGTAAGGCCAATGACTTTCGACTCTCTGATAACGTCTAGGATACAAGTAGGGCAGCATGGAGTCTCGTGGCCACTCAAATATCGTATCTCCATCTCTCCCTCCATATGCCCCCCCCCCCCCCCCCCCCCCCCCCCCCCTCCCTCCTTATGAGGACAAATTAGAGACTGGCACTTTTCCCCTCTTGGATTATTGTGGTAGTGTCTTCTAGCTTAGAAGCATACTATATAATAGATTTAATTATATGAATAAGAGGGACGAGTAATTTCTGGCCCGCCGAAAGGCTTTATTTAATAAACTACTCCTCGACTAGTCCAAGAACGATCATCGCGACTAACGTGTACTATCTTAATAGAAACCCCCGGGTAGATTCCGAATTAACCCTTTAACTAATAGCATCGATAGCTGTATTAGTATGCTATAAATCAAGTTTTATTCTCTAGCTCCTCTTAGTCAAGGCTATAAGCTAGCAAAAACTGAAAAATGAACCACTTATTAGCACTTAAGTTATCACGGGTGCTTTCACTATCCTAGGTATAATTATCTGCGCTCTATTAGTAATTATAAAAGCAAACTCTAAAACGCATAGGTCATTCCCTAGGCTATTTCACCTTTCTCTCTAACTAGCTACTAGATCTACCCTAGTCGGTACTATAACTAGAAATAAATACTATGCTTATGGTGCTCATTTTAAACGAGGTAAGGTTGATGAAATAGAAGAAGAATGATCCTAACGTCTATAAGTATCTTTACGTGTCTACTCTATAACACTAGGTCACCTATATAATAGCTGCCTTATCATTTATAGGCGTAATCACATTTCTGTTACTTACTATCTATTTTCTGGTATATTTCAATTTATTACTCTATATAATGCCTACGTTTTATTGACCGAGAGATACAGGACTAACGGAAAATTATATTTAGCTTATATATAATCATTTCTTTTGCCGGACTTAGCTTTATCTATGCGTAAATTATTAGAGCCTAGGTCATTTTCATGAGGCTATAGCATATAAATGTAAGCACATTCAAACTGTTTTAGTACTATCTGTGCCCCGCGGTTTCTAGGCAGGAACGAGCCTTATAGGTAGCGTCCACTAGCTCCGTTTAGTTATTTGTTATTTCGTTATGCTTAATAATTATTATCTATGTTCGAACTAACCTGCAGACTCAAATCGTGACGGTAAATATCCTCGCGTAAAGATTATCCTAAGTTACTCACACGTTGTATAGATCTAAATTAAAGTAACATACCTCAGAAAGATGGCTACTTCATCTTGCCTTCTTCTCCCTCCGTAGAAAAACCTGGATATATCATATTCACATGAAAGCGCGTAAAAAGAGGATAAAAATTCTCAAAGAAGCAGAGGGTATAAGATATCGTTAGCTAATGACTGTGTATCCTAGATACTCTTGAGCGCCTTTTCCGGTACACACCATTACTGTTGCATCTCGAGCGATTGACTTTGCTAAAGTACACCGATGGTAGTCAGGTTCATTAAATTTTATTAGATAAATAACACCAATTCTCCACCTACCAACAAGTGGGTCAATCAGTGACAAAAGACTAATCAAATACTAGCACAAGACAACCAAGCAACTACAGTGACGCATGAGTTTGGATGTCCCCTTCTGGAGAAGCGCTACAGGCTGAAGGATAGCGAGAATAACAGTATTTCAGAAATGAAATTTGGAAAAGGCGATAAGACAATATTTGATATTATACAAGACATGGCTAGGGCGTTTGAAAAGCTAAAGCGGTTTGAACAATGCTCGTCTTTGTATCGCAGAGCACTTCAGGGAAGACAAACAATTCTTGGGTTCGACCATAGGGATACTCTCATTTCTTTGGAAACCCTTGCAGCAGCCCACGGACAAGCAGGAAATATGAGTATGGCGCAGCATCTGTGGGAGAGATCATATGAAGGGTTCAGAAAGAACTGGGGCTTGAATGACCGCTCGACACTAATTTCAATAGTCAACCTCGCAAGCTGTTAGACCAACATTGGGCTTGTTGAGAAGGAAAAGCGTTGCTTAACCCTGTCATTTCCCTACTTTTGGAGACTCCTGCTGTTGAGGACGGCATAAAGTTCATCGGCCTTGCTAACTACCTGTCAACTGCAGAAAACGCCGACTTCCCAGATAGCGTTATTGATGCATTAGAGAAGCACGAAGGTATACGGGTAGGTGGTCTACTCAAGCTGGTTAACTACCATTTAAATGAGCATTCAATGACGAGATACTAGGCTGTCAGCTTGTTCGTTTCTGTTCAACGGCATGCGTGGAACGAGAAATCGCTCATAGAGTCTGTCAACATGTCCTGCGATGATCCTCGTTCGGAAATAGCTTGATTTGCAATCCTCCAGAGGGATCCGTACGTATTCGGGATAAGTCTGCTCCTCGTCTCCAAAGATATCATCCATAGTCAGCTCTTCATCTTCATCTTCGTCTTCTTCGGGATCCCGGTCAAGGAGCCACTCTCCACACGGTGTTACTCCCGCATATTCCACGGACACATCGATCAAATTTGGCCAGAAAGGGAGGTTCACAAGATTGTCGACCTGCAGATTCGACGGCAAGAAGAGTTCCGGACCCAACACCACAGGACCATTGGTCCGCAGAACCTCCAATCGTTGAGAGAAATCCCGCAAGTATGAACGTAACAGGTCCGTTCCACCTTCAGTCACATCGGGCGGATAGTAGTTCTGGTCCCTCGGGGGCATATAAGAATATGCTAGCTCGAAATGCCGCACACTGGCAGGCGAGAGATGAAGTTTACGAGCAAAGTCTCGAAAGGAAGTTAATAGGTATTGGCGACATTGTTTCCCGATATAATCTAGCTTACCATTTCGAAGACGTTGTCTTAACTGTTTATCCCACTTACAATCATCCGTCAACGCCAGGTCCAACCGGTTCAACCGTGGCAGCTTCATCGTAATATACACACTCGACGCCGGTTCGATGACCCACGCATTTGCGATGCCTTGGATAGAAAGTTTCCTTACTGTCGGTATGCGTGGACACTCTGCATCGGCGGTTTCTCTGGGGAATTCAAGGTATGATCTCTCATATCTCTTCTTGAAAAGATCGTCCACCCGTGAACCGGTCACTCGTTTCCGCCTCTTCCTCTCTTTAAAGACGAGAAAGTCACTAGGGGACCATGCGCTGATCTCAATAGATATTCCAGAATTATCTGGCCAGTCTGATAATATCCTGAAAAGCGTGCTGATAGTCGTGGTAAAGATCCTGTTATTTCGTTGGCGTTCCTCGTCTGTCTCCACTCGAGCGCGCGCTTTCTCATCGTATTGTTCCAGCTGCACGCATAAGTCAACGACTTGAACGCAAGATCTTCTGCGTGGAGTTGACACTAGCTGTTGAAATTCTTCCAACCGACTAGGCGTGTTGATGTAGAGGTAGGCAAACGTGCATCTCTCGATAACGGCCTGCCAGCGACGATTCAAGGTCGCATATGTGGCCAGGGATATGCCGGGGTGAATTCTATGGCACCCGTCAGGAATTATGTAGTCCAGCACTCTGGAGATCAATTTTGGTGGCAGTGAGTCCATATTGTATCTGTAAGAACAATTCACGGAGGGTTAGATGTTGGGACCGCCAGGCCTTCCGGCTGTACGGAGTCTAATACCCATTAGGTCAAGTCGATTCGCTAGAATTGTTGTGCAAGTTATACGATGCCTACGCATTCACAAAAAGTCAACGACAAGGTTTTACTTTGATACATTGATATTTTTCCTTCTCAGAACAGGTCACGAATTACTCGAGAGAACTCTTCCTCGCCTCCCAGAATCCCCGACAACCCCTCTCCAGTATTCTGAATTTCCCCATCTGGACCAACAAACCCGTTCATGCCATCCGCGCCGCTGCTACCGGGCATAAAGTTTCCAAATGCCCCAACGGCTTCAAACAGATTAGTCAATTCGTGGCTCATCTGGAGTCCATTCAAAGGACTGTTCCCTAACTCATTGGCCCCATTCATCTGACCGTACATGGACAAGTCTTCGATAGAATGACCAGCGAGGCCAGCCATGGCCACTGCTGCGGTGGAGTGGGGGTCGTTCCCATCGGAGCCAAAAGGACGAGCCAGGACGCCAAGCTTCTCACCAATCTTTCGGAGACCTTTAATGGTCTTCCAGAGTCTCTTGGACACGTAAGACTTGGTGCTGAATCCGTTGATCAAGTCCAATGCCATATAGAACTCGTCGCGAACTTGCCGGTTGAAGTCGTTGGGTGCATGACACACGGCGAGGAACAACACTGCTAATGCTGCAACTAAGAAATAGTTGAAGGTGATCTGCTGCGTGCGGTAGATGTCGGACATCTGGTTAAGCCGGGTCAGGACTCGGACGGTGTCCTTGGCGACATCCACCACTGTCTGGGCGTGGCCTCGGTCCTCCATGATGCTTGCCGCGGAATGAAGTACCGGGCGATAAATCAAAATCCGCAGCTGATTCATCCGAAGGTACAACAAGACTCGAAGACGTCTCATGCCGCGGCTTGCAGTCTCGCCAGTTTTGGGGGATTCCACAGGATAGAACTTGAGCTCATCTGGCACTTGTTTGTACCATTGTAGGACCTGGTAGTCCAAGTATCCAATCTCATCGCGCCGAATGTCCGTCGTGCCTTCAGAACCGAGACCCGAGTACCAGATCTTCGAACTGATGCGATTGTATGATATCATGCACCGTAGATACGGTAGAGATGTATCCTAGAGCAAAATAAGGTCAGATAATAAGTCAAACTGAGTGCGGCTCTTGAGACATACGGGCTCTGGTAAGTTCGGATCAACATCCTCATCTTGGATGACAAATGGCAACCCGGTGCCCAAACTCCATCGGCGGTCCAAGCTATAGACAGTCCAAAAGAGTCGGGTAATCTCATTCCACTGGTCCTCATTAGGGAACGACTTCATCAGTGCGTCCCTTCGATGAAGGCCCATTTCCAAGCACATTCGGGCAGCGAGACCAATCAATCGGTAGGCCATAGCATCGTCATCGGTATGGAAGTGGTAAGTTGCCTGTCGCAGCAAATATTAGCTTTCATGTAGACATATTGGATATCCGTCTGATTGTGTTTCTTACCACTATGGCAAATAACTGGATGTTCTTGATGTCATGAGGCTCCCACAATTTGGATTCAATGACCGGCTTGACAGACAGATACAGACGTTGACCGAGGTCACTCTGGCCTCCAGCCTCCACGACCAGCGTGGTTGCAAGAATCAACTTCAAAATAATCGTGCTATCGTCATGGAGACTGTCGGCACCGGGAAGACCTCGTTGTGCGAATCCTGTTCGCGTGGCAGCTTCCATGAACGTGTATAGAAGATTAGCTTGTGCGGTGACTGTAGCAATATCCACTACCGGGTACATAATCCCGATCTCTTCCTCATAGACTTTGCATAGCCTTACGGCCTCATCGCGGCGAATGCTCCAGATGGGGTCCTTAGTAGGGTGTATCGTTGGGACAATCGGACCGATATGAGGAGGTGGAGAGCCAATCGGTGTGACATGTGCCGTCGTCAGGTCATCAGCGATGCCATCCTCGGCCGGGTTGATGCCCATGCTCTGAAGACTTGTCTTGGCGACATCAAAGTTGAAAGCTGAGCTAGTAGGTCCATGGAACCGTGGATGCCGGGATCGTGCTTTTGGCATGCTACCAGGCATCGGGGTGAAGACGGACTGGGAGCCATCGCGTGAGAGGTGGTCGAATGGTGGAGACTCAAAGGCCGGCTTCTGCGCCCTAAGCTCATTGAGATTTGTGAAGAGGCTATTGACTTGTTCTTGAAGCGTAGTCAACTGCGCGGTCATCGACCGGAACTCGCTATGACTGAGGGTTAGACTCGAAATTTTTAAATGGGCAGCCGGTTTTGTTTTCCGTGACTCACTCGGATTCTTTGAAGTTGTTGTTGCAGCAATTTGGCGCATATCGACCTGATGTAATTGTTAGCGTCGGAGATTCCGACATCGAGCTGCTATACCCGAGTTCGCCATTTCCGAACGGCTAAGAAGCAGCCACTGGGATTGCAATGGCGAGTGAGGGCTCATACATTCCAAATTTAGATGACCACATCGCTGACATGGGACTTGCCCATTGCACTTGATCTTGCGGCGTTTGCATTCATTGCTAAAACAAGAACCCCGACGGTTAGCTCCGCTAGGCACGTATCATTCCGAGTCCCGAGAAGAGGAGAAAGCGGGGAGCCACAAAGAGTGGCCTCATGCTGCAGCCCGTCTACAAAGTAGACTGCTTCTAGCAAGCGGCATTCCTCAAAAGCGAAAAGGGACCGGGAATTCGGGAAAATATCAGACGGGATCAGGCCATCGGATCATACCATGCAATGGAGATGTAGCGATTCCGCTTTGCGCGCGTGTGCGTTCCGTTGCTTTGTTCCGCCTTTCTCTTGGACGTATCAGCGGCCGAAGAGGCCTCCTGGTCGCCAGGCCCGGACTGCGGTGGGGTCGTTTGAACCTGAGGTGATTCCGAAGCCATGACAGCCCAGAATTCAAGTCACCGGGGATGAGAGCTAGGAAGAGCTGGGAGGAAATGGCGGCGACCGAGTGCGGAGAGATTCCTCGCGGGGTTTGCCGTTTCCCCAGATTCGCGGCTGACTCATCCTTCTCGCCGGTGACATTATTGGCTGGCAAGCGGAACTACGGGGGAAGATATAGCCACATAATGTAGAAGTACAGTATGCGGTATTAGTGATTAATGTTTATAGGAGGATCGAGGTTGGTCAAAACAAGAGAGAGAAAGAAAATCACGATTGAAGGAAAGAAAGTAGACATGTAGATTCGATCAGAACTGATCACCATGCATGTCATGCATGCAGCCAACTATATATTCTTTCAGCCACTTACGGTGCATCCACGATTAGCGAGGCAAGATATGCTCAGTATTTGATTGATTTGACTATATAGACTGTACAGAGGATAGGTAGGTATGTTCCCAAAGATTTTCAGAGAACGGAGAATTTCACAGAAAGCATAGAGCGTAGGTGATCCCCCTCTTACAAGCCACGTGCCTTGGAAAGAAGCCAGTCCTTCCCTGCCAACAAGGCTAGCAGCAACTTACTGCGCTCGTCGGGGTTCTTCTTTAGCCATGCCAGTCCCGCTAGGACACTGAAAATGAACGAGAGGCGCACAGTCTTGCGGATTCCCTGCAGAATCGCACCCTTTCGAGTCCATTTTGCCGTCCAGTCGCTCCAGATAGGGAATGTGCATCGGTACCAATAGTGGATCTGGGAGTATCTACAAATTCACGTTAGTATAAATAAGCCCAGCAGTGTGCGCGAGTAACTTACGGGTAGGTTGAAGAGTTCCATCCGTCGGCAGTGATGTACCAACTGGAGCAATCGCCGCGACGGAAGACCGTCTTCTGCAGTTGGTCCTGCACGTTCTTGGTCCACGCCAGCTCGGCCTCTTCCTTGACCTCGTAGGAGCTGACCTGGCCGATCAAGATTGGCTTGATGAATTTCAGGGAGTAGTTGACCGCGTTCTCAGTCGCGAAGATAACACTTGTATGACCGGTGGCTGTGTTCGGACCGAAGAGCATGAAGAAGTTCGGGAAGTGGTCCATCGCGATTCCCTGATAAGCCTGGGCGCCTCCTCGAGCTGCCCAAAGATCCTCCATCTTCTTGCTGCCCCTGCCGATGACCTTCAAAGGGTGCAGCCACTGATTGGTCTCAAAGCCATTGCCGAGCAGAATCACATCGGCCGGAATCTCTCGAGCTTCGTCATCAGAGTCATTGCCCGGAGGATAGTAATGTCCCGGTCCGATTGTTACGCTTCTCGCATGGACACGAGCCAGTGGCTGCGTTGTCAGCGTGACCTTTGAGGAGTGCAGGCTGCGGTACCATGTACCGTCAATGATACGGCGCTTGCATCCAAGGCTGTAGTTTGGGGTCAGCATTTCATGGTATTCCTTCGGTGCCATTTCGCGCATGTGATCCAGGAATGCCTTTTCAATCTTTGGCCGCATCATGCGTCCGTATGCCGTGTCAGTGAACATGGCAAAGAAATTATGTTCACACATCAGAAAGAGGTTGTTGCGGAGGAAACGTGCCAGTCCTGGCACGTGTGTCAACAACGAAGGCATCCACCTCTCCCAATGCACAAGGAGCTTGGGCGGCAAGAGGTCTGGCTGCACCCAGGGAGGAGTACGCATTAACTGGGTGATAGAGCGAACGTTGGCCTCTGGCTTGGCCAGCTCGGGGACAACTTGGGCGGCACTGCAGCCGGAGCCGAACATGATCACATCCTTGCCTTGCAGGTCAATATCACTATCCCATCGAGCTGTATGCATGATCTCTCCTTCAAAGTCTTCGATACCGGGGATATCCTTGGGCCATGTCTTTGGCTCAACTAGTCCACCCACGCCACTCACGACGACCTTGGCTCGGACGATCTCATTTTTGACGTAGACGCTATGCACGCCCTCGTTGATCGCAAGCTGCTCTCGCTCATACGAGGAGAGATCACCCGTCCCTGGGACCAGGTGGGAAAGGAGAACCTCCCATTCCTCATCCTCTTCTATCCAGCGAAGCTCGCGGACATCAGTGTGGAACTGGATCTTGTCGACAATCTCATACTTCTCGCAGACATCGGCGAGGTATTGTGCAATCTCAGGTCCCGAGGGGTGCAAAGTCGACCAGTTCTTCTTGGGTGCAAATGAAAAGGAATAGAACAACGCGGGGCTGGTTTGTCTCTCTGTTAGATCAAATTGAATATCGGCTTGGTCTTTGGATACCTACATGTCACAGGCAGCGCCAGGGTATCGGTTAATCCACCATGTTCCACCGATGCCAGATTGTCGCTCAAAGATTCGAAACTGGTCCGTTCCTAGGACTTCTTTGAGACGACAGCCCATCGCGACACCCGACTCGCCGGCGCCGACGATGAGCACTGGGTAGTAGGTATGAGCATCTTTGCCGTAGACATGGCGCTTGTGGATACTGGCGACCGAAGGCATCTTGGCCGATGATGCAACGAGGTTGGAGAAAGATGTACTATTGTCAAAAGACGACACCGATGTCAGATGACTGGGGGAAGTAGTTGTGGTACAAGAGGGTAGCGCTGAGACGGGTTGGAGGCCGGCCTGTGAAGAAGACCAGGCTAGCTTGTGCTCAGACGAGAAAGGGGATGATCTCTCTCTCTCCAGCGAACGATGGTTCATGAACAGACTCCGAAAGAACGAGTCCAACGGGACCAGCAGTGGTTTAAGCTCCGATCTGCCAAATGAGGGGAAGTTGGGGCAACCTCGGTTCCCGGCGTTTATTGTTCTTGTGCCACTTTTGACAGGGGCGGCCATGTCGATCGTGCATTACCGACAATGATCACTTGCATAAATTTATATTGAACTCCAGCTCATCGTGAATAAACCTTAATTTTGATAGACACAAGTGATCAGATTGATCATATTAATACAGGCCCCTTAAGCTAGTTTTGAATAGAGCACACTCACTTGACTACAGTACTATCATTGTGGCGAACTAAATCCGGGGATGTGGACCCTCCACCGAGTCTTGCGGGCTGAAAACCTTCTTCCACTTTGCACCTTTTCTCCACAATCTTCAACTTGCCTGGATGAAGCTCCAGCCATGGACACAGAGCAATTGGGTCCTGAGAAGACTCTCGCACCCGTTTCCTCCTAGCCTCCTACAGCCAGCTCATGGCTCGCGCAACTTCTCCGTCTCCTTGACCCGTCCGTACCGCACACTCGAAGCCATTCAATACGTCGACGTCGATACATTCCGACAGCAATATTTTGCCCCCGAGCACCCCGTTGTCCTACCACGCGCTCAATTTCGTGACCTGCCCGCCGTGAAGAATTGGTTTGAAAGCACCAATACCCGACCAAGCGCGACCAGCCACCCAACGACTCGATTGAACCTGGAATACCTCGAAAAGCATGCCGCCGACGCGTTTGTCCCGCTAGAGCTTACAGAGCTAGCAGTCTCTAGTTCATGTGGCAATAAAAATGGCAACATGTCGCAGCAAGCTACTGCGTCGGACGTCGTAAGCTTCCGACAGTTCCACGCACCGGTGACGCTGTTCCTCGAATGGATGCGCACGGCCGAGACATCTCCGCAGTCAACGCGACTCTATCTCGCACAATGCCAGCTTCTCGACCTGCCTCAAGTTCTTCGCGACGATTTTCCAACACCGGATATTGTTGCAAAGGCCGGAAAGGGTGATATTTACGATACAAATGTGTGGATTGGACACCCTCCTACGTACACCCCGCTCCATCGCGACCCGAACCCAAACCTCTTCGTCCAGCTGGCTGGACGGAAGGTCGTGCGATTATTAGCGCCCTCGGAGGGACAGGCGCTCTTCTCTTCTATACGGCGGCAGCTAGGAAAGAGTGGAGGCAAGGATGCGGCTGCCATGCGTGGGGAGGAGATGATGCAGGGTCAAGAACGGGTTTTGCTGGATGAACGGGTATGGGGTGACTCGGCTTCTGCAGGCTCGGAAGGGTCTGGCTACGAGGCGCATTTGGAGGCTGGCGATGGCCTATTCATTCCGAAAGGATGGTGGCATAGCATTAAAGGCGTTGGAGAGGGAGTGACTGCATCGGTAAGTGTGCTCGTGTGCCTTGATTGTAACTTGTGGTCGCAAGTACTAACACGCAATAGGTCAATTGGTGGTTTCGATAGAAGCAAGGCTATCCAACGGCCTGTTGATAGTATTCTTCTAGATGTAAAAATAATTTGTACAATATACATATTCCAATGCACCCACTACTTCAGTATTGAAATCCAGCAAAATAGAGTATTCCCATAGACTCGGAGTTTCATGCGGGCGGCTTCCAGAACCATCTCGACTCCGCCCTCGACCGACCATTTTATCGCCCAACCCAACTCCCCCAACTTCAACTTTCCCACAGCCCAAGCATGCAGTTATCGCGTACAGCCTACCGCGCCGCCCTCTTTCACCTCAGCGTGAATCCAATCTTCACCCGCGCCTCTATTCCCAGCACCTGGTCCCTCAGCGTTTCTACCCAGCTACCCCAATCCTCGGCGACCTCCTCCCGCCTCTACAGCATCCTCTTCCCACAGTGCGCACCTGGCAACAGATCCCTCGAATCAATCCGCCACTCGCACACAATGTCCTCCTCTACCCCTCCTACAGAAGCGACCCCTTCAAAGCAAGAGACCGGAGAATCGCAGCCCCAAGAAACCACACAAGAGGCTTCCAAAGAGCAATTGTGTCTCCCATCGACCGAGTCGTCCAGCGATGGCCAGCCAAAACAACTCCGCCTCGATCTCGGCACTGATGGAGGCGTCACGCTAGATCACCTCGGACCTATGGTTGTCAATGTTGACGGGTCACTGTCGCGGATCGGCAATTGGGATCAGATGACGGAGATTGAGCGCAAGAATACGTTGCGGATCTTGGGGAAGCGGAATAAGCAACGCCTGGAGAAGTTGAGGGCTGCCGGGGAGCAGAAACATGATCTAGACTTTGTGGGGGGGATATAAGTTGGCCCTTTGGCCTGTCCTACATGCGCATTTTTGGTAATGGAGTTTACAAGGCGGGGGTTTCTGATTGAATGATTGATTCTGAGTGTATAATAGTGTCTATATTGAACAAAATCATGAAGCGTCTCAAGTATTGTGTTGTTTCTTTTGCATGACCAGGTGTCGCTGACCCCTTCGGCGTCGAGAGTGGTCTCGCAGGCTCACTCGAACAGCATACCGACATATTTGTGTACGATAGTCCTAAAGAAAATCAGCCGATGAAGCTTGCCCGGGCTCATGAACCAAACTTACTTAGGTGGGGCATGAACAAAATCCCTCGTATACTCCTCAATCTCTGCGAGTCCAGACACCAAGTCTACCTCCTCCGGTTTCAAAAACTTCGTTCGATGGAAGATCTTCCACCCAAAGTAGAGAACAGGGAACACGCCAATCATCGTGTATGAGAACAAGAACGTGGGAATCGACCATTTACCTGGCAAGAAGACGGTATAGCCACCAACGAAGGCCATGATCGTAGTAGCAGTGCAGGCGATATATGCGATATACGGCTGGAACCAGCTACGGTATGGCAAGGTGCCGCGCGAAATTCCTTGAGCATCAAGAGCCTTCTTGAACCGGATATACGTGAACGTGATGACGGAGAAGTTGATGAGTTGTGAGGCGGTAACCTGAGATCATGTTGGATGGGAAGACCATGGATAATTCGAGTTCAGACATACCAGATTGACAAACCAGTTCAGCACCACGGATGCACCATTGGATACTTGGAGGAAGCTCAGTAGAGCAATCAACAAGACCACGGCAACACAGTAAACCGGGACACCCTTTTTCGTGCACTTCGTCAAAAACACCGGCGCCTTTCCCTCAAGTGCAAGACCGTAGAGACTGCGGCTGGCACAGTATACATAGCTATTGCCTGCGCTGAACGAAGCAGTAAGAACGACCGCATTGACGATGTGCGGTAAGATCGGGATATGCAATCTATCCATGGATATCACATACGGCGAGGCCGCCGCACCAGGCTTGTCATTGTCAAATGCATCGGCCATAGTCTCGTCGTTATACGGGACCAGAATTCCCACACAGAGGACACCAAGCACGAAGAAGGCTGTTAGACGGTAGAACACGCCATTATACGCCTTTGGTAGAACCACGCGTGGATTAATAGTCTCTCCTGCAGCCATCGACACGTAGTCCGGACCAGCGATAGTAAAGCTAGCCGCAATAAGTGCCGACAAAAAGCCCAGGAACCTGCCCGTATCCCCGGTTTTGTAGTATTCGGCAAAAGCACCGGGTTCATTCCAGTATCTGAATCCGAACCGATCACCTAGCGGGTTACCGCCAACCATCACGATGAAGGTGTAGAAGATGAGGCCGATGCTGAGCAAGACTTTGCCAAGTGAGAGCCAGAATTCTGCTTCGCCATACCACTTGACCGCGAAAACGTTGAGTGCCCTGTAAACAAATATTAGTGTATACGCCAATGTGTTTGCAAGCTCGGGACATACGTGTATAGAACAAGAACGATAACGTTCATCGCCGCAACTGGAATCGCGCTAGTCCAGTAATTGACAATCAAACTGACAGCCACGATTTCAAAAGGTACGAGGGCAGCTTCGAAGATGAAGAAATTGTAACCTGCTGCAACACCGAGGGCCTCGTCGACATAGCGGCCAGCGAATCGGATGAAGGGTGAGGAGATGGGTAAGTAGGTGACCATCTCTGCCAGACCTAGATGATAAAGTAAGTTCCTGTGCTTGATTCGAAAACGACAGCCGACCAGGGGTGGTCATTATATCAGTCACTCGAGGCAAGGTGTTGTAAAGATGTGAATTTTGGTGTTTCCTTGTGGTGGAACAGTCGCCTGGGGGTATTTTGCTGCTCATGGCATGAAATGGGCTAGGGAGTGGAAGGTGCTTCTTACAAACGGTTATGATCAAGATAATGCAACTCCTAGAAGTCAAAGAGTAAGATTCAAAACAATCAATCATTAAGGCGCAATAGTAATCCAGGGCTCTAGGGCTGGTCGAGTTGGGCATCTGATCAAGTCGGCATGGGCTTTGTGGAATGTATTGGCGCAAATGGGAGAGGTGAATGGGAGTTGTCCTTGCACTGGGATGATGTGTTTCGCCTAGCAGTATGCTTACGTCCCTTATCACTGGGAATTTCATGGCAGAATTGATGGTTTCTTCTCATCCTGTTTTTGAAGATCTTCTTCCGTTCATCGCTATAGTCGCGTAGAAATTGGATTCGTATTTTCCAGTGCAAGCCACTGTGTCCGTCGAGCCCAGGCCTTGAAATAAAACAAAAGCATGGGGAAAGAGACCCATCCTTTTAAACGAGTTGAACTTACCAAATACTAAATCCAAGAAACAAACTTGCAGGCCCGCTAGTGCGAAGATTATTACCAATCTGCACATACAAAGCCGTGCCTATAGTTCCTCCAATGCCGATCAATTGCAAATGGCGAGGTTTTAGCTTCCGTCGCGTATGGTCATAAGTCGGTTTCATAGAACCACCATCGATCGATGCATCGCGATTGCCGGATGGATCCTTCTCAGTGATTTCGACAGTCTTGTCGGACATCTTGACCGGCTTCCCCTCGGGATCGGGAAAATCGCGGGGTGACTCGGCGCGCTGGATGGCAGCAGCGATTGGTGAATGAGAGCCAAGCTCATTCTGCTGCGATTGTGTATTTAACATTTTGATGTCCGATCCAATCCACACCATAAATAGAAAAAGAAATCAATTTAAAAGGCAGGAGGGAAGGAAAGGAAACCCAGCAAGTCCCCAAGACGAGAAAAATCTTTCCCCATCTTGGCAATTTCCCTCCATTGCTTGGCAGTCCATCTAAAGCATCCCAGAGCGAATCTCATGGAGAGTGTAGCCTGGAACTCGGCATAGTCCGAGAATCAATCCGACCCGGGGACAAATCAGAAAAGATCTCTTCCCCGGCCCTTCCTTGCTTGGTGCTCGCAGGCCGCCGTGTCCCCACTTGGCGTTACCTTCGAGAGTCAATCAGCCATTTGGCTGGTAGGCTTGACTGAGTAGTCTTCGACTAGGGCAAGCGAGTTGGATGATCAATATTTTTGCCTGATGGACGTTGAAATCGTTTGCCGTGCTGTAAACATTTGCGGCTCCCAATCCTTGCTCTTGTCGTTCTGGAGTTGTGCAATGTGCTCTGGCATGGAGGACTAGTGGGGCAAAAACGTTGCCGAGGTTCAATTTGCTCGTAGGGGGCCACAGGGAAGGCATGCACTTTTCTAACTTTGTGTAAGACTAGTCTTGTATATCAGAGGCTAACCTATAGAGTGCTCGTCTTCAACTTAATGAAATATCCATACTGTCCATTTCAAAGGGTATCGAACATCTATACGCCAGGGTGACATTCTCCTAAAATATTTCCGCAGCATGTTAACTAGCTCCTTTAAATATGTTCAGAAATTTGACAAACGATATATTCAGTCTGGCTAACATGACATGCTTTAGGAAGAGAGTAATTCTGATTACTGCACAGGATAAGTCAAGATCCATTACCGTTAAGAACCCAAAAAGTCAGGAACGAAGTAAGGTGTGAGAACACAATACTCCAAATCCATCTTCTTCTCTTTCAGACACCAGCTTAATCCTTTGAGTCATGACTAGTTGCACTATCATTCGAAGATCTGCGCTCCGACGGGTTTGTGTCCTTCCCCAGCCAAGCAGGCGGGAAGAAGCCATCGTTATCCTCAAAGTAGAGATGGTGGATCTCGTCGGCCTTGGAAAGGTCTTGCTTGGGCTCGTTATGGCCTCGAGGCAGCGTATCATGTACCGCAGGCTGCGTTGCGTGGAGATGTGGATTTGAAGGAGGAGAGGACATCTTGATATCCGAGGAAGGTTGAGTGTTTAATGTATTGTATGTTGATCGATGAATAGGTGATGAATAGTGAGACCAACGGCCTCTCGAAGTTCAAGGACTATCGGGTTGCCTTAAAGATGGCATGAATGTAGTTGATTGTCAAGTGTCATCTGACTTACGCCACTTTAAAGATCCCCGTTCGCAAAAATTAAAGTATACTCGAGGCTCGTGACTTGACGTCATGAAGTCAGTCCCGCGGTATACAAACAATCTTTGTTAGAGGTAAATAAGCCATGTTCATGACATGAGCCAAGTACATTAATCCTATATCTACCACACGCAGCGTAAGGCAGATCGATAAAATCTACAGCTCAAGCACTCGTAATTTTAGTCCCCTATAGAACTTCTCACCCCAATGGTGCAATCACAGCAGCGTGTTCGTCAGCACCCGCCCTAAACTACAGAGCCACTAGTTACCAACGGCAAGGTTAGTTGAACCCCGCTTATCCGCCGAACCCCACGCTCTTTTTAATTCCTCGGCCATCACTCGCGAGCTTCACTTCTCCCACACTTCCACACCTATACCACAATGTCTGAACGTTTCGCTCCCAAAGTACCAGTCCAGCTGGACCCGCCAAAGGACGACCCCATTTCTACCGAGGAATTGGCCAAGTGCGACGGTATACACATCCCCGCGCCGCGCGCTCTCCTCGGGACCTTCTTCTCCGCGAATGCCGACTGACACACACTGCGCGCTGTGCTCACAGGTTCCGATTCCAGCCGCCCAACCCTGGTAGCCATCAAAGGCACCGTCTTCGACGTCACCCGTAACGCTGCCTACGGCGCGACGGGCCAATATCGCGGTGAGTGCTCGATGCGCCCGGCCGATGCGGGGTTCCCGATTGCGCCGACATCTTTGCATAGACTGACGTGATACTCGTGGTTTTGGGGTTTAGTTTTCGTCGGAAAGGATGCCTCGCGTGCTCTGGCCAAGTCCTCGCTGAAGCCCGAGGATTGCGTACCGGAGTGGTATGATTTGGATGAGAAGGAGAAGACGACGCTGGATGAGTGGTACACTTTCTTCAGCAAGCGGTATAACATCGTTGGCAAGGTTGAGGGTGCGAAGAACCTTTGAACGATGATTAAGGGCTACGAATTGAGTGGATGTCAAGTATACCCGAAATATGAAGATGAAGATAGATTAAAAGATGTGGATGGGTTGTTAATCACAATACTTTTGTATTTCCAACAGGGGTCCTCTGTAGGTAGCGCTTGGACAGAAATCTCAAGGCTATCCAGCCCCGATCTGAATTGTCAAGAGATGCCGAGAGATGTCTCGGAAGAGGTCTCGAAAAAGGGGTTGGAAAATTTGTCAAAAAAGTCACTAGAAGAGGCATTCCGGAAGATCTTTATTAATAGTAATTCACCTTCGACGCTAGTATGTAAGAAGGATATCCATAAAATAGAGAACCAAATCATCAATTTCTACCCCCTCCAAAGACTATGCAGCCAACCCTCGTAGCAGCAAATCCAATCAATAACATTCTGTCTAGATGTCCTCCAAATTTATCTCAATGTCGAATAAAACCCGCGATACTGTTTCCCACAAGTCTCGCTGTCGTATTGTTCACCCTTAACAATCCTTTCAAGGGCCTGCTCCATTGCCTTTCTTTGATCAGCATCAAGGCCAGGCGAAACGATGTGGATGAAAAAGTCTTTGAGCTCTCTCATCTGAGGACCAATGATTTCAACTATGCGTTTGAAGTTGGCATATTCGTGAAGTGATTCAAAGGTCACTGTGACATCTTCCAGAAGGAAGAAATGCAGGGATAGACGAATATTGGAAATATTGGCGTGTTCTCGCAGGGAATTCACTGTGTCCGCCAGGCTCAACGCTTGTACTGAATGGGGCTGGAATTCGTCATCCCCAACGTGTTGAGGGAAGTTGAGTTGGATGGAATGCAGGTACTGAATACAATCCGGGGGGAACGGGTTCAGGAAGTTTTTCCTTTCAAATCTCGCGGAGCCAAACAATACCGTAGACGGAATCGGGATTGCAAAGTGATGGGCTCCATATCCATAAAAGACATACTTGGCCAGATCTCTCATGCTTTTAGACGTCTGAAAAAGAGCCTTTGGAAGGCTCCAATAACGTTTGGATGACGAGTATGAGACCTCTGTAGCCTTACAAGCCATGTTGAACATAGTGGGCCCATCACAACGACGTCTTGCGCAAGGAAACGGGAAGAACGACTTGCGCACTGAGTCCCACCAAAGGTCTTGAGCAATGGTTCCCGTATCAGGAAGAAGGTCCGTGTGCTCAAGCACCATGATCTTCAGCTCCGTTGGAAGGTCACCGAATCTGTGGAAAGCTCGACTCTGTTCGTTGTTGCGAGAGCGTTCAGTAGCCTTGAGGACGACATATTCAACATAAAGCTGGAGCTTGTTGTTTGAGCGAGCACCGAGGCGGATAAGGCAGTTCTTCAGTTGTACATCCAGTAGAGGTTCAAGTATCGCTTTGGCAGACCTCACGGTTGCCGTGCTTGAATGGATGGACAGGTTGAGCTGGCTTGGCGCATGCGCGAGTCGGCGACAGGTTGCCTTCCAGTTATCGATAACCTGTGGGCTTTCATCATAATCGGCAACGGGCGCAAAGAGCGATGGTTGAAGCGTGGTGATAAGGGGAGACATCTCCACCTGAAGGTTCCGAAGTGACTGCAGGGTAACGGTCGTAATTGCAGTGAGAACTGACAACCCTCCAGCCCCCATGCCGTACACTCGGAATCTATTCAGTGAGTAAAAGAAATGTCGGGCGTCCTGGGATACCTGCCGTGATACGTAAAAAAGCTGATTTGAGAATGGGGGCTGGCCTTCGGGCGTGGAGTTGGCACCGTTCTGGTTAAACCGTCGGTGTGTAGATGACCACTTGCTAATTGTATCCAAAGGATCACCTTTCGAGGAGTTCATCACCAGGGCAAAACTTTCATCAGACCCAATATCTCGAGTGTACTCGAGAAACCGGTAGATTCTTTGGCGGACCGACTCGGGGAGCTGGAGGAGGGACGACGTTCGTGACGGACTGCCAGAGTGCTCACAAGGAGGTTCGGAGGGGATTCAGTGGGGATTTGATCCCCGAGAGCCATGGTGAGAACTTTGGGTGTATCGAAGAGAGTTCGAATGGTAGTTGAAAAGGAAAGAGTGTTAAGAAGACACGGAGGGTCGAAGAGTTGAGGATGAAAGCAGCGGAGGCGAAAGAGCAGGAGATGAAAAGGCAGGAGAGAAACTAAAATAAGTCGGGGAGGTCGGAACGATGGTAAATTCTAGATCAATCCAGCTAGTGAGGGACTGGTTAGGAACTGGCAAACACGACTCCGGTTGGAGAGGATATCTAATGTAAAATGGCCCATAGTCATAAGTCTATTGACTGAAGGAAAGATCAATCGAGCATGCCCTACTTCCTCTCACTTCTCATATTTCTTTTACATATAAACTGATCGTTCTTAAGCCCACTTATATCTTACTTCTGAGGTTCCAATAACTCATAACCTGGGAGCTAGTAGTCCAAATAGTAGACTACTAGGCTAGGCGGTGCTGAAGAACGTCTAGGAAACGAATAACGTCGTACGCCCACGTCTAAAATAAGATGCCACCATTTTAAATCGAATATAAGGATCTTTACCAGTCTTATTTAAGACCTTGGAAGACGGAAGACCACGGTAGAGGTGGAAAGAGGGGGGAGGCTATGATATCTACGTGATTCTATGGAAGAGTCAAGGATGCTGAGGAGCATAGTTCCAATTTCCATATCCACCTTCCACTTTCCCTGTATGAAGCGTAACTAGAATTCTTCGCAGTTTCCTGCCCAATGTTGCGTTTTCTCCGGTAGTCGACGGCCGAAAGGATATATAGCGCCTACGCATCAAAGCTGAGTCTTCTACGAGTCCTAGGTTGTCGAACCTGAGAAAGTATGAATAGCGCCAGCCTTTCACTAGACGCTAGAGCGAACAGATGTATCAATAGACATCACTGTATATAGTAAACAAAGCTATATGTATATTAGTCTTGGCAGATTTCAACGCGTTTAACTAAAATATTGTCCTAGTCTACCAGGATCTCAGTTATATAAAGGGGCTCTTCTGGTACCTCCTAGGTCTGTAGTGCATGCCCATTGAAGGTTGCCTGATCTGAGAAAGTCTAGATAGCGCCAAACAGTTCACTGGAAGCGAAATCAAAGGAAATCAAAGGGATGGATACCAAGTCATCGTTTTATACAGGACTATATAAATAAAGAAAAGAAAAAACATCATTACGCCTTGCCCCGACGAGCCTTCCGCTTCATACGTTTCTGCGCAATGATCCGGTTACGTTTGGCAACCTTGTTCTCTTCCTCATCATCCTGCTCTCCTTGTTCCTCTCCCTCCTTGCCCTTGCCTCCACGCTTCCTCTTCATTCCCTTCTTGTCGGTCTCCTCCTCGACCTCCTGCTCCTTTTCTTGGGCACTCTTTTCCTTGTCAAGACGCTTCTTCTCTTCCAATTCCTTGCGGCGCTTGATAACCTGTGCGTTCTCAATGGCGAACTCAACAACCAGGCGCTTCTTTCGGTCCTTGTCCTCCTCGTCGTTGTTGACAGGGATATCAATGGGGTGACCGTTCAACCAGCGCAAGCCCATCAGGGCGTGTCGGTGGGTGAAGTACTCGATGAAACCGTATCCACGGCTGCGACCACCACCGCCCTTCTCGGGAACCTTGGTACCCTCTCGGGTCTCGTAGACGATCATGGCTTGACGGACGATACCCTGCTTCTTGGTTTTGCGCAGAGTCTCCATCTCTTCCATCTCCTCGGACGAGCGCGACTTCTCCTCCTTCGACAGAGGCTCGCGAATGCCGTTAGTGACGTCGGTAGCAAAGCCAACAACGGCTTGACGGGCAAATTGCTTCAAGTCCTTCGAGGTGATGTGGCGGGGGATGTTTCGGATAGAAAGACGAGTAAGACTGAGATGCAAGGCTGGGTTCTTCTTGATGAAAGTCTCACGCTGCTTGAAACTGGCCTCACGCATCTTGATTTCGGAGGGGGACAGCTTCTTGTACATGGGCGAGTTCGATGCGATAGTACCCTCAGACAGAAGGTAGAGACGGCGCTTATCCTTGTCACGCACCAGGCGGCGCGACACACCCTCCTCGTTCAATCTCGTAGCCTCGCGCTTGTTGACTGCGCGAGCAACTTGTAGAACACGGCCCTCCATTGTGTACTTTCCGCTGGGATCGGCATCCTCGTTTTGTAGTACGGAATACTTCATGGCGGGCTTGGAGCGGTCTTTGTCACCAGCGGGCATCTCTGTCGTCTTGGGAGCACCGCGGATGCAAGTGATGGCATCGTCGACTTTCCAGAAGCACACGAATCCAGTACCTCGGGGCCGTTCAGTCTCATGGTCGATCACAATGCGGGCGTATCGGAGCGGTCCGAATTGGGTGAAATGTTCGTAGAGGGACTCGTCGGTGCAGGTAAAGGGAAGGTTGCGAAGGAAAATAGTGCACTCCGTGCGGTCGTCTTCTTTTTCTTCCTCCTCAACTTCTTCCTCCTCGTCATTCTCAAGATCGCCCTCCAGATCCTCCATATCGTCATCCTCATCATCGTCTGAAGCATCTTCGCCAGAGGCCTCCTCGGAATCTTCCTTGTCCTCCATATCAACATCCTCAGACTCGTCCTTCTCTTCCTCCTTCTCCTCCTGAGTGGCTTCGTTGGCCTTTTCCCAGGCTTCCTTCTCAACGGCCCAATCGACAGCCAATTGGCGGCCATCAACTTCTTTACCGTTGATTGATTGAAGTGCCTTCTCGGCGTTCTTCTTGCCTCTCAAGACAACAAAACCGAAACCTTGCAACTTGTTGCCCTTCTTGGGCAGGACTGCATGCTTGACTTTACCGAAACTGAGGAAAAGTCGGGAAAGTTGTTCGGGGGTCTCGATACTCCACGGCAGATTGCGGACGATTAGCCTAGGGGGCTGGTTTTGCGTTCTTTGGTCTTCACGCTCCTGCTTGTTCTTGATCGCAGCAGCAGCAGGAACACTCCTGCCCAGCTTCTCATCGATCTCACGGTGACGGGGTTGCGCATACTCGACGCGAATCTTCTTGCCGTCAAAGTCGGCATTGTTCAACTCCTCAAGAGCGCTTTGGGCGTCCTCGAGATCGGCGAATGTAACGAAACCGAAGCCCTTAGAAACCTTGGTCTCCGGGTTCACGACGACAGTGGCGTGCTTGATCACGTAGGACTCTGAGAAGAACTCTGCGAGCTTTTCTGTCGTGGCTGACACAGGAAGCGATCGGACGAAGAGGGTCTTGTTGGGCTGTTTCGAAGCCGGGGCCTCGGAGGCTTTGACTGTGGTTGTCTCCATTTTGGTATCGGTGACTTGAGAAAGATCCTCTTCGGAGAGGCGTCTTTTCTTGTTTGGCTCGGCCATGGACTTGTAGAAGCTGGTCTTGGTTTTTTCGCAATCGAGCCGGACAAAAAAATTAGCGGCAGAAAAGGCTGTTGCGCCGCTGGGCGGTGTGAAAGTGGTTCTGCTCGGGCTCTGATAAGCCCCGGCCGAGCTTTATCAGTTCACAAGTCAACCCTCAACATGGATCCTCAAACCAGAGGTAATTCGGCATCGCAATCTCGAGGAGATGGTGATGCGAGTGCGCGGTCATCTAATCCTGGAACGCCGTCAACAGGCCAGCCAAAAGTGCAGCAGCCTAAACCGCAGGCTCTCCCAAACCGATCGGGTCCTTCAGCGATTCTCGTGTCGACGCGACAGAAGGGCAACCCGATCCTGAACCACATTAAGCTTCTACCATGGGAGTACGCCGATATTCCCGCAGATTATGTGATTGGAACAACAGCATGCGCTCTCTTTCTCTCACTGAAATATCACCGGCTCCACCCTGAATACATCTATTCTCGAATCCGACTCCTCGCTGGGAAGTACAACCTGCGCATCGTGCTGGTAATGGTGGATATTCCGAACCACGAAGATGCCCTCAAGGAACTATCAAAGACCTCGATCATCAATAACCTCACACTGATGCTATGCTGGTCCGCCCCCGAGGCCGCACACTACCTTGAACTCTTCAAGTCCTCCGAACACGCCCAACCTACTGCAATCCGCACGCAACAAGCACAGTCATACAAGGAGTCTTTAGTGGAATTTGTTACAGCACCGCGAAGCATCAACAAGTCAGATGCGGCAAGCTTGATCTCGACATTTGGAAGTTTGCAGAATGCTGTGAACGCGCAACCGGAGCAGATTAGCTCTGTTCCTGGCTGGGGCGAGAAGAAGGTTCAACAATGGTGCAATGCCATCCGCGAAGACTTCAGGGTGGAAACTACAAAAAAGGCGTCTGCTCCAGTATCAAGAAACCAGAATAGACCGACGAGACCCCCGAGTGGGCTGGATCAGATGGCCATGGATGAAGATGATGACGAAGCAGTCTTACGATCTGTGCTGGCTGAGAGCCGGCTCACAGCTGCCGCATCTGCCACGACTCAGAGCCCATCGAAGACAATCCGGCCAGCCGAGGAGCTTGACGAGGGCATTGCAGCTGCCCTGGCGAAGTTTCGGGAATCCGGTGGATGAAGACCATACCCGCGACTAGATTGATTTGATAAAACACGAATGACGTTCTCGCCATGCAGGGTCTGGATACCAGCTCGGCGGAGTTTGCGGTCTCCAACAATACGTTCCTGCTGCAACTCTAGTGGCGACTCCTGTCGCTCCGTTTCGCACCGCTACAGACGGCCATGCGAAGAAACGCTCAAACGACATGGTTGGGAATTCGATTTTTTACGCGCCTCAGAAGAGCTAATGAGCTCATTAGCAAGGTTCATGCCTGATGAGGTCGTATAGGAAGGTCTTGCCTGGTGACAAGATGAGTTTGGCTTCTTTAAGAAAGATACAGTGAGTAGGCTCTGATTCTGAAGTGCTACTTTAGATAACCCTTACTGTAATGCCCGGACTTCCTGGTTCGATGGTGTGTAAATCCTTTCCCTGGAGACTCGTTCAATATCACAATAAACCAAAGTTTTATGCCATTACATTTGCTTGGTACTGGGCCCGTGCTTCAAGGTTGAAAGAAAGTGCCCCCCACCACCTTTATATGGAAACCAAAGTCATGTTTGCCAGTTCCCAACCACTTCTTCAAAAACCAATCTGGAACTTGCCATCCTCCTCACCTCACGAAGTTCTTTTTCTCCCCTGCTCTTTCGTCTCTGCTGCTTTCCTCCTCAACTCCTCGACCTCTTGGCTTCTCGACCACCTCTCTCATCCACTCAGACTCCCGTTCTTTGTCTCTTTGATACACTCACACTTGCCACCATGGCTCTCGGTGATCTAGCAGCACTTTTGGTCTTGTTTGGCCTCTGCTACTTTGCTCTTCCCATTCTCCTCCCTCAAGTCCCGGCCAAAGATCCTCCCAATCCTCCTGACGCGACTTCGAGCAGTACGCTTCTCACGCCGTTCCTCCTTCGGCTCCCCGAGTCGGTTCGCGAGGAGATCTATTTTTTACTAGAATACTCTCGTGAAAATGACTCTGGCCAAAAGCATGTCCTGGACGTGAAGTGCCCGGAACTCTCACCCCAAAGTATCAGCGAATGGTCCTCCGCGCATCAGAGACTTAACTGGATATCCATGTTTGGCACCCAGCCAAGCCAAGGTCAATTTGCCAACCAGTTATTCTACGTGTCGCGTGCTATATCCCAGGACGCAAGATCCTTCTTCTATTCCCATAATAATTTTGTTTTCCCTGGAAAGGAGGATGAAGGGTTACCAGAACTTTCTGCAATGACGATGGTTGCTATCCAGTCATTTCGGAACATTCAAGTTCGGATTTCTGCGGCAGACGCGAGCAGCGATGATGGCCGCTCCTTCAGGCAAAATAAAAAAGCCATAATGGACTGGAAGGAAACCTGTTACCGACTTGCGCATGCGCCACCATGCCAGCTAAGCCTGTCCCTGATTTCGAACTCGACAACCGTGAAATCCGCAAAAGACAGTTTGGGACCCTTAACCTACCTAGAACTGAAGAAGTGTTCGATCGCTTTTGACGAATCTTGGGATACCAGCCTCCAGAATTATGCAGAGTACGTCGTTTCCAAGACTACTGAGCGCTTTCGCAACCAAAAGAGCTCGGCCTTCCATAGATTCGGGGACCTGCCAACGGAGCTGCAGATGAAAGTTCTTGAGCATACGGACCTTCTTCCTAGCACTGAAATTATTGGTCAAGGTCTCAAATGGCATCCATACACGCAGGGCTTCTTCCCCCTTACTTGCATGAATTTTTGTTGTGCATTGCAGAGGCTTTGGGGGTTCGAGACGCCTTGCAAGGCCAGAAATGTAGGAGACTCGTCGTCTCAATATTGCTGGAGTGTTCCAAAGGCTCTTTTTCAGACCTCTAAGAGCATGAAAGAGCAGGCTCGGCTAATTTTCTATCGGAACAATCACTTTGCATTTGATATCTACTATTTGCGTCCCTTTGAAATGAACTCCGATGGTACGCCGAGTCTTCTGGAGCCGTTTCCCCCAGATTGTCTCCAGCACTTACGTTCAATCCAATGGAACTTTCCCAATAACATGGCGGTTGAAGAATTCCAGCCTCCTCTAGAACAAACGATTAAACTGGTCCAGACGGTGGAGTATCTACGGGAACGCACAAAAATCTCCAACCTCACCTTGACTCTGAATTTCCGTCAATACCAACGTGTAACACGGACGCCAGTGGACTTAAATCGCCAATATGCGCTTGCAAAACACATGGCTGAGACCATTGCACCTTACGTGAGCGAGCTCAAAGACTTTTTCGTTCATATTGACTGGCCTAGTTTTGATGCTGATCAAATAAAGTCGATGGAGCAAACCCTCGAGAAGACTGTTAAAGGTGAAACGTACGATAGCGAGGAACGGGGGAAGCGTTTATGTGGGCCTGACTTGTTTCAGTGGTCTTTCGTCAAAGGATTCGGTCAGGGATAGATTGAGAGCGCGTGTAGATAGAAATCTCATTGAGTGAATTTCCGGTCGGCATCCCTTCGAACGAGTCATGCCCATTATCATTACTATTTGTGCTTGGATTTCATACCCGCAATGGCAGCTCTAGCTTAGAATCTAGTTACTCTATTAAGAATACGAATAGATTCTGAGGATGGTCCCGCATTCAATGTATGTAGCCTTCACAACTAGAAAACCTGACTACTATCTAGAAATAAACTCCATCGCCTACCAACCTTGACTACAGTGCGCTATATAGGATCGGGGCGCCAAAAACCTCCAACCTTATCCCATTAGTCGTACGGTAAAAGATAACTAATTAAGGTGGTAGAAAAGCGACTATTGCAAGCACTGGGGCACTATAAACCTGTGGAGATTAGCATTCCTTGCCCTGCATACTTCCCATCGCCGCGTCTATCCAACCCAGTAACCCTAATTTGAGATCAAGTTTTCGGAACATTTCTTGCACAAGCCACATTCTACATGCAATTTACTTCCTCAGAAGTACCCGCATCAATCTAGCCACACCTGGTTCCACGAATCTAGTCGATGCACATTCCAATTTCTGACAGGCTAGGAATTGTGACTGCTCCTTCTAATATACCAACACAAGTCTAGTCTCCGGTTCCAAGTTGCATGTTCAATCAAGTACCCATCCACCACGATGTAACATTCTATCGGATCTTGACAGCCGGCGCTGAATAATGTGATCTGGTGGTGACACTGTGGTACTAATGTACCCCCTTGATTGTGCGCTCCGGGGACTCGATTGACTCTTCATCGCGGCGCCTAGAGCTCTTGTCCGCTAGATGGGCCGGTGTGCGCCTAGAACCCCATGCACTTCGCCGCATGGACGTTACATCCCGTGCATAGTCAAGATGCAGAGAGTCTTTTGATCTGAAGAATTTGATCGTGTCAGATAACTGTACATGGATTGACGACCAGTGCAGTTAGACAGATATAAAGCCCTTGGATCCTCAAATGTTGACTTGGAGACAACTTCACTCTGCATACAGCACCGAGGACATACTACAACCAAAACGGTTCTTTACTGCAGCCATGATGATATTATTTCAATTGCTTTGCCTCGCCAGCATCGTTCTCTCTCACCCTACCGTCCTCGAAAACCCCGTCGATGTTCCATATGGTTCATTCGTAAGCCCTGTTCCTTCTTCAACCAGCCTCTCTCCAACTGCGACACCAACGCCGTCGTCCACCGATGCCCGCATCGGCCGTGCCATTATAGACAACCATTGCAAAATCCCCATTTATATCTGGTCTGTCGGCACAGTCACCCGTGATCCAGCAACTGTTCTCCCCGGCAACCGCTATGGTGAAACCTTCCGTGAAGACCACGAAACTGGGGGTATCGCAATTAAGATCAGTACCGATGAGAATGGCCTCTATAATAGTGCACCATTGACAGTGTTTGCATACAATATTAATGGTCAAAATGTGTGGTACGATCTGTCGGATGTCTTTGGAGATCCCTTTAAGGGTTACCCTGTTGCTCTGTCGCCGGCCGAGCCACCAATCCAGTGGGCGGGTGGGATCCCACCGGCTGGAAGTCAAGTTCGTGTGCAAGACTTGTCGGAGGATCTGGTGCTGACCTTGTGTTGAATACGGCGAAGATTTTAATCAATCATTATGCATGGATTGGAAGCAATGCTTGGGGTCGGACCGAATTGCGGGGCAACCTTAATTTTATACAAACTACAACTGAAGCGGGACATATGAAAAATGTTGACATTGTCTTTATTAACGATATATCCGTGCTGTGTAGCTGAACTTGAACTTTTAAGTACGCCTCACTATCCCACTGAGCAGGTAGAAGAGGAGAAAATCAAAAGGTGCAGTCTATTCAGAATATTAGCCCTGGTGGCCAGTCATCTCCCAGTCTGCGCACCATGTCTAGTTCCGTTTGACCGTTTAACTCCGATTGCTGGTCTCACTAAGGGGAATAGATTTAAAAGAGGGGATTTCTATTGGGCTTGACGCACAGAGCCCACGGGATACACGGGCCTATGGAGGGGTTTTCTTCCCGCTGTAACTGCCTCACGGCAGCCAATTTCTCGCCTCTGCTGGTAGCTTGTCGTCTGTCACGCATTCGAGACTCGTTTTTTCCTTCATATCTTTTCTTAAAGACAGCAGGCACTCTACATTGCGCCCGATTGACAACAATCTGACTGCCTGGGTTGATATGTAAGTAGCGGTGAGATGCTCACCCGGGCGAAAATAGGGTGCAGGGTTTTGGCGAGACGTGTCCAAAATACACCCTATGGAGGATGTCAAGGCATTCCTTTTCGCAAAATCAAGTAGTCAACTAAGTGCACTGCCTTCAAGTGTGTGTAAGTGGCGGTCAGATACGTGCACCCGGGTGGAAATAGGGTGCTAACTTTCAGCAAAGGTGGCCAATGTGCGCCTTGAAGTGGATAGCGAAGGTTAGATAGAGATGTGCGCCTGGGCGAAAGGATATACAAAGCTTTCGAGACTCACAGGTATCGTGTATCGCATAGGATAGGCAAACCGAGGACTTCAGGCTGTTTGCTTAGTTAAACGATTTTGCACTCTTATTATAACTACCCCCTTAGATCGTCTTTCTTTTATCCCAGAGACATCAAAATATCAATTTTTAGACACTATACGCCCTGATATGAACGAACCAGCCTAGAAACCCCACAATCTCAGTGACGAGAAGGTCCTTTATCAGCCCGATGATAATTCCTAACCCTCTCAACTACGAAGGAGATGAGAAATCAATGAAAAGTCTGCTCATACAGAAAGAAACAAACACAACCTGAAACAATGGCATAGTACTTTGAATAACCACGAAAACCCACACATCCCTAGTTCAATCTATGAATTTTGCGCATGTGTTGCTCAAGGTTGTCCGCCCGATTAAAGACCTTCTCACAGTTTGCCATTTGGCATGGATGTGCCTGTGGAGCTATGTGGATTTTACGGAGATGGCGGACAAGTGAAGATTCCCTCCTAAAAGAACCTTTGTACCGGCAGCCTTTCCATTCGCACCAAAATGGCTCCGGGGTAGAAGTATCTCCTTGTAAATCGGCACTGTGTAGTCTTAGTATAATCGAATGGTCTACTTTAGGGACTGGAAGTGGCTTGACAGTGACTTACCCATGAGGTTGGTCATTCTTTTGAGTCAGTCGGATATCTGGAGTGTTCCATGGATGATTGGTCGCCGTGTTCGCACTGTTACTAGGGACTCGCAAGGATGAATCTGGGTGAAAGGGTTCACGTTGTATCGAATTATTCATAGTGGTAAAGGTAGCCTCGTTTTGATCTGCATGGTGGGCAGAAGGTGAACCGCCAAGGTTCCCATAAAAGGGCGCATGGAACTGTTTCCATGGAGCCTCATTTTCGCGTTGGTGGCGGATGCAAGGTGAAATGGCAAGGCTCAATTGTGAACCTTCCAGGTGCATTTCCGGCAGTGCAGCATCTCTGCCATTGGATACGGGGTACGAGGCGGAAGATACACCAACAGGGCTTAGTCGTACCCCTGTAGATGCGGCCCAGCTGGGTTGCCGGCCTGAGTTCTGCTGAGGAGTGTCTACCAGGTCGTACTCGTGGGTATGGTCCGCTTCCAATCCAGTTGAGTCAATGGACCATGCCATAGTGTGACAAGGCACCGCGTGTTTCGAAGACTGAAAAGTAAGGGTTGATAAAGGCGATACTTGATTGAAGTGATACAGAGGAATACTTAGAGAAAGAGTGCATTCTGTCCGGGGCAGGGAAGCGACTTTATATTCCATATACTAGGCGTTATTCCCACTCCGGTCTACAAAGAGCCTTGTTGTGCATAGGTGATGAGGTTGGGATGAATCATGCCAGGTGCCTTGTCACGTCCCTGGAGGTAGTGGAGCCCGCCACGGCGTGAAATTTGTGAATTGGCCAGTGAGAGAGGATCTATGGGGTATCGGGGCCTGGATCAACTCCTCAATCTAGCGTCTCTATCTTATGCTTGATTGCACCCCAGTGATCAGCCAGTGAAGATCCCAGGATCTGAGGTCCAACATCTACATGACTGGTCGTCTGGCACCTAATTTGAACCCTGTCCGTGAATTTTGCGAAGGGGCCAATGAGAGATAGCGCCTAGCGTGGCAGAGTCGGGGTCAGCCAGACTGTGCTTTGCCTTTAAGATGGACCTTTCTTGCTATGAAGCCCCAACTTACCAAGTTCTCACCACGGGCGCTATCTACCACTTCGAATCATGGCTGACCCGGAATGGGATGCCTTCAGGCCAGAAATTGAGCGGCTTTATGTTTACGAGAGCAAACCTCTATCCGCTGTCCTGGAGTACATGGAAAATAAGTACTCTATGGTGACCTCGTAAGTCTTATAAGTCGCAACGAATGATCAAGATACCCAACTTACAAATTGTAGCCGCGCAAAATTGAACAGGATGCTCACCGCCTGGGGAATTGAAAAGAGCCTTACCACTCGCCCGGAGGAATGGCCTTATATTGGGAGAAAAATCTTGAAAAGAAAGCGGGATGATGAAAAAGAAAGTGAAATTCATATTCGAGGAGAGCAAGTTCAGCCTGAAAAGGTCAAGAAGAAAATGTACAGGGAAGCCTATGTGCCAACAAGGGACTTGATTTCCAACGGTGAGATATGAATCTACTCTCTTCAAGACAGTGAACTAATTGATCTAAAGTGCCGTCACCGCAAACCCCAGAGGGTGTTCTAGTATGGACCCCAGCATCACCAGGAATGCGTCTCAACTGGGATAGGTCTCTTCCTTGGCTGCGATTCCTCCAGCTCCTACAACCTCCACGCAGGCAAGGTATCACCGGCAACCACTATCTTTTATTTGAATATTGCTGACATTGTAAAAAGGTCCAAACACGCCCTCGCCCCTCGCTGTATCCTCTCCTTCATTGTCATTTCCTACTCCATCTCCATCTTCGTCTCTTGCTATATCCTCACCCGGAAAGTCCTATGCAATGTATCGAGCCGTCAACAGGGAGTTGCTCCAGCGATTAAGCTCCATCATACCCTGGGGAAGACTGAACAGCCCTCCAACCATACAAAGCAGTTCCAAAACAGCTGCTGCATTAACAATTCTGATGCCTGAGGAGTTCAAAGGTGACCATCAGAGTTTGTCGTCGAGATTGAGCAGCTCTAGGAACAGCGGAAAAGATCTTCTGGCCGTGGAACTTTTCCTTCTCTCCAACAACCTGTTCCCCAATGACCCTGAAGGGCGATCAACATGGGGAATGGAATCCGAAGATATGCGAGTGATGAAAATGCTTAAGGATTCTGGCTGGAGTGATGCAAAACATCTCAGACTCTTGTTATCAATGCAGGAGCCATCAGCCGAAGCTATTGCGGAGAAGGTCTTCGCAAGTTCACTGCGACTTCTAGATTTGGAGACAGTGAAAATTATGCTCGAGGCTCAGATGGATCCAAATGGAAAGATTGAAACAGTCGAGGACGGCATGTTAACGCCACTGCAATTTGCCGCAAGTCTTGATGATGACGACGATGGTGCTAAATTGATTGACTTGTTGGTAGCCCATGGAGCCAGCGTGAATTCATCTATCGATGAATATACCCCATTGTTTTATGCAATTCGTCCTCACAACACTGAATGCATGGATAAGCTTTTACGGCAGCGCGCTGTGGTAACGCCACCATGCCTTTCTGCCGCAACGATGTTAGATAACTTCGAAGCTTTCAAAGAGATAGTCGATTCTTGCCCCGATGTGAATGGACGATCAGGATTGCAGGGCCATAGTGCTCTTGCAGAGGCCGTGAAGATTGGTGATGTCTCGATGATTCAGCTTCTGCTAGGGAAAGGTGCGAAGATGAATGAGCTAGTCGCTATCGAATTCGAACAAGATACTGCTACTACAACAATATTGGGACTTGGCGTGCAAACCCAGACTCTTGAAGTCATACAATCATTACTGGGCCACGACGTTGCTATCAGCCCTGAATTCAATGACTTTCCCTTCATCTCCCCCCTTACATTGGCTGTTGAGAGGGGAAGGTCTGATATCGTCATGTCCTTGCTGCAGGAGGGAATGGATGTGAATGCTCTTGATGCGGGATCAGACAAGACTCTACTTGAAAGAGCAGCTAAGAAGAAAAGTCTTGCTCTTTGTGAAGCTTTGATGGCCAACGGAGCCAAGCTTGACGATGAAAATTCCAGTTCCGCAGCCGAGTCCTCGGCACTTCTTGTTGCTTTGATGGATGGTTCGACGGATATCGTTGCGCTCTTCATTGCCGCACATGCGCGTCTCAATGATCAATACACGAAGCCTCCTGGTTCTGTTCTTGGCGCAGCCATTGAAATGGGAGATATGGAATTAATTCGCATGCTGATAACAGCCGGTGCTCGAATGATTGGGGCGATGATCCGGAAGATAGGAGATCTAGAAACTGCACAGTTTCTACAGGGAGTGGGAGTTCTGCAAAACTTATTACTCATTTCTGGAAGCAGGATTTTGGCCGCTGCTATCACCGATCGCCAACTCAACTTGGCCCAATATCTGCTTGATCATGATGCTGGTCTTGGAGACCAAGTCGGGAAAGAAGACGATTCTTCTGAGGAGCAAAGTCCATTAGAGGCTGCGATAGAGCAAGGAAATTTACGATTCGCGGAAACTCTCTTGGATCGGGGCGCCAAGGTCACGGATGGTGTTCTAGCAGGCGCTGTGAGATCGTCATATTGTGATTCCATGTTCCAGCGACGTCTCCTGGCTGGTTTTCATGGAAGCGCTCCAAGTGCTATAGGAACTGCAATCCTTTTTCTTCAGCCGCTGGATCTGTTCCAAGAGGCAAATATCGACCCCAGAGGTACACCGATACTCAAAACCTCTTATTCTGAGCTGGAGGGATCTGATTTTGAAATTCCATCTGCGAAGTCTGTCCTTGAGCTTGGGGTCATAATGGGAAACAAGGAGGAGTTGCTCTCTCTACTTGAATGGATTCCCTGGAGTGCAAGTCTTGTTGGGCGCGCTCTGATACTCGCCATTCTTATTAAAGAGCAAAATCTGTTGGGTATTCTGATGAAATTCCGCCCTGACGTTGCCGAAGAGATCACGATTGCTACCATTATCCATGGTGTCGACGATTCTGAGACAATCACTAGAAACGAAGGCACCTATACCCCGCTTCAAGCTGCAGTCAAGCACCAGTATATCGAAGTTGCGACTGAATTAGCAAAGAGCGCGGATGTCAATTTCTTGGGAAACGGCGCACGTCGCCGAACACCTTTGCAACATGCCGTTGAGAACGGCAATATGGAGCTTGTCAATATGCTTTTGAAGCGTGGAGCTCGAGTCGATGGTGCTCCTGCCGAGGATGGTGGCGCAACCGCTTTGCAGATTGCATCCCTTCGTGGATATATCGGCATTGCACAGAGAATGCTTGATTTAGGTGCGGATGTCAATGAAGCCCCTGCGAAGCGCAATGGGCGAACAGCTTTGCAAGGTGCGGCCGAATACGGTCGCATTGATATGCTGCACATGCTTCTTGATAAAGGGCCGTCGGTTGTCGGGGATGCTGAGCGCCACTATCTCAAAGCTGTAGAGCTCGCAGAGGGGAACGGGCATATGGCCGCTGCGAAAATTCTCAAGCATTTCCGGAGCACTGTTGAGCCGAGCCCATCTTAAGCCCTGAGATAGAGGTATATATAAGGTAGATTGAAAATTTCAGCAAGTGTATCATTCCATTCTCACAATGGCGCCTTCATCTCATGATGTTCATAGCCGAGGCCCTTCGGTGCTGTAGAGTCGCTATATCTCGTTGAATACAACAATGGATGAAGTTCTATAATTAAGAATGAAGAAAATACAGACGTTACTTACAACCCCTTTTTCAGAGTAGATAATTTGTTTCACTTCAAGATTGGCTTCCAGTACATACGACCAAGATGTTAACAAAATTCGATATATATCTCTACCCTAAGTGCTAATATGTGCTCTTAGTACTTGGGTTAATATAAGAAAGCATTTTATTTCAATACTAGGGCAGCTGATTGCAAAGATTCTCCAAATTGGGGACACTTTTGGGTATTCCTCGGAGTTGATGTCATTTTCAGTTGGATGGACAAACGGACCTCGGCTGAAGACGCGTGGAGTCCCCGCAAGCAACAAATTCGGTAATATAGCCAACAGCGGCGATTTAAACACAACGATCTGATTGAATTAATTCTAATTTGGAGTTACGATCTCGATCCACACTACTGATTCTCCAAAATTAACCCATGTAGCTCATTTCGCAGCCCATTAGGTGTCTTAATCATCAAAGGCCTCCAAATCTCGGCCAGAAGGCCGACTCGGCACAACCCACGAATCCCCGCATTTTCTCCATTTCCCCAACTCCCACATTCCACAACCTCACCGTCCAACTGTGCTTTCCCTTTATCAACCGCCCTCTCCCCTCCTATTCTCCTGTATATCTTTCAGAAATATAGTCGGCAGCAAATATGACCGCGCCAGCAGTTCGAGTGGCCCGTACGGCCGCCACCCGTGCCCGCAGCCTCCTGGCAACGGTGCAATACACTCACCCACCAAACTGTCCCTGTCATTCGAATCCCAATCATCACCATCACCATAAGACCCCCTCGTTGATGAACCATGTGCGGCGACACCTGGCGACACCGACGGATCCTTCGCGCGAGAAGGAGTATGCCTTTGAGATGGCGGCCTCGAGTATCCGATTTGGCCCCGGATCCACCAAAGAAGTTGGCATGGACTTTAAGAATATGGGAGCTAAGCGCGTGTGCATTGTGACCGATTCCACTGTCGCCAAGCTGGATGCTATGAAGCAGGCTGTCGAGGGATTGACCCGCGAGGGTATTGAGTTTACCATCTATGATAAGGTCCGCGTGGAGCCGAAGGATAGCTCTGTCAAGGATGCGATTGCATTCGCCAAGCCGTATAACCCGGATGCCTTCCTTGCCGTTGGTATGGATTCATTCGCTACTTTGTGAGAATTTAATTGGAACCGGTCAAGCTAACATGGTTCTCTCAGGTGGTGGCTCCGTTATCGATACGGCCAAACTGATGAATCTATACACCGTCTACCCAGAAGCCGATTTCCTGGACTTCGTCAACGCCCCATTGGGCAAGGGTCTCCCCGTCGCAAAGCAGCTTCTTCCCCTCGTCGCCGTTCCCACGACAGCAGGTACTGGTTCAGAAACCACCGGAACCGCCATCTTCGACCTGGTGTCCAAAAAGGCCAAGACGGGCATTGCCCACCGCAATCTGAAGCCCACTCTGGGTATCTGTGATCCACTCAACACTCGAACCATGCCGTCCGCCGTACACGCATCTTCCGGTCTTGATGTGCTCTGCCACTCTCTCGAATCCTGGACCGCAATCCCTTACAACGAGCGCACTCCTCGCCCCACAAACCCAATTAACCGACCTGCCTATCAAGGCGCAAACCCCATCTCCGATATCTTCTCCCTGCAAGCGCTGCGAAGCACGGTCAAGTACCTGCCCCGCGCTGTGCGCGATCCTGATGACCATGAGGCTCAGTCGAACATGCTTCTCGCTGCCACACTGGCCGGTGTTGGTTTCGGCAACGCAGGCGTCCACCTTTGCCACGGCATGAGCTACCCTATCTCGAGTCAGAACCCAGGCTACAAACACGCCGGCTACAACGTCGACCACCCAATTATCCCCCACGGCGTGTCAGTCGCCGTCACTGCGCCCGCCGTCTTCCGCTTCACCGCAGCCTCCAACCCGGACCGGCATTTGGCGGCCGCAGAGGCATTCGGAGTTGATATTTCGAATGTCAAGCGTGAGAGCGCCGGAGAAGTACTGGGTGAAGCCATTTCGGATTTCCTGATCAAGCTGGGAGATCAGCCGCGTGGATTGAAGGATTTGGGCTTTAAGGCGTCGGATGTGGATGGGTTGGTTGAGGGAACAATTCCGCAGAAGAGAGTTTTGATGCTCGCGCCGAATTTGAGTGAGGAGTTGGAGGCGGAGAAGGGCGAGTTGAGGAAATTGTTGGAGGAGTCATTGGAGTATTAAATATGAGATGTGGAATTATGGTTCTGAGTCTTAGGACTTGGGACGTGGTCTAAAACACCTACAAATTTGGCATCGACATTCAAGGAAAAGAGGAGTGGTGGGATTTCAAATCCGAACTGGTTGTATATATACATATTTGTGCAAATGAAGAAATTGGATATCTCAAAGTTCACTATGCGTATGAGGTGCATAGCGGTAGACAGAAGTGAATAAGTGGAAAGTGGAAGGGATTCAGATCCTAGAGACCTGCTAGGACGGTATAGGCGTGGGACGAAAACAATTCAATGCAAGAAATGAACATCAATCAACTGAGGGTAGATGCTTCAGGTGTCGTTTCCTCTTCGACATATCCAACAATCGAAGTCTCATCGATAATTCTCGTACCCAGCATGCCCATAGATGAAGCAACGCGATCTAGCCAAATCACCGCACGAGGATCATCCCGATCAGACGTTTGAGACGGACCCCTTCCAAGCTCTGAGTATATGCGAAACGGTAAGGTAAATGTCTTCGACCCGGTCGGCAACGAGGTAGGAGATTGAGAAGCCGTGCTTCCTTCGCTGGGCGGCGTCTCTGCGACAGACTCGGGCGAGAGCTCTTCAATCACACGACAGCGGAGCTTGTCTTCAAGACGCTCCCGTAACTGACCGAGCGTTCCAAGGATATTCTCCGCACCACGGAGGAGAAGCGATGGTCCCGTTTCAGGGAAGATCTCGGGGACCGGACCGATGAATGTGCCCGGACGACAAACGATACTTTGTTGACGCTGGCCGTGGGCACTGATACAGAAACGCAGCTCCGTGGTCAGTTTATGTAGTTTGATGGTCGTTTCTTGGATTCGTCGTAGAAGAGCCTCGACGGTATCTCGTTCGGCACTTGTTTGGCCAGACAAGATTTCTCGAGTCTCGCTGATATACCTCGGACACTTTGCGATCTCCATAAAGACCTTATCCGAGATAAAGGCGTACGCAGACCATTCCCCAGGTTTCTGAGCATCTTCAGTCATAATTCGCATTGTGTACCGTTGCCATTCCTCTTGATCCAGAAAACAAGGTTTCCCTTGGTACACGGCCGTCGCGATATGGAATCCCCGAAATGCGATCCAGCATGATCGCCCAAAGCCTGATTCATGCTGCGCTGGACCACGACTTTCCATGAGCCGTCTTACGGCGTCGGAATGCACGACCCATGCATCATGACTTGTTCGGGCATACATTTCGTATACGCTCAGCATCATAGCCGTGCAGACCATGTTATCTGACAATGCATGCTCATTCTTTGATAGAGCACGAATCACCTCGCTCAGCGAAAGTCCGTACATGCGCCGGCTCGTGCGAAGCAGCACCGGATCTTGGGTTAAATGCGCCAAGTAAACGGAGCTTAAGCAGCAGATAGCGGTATCTAGGTATGCATCTTGGCCGAAGTTCAGCACAATGAACTCTGCAAATCCCGGTTCATTGCCCGCACGAAACCGGTTGTGGAAGTATAATGTTGGAAATGATGCGCTAATAAAATCCAAGAAAAGCTGTGGCTGCGCAGCCTGAAAAGTCTTCCGCACCAGCGACGGTGACACATTCTCGTCTAACGTGACCGTTGACGAGTGCCGACGCATCAATGCAATGGCATTGGCGCGTACAACGGCCGCGGCACCACCGGCGGGCTCGGACTGGCCGAATGGCTCGATTTGCGGCGTGGTTGTGCCCGGAGTGCTGGGGGTGCTGGGGCCCGTTGAGGCCCCGCGGCCTCGCCCGCGGGTGGTGGAGCGATGACGGCGTTTTAGACTTGGACCCTCGTCTTGGAAGCGAAAGGTACGTCGGTATCCTGGACAAGTGCGGCCATAGCGTTGGCATTGGGTGCATTCGGGGACTGCTTCGTCGCACTTGGTATTGCGTTAGCAGGAGAGTTGGATTTTCCGAAAGATGAAAGGTGTCTCCATTGTCGGGGCAGTCCTAGCCGAGAAGGTCGGCTTTTGACTCACTTTGATATGTCTTTCGCGACAAAGTGCACAACCAGTACTGTGTGGGACCCCCACCATGATGCGCGATAGCAAGGAATCAATAGTTCATGATGCTCGCGCAGGAGGGGGTAGCAGGGAAGTCTATGGCATCGCCAGCACAGCAGGTTCGCGTCTTTAAATAAAGTGTCTGCGGGGGGATGATGCGTTTTCGGTTCGTCAGAGTCAGTCGGGGCAGACTAGACAAAATAGAAGTCCAGCCCGGAGAGAATAGAACAGAATAATCTCCAAGATCAAAAGATCAAGAGCTGAAAGGCGCGACCTCGAGAGATGCGACAAAAATAACCAGGGAACGAGCGTCCGATGAATAGGGAAGACAGGGCCCTAGTAAGCCCGAGCTAAGATCGAAAGAGTTGGACCTTTCAGTTTCAAGACCTCCCACGTCTACTGCGTCAAAGGTCCAGGACTCAAGAACCCTGTCCGGAGTGCCAACCGACAGGGCCTAGTGGAAATGAGGAGATGAGGCCCAAGTCGCGCCAAGTGACGCGGCGTAAGAAGAGTCCCACCGTAAGCCGTTAGAGCGGGCAAGGGTCCTAGTCACGGAGGGAGTGGGTTCGTGAGTCCATGCTAGAATTCTCGGTAGATTAGCAACGTGTCTGTGAGCGTTTCGAGTAATCTGCACGGTGATGCAACGGGATCAGCCGTCAGGACTCAAGGGGGTAAAAGCAAAAAGAGTAAGCCCAAACCAGTATTCTTGTCTGTCGCATCCACATTCACGACATGAGGATAATCAAGAATGCCCGATCGAGGCTAGAGACTGATGAAACTCGAGATTTGGCCCCAACAGCCGCATCACTTGGCGGGTTGCCCAGGAATACGGGAGATCCGCACATCGCGATCGTATCCTCGTTCTATTTTGGGCGTAACAATCATCATCCGGGACACGAGGCGACGATCAGTGCCGTTTGATCGGGGAATTAACAATGGGGCAGAGGCTAAGTGAAGACGCTAAGAAGGAAAGAGTTTGGCTTGCAAGAAACTGTCGAGTTACCTCGAGGATAAGCGTTCGTATAAGAAAGTCTGGGACCCGCAATAGGGAATGTTCATGCTAAAATAGACACAGAAACCAGGAGGCTCTGCTTGATGCAGAAAATTCATCTTGGCTGGAGTTCCTCTTCCTGGAATTCATTTACTACCGACATGTTTATTCTGATCCCTTCAGACGGTCTAGAAGGTCTTTGCTGAATTGTCGCCCCCAAATTGCTATTTCTATATTCCGTCGGTAAGACCGTCTACGGCGGACGATAGAGGGGACTTCCCCAAAACCCTTAGCGATTTTCAAACCGGCAGAATCTCCATTTCAGCCATTCTTTATCCCATATAGAAAAGCGATTTTTAATACGGCACGTGCCCAGGCGCACTAGCCAAACAGGTTAAAAAGACCAAATATGCTAGAACGCTATGTTCTACCATGCCTGGGACCGATATAAGTAGCACACAACGTTAGGCCTAGGGGGACGAGGCCTAGGTCCTCACAATTTTACCACAGGAAACTAATTAAATCAACAAAATAATAAGATTACTTAAGCTGAAATTTAAATATAATCTATAGTTAACCTTATAGCTAATCGTAGACTAATCTAAAGACCAATCTCAAGACCTAGGAGATTAGCTATAGATAACGCTTTAGTAACGAGCTACCTAGGTAAAGGGATTTTGGGATATTCGGGTAGAGCGTATAGGACGGTGGAAGAAGCGGTTAAGGCACTTGAATAGGATTTATAGACTGCGAGTTCAGTTTATCCCGCGAGTTGGAATACAGTCCATTATTTATCTTGATTGCAACATTCCAAAATTCTAATATAAACAACTATGGACTCTTGAATCAAAATTTAGTGCTCTTTATTGACACTCATCTCTAGGCCCATGGACAATTCTATCACCACATGTATCGAGACTCGGAGTGGACTCGTAATGGGCAGCACTGACATGCGGAATTGATAGATCGTCCGATATACACAGCACATTCATGAAATTCAAGGAAGAATAGAACAGTTTTATCAAATTCTCAGTAAGTTCATCTCATTTTTTAGTGCAATGAACTCGGATGTTTCAGTCATATTGCAATATTTTAGCAAGATTCGTCCCCGAACTAACATTCTTATACTTCTAGGCCGGAACCAAAAGCGAATTGCTATTTCTAGATCAATATCAAGCTCGCTTTCGGTCCACAATTCTTCTCCTGACATTGCTCCGCCGATTCACAGTAGCCTGCAACATGGAAATTTAGGCACTCCCGGGTAGAACAGAGCATTTCAGGCTCCTCAAGGCCAACTTTCGCAGGCGCTCTCGCCTGGCAGAATTGGTGACTGGTAGGTAGCCAGATATGACTAGAACACCCTCGTACGTGGTCATATTCAGATAGCACTTCTTCATATGTAGCAAGATTGGTGGATACAGGGACTCGAAACTGATCGTGGTTACGGTCGAACCAAATGGCGTCGTAGAAACTAGCAGATTACTCATCTGATGACAAAAAGGTGTAGTCCTTCATACGAATAGATGTACAAGAATGCAACGAGAATGGAATAGTTGAGGCATGAAACAGAAATTCCTTCAAGTGACAGTCAATTTGAGAGAAGCCCGATTATGCTTTGGGCACTGAAAAGTGTGAGGGTACCTAAGAAACTAATTTAGTTGGGGGTATACTTAGCAATATAATCGACTAACAAGATATAGTGGAGACGGTTTCCAATATTACATTCACTTCAACTATGGCCTATCTTCATTCTATTGTAGCTCCCCTCTGATTATTCCCTTCAAAGGTAATACGAAATGCTTTTTCCTGAAGCCGAAACCGCAGGTCGAAGTCTCCAATCAACAGCGCCACTGGTACTACCCCGCGTTTTTGTGTCGCCGCAGATGACGGACTAGCTACCTCCGGGGTAGAAGTAACTCCATTAGGAGTCCTAGAATGTACCTTTGAAGGTCTTTGAAGGCATGTTATTGGGTCGATGTCGATGCGCTTTATTTGCGCTACCTGAACAACTGCGAGATCGCTGGGCGCGCCTGCCGCGAAGAAACAAAGCCGCTGCTCCTGTCCTGTCCAGCTTCGGACTCTCTTCCTTTCCCATTTAAATCTCCCCTCTTCGGCTACAATTGACCTTCACTGATCTCATTTTGATGTGAATCATTGAATTGGTGCCTCCTACAACGCTTTTTGCAACATGCCGCTCTTCAAAGAAGCTCCTCCAAAGGTCCTCGTGCCTGAGAAGCTGTCCGCCGATGGTCTGGCTCTACTACGGGGCTCGCTCGATGTCGACGAGCGCAAGGGTCTGACTCCAGAGCAGCTACTGGAGATCATTCCAAACTACGATGCCCTCCTCGTTCGTTCCGAGACAAAAGTCACTGCGACCGTGCTGCAGGCAGCTCGGCGCCTGAAGGTGGTCGCTCGTGCTGGCGTTGGGGTAGACAATGTTGGTCAGTAGCCTACCAGACCAGCTTCTGCAAGCATAGAGAGCTGCTACTAACCTGGTGATCATAGATGTCCAAGAGGCCACCAAGTTGGGCATTGTCGTGGTCAATTCACCTTCTGGCAACATCGGGGCTGCAGCTGAACACACCATTGCGTTGATGATGTCGATGGCACGAAAGATTCCTGAAGGCTGCGCCAGCCTCAAAGATGGGAAATGGGAGCGTAGCAATTTCGTCGGTGTCGAAGTCAAGGGAAAGGTTCTAGGAATTATTGGACTTGGCAAGGGTAAGTCGCTTCAGCCCTATTGAATACGAAGCTCTCTAACAATTCCTCCAAGTGGGCTTGACGGTAGCTCGTCTGGCAAAGGGCCTCGGTATGACCGTCAATGCATTAGATCCCTATGCGTCACCGGCTGTGGCAGCTTCGGCCTCTGTGACTCTGGTCACCTCCCTGCCAGAGCTTCTAAAATCGGCCGATTTCCTCACGATCCACACTCCGCTGATTGCATCGACTCGTGGAATGATCGGCGAAGCAGAATTAGCCCAAATGAAGCCAGGTTCTCGGATCTTGAATGTGGCTCGTGGCGGCACCATCGATGAAGCTGCTCTACTTGCGTCGCTGGAGTCTGGACATCTAGCCGGCGCAGCCGTTGATGTCTTTACTTCCGAGCCACCGACTGCCGATTCCACGGCGACGAAGCTGATTGCTCATCCCAGAGCAGTTGTCACTCCACACCTCGGTGCGTCCACTGTGGAAGCCCAAGAAAATGTTTCCGTCGATGTATGCGAGCAAGTTCTGGATATTCTGAAGGGATCTCTGCCTCGAAGCGCTGTGAATGCACCTCTCATTCTCCCCGAAGAGTACCAAAAGCTACAGCCATTCGTGCGCCTCGTCGAGAAAATTGGCAGTCTATATACTCAGCACTATGCTGCACTTCCTGGGGGATCTATGGCTCGAAACACATTCGACTTGATCTACCAAGGCGAAGTTGCCAGCATCAACAACACAAAGCCACTGTTCGCTGCTCTCATCAAGGGCCTCCTGGCCCCCATTAGTGGCTCCGAGGGAATCAACATTAACATTGTGAACGCCGAACTCGTTGCTCGTGAGCGTGGCATTTTCGTCAACGAGCAGCACTCTCGTGATCCAGCTGATACTTCGTCATACTCATCGCTCGTCACGCTTGTGGCACGTCCACCATCTCGAGCTTCATCCCGTGCACCTGGCCCTGTTGACTCTGGTGCCGGTCCTCAGCTAGCAGCCCAGCGCATTATCTCCGGTACTTGCTCCGGTGACCAGCCGCTGATTACCCGACTGGGCCGATTCGAAGCATCATTCGAGCCCGAGGGTACTCTTCTCATCTGCGAGAACTATGACTCGCCCGGCAAGATTGGCGTCGTGGGTAGTCTTCTCGGCCAAGAGGGAGTCAACATCAATTTCATGACTGTGTCACCTGTCTCACCAAAGCTGGCAACTGGTAATGACCAGACCGAGAGCATCATCCCCAGCAAAGACGGCAGCGCAGACATCAGGCCCAAGGAAGATGTGATTGGTTCTAAAGAGGCCCTCATGATTCTGGGTATTGATCGTGGTGTGTCGGCGCAGGTTACAGAGGGCCTGGTTAGAGAGGGCGGTGTTTTGAGTGCATGTGCTGTTACACTTTGAGGTGTTTTGGTTGACACTGGGAGATGGGCTGGTGTTTACTGGGGCAGCTCAACGTCTCATTGCGTTCGTTTCGTCATTGCTGCCTTTCAACTATGGTAGTGCTTTGCTGGAGTTCTGATATAATTACAAGACAATTGAGTTTATGACCTGCTTTTATACCTAAATAAGTGAATGGGATATCGGCACTCAATACAGTCAATACAAACCAGTGAACCATTCAAGCACGAGGGCAACCAAGTTGCCTCTTTCCATCCCACCTAGTGTTCAGGTTCTTTACAAGCATAACAGATCAACTGACCAATGTTGAAGGTAATTCATCTACGGAATTATATCATAGCTATATCGTTCACAGAAAAGCATCATATTCAAATTGTTCTTCATATATCATCCACGCAAATAAGCTAGATAATGCACCCAAACTCCAATGCAATGCCCAGAAAATGAAACACACCCATATTCCTTAGGAACGGTATCCAAACCCCAGAAGAAAGAATCAACGCCAGGGTATCGCCAAAAAATCAAAACATCGAACTCCGCTTTTTATCCAACCGATTCCTCTGCTTCTCCCCACCTTCTTCCTTATTCCGCATAAATCCAAAGAAACTGCTCTTCTTAGGGGCCAGGGTTTGCTGTGACTGTTGCTGTGGCCGTGCTCCAGGTGCTAGACCTCCACTTGCTGCTTGGTAAAAGCCCACCGTTGACTGTGGTCGTGCTTGCTGTGGCTTCGACTGCATAAGGTGCGTTGTAGATTGCGCGCGTGGATCGAGACGAACCCCCGCGGAGCCGTGCATGTATGGACCACCAGCGAAGGTAGGCACCACGTTTGATGGGCGTGTTTGGTGGGGTGGTCGGGGTTGAGGTTGAGGTTGAGGTTGAGGTTGTTGGGGTGGCATATAGGAATGGGATTGCGAGTAGTGGTGCGAGTACGGCCTTGATGGTCCTGTGTGGCGGGGTGGAAGGTTTGGGCGTGATGAAGGGGTGGGAACGGGTGTATGTGCGTTGACGTTTGCCTGTGCGCTAGCCCGGACTTGCTGTTCCTCTTGGCCGTATAGCTTCTGTAGACGTTTTGTTTCAGCGTCGATTTCGGATTGGCGTTTGCGTTGGGCTTTTTCTTGGGCGCGTTTCTCGGCTGCGAGGAGTTCGGCTGTACGTTGGGCTTCTTTCTTTGCTTGGGCGTCTTGGCGCGGGTGTGCTTGTGGTTGTGGTTGTGGCTGTGGCTGTGGTTTTGGCACTGATTGTTGGGTTTGCGGGATGGTCAGGCGTGGTGGAGAGGGTCTGCCATTTGCAACGGCGACGGCTGGAGGTTGTGACTGGGTTGCTGGGCTTTTTCGGCCTGGGGCGACTCCAGCCGGTGGTTTGCTAGTGCCGATTGGAGGGGCACCGGCGACGATGTGGAAGGCTTCCTTGGCGAGGCCGAAGAAGATATCCCGAATAGCAACTGCTGCAAGCAAGAGGACGACCTCTAGACCCTTGAAGTCCTCCATTTCCACCCTGTAGAGGTTCGGCTCGTAGAGTGTTAGCTCGCGGAGACCTTGGAACAGCGCCACAGTGATATCTGGTTCCCGAGTCTTGGTGCGAGTCTCTGGGATTGTAGAGGATTTGCCGTGCAAAAGACAAGACAGGTCCTTGGAAAGCTTTCCATCCTTGCGCCAGCTGAACCGCAGCTTTGGGGTTATATCCGCCGCGGCGGGGTCACTCTGTGTCTGATCGAGGGTCGACGTAGAGGGAACTCTGAATGTACGCTGGGGCATCTCGAATTCCCATCGTGCGGGCTTGTTCCAGGACTTTGGCTGGTGTTTGATCACGATCTGCTGGTCCGGATTGTAGAGGTGGATGGAGAATTCGGTGGGGAGAATGGGCTCCGGGGGAGGTACAGTGCCACCATTCGCACGAATCGTATCAGCCGACAGACTGGGCTGTGTCCATTCGGGAATCACGGCGACTTCGCCGTACACGACGTCCGGGACGTAGGGATCGTAGAGGGCGACGCCATAGCGGTTCCGCGAGGTGGGGAGGTTGGGGTCCAAGTAGCGCAGGTTATAGGCAGGTTCGGGCTCATTTCCATGCTGACGGTGGTAGATTGTACTCTGGTTGGTGGATTGTGAGTTGTTCTTGAGGAAGAACGCTAGAGGAGGATAAAGAAATTAGCGATCGGAGTGCGCAAAGGAGCCTCAAGAATGGAGGGGAGGGAGGCAATGACGTCGTCAGGACAGGAACAGGGGCAGAGCCAGAGAACCAACACTCAGGGAAGGCTTACTCGGTAGATTCTCATCAATCATTTTCAACCCTTCGACTGCGTTCTCGATGGGGAGAGGGAGCACTGGGGATTATATTGAAGAAGACCGAGTCTGGACAAGACCCAAGCTGGTCAACCCTGCGCCACGGGATGCGCGATCGGCGCCTAAAAATAGGGTGCCCAGTGTCCACTCATTTATTAATCGCACCCTCGTTTCCAAGGCCCTTTTAGGTTACCTATTCGTAGACTAATTAACTAGTGGCTAACAAAGAAGCTACTGTCAGTGAAGGCACCAAGATTCCGGGGAGTATCCACTTGCATGGCTATGCTGAATATTTCTACAATACCGTCCTATACCCTTGATTCCTCTCTGATTTGTTACGTAGACCATGTCAATGCAGAATTGCAGGTACCCGAAATCTCGCTGCCTACTAAATGATCATTCTCGAGTAAATCCATTTCAATCTGGGCCCCTTACCTGCATTTGAATCCACCGAGATCCGTTCTCGACAGCTATGTGATTCGCTAGATATGTTTGTTCAAACCAGGCAGTCCTAGATTCAAATTATTCCCGGCATATAGTCCCAGTTAGCATCTGTAACAACAAAAGAATGAGGAATATTCTTGGAACTTACTTGCGTTTTGTGGGTTCCTAAGCCACCATCCTGGCCCCGCGCCTCCGCCACGAAAGACTGTAATGCACTCGAAACTCTGGTGTTGAAGAAGAGAAAGGTTTCCTATTTGCGTCAGCCACCACGAGAGGGAAATGGGCGCGAACTTACCTGCACATTTAACAGACTGGATTCGAGTTTCGAGAAACCTAAAAAGAACGAATCTATTAGCTTGAAGCGTGATGAGGGGAAGACTTACCTGGGTCAAGGTGGCGCAACGTACGCGGGTCCATGGATCCTGTTTGTTAGAAGTCTCAACTAAACTCAATTCATTAGCTATGACACATCGGGGAGAGTGACTTACCTGTACGAATACTCGCAAGTACAGCAAGATTGTAGAGAGTACCTAAAGGCTGTGGTTAGCATAGACGGGTCGGGGAGAATGACTGACCTTGCAGATTATCGAGCAATAAAAGCCGTTTGAAAGAGATTTCTTGCGTCGCTCAAGGTGTATTAATCCTCAAGAAGATCCTAAAATATGTCAGTGATAGATTTAGGGAGCGAGGACTTACTTGAGGGATCATATACTCGGGATATTTCATCCTGTGTTTCATCGGACAATGACTCGGACTCTCTGATACTCGGTTAGTCAACCATCATATACAACGTTCAAAGAAAAGAATGAGATATGAATATAAAAATGACCTATCCTGTTATCCTTTCTTGGTCGAGACCCAAGAAAGTAGGAATGGCTTTCTGCTGCCCTTGGCAAACGTGTCTGTGTAGCTTGTAACCTAGAAGCAGCGATCAGTATCAATTGCGCGTTGGAGAAGAACTTACTGGAGAGACCATAGTAACAGCATATGTAGATCTTTGGAACCAGTTACCTAGAAGCAATCATTAGTACGAGTCTTCACTCGGGGAGGGACCTATCGCAAGGATCATGGTAAGTGGAGTGTGTGCTGCGCCTGGATGATCAGTACTCTGCAAGCAGTCATTAGTACAAGTTGTAAGGCAGCGATGGACCTACCGGATTCCGAGGAGCATTCGCTGAGTTATACAGCAAGGGACCTAGGAGCATAATCAGTTCGGATCCTCCCAGGGACCTACCTGATTGTTCATCACGAGGAATGCGGATGATATTGTACAAGGGATGCCGGAGATTGCCTAAAAGATGTCAGTAACGACCGAGAGGAGAGGACTCACCTTGAGCAATATCCTAGATCTGCTGGCTTGCATGCTCTAGTGATTGCCATTGTGGTTGTGATTATGATTGTGATTGTGCTTGTGATCTGGAAACCCAATTCTAGGGAATGATCCCCCATTATATACCCTCCCAGTCCAAGAGACCGAACAATGAGGCCCTCTACCACGAAAACCCTTTGTATAGACCCCTGTCGAGTTTGTATCATTATTGTTTAAGAGTCGATAAGAATACCCATTGTCAAGTCTTGACTGTCAAAGGCAAACCAAGGGAACATGAAGCGAGGCACAATGTCGACCCGAAGAACAGCCTTGTCGGGTCTTTGTTCGTCTACAAGCCCCAAGATCGATGTTCAAAGCGATAAGAATAGACTAACAATAGGACAGGGATCTCCTGTTAGACAGTACAAAGGTATACAATTAGATTCTGCCAAATTTGCCTCAAACACTATGTAAAGGAAGTCCATATTTAGTAACTTTTGTTCTATGTGCACCCATCAATCTAGCTGTATTTTGATCCACGCTCCATCGACGTATGTGCAATGGCTGAATCTCCAAGAGAGAATAATGAAAACAATGCCAATGTCTAATGTCCAATAATTCACCGACCAGGTTGAAAGCCCGCGTCCACTATACACGAACGCCGTCAACCTCCTTACCACCAGGAACCTTGGCGGCATCCCGCTCGGCAGTGCTCATCTGTAAGCCCTGGTCGTCCCAGCCCTGCGTGCCGAGCTTGTACAATGTCTTCTGCTGCTCACGGTCAGGCATGGGGCCGGCCTTGCCGCGCCGTTGCCGTGACTCGAGAGTTTCAGTCAGAGTGGCATTGTCACCGTCCAGAGGGTGACCCTCCAGATCCTCGTTGTGCGCCTCGTCTGTGAAGGTGTAGGTGCGGTATTCGGTGTTCACCCAGCCAGTTCCTGCCAAAATATGGCGTGTCAGTTATGTTGCTTGCTCGTGTTACTATGGTCGCCGGTTCACGTACCCTGGTACTGGCTGCTGTCCTCCCAGTCCTCGGTAAAGTAGTGCAGGAAACCACCGTGAGTGACGAGAACAATCTCCTTCTCGGGACGAGCCTTCAGCCACCGGCGCGCAGCACGCGCGCGCTGCTTAAGCGCCCGGTTCGTAGGCGCATAGCGACCTTCCTATTTGGCAATATCCTCGTCAATAATGTGCACGGTCGAGGGTCGAGTCACGAATCTCGAGGTGGAGATATCAACACACCTTGTTATTCCATCCCTTGTGCACAAGCTCCAAATCAACCGGCTTTCCCGCAAACTCCTCCTGCAGAGCCTCGGGCTCACTGCCAGTATCGCACGGCACGTCGGAGGTCTCCTGGGTGTCCGGCAGGGCAATCAGCTTCATGTCCGGGTGGGACTCGAAGACGGGCCCGAAGCTCTCGAGGGCAGTGTAGATAGTTCGGCGGAGAGGAGATGCGGTCACCAGGTCGATCTGGGTATGCTTGGGGAAAGTAGCTTGCAACTTAGCGCATTGTTCGTGGCCGAGATGTGTGAGGAGGGGATCTTGGATGACGTGGTTGGCGGTGCAAAGGTTGTGGAGGCCCTGGAAGAAGTCATGGTTAGATTGTGAAAGTATAAGATGTCGCTAGCACTTGGCTATAGATCGGTATATTCCCGTGCCTGACGGCGAAGATGGGGTCTCTTTGGCGCAATTCCTTTGTCGGGCGATCGGTATGCAATAGGCATTCCCAACGTACCTGGGCGTGGCGGACGGCGTGGATGATAGGCGCCATTGTGAATTGAGATTTTGAGATGGGAAAGAGCAGCAACACTGGGTTTGAAACCTGTTAGTTCTGTTGTCTGAAACTTCAATCTCGAGGGTCCTCGCGATGACTCTTATCGGAGAACGCGGGGCAGCGGGGGGACGCGCCGGAAACGGCGTGGAAAAAGGACAAAGAGAAACTTACAGTAGATATTATCAGGCCAGCTGTACAGGCCGAGGGCAGCTAATGGTTTTAACAGATTATATTTTGAAAGAAGAGAGGTAGCGATGAACAGCTCAGCATGAAGAGTCAGAGGCGGAGGGCAGGACTCCGCTTGTTGAATCTTTTGGGGATCGCCACTTGCCCGCGGTGCATCCAGAGCGAACCACACGGAGTCTGATTCGTCTGAGAAGTGGGTTGAACCCCACGTGGTTGGAGCTCGGTCAGTCTTATGAAAGAACTTATAAATAAGTTGACTAGAGCTGGAGACTTCGCCGGTTTGGGCGAATTCCTGTTTTACGACTTTGTGTGCTGAAATAGCCATAGCCCTCATCAAGGACTAGCATTTGTTCATTCCCGAAGAAACTAAATAACGACGAAATGGGTATGTATAGGATCAACAGCGCTGATCTGATAAAAGCCTGCTTAGGCAACGCCGAATCCTCGTGCATTTTCAAGGGCCTTGTCCAGCTTCTCAGCCAGTGCCTCCTTCGAGGAGTACTCGGGAAGCAGTAGACGACCGAAGCATGTCAGACTGGTCGGAAGGCGCTGGAAAGAAGAATGAGTAATTAGTTCAAGCCCACGAGTACTGCAAAGTTCATGAATGACAAATGCTTACCAAATCTCCAACGCCGTTCTTCTGGATCACGAACATGATGCTCGAGATACCGTTGACGGGAATTCGGTCGCTGGCGGTGACGAATTCCAGGAGCTGCGCCTTCTTATCGGGCGGATATTGCTGAACCACACTCCAAAAGTCCCGGATGACTCGGTGAGTAGGTCCGAATCCGCCCTCATAGCGAGCATGGTGCTCGAGTTCTGCCACATCAATTTCTTGGATTCCTTCCACGACGGTCTTGAGTGCTTCGGGGGTGAAGATTGATAGAGCGGAGCGATCGAGGCAAGTATAGAAGCCTCGCAGGAATGCCTCGAATTGCGGCCTAATCGACTTGTCCGTGAGCCAGAAAATGTAATCTTTGACAAACTGATTGCGATTCTCATTTGTCACGAGAGGCGCTTCGACGGTAGGAGTGATTGGCCGAATGGATGGAGCGAGATGAGATGCCCCTTCTGAGTCAATGTGGTGAGAGCCGTCCGACCGCACGGCTTCGTGATCAACGATGTCTGCACTCGTTGCTTTGGAGACAGGCCAAACTTCGTCACGACCAACCTTTTGCATGTCAACTGTCTCCACGCAGCCCGAAGACTCAAAGCTGAATTCATACGTGCGCATGAAGACATCGCCCACATCGCCATCACTCCAGGCGAGGAGGGAGTCCAGACCCTGAGTAAGCTCAGGCCAGCCGTCGCGAATATGATCAAGATGCTTGACTTTAAGTCCCAATAACTTGCGATAGAATGCCACTGGGAAGTTGATGGGAAGCGTGAGACCATTGTATACGGCTATAGACATCAGCAGCCCGAGGAGCTCAAACTTGTAAAGCGGTTCCCAAGACCAGGGTTGGAACCAGGAGACACGATGCCGGCTGTCCATCGTGAACATGCCGTAAGATGGATCCAAGGCTTCGCTCATGAGTACACGGAAGAATTCTTGCTGGACACCACCGTGATCCAATCCTTCTTCGCCCTCGTCCATGCCCATCTGCACCTTGAGCGGGCGCATGAGCTCTCGCTTCTCTCGACGCCAGAGCTGGTTGAGAGCATCGGTCAATACACTATCTCGGCGAACCACCAGAACCAGATAGGTGGACATGGAGGTCTTCATGCGGGCTAGAAGCGCAGCCTCATCTGCAATCGTGATGCTGCTAAAAGCAGACTGTGTGATATGCCGCGTGGTAGTCATCGCAGCCTCGTAATATTTGGACATCGCCGAGTGATTGAGAGCTCTGAAGTAAATGACCAGGAACGACGGCGGGAAGAGGAATGGATTCGAGAGAAGGTGCATCGTGCGGTTATTTGAGAGATTCCCCAGCCATGCAACAGGCATCTCGAGAGGGTCCAGCCGCTCAGCGAGAATGGGAGTGTGGAAGTCTTCAGGAAGCAGACCCAACCGATGTCGTTCTTTATACATCAAAGCCAGGATCTGCACTGCGCCACCAGCCGCGCTGCTGCGGGCCAGTTCCGGGTTACCATCCCACTCACGGAGGAAAAGCGTTCGGAGCCACTCAACAATGAGGGGAATAGGCCCAGTGGAGTGAGAAGATGAGTCCTCGGTCTCCGAGAAGTTTTGAGGTCGTTGCTCGCTGAAATGATCCATGATGCGATCGAGTACGTTGGCTTTGCGTTGCTTGGGTAGATCAAGGCTGTACACTTGACGAGCTTTGGATATCTCGTGATAAGCGAGTCTGGCGGCGAGAGCACGGACAAGACGATTGATCAAGCGGAGGCCTAATTCATGTTCAAGCCTGTCGGTGGCTTCCACGGCTTGCTGTGCATGTTCAGGAGACAACTTTTGCATATCAGCAGAAGAGGCGACAGTTCCAGCAGCCCGCATCCGCAGAATCCCACGCCACGTGCCGATTTCCAGATCTGGAACTGAGCTGACCAAGACAAAGAAAGCAACAGTAGCTATGTAAGCAGCGTCTGCGTCAGACAATTGCTCATTATTGGCGGATTCGGAGAGTCGCCGTACCACAGGGGGAGCGGAACTGGTCATAGTAGAGCTTCGAGACGAACGACGAGAAGGTCGCCCAGAGGACGCTAACTCATTGGGCGGCAAGAAAAGCTTGTCCAGCGAACTCCACAAGCTGTGCAAAGCAATGTCCCATGGGCAGATAGTGAAAAGCCTCTGCAGAGAACCTTGAAGCTTTGAGACATCCAGGCGTTGGTTCATCTTGTTGGCTGCTGTATCGAGTTCGAGCGCATCTCTCCCGAACGACTGTAAAATCTGCCCCGTACTGCTGAAGATAAAATACGCACTTTGGGCGATAAAAGGGAAAACCTGGCGCTGGCGGGACGTTGCAAATTTCCAATCAGGGTTGTCAAAGCTTCCCATGGACTGTATGCGATCAAGCTCTTCTTGCCAAGCTTCTGCATCTTCCTGGGAAGGAAACATGACTTGACTAAGACCATCGATAATCTCCGGCGTAAAATGGGAAATAGACTGAGCTAACGGGGCTACATTTGCCGTGCGGCGCATGGAACTCGGCTTCGGTTTACGATTTGTAGGAGTGTCAAAATCGATGTCCGACTGTGGAGGAGGCGGTTGAAGGTTTTCTGTGCTTGCGCCAATAGTTGTCTCAGTCAATAGCTTCTCACTGTCCCATGATACACGGCGTTGATTTTTCAGATGATCTTTAGACCGTGCTTTATCCAAATCCCCGGCTCTACCGCGATGTTTCTGGGGGCGGCGTTTCAATGCTGGTGGCGAGGGCATGCTAGTAAACTCGTTTGAAGCGAGATGGGCGTTCATTGACAGTTTTTGGCTTTTGTACTCTGGCCGCTTCTTTTCTTCGAGACTAGATCGAGATGACTGTCGCCAATTATCTGCTTCAGGAAGCGACAGTCGCTTGACATGCTGGTTTTGAAACGTAAGTTCCACGGCCGAGGGTTGCGTTCCAGAAGTTCGGGATGAAGGAGTGCGCGGTAAAGGGTTCCTCGCATTCGAAGGGGTGACCTGGCTGTGATCTGTTTTCGGTTTGTCTGCTCCTGTCTCTTGTCCCTTTGGGTAATTTGGTGTCTCATTGCTTTCCGGGTAGGCCATCGATCGACTCCGAGGCGGCTGTAACTTCTCAGCTGCACGTCGCAGTGGAAGCCATTCTACCATGCGTAATGACAATGTATCGAAGAGATTTTGGGTAAATGATTTAGGATCTTTGAGGGGTTGTTCGGCAACGTAGTCAAGGTCTTGAAAATCGGAAGTGCTCGGCTGCGCGTCGTCGAATGTTATTCCTGCGATACCACTCGCAATATTCGATTCTCCCGCTTGCTCGATCGGGTCCGCAGGTGTTCCGTGATTGAAATTGTCTGCTTGTTCTCGTGGGGCTCGGGAACCATGGCGATCTGCTTCTGCAGCAACAGCGACAGCATGTGCTTGGAAGGCTCGAGATCGCTGGAGCGAGATACGGTGATAGTCATGGATCGTCATGTCGGATGAATACCGGGGGTTATTGCAGCAGAGCCCGCTTTCTGGATCGTCCTGGCTGGCAAGGTAACAGGCTAGAGTTCGCGCGCTGAGTTCGGTGTATCGGCGATACGGGCCTTCGCTGACTCTCCGACGTCGACTGGCACAGGTTGGGGTACGGCATCCTGGGTCATCACATCCATGTAGCAGCTGGTTTTTGTACCTGATGTGGGAACTTGTATCAGAATTGTGACCAGGATAACGTGAGAAGGAGGCTCGGCCGTGTCAACACTGCGTTCCAGGGAGCTCGTACCTTCGAACCAGGATATTAAATCGCCTCCGGCGCTCATCCCGATACCACGGTAGGACGCGAGAAGGGTCCGTGACTTCAACGGTATTTTGTACGATAACCTCCGGCGCATTTGGTGGGATCTTGGATCGAGTGTATTGAGATCGCTCGCTGCCACCATGCTGAGCCGTATTCGGACCGTCGAGAGAAGCTCCGCGAAGCCTCGTCATCGTGGAATCGGCCGGCACATAGCCAGGCCAAATGATGGCCGAGATCGATCAAGTTTCTTCGGGGCCTGGCTGATGATTGTTGGCTCAAAGAAGCATGTGGAGAAGCAGAGGCTCAGCTCACCTGATATCATCGGGGCGGCCAACGATACCGCCGGAGGCCTCGCAAACAGGATCAACATTTGTCCGCGTAAGGCGGAGTATCACGTGCTACGTTATCGATAACGGAGGAGAATGATAGTGGCGGATCAGGGTTTTTCCGTTGGTCACGTGCAGATATAATATGTCGTTGCCAAATATGGTTAGCGTGATCCTTTGAGGAAAAGCGTCATCTTTGGCTCTGTGCGGTTGATAAGCGTTGCTTGGAAATCAAGGCCCAACTTCGATCACACAACTTGTCGCCTCTATCATTTGGGAATCCTTGAGATAGTGGTATACTTTGACATCTTATTATCTCTGCGCCGTAGGCCTTGTTTTTCAGAAAATACCTCTCTGATTAAGCGAGAAATCGACTTGCGACAGAACTTTCACATACCCCGCCTGCGATAAAAACTTCGCTCCACACTTACATTTTTCCCACCAAGAGGCCAACCTTTTCGACTTTACACCATATTCGACGAAGCGATTTCACCATGTCGACGGCCACTCAACAGGTCGGCGCTTCTGCTGCCAACCTTCCTTACACCTGCAACACCTGCCTGGTCGCTTTCCACCGCAGCGATGCACAGAGAGATCATATGCGAAAGGACTGGCAGTAAGTGGCGATACTTGACAAATACCATAGAAAAGGATATATGACTGATGATTACAATCAATAGCTTGTATAACATGAAGCGCCGTATTGCCTCTCTCCCACCAGTGTCCCTGGAAGTTTTCAACGAGAAGGTCCTTGCCGCCAAAGCGAACTCGACCGAAGCCGCCGCCAAAGCCTCTTTCGAAAAGACCTGCCACCCTTGCCAGAAGACTTTCTACAGCGAGAACTCCTACCAAAATCACATCAAGAGCTCCAAGCACAAGCAGCGCGAGAACCGCTTGAGGAAGGAGGGTGACGATGCATCAGTCCTGAGCTCGGCGTTCTCTATGGGAGAGCCAGTCAGCAAATCGAACGAGACCGAGATCGCTAAGGTTACCGATGGTCTCAAGTCTGCCACCATTCAAGAAGAGGATGAGGATGTAGAGATGCAAACCGATAAGACCGAGTTCTCGGTCTCCCGTTGTCTCTTCTGTTTGGCCGATTCCGCCGATGTCCAGGCCAATATTAAGCACATGTACAAGAGTCATGGAATGTTTGTTCCTGAACAAACTTACCTTGTTGATCTCGATGGACTTCTCAATTACCTCTACCGCAAGATCACTGAGAACCACGAATGTCTCTACTGCCATGCCATTCGCAACAACGCCGAAGGAGCTCGCAGTCACATGCGTGACAAAGACCATTGCAAGATCGCCTTTGAAGCTGAGGAGGAGCAGATCGAAATTGGACAATACTACGACTTCCGCAGCACCTATTCTGACGGAGAAGATGATGAGGAAGACGAGGACATGGCTGATGCCGGTGGCGTCAAGGTGAAGGGCTCCGACGGAGATGATGATGGATGGGAGACTGATGCCTCCTCGGTGGATGACGATGACGAGATTGACTCGCGCCGCAAAGCACCTGTCATCTACCAGGATGAGTATGAACTCCATCTACCATCCGGCAGGAGCGTCGGTCACCGCTCGCTCGCCAAGTACTTCCGCCAGAACCTGCACAATTACCCTACCGCAGAAGAGAGATTTGAACGACAGCTGGCTATTGCGAACGGAGAGATCGAAGAGGAAGAGAAGCCCCGCGGCCGCAACCAGAACCGCGCTCTCGTTTCTCGTGCCAATGGTGGCACCGGTATGATCGGTACCACCGACCACCAGAAGCAGACCGTTCTTACCGCGGAGCGTCGTGAGCGGACTCGTGCCCTCCGGTCCGAGAACCGTTACCATGCTCGCCTCGAGAGAGCCAACAACTCCCAGAAGCACTTCCGCGATCCCCTCCTCCAGTGATTGTCGCGGCATCTTTGCTCTTTCTTCAACGGCCACCGCAGTCGTTCATACGATTGTACCTCGAGCTTCTCTCTTGGTTCGCCTGAAATAAGGCACTTGACTCAGTGGCCTGAATACCATTGCTATCATTCCCGCTTGAGGCAATTGAAGCGGCTCATGACCATCTTATCCAATGGTTTGTCGGCTGCATCTGCCTTGATTATATCATCGGATTCTTTTTGACTCCGGATGATGTATCATCGAGAAGGTTCTCGTTCCTCGTTTCAACCACATTTGCATCCTGGTTGGAGATATTCAGCCAGTGTGGTTTCTATGGAGGCATCATGGCCCATTCTCTAGACCGCCCATCTGACGGCGGATGTTTTATGCAGTCTACGTTGATGATCGAATATTTCTCTCATGGTGTCTACAATTTCTGCATAACCAGGGCGTGTTTATCAATTACGATTTGGTTATTAATGAGTTTACCAAGAAAAGCATGCATCTACTCTGATATTCCAATTCGAATCTTTTTTTATCTCCAAACAGGCTCTGTCTCGTACTTTTACCCTAACCTTTAGAGGGCATTCACATAATTGTAGTCATCATCTCGACTTTACTAGCGAGGCTAATTCTCTACGATTTACACTATATTGGATGTGCTTGCAGGGAATAAGAATTTCATTGAGAGGGCATAAGCATCACCTCTGGAAATGGAAAACATGTGTAAAGAATGAAGCAGGCTATGCACAGCACAAGAGACGGCACGAATCAAAACAAGGAATGCAAAGAAAGCAGACGTAATGTATCATAACCAGTGAAGGGAAGATATAAAGACAGCATGCGGTATAAATGAATATAGTAGAACATAATATAATGTTCAGAGGACAAAGGATAAGGACGGAGGTAAGGATGGAGGTCAGAAGAAGCGCTCGAAGCCAAGGCTTCGGCAAGAGGAGTTATATATGTAATGTAATATTCACGAGGATTTGTTGTTACACAAGACAACAGCGGACTCGACAATTTATGCCGCGGTCTTTGCAGTGGTTGTTGGCTGTTGTCTTCTTCTTTTCTGTTATTTTGTTTTTGTTTTGTGTTTGTGTTTGTAGGAGCGAAGGGCTCGACAATTCATGGAGTGGTCCTTGTGACCAGAGCTCTCTTTTTTGCGAGAGGAAGACATTCAATAAGATGACCCCGCGGGCTCTGCAGTTGGTAGAATTTTTTGGTATTTTTGCAGGAGCGAGAGACTCGACACTTTATGTCGCGGTCTCAGCAGGTTGGTCGCGGTTTTTGGTGGGTCATTGTGTCTTTGGTTGTTTGAATTGTCTTTGGAATTTTCCTTCAAGGACTTTGTGGTATGCCCTTCGCTTTTTTCTTTGAGTAATTTGTGGTTTGGTTTTTTGTGTGGTATTTGTGGTCTTCATGAGCAGTGACTCGACAAGTGGTGTCTCAGGCTCAAGAGAGAGTAGTGGTAGAGATTTCATTTTGTGAGCCTGTTCACTGATTAGTACTTTGTGTTTGAATAGATGGAGATCAAACCATACCTTATAGCTTCATGGCTGTCGCCGGTATAGAAAAGAGTATTGATCCTTTGCAAACTTCGCCTCCAGTCCTTGATAGCTGGATATTTATAGATGTGTGGGCGAAGCGTTGTTCCATGTGGAGGCAGAGCAGATTTTGGGGTCTGCGGTCTCGCTCCCGGGAAATGATGCCGGAAAATTCTTTCAGTGAGGAGTGGGAGCATTTGGTATAATTAATGCAGGAGAGGCTGGTCCTCTGTGGCGCCGTGGCCATCTGTGGATTTGTGGTGCTTGCCATGCTTCTTCTTGCGGCGACGCTTCTTGGTTTGGGAGTCGTGCACCGAGGCTCGCAGGTCAGTTGTATTTATAGTGTTTGTAGCACTGTCCTTGGTGACGGGGGAGGAATTACCGGTGTGGCGAGAGGACACTCCAGCCTCACCCTCCGAAGAGCTGCTGCAGTTTGCGTGGAGGACGACTTTGCGGATGCCGTTCACGTCCACGATTTGCTCTGTGATGCTGCCGCTGCGGGTCGGGCCGCGATGGTGGTATATAAATTCGGCAGACTTTGAATCCGTCGAGCGGATGCTTCCTGTGCCGCTACTGCTCTTGCTCTTGCTTTTGTGGGTGGAGGCAGACCGGTTGAGATCTTCGCGCTCTTCGCGGACGGCTTCAGGGATCGAAACCTGTGGCAGGTCTATATATTGCTGGGCGTTTGTTCCCTTGGTAACATGATCATGCGTGGCTATCGTACCATATCCGAGTTTGAGAGCATGGGCGCCATCCTTAGCATCGGCACCGGAACTGACGAGGCCAGCACCAATCCCTCCTTGAAGGCTAGTTGACGGAATGAAACGTTGCGAATCAGATGCACTTTGTCCGGACTCAAAGTCTGTGTGGGCCGAGCGAGACGGCGAGGTACTATTGCGTTTTATCTTGACGGAGGTGTAGCGCGTCTGGCGTGGTCGGCTTGCAAGGTTAGAGGGACCAAGGTGTTTGAGGTGCTCCCGGATCTCGTCCGTAGCACCTCTCTGGGTGAACCAATTGTCATGAGAGTCTGAAGGCTGATCGACATTTTGTCGGCGGAGTTGGAATCGTGGAGGAGGGGCTTCCACGGAGCTTCGACGGCGAGGGAGGTCCGAAGACATTTGTGTCTGAACGGGTGTGGATTTGACTGTCTCGTCCAGCTCGCCCTCCGTGAGGGAAGTTGCCATTGGTGGCTCCTCGACGATTTTCCCCTTGGGCACTCGGCTTTTAGGTGCTGGTGCCATGCGACGAATGGCTTTGTGGACATCAATGAAGACATCCGATTCGTCAATGATTTCTCTGTGGCCAATGTCAGTAAACGAACCTTATCGGAGAGAAAGCAGAGAGAAGGCTAACTTACTCGCCGATCAATTCTTCAATCACATCTTCCAGGGTGACCACTCCAAGGGCCCCACGATCCTCGCTTGGATACTCGGAAACGAGCACCATGTGCGATTTGCCTTCTTGGAAAAAGTTGACTATGTCCAGACAACTTGTTTCCGGGCGTGTCTCTGGCAGAGTCGCCAATGCAAATTCTCGGACACGTTTGCAATCTTCGGGATCATAGGTGATGAGCATCTTGACTAGTAGCATGCCCACGAAATTCATTGAGTTGTCGGGTGCGTGGATGGGAATGCGAGAATATCCTTGGGACAGAATCAGGTCCATGGTGCGTTCATCGAGGACGGTGTCCGCCGACATTGTGAACACATCTTCCATTGGCGTCATGATTGTGCCCACGGATTTCTCCTTCAAATCAAGTACAGCAGATATGATTGTCACTTCGTCGGAGTTCAGCTGCTCTCCGGCCTCGCCCAACGTCTTGTGAAGGGTAACGAGGGTCTTCAATCCGGCCTTTTTATAAATGGTCCCGTGATCTTCGCCAAGCAGCTTGTCGAGCAACTTGGCCACGGGCCAGGCTACCGGGGACATGACGTACATCAGAACCAGTACGCACGGTGCCATCCATGCCCCGATAGGTAGACCGTATCGAACGCAGATCGACTGAGGAACGATCTCGCCGAAAATGACAATCAAGGCTGTACTTCCCAGCACAGCTGGCCATCCACCGCCGAGGGTTCTATCCAGAACGATGGGTAAAGTCTCATTAGTGATCACGTTGCTGAGGAGAAGAGTGACGAGCACCCAGTGCTTTCCCCGCTTGAGCAGGTTTAAGACACTGGCGGCATTTTTCTTCTCCGATTCTTCGCCAGACGTCTGGATCACTTGTAAGTAGACTTCATCTTGGCCCATCAAAGCAATTGTAAGTCCCGCGAACGCTCCGCCGCTCAACACCAGGGCTGCTGAGATGCCCAGGTACAGCCACAGGCTCGGGTCGTCGGGTTCTGTAGGAGGTTCGGCCTCGCGATGTGAGGAGATGAGATAGGGCGACAGCATGGGGGCGGCTGTTGCCAGCGGAAGGTGAGAGAAGGCGAAGAAGATGACTTTGGCCAGTCTCAGCACAATGGGCCGAGCGGCGAACAGATGCGCGGCATGGGGCGCCATCCTCATCTGAAAGTCGTCTGTCTTTCCGATAAGGGAAATCGGGCTCGTCACCACTGGTATATCTCAAGGCTTCCAATGAGGAAGGAAAACAAACTCCACGGTCGCAAAGGGAGGGGTCACAGTCGGGACATTACTGAACGCAAGCGGGTGGTGACCACACGCAGCTTGAGGCGGGGGAGGATAGGGAAAGGGAAAGGAAATGTCAACAAGGACACGAAGAAGAAGGACAGAGAGGGAGGAGGGGTTCGTTGTGATTTGAAGGGAAAAAATTGCGCAGCGAAACGAGGTGGATCTAGCGAAACCACCAGGGGCGTAAGTGAAGTGGAAGCTAATCGAGACGCAGCTGAATTGGGTTTCGAGCGTAGCAGATGACGAATGAACGCAGGGGCCAGCCCCGTGCGGCCATTGACACCTAGATGGTTAGGCTCTCAACCCGCTCCACCGTGGGTCCCGTGCTCGGCAAAGAACGGCCCGCGCAATGGTCAGCGGTCCATGACTCCATAACTATAGCCCGAGTTTCGGAGATTGTCGCATTTTTTTCCCGTCACAGTAGTTCCCCATACTCTCCTCTCATGTGGATTTGGCCGTGTCGGCAATTGCCCTCGGTCTGTTCAGGTTGCTTTGGCTCCAGAACCCTCGCGAGAGGGTTTGTGAATCTGGGCGGCAACAGCAGACAAATCGGTGCAATGGTACTCGGTCTGGTCGTGTCACTGTGACTCCAGAGCCCTCGCGAGAGGGCTTTCAACTCTGGTTTGCCAAGTACTCACGAACCAGTTCGGCTTCATCCTTCAAAATAATCCCGTCATCGGTCTTCTTGGTCCCATCCACCATTATGTCGGAAGTACAGGCAATCTGTGTCAGCACATTCGCGAGAGGACTTTCATCGTCGTCAAGCAGACTGGTGAGCTGTATGTTCAAGTTAGGATCCCGGTAAACCGCCTTGATCCCATCCAATGCCACATACGCGTCCTCCACCGTGTCTCGAAGCGCATCGGCAGAAACGTTAAGGCCACAGATGTGGTTCAAGACGTTCAAGTATTTCCTCAGGATGCATTTCAGATTCGTGACCGCTTCGGCGGTATCGGTCTGGTTGGCGGTGTCCTTCTTCTCTGTCAGGGAGAGGTTGTTGGAATTGTCGGTTGCAGCTTCCTGTGCCTTCTTTGCCAAATACAAATCCCGCTCGAGCATGTCAATCTGAGCCGCCTGACGACGCTTGTCGAGCCAGCGTTTCTGGCTCAAGCGCTTAACATCTTCCAGGTGTTTTGTATGTCTTTGGCGTTCGGCAATCTGTTCGGCTTGCAACTGATCAATTTGGGCATGCCACCGATCAATTTCTCTCAGCGCGGCTGCGTGCGAAACTGCAGGATCGTCGTCGGTGCCTCGAATCAGTGAGTCCTTGTCCGCGTCAACGGGCGTGTACCACTGCAGGCTGTGGATAACCTGATCCTGTTCTTGGCGGTGTTTGTCCGACTCTTCCTTCAGCTTGTCGTATCGCTCGGTAACGGTGCGAACCGTTTCGCTGAGCTCGGCATTCATCGATTGGACCTTGCGTAGCTCATCGCTGGCGTCACGGAACTGGCGGATAGCAGAGTCCCGTTCCTCGGTAGCCTTGCGAACTAGCTCGTCCTTTCGTTGATGCAATTGCTTTTCAACCTCCTTGGCGATATCACTCCGGATCTCAGTCAACTGACGGCAGTACTCGGAGTTCTCGTCTCGGGCCACCTTCAGGTCCAGCTTGAGTTGCAGGTTTTCGATCTGCACCTTTTCACGCTTTTTGGCCTCACCCAACACATAGGGTCGGGCGAGTTCATCGAGCTTGGTGTTGAGGAACCTGCGGAATTTTTCGGTCTTGATGTTTTTCCGTTCCAAGTCGCGAGCGTCCATTATCCACTGTTCACGCGCGGCCTGGCGCTCATACTTGAAACAGGACACCTCTTCCTTGTGTCTCTTCTTCCTTTCCTCGAACTCGCGTTTCTCTTGCTCGAATTTCTGCTCGGCCTCACGGAATTCGACTTCGTCCTTTTCCAGTTTGGCTTCGCGTCCTTTCAGCCGGAGATACCACTTGTTCTTGGTCCAGAGAGAGTCGTTCCGAGCTTCATCGACCATTCCATCAGGGCCGGATTGCTGGGTGGTTGCCGTTGTCGCCATTTTGACACCTGACAGTGTCTCCTTGTTGTTGTTGAAGCTAGTGAGGGAATTAGTCTCGACTCAGTCATCTCATCTATATGGGGGTAGTGGGGTTTAGGTTGCATTGGATCAGAAGAGGGAGAGGGGGGTGAACAAGGGGAAGGTCGAGGTAGCCGGAAGGGGGGGAGGAGGGGGAGGAGGAGGGGCAAGAGTGCGAGGGGAGGGGTGAGGTAGCATGAGGCTGCATCAACTTACCTCTTCATTACTGAAGAGCGGACGGACGCAGTGTCGATCCAAAAGGGGGAAACGACCGAGATAGCCCCGAGCCCCCAGAGGAAGTTCAGAGTCACCAACAGTCGGAGTCCGCCCCAGAGGACGAGCGCCACTGCGCGAGTAACGAAGTTGTTGAACAGCTCCATGACACGAGCTGTTCGCGCGAGGGGGGAGTGGAAGAACGTTCAGGTGAACGTTCAGCACGAAAACACGAAATTCTTGACGCTACCGGAGTAGCGGGGCGCAGCAGGAAACTTGGTTCTCGCAGAGGGGGTGGGAAAATCGTTGGAGAGGAGAGGAGAGAAAGAAGGAGAGTTTGGTTGGGGGTGGAGGGGGTTTAAATGGGCAATTTTTCCTCATTGGGAAATTTCGCGTTTCGAGCGTGGCCGATTTGTTTGCCTACCCCGTAGGGGGGGCCCTAGCCTGCCTCGCGCAGCTGCCTGATTAGTCCAAGGCTCCAGAATCATGGAAGTTTCCCTTTCATGTGATACTGGTCGGTTTCCACGGTTGTAGGATATGTCGTTTTGCATTCCCAGTTTGATATCGGTACAGCGCGGCTCTCAAGTACTCGACGCTCTATGCCACTCAGTCCATTTGTATCTCCAAATTCCAGATTAATAGAATATGTAGCACGGGCTCTTTACATATTGCAAATTCTGTGGATTTCGGGCATAATTTTGGTGTACAGCTTTAGGTTCTAGTTGGCGGTTGTTGCAACTATGCTCGCTGGTGGATGCCAGATATCAGCACCCCGTAATTTGCGACAACTCAGTCGTTATCCACACGATTTCGACTGGTTGCCCATCAAAATTTACCTCCCTTGTTATTTAGATACTAGTCACTCGTGAATTAGATTCCCTTTAGATTTTGTAACAATTTGGGCTGTTGTTGACGTTCTGTGTCGTTGGGGTGTGGTTGATCTAGAAAATTAAGGTTATCGGGTCAAGTGGGGACGTGCGGCAGCGGGAGCCGCATCATGCCATGGAACACGGGCACCCACGCCATGCCAAGATTCAGGGTCAGCACTACGTCAAGGGAGATGTGCTATTACAATATTACTACAAGCATGCTACTTGGGAGTAAAATGTCTGCCTTGGTTGCATATTGATGCCTGGACATGCTGCCTGCTGTAGGTAGACACGACTGGAGGCTGCCCACCACTGTCTCGGGCCCTACGTGGCCGCCTATTGTTGGAGGTTGTAGATGATTGTCGCTCTATGCCATAGGACTAATCTAGGTACCATTCAGGGCTATTGTCTTATTTGTAGAGATGTGAACGTTGCCTGTGCTACGAGACAGGTGTGTGGGGTTGATGGCTGATAATATATATTGTGTGGGGCCAAGGCTCGATAGAGTTCCGATGCAGACGCGGGGCCGTGCGACAGCGTGCCGCTCGGACGATCGAATAGACATACGCGAATGATCAAAACAAATACAATGTGATGCGTGTAAAGATAATAATTCTATTTAACAATGCAATACCAGAACATTACAGGCTATTTGTGTAGAAGATACTGTTTTCTATCATAACATTGCGACGTGCCCACGCTCAGTATTCTAGAGTCTGCTTGATCGCGTCGTAAATTCCTGTAAAACGGATTGATTAGCTCGGACAATCTGTATGCGTTTACCAGTTGGATAACTTACTGGCAACATCGGGTAGGACGAATTGTTCGTAGGATAGACCGGTGTGGGTACTCCAGCCGGCGACTCGCTTGACTGGAGCCTCCAGCCGTAGGAAAGCGCCTTCTTGTAGCGTCGCAGCAACCTCGGCACCAACACCATAGTTGATCATGCTTTCATGAACCACGACAGCTCGTCCCGTCTTGCGGACGCTCTCGATGACAGTCTGGCGATCCCAGGGATAGATTGTCCGCAGATCGATCAACTCGATGCTAACACCCTTCATGGTCTTTTCAATGGCCGAGATTGCAGAAGAGCACAGGTAGAGGGGTTGACCGTAGGAGATAATCGTCAAGTCCTTGCCCGGCTTGATAACCTCTGCCTTGCTCAGGGGTATCGTGTAGTATTCATTAGGGACATGCTCCACCGCGGCCCGATAGAGGATCTTGGGCTCCATGAATATCACAGGGTCGTTGTGCTCGAAGATGGAGGAGAGAAGGAGACCCTTGGCCTGTGCGGGTGACCGTGGCATGACCACTCGGACGCCGGGAACGTGTGCAAAGAGGGCCTCGGGGGACTGTGAGTGATATCTAGCCAGAAAGAGCGTCAGAATGTGATTTCAGTGGTTGCGTCAAGCCAAGACCGCTCCAGCAATAACATACAGTGCACCGTGTCCTACCGCACCGCAGGGCATGCGAATTACCAAGCCCCCAACATTGATCCCGGTACCACCTTCTCGGTATCGGAATTTTGCAGCCTCATTGACAATCTGGTCAAATGCAGGAAAGACATAGTCGGCAAATTGGATCTCTGCCACAGGTTTCATGCCCTCGGCAGCAGCACCAATGGCAAATCCGGCGATTCCTTGTTCGGTCAAGGGTGTATTGAAGACTCGTTCTGATCCGAACTCTGTCTGAAGATCCATTGAGCACCGGAAGACACCGCCGAATGCTACATCTTCACCGAAGAGCATGACCTTGTCCGAGGTCGACAGGGCTGTCCGCAAGGCGGAGTTGATGGCTTGAAAGAAATTCAGTCGTTTGCTTGTTGCTGCCGCTGGGAAGTCGGGAACGCTAGATAGTGAGGAGGGCGTATGGTGTAGTAGGGGCGTAGACTTGTAATCAATGGGTAGGTTGAGCTTCGCCCTCGGCGAGGGAGCACTTGAGTAGCATCGGCGGGAGACTCGCGGGATCAGACTCCGCGATGATCGAGATAACGACATCGTTGACAAGTATGTGAGATAGAAATGTTGTTCCAGCAAAGCAAAAACGTGTAAAAAGGCTCAAATTTCCCAGATCCTCCTTATAAAAGGATCCCTCCTGGCGGTTTTCTGGGGGGATTGCGGGGATACGCCGTGAATAACCGCGGATGCAAACTTGCCAAACAAGTAGTTATGACGGCAGCATCCTCCCCTTCTAGATTGGCGCGTTAGTTAAACAGTCCTTGGGCGGCTTTTGTTATTGTGGGACCTCTATGAACGATTGGACGACACCATCCATTGAAAACTTCGAGTGCCTCTTGACTTTTGGATTAGCTATAGAGTACGTACTGTTTTGGAATCAGTGTGAGCCTGCTTGGCTTTCCTATCAATAAACTAGATTAGTCACGAATATTTACCCGCCCGGACGGGAGCCGGGATGGCGGGGGAGGCAAGCCCTTGACATTGTTTTGCATTACTCTTGTGACTACTGCTTAGATAGCTCTCCTGCAATAGGATTGAATAGATACCGGTCGTATTTCCTAGATGCACTACTCTCTATGCCGCTAAAATCACTTAGCTGCTTAGTTCGATCGAAAAAAAGTTTCCCGAGCGGTGAGCTCGAGCTTATCTGCTTATCATGCCAGCCGGTGTCGGCGCCAAGAAGTGTGACTCCCCGCCCGCACCAAAAATCCGCCTTTTTTTCCCGGTGACTCAACCCTTTCGACCTACTTCATCTCCAGTGCTTCTACCTTTTTTTGCTAAGCTTCATTACCACACATTTCACATCACTCACAATGTCCAAGGGAAAGGTAGGTTAATTCAATTGCCCCCGCCGCCGCTGCCATTCCCAATTGTCCACTTTCAGACCGCCACTTCATCCCACTTTCCCACACCAATTGCCGCGTTCCCGACCGAACTGACCCATTGTCTCAACAGGTTTGCCTTGCCTACTCCGGTGGCCTCGATACTAGCTGTATCCGTACGATATACCCCTCCAGGATAATAGCTGCATCAATGGCAGTCGCTGATACAAAACAACAGTCAAGTACCTCATTGAGGATGGCTACGAGGTCGTTTGCTTCAGTAAGTCGCATTCACCAACGCGAAACACTCCCCAAAAACACTGAAGATAGATGCTAATGCTATTTAAAGTGGCCGATGTTGGCCAGGAGGAGGACTTCGAGGCTGCCCGCGAGAAGGCCCTGAAGATCGGTGCTCTCAAGTGCGAGATTGTCGACATCCGCCGCGAGTTCATCGAGGAGCTCTGCTTCCCCGCCATTGCTTGCAATGCTGTCTACGAGAACGTGTACCTGCTCGGTATGGCCAAACTCCAAGTGAAACTACAACAAGGCCTCCCTGCTGATCAAACTTTAGGTACCTCTCTGGCTCGTCCCGTTATTGCCCGTGCTCAGATTGCTGTCGCCCAGGTATGCTCTGACCCTCATTGGCGCTTACATCCTGTGGATGGTCACTGATTGTGCAATTCTTTTTTCTTCTAGCGCGAGGGCTGCTTCGCTGTCTCCCACGGCTGCACCGGCAAGGGTAACGATCAGGTTCGCTTCGAGCTTGCCTTCTACGCTCTCCAGCCCAACATCAAGGTCATTGCCCCGTGGCGCGACCCCGTCTTCTACGAGCGCTTCGTCGGCCGTAACGATCTCCTCGCCTACGCTGCCGAGAAGGGCATCCCCGTCACCTCCACCAAGTCCAAGCCCTGGTCTATGGACGAGAACCTGGCCCACTGCTCCTACGAGGCCGGTATCCTGGAGGACCCCAACATCACCCCTCCCGCCGATATGTGGAAGTTGACCCAGGACCCCCTCACTGCCCCCGACCAGCCCGAGGACTTCACCCTCACCTTCGAGAAGGGTGTTCCCGTCAAGTTGGAGTACACCGAGAAGGGCCAGCAGAAGACTGTCACCGACTCTGTTGAGCTCTTCCTGACTGCCAACGCCATTGCCCGCCGCAACGGTGTTGGTCGTATCGACATCGTAAGTCGGCTGTGCAATCATGGAGCTTGTTAGAAACCTTCAACTAACGCCCACCCAGGTCGAGAACCGTTTCATCGGTATCAAGTCCCGTGGCTGCTACGAGACCCCCGGTCTTACCTGCCTGCGCGCCGCCCACATGTGAGTTTTCCCCTCCTGCTGCTAGTCCAATTCACTTGCGTGACCATAAACTGACTTTTCACAGCGACCTTGAGGGTCTTGTGATGGACCGTGAGGTCCGTGCTCTGCGTGACTCTTTCGTCACCTTCAACTACTCCAAGCTCCTGTACAACGGCATGTACTTCTCCCCCGAGCGTGAGTTCCTCGAGGCCTCCATCACCGCCTCCCAGAAGACCGTCAACGGTGTCGTCCGCTGCCGCGCCTACAAGGGCAACATGTCCGTCCTCGGTCGCTACTCCGAGACCGAGAAGCTGTACGACATGACCGAGTCCTCCATGGACGAGATCGGTGACTTCTCCCCCGCCGAGACCACCGGCTTCATCAACGTGTCGGCCATCCGTCTGAAGAAGTACGGCCAGATGAAGGCCGCCGCTGGTGAGAAGTTGTAAATACCTTCTTCTTCTTCTCTCACAGTAAGAAAATGGGGAGCCAGATGCTGAGCATCACTGGCTTTCCACGAGCCAAAAAATGCTGGGGATTTTCCTTTTCATCTTTATAATGTCCTGCTATACAGTGGACTGGGATCCCAGTTTGAATGATTGTATAATGAAATTAAAAAAGTTATCATGCGGGAAAAAGTATTTTCGCTGTTCATTGAGTAGACTGTATATGCGTTCTATGTCTATTGGTCGTAGTTGAATAGTATTTACAAATCCTCCGATGCATATGTACCGGGGCCCAACAGGCCAAGTCGAGGACAGACGGATATCACGAGATATCGTCTACCTGTTCAAGGGTTGAGCATGATATATAGAGCTGTGCACCATGGTGCTTTATGTTGAATATAATGTATAGTGTAGTGTGTGCCCACTACAAGCTGGCGTTGAACTTGCCCTCAGTGTTCGTTTCTGCGTAGAACACAAATAGATTAGCGATATCGTCAGCAATACTCGGACTCGTGATTCTTACCAATCCAAGATTCCAAGGCAGCCTTCTCAGCATCCCATCCCCACAGAATCCGCTGCGTCTCGCGGTCAGACCATTTATCCGGATTGGATCCCGTTGTCGAAGCCCGGAATTGCTCGTCACGGGCAACCTGCTCAGGTCCATCCGGCAAGTGCAAAGTGATACGATTATCGGAGCCCGATTGCTGCACCGTCTCTGCACGAAGCTTTCGCGACTGTTCGTATACTTGCAACGCGCGTGGAATGTCGTGTCGAGATGAGATAGTCGACAAGAGTACACCAAGAGCTGCTGCATCTTCGACTGCTTGCGCTGCACCTTGTGCCACGTACGGACTATCTCTGGTTAGTATGGTTGCACGAGAATTCAAAGGGCATATGGTTAGTGAAACATACAGCATCGGGTGACACGCATCACCGATCAAAGCCACCGAACCCCGAATCCACGTCTTCAACGGGCGATGCAGACACAACTTCCACTCCAGCACTTCATCGTCGTCCACCAAATCGATCAGCTTCCTGACCTTCGGATCCCACCCGGCATAATTATCAACCATTGCTTGCTTCGAGCCCTTCGTCGTCCACGACTCCTCCACTTCTTGTCGGTCTGGGTGCAGCAGAACAACGTTATACAGTTGGTGGTCGCGGACAGGGTATGCGATAATATGGCGCCCAGGACCGAGCCAACGAGTTGCCTGCGGTTCGTCAATCAGCGCCTTCAGCTCGGGGTCTTTCTCCATCACATCGCGCGGGAGCATAATTCGGTATGCAGCATCACCAGTGGCGATGGCCTTCAGAGATGGGTCTTGCAACAGATGTCCCCGAATGGTTGACTTGATGCCGTCAGCACCGATAACAATATCGCCGCGAACAATGCTTCCATTGGCAAGTGTGACGGATGCAGGACTGAACTCGACATCCGTGACCAGCGAGTCCACCCGCAGTTCTACGTTGGGCAGTGCCAAAGCCTTTTCAATGAGAGCGTTGTGCAGATCCGCACGGTGGATAACTGTCTGCTGGCCAAAAGTCTTGTTGACAGGCATCGTAGCAAGGAGTCTGCCGTCTTCCCATCGCCGGACGTGGATGTGCTCCAGTGCGACGTCTTGGGCATGAATCAAGTCCGAAACACCCCATCCTGGTTGAAGGTTAGTCTTCTTGATATGATTTGAGATGAGACGCCCAGGCAATGGACTTACGTTCAAACATTCTCAGCATGTTCGGGGAGACTTGGATTCCAGCTCCAACCTCCATCAACTGTCAATGGGTACATGTTAACACTCGCTCCAAGTATGATATCGATCACGCCACGTACTTTTGGGGCTGCCTCAAGGACAACGACATGATGACCTCTTAGTCCCAACGTCAGGGCTGCGGCCATACCACCGATGCCTGCATATTCAATTTGTTAATTCTGTCCTTGACTCGATTTTCAGAGAACGATATCGCCCAGGCATAGAATGCTGCAGCAAATACAACATACCGGCTCTATTCAACGTTAGTCCGCGGCTCTGCGCTACCAAAATCTGGTGAACTTGACTTACCCAACTATAACCACGTCGAGCGCGACATTAGCTCGCGGTACATCCATGATGAACAAATACGAATATGAACAATTGATGCCAAGTATACACCTTGGATACCACCGCAAGAACAAGACAAAAATGAAAGAAAATGGCCCACAATTTCTCAAGACAGGCTCGCCCCCGGACGAGTCACTGGCTATTTCAAGAAAATTATTGCCTCCCCGAGCTTAGTTGTCCGAAGGTTTGCCGGCCCACCCGTGCCAGACTCTACTCCGGAATGCCTCCATCATTTCATTCAGAATTACGGAGTAGACTATACCGTTATTCTACAGATTGCGCGCTAATTTTCCCCCTGAACGCATTGACCGGCAGCCGTCACCCCATCTTTGTTCTCCACGGACTGGGGGAGAACTGGAACATTGATGCTTTGATGTGTCTTCGTCAGTGATTACTAGTTTCATCTTTTATCCCCGAGATTTGGAGTCCTCGGCGATGGGCCGGGGAGGACTAACCGAGCGACAGACGGCTTCTCCTATGCCGATAACATGAATCCCAGGATTGACCGTGGAAAACCATCCCAAGAGGAATTCCAAAGGTGCAAATTTCGCTTCTAACTCTTGCATTCAATACCTGCAATGAAAACAAGCCTGCCTACCTTCCCGCGCAACGTCCCTAATTTTGTGGCGCGCAGCATTCGGAAAGGCGTCGAGCTCGGCAACGCGGGCGATCGGGGGGAGCCACAGCCTCCACAGCCAATTAGGCCATTGGCCCGTCGACATTTTTCCTCCTTCCTCTGGGGATCCTAATGTTGGCCATCCGGCTCTTTCAGTGTCTCACATCTGCCGAATCTGGCCCAGACAGACCACATTCCTCCCATAAAGACATGTGTGTCCCAAGAAATCCCTGACTGTATGCGGACGGAGACTTCGCCCCGAGCTTCCGCCGTCTTCTGCATGCTCCATCTTTGCGCCCGCAGACCCACGACTTTGTTGCGCCCATTCCTCCCCGGTTATGATCCTGTGATGTATCTTGGCTTTGCTGCCCGTCTTATCGCGGCAAATATGGGCTTCGTTTACTGCCGGCTACATGACATACTGTACTATGATGTGGTATTCCAGGGTTCCTAGAGGAGAAGCTATTGGAATTAGCTATCACTTTATCATCTAGTTAAAGGCCAATAATGATGCCGGATCACAGCCATGGATAATTCTAAATATCCGATCTTCCGAACTCGAGCTATCACAAGAATACAAGGAAAGACAGCTCTCTCATTCTCCACCCAACTTCCCGAGCTGGCTTCGTGAATACTATGCTATCCATGCCCCTGGATTTCTGTGGCTTTGAACAGATGGCAGCTTGCGTAGTGAAGGCTAAGATATCACGGTAAAGGGTAACTTGGTAATCCAACACTGATGCAAGGGCCATCCGTCTGGAGTAATGGTGCCATCTTGCGCTACGCATACTCCACCCTGTGGTCTGCCCCCAGTGCCCCCACACGCATGGACATGAACCTGGACATGGAAATGGATATCTTCCCCAGAACGCCTGGCTCGGCTGCTCATGAATGCTCTCAATTGCCGGGGTATACAACGAAAAGGAATCTTGACGCGATGTTGTCTGGATCGATGACATTCACCGACCCCATAAGGACTCAGGAGATAGCCCTGTTTCGCTTTGTGGCGCTCGCCCGTCTGACGCTGGATAACCGTGGCTGCTCAGACCTATCATAGTTTCTCCGTGGCATAGTATGTGCTCATCCGGTATTGAGTCTCACCGTCGAAACGAGACAGGTCTTGCAGTGCTTGCCGACCCTCTCTGTCAATAGCGGCTCGGATTTCCGGGCTGCGAGGTGTGATTCGGCAATCGAATGGATTGGGTCGCATGTTGAGGCCATTTCTGCATAGGAGATAGGCCGAAGCCTGGTGATCAGCACGGCACATACTTCCCTCAACTACTTCCGATAGTAGAGAGTAATATCCCTCGGATTGAGACCAACTTACGTAAAGTCGAAAATGTCCACGGGAATCTCGTTGCCCTGCTTGTCCAACGCCTTTTCAATTTTGAATCCCCAAAGAAGTCGCGCAATCGTGATGAAGGTCCCTTGTTCTGCTAGTCCCTGGCCACTGCATACACGCCGCCCCCATCCGAAGGTCATATACCCCTTTTCACCAGGGAATGGACGGTGATCGGGACTGTCCTTCAGATATCGATCTGGATTGAAGCGGTCTGGCTCAGGGAATTCTCGTTCGTGGTGGTGAATAGCCCACACGTTACCCTGGACCCAGGTTCCTTGTGGGATGAACCAGCCCTAAATAGACATGTTTAGTTAGCGTATCCAGAGCCGAGGTAACATATTTTCAGGGCCAGGGGATAGCAAAGACTCGGCAGCGCTGCTCATTGATCATACCTTATAATAATCATCCTTGATAGGTGCATGTGGTTGTCCTCCAATAATCGCAACGGATCTCCACCGCAACACTTCCTTCACAAACGCCTTCACGTACGGCAAGTCCGGCTCATCTTCAAACGTCGGGCTCCGATGCGGTCCCACGACTCGATCAAGTTCCTCCCAGGCTTTGGGAAGGGCATCAGGGAATGCGCAACACGCAAGGACAAAAGTGACTAGTGTTGAGCTAGAAGTATCACTGCCAGCGCCGAAGAGATTCCCCGAGAGCGAGGAGATCTCCATGCGTGAGAGATCATGCTTAGGTCCCTCTTCGAAGAGTTTCTTTGCGTAGCATGAATCGGTATCGGGATTTTGGGCTGCTTCTTCGGCAAGAGCGTAGAAGAATGGGCGTCCACGGCCTTGTCCTTTGCCTAGACCTTGTTTCCAAGGTGCCATCCAGTTGGGGAATTTTGCGAGGACTGCCAGATGTTAGCTAGCTGTCAATATAAATCCCAGGAGTTGGGATGCGTCTCTCAGTCTTCCTGTCAAACTTACAAGGAAACGACTCCATCAACATAGGAAAGCTCTTCCCAGGAACATTCAACTCCGCCGCCCGCTGCATAACAGCAATAACCTCCGTAATAATCGGATCCGTATACTTAGCCACACGCCTCCCAAATCCAATAATAGATACCACACTCGTCGCATACCGCTCAAAATGGCTGACATACTCTGCTGGTTCCCTCAACAAATCAAACGCAACCACTTTACTCTCATCATTCTGGAAGCCCCGATAATTCCGTACCTGCTGTAGACCAACACCCATATGGGTTAGCTTTCGGTGCAGGCGCCATCTATCGCCGTAGTACATGTTGACTAGATTAGACTGGCCGGCGCCCAGCTCGCTGAAGACGACCATGCGTGGACGGGAGGCGTAGATTGCGGCGCGTTTATCGAGGAGTTCGTTAGCGGTCCAGGCGTCGCAGATCCAAAGGGTTGGGCGTCGGCCTGTCCAGAATGTGATTATGGGGGAGTTGTATTGTTTTGATAGTTGCTCGAAGTAGATCCAGGGTTTGTTGTCTGGGAGGAGGTGTGTGTTTCCTATTAGGGGGAGGGGAAGAGGGCCGGGTGGCTGTACGCCGGTGAGAATGTTGATTCTGGCTTGAATAATTATTATGTTTGGTACGTACCATTTTGAAGTATAGATATAGCATGTAGCTATAATCTACCACGATCGCTAGCACTAAGGCTATGAGCACGGGGGGTAATACCGTAGCCATGCTCAACTTGCTCGACCCTGCACGACTAAGGAGACGCTGGGCTGAAATAAGAGCAAATAGCTCTTCGAGCTTTTCAACGATCATCTTGTCACCCTAGTAATCTTGGCAACTGGTATAGAGGGTCTTGTCACGTCCAGAAGATGGAGACGGAAATGGACGCTGCGCGCCCCGACCTTACATATAAAGACTTGGAGCAATCTGCCCCTGTGATTAATGAACTGTGCTCATTTTGCTAGCAACGGCCCCGCTGTCGGCATATTAATGCCGAGATAGAATGCAGGTGCTCGCGGGGCATAGTTTATAGGCTTTATTGGAGGGAATCCCCTGTGCGTCGTGGGGAATCTGGGTGATTGTGTTTGTCAAAAGCCACTATCTTGTTCAGCTGGGACAATGGCCCCACAAAGTGCTGCTATTTGAAGAAGGGATAAGCAGTCTGGACGCGTCGGATTGGGGAGGTCAATGAATTATGAATTCTTGAGTGTATAGATTCCATCTTGAGAGCCGATGTTAATGAGACAAACATACCAAGTTGGATGCTTCAAGGTTCCAGTTACCACCTCACTTACCTATTATTCGTCAATCCTAGGACCTTTTGATCTCTTCAGAGCTAATAATCCCTTGCCTTGATAATCAGCGTACGATATCCAAGTCGAGTGGGGCCCGTAGCCCCAGATTCCTTCTTTTGCGGGGTTTGCGGGGGACTTTCCATCGCCCAATATCCCCTTACACTACCCCGGCCACAAGGCCGACCTTTCCTCAAAGACTGGACACACCAAATAATGAATCTCAATACAGAATCTCCACCGAGAGTTGGGCACGCAGGAATTGATTAGCGCCTGCTTCCCCTCACGGCCCTCACGAGCATTTCGGCACAGGAAGTACGCCCTTGCTGCCGGGCGGGCAGGGCAGGTGTATATGTATAGTATGATCAGCCCCAGAGGCGTGGAAATCGCATTTGAGACCTTGTAGACAGCTTTCCCATTTAATTGAGATATTTCATTCTTTCAATTAGACCTGTGATACATTATCAAGCTGCCAAACATCATGACAGACAGCCTCTCCTCGACGACGCTCTGGCAAAATCGAAAATGCCTGTTCCTGTGCTGTCTTATTTCAATGGCCAACATGCAGTACGGCTTTGACCTTGCTGCAGTAGGCTCACTACAGGCGATGCCGGGTTTTCTCAAAGTATTCGGGTATCCAGACCCGACAAGTGATACTGGATATGCAATTGACGTGAGTAAATACCACCCACCCCATGATATCCCCTTAGAACCTGGACAAGATGAACCGAGCCAAGAAAACATACCTAATAACCCTTATTAAAACATAGAGCACTGTTCAACAACTCATCACCTCCCTCCTAACACTAGGCTCCTTCGTCTCCTCCCTAGTAGCAGGCGTATTCTCAACCTACCTAGGACGCAAATATGCCCTATGGCTCGCCTGCATCGTCAACGCCATCGCCTGCGGTATCCAAATCGGCACATCAACCGCAGGAGTACTCTACCTAGGCCGACTGCTCCTCGGCTTCGCAAACGGGTTCCTAGTCACATTCTCAAACATTTACACCGCCGAGGTAGCCCCCGCACATATGCGCGGCGTGATGGTCGCGCTATTCGCGTACTGGGTGAATATCGGGAGTATCATGGGCGCAGTGGTGGACAATAAGACTAAGGAGAGATTGGATGCGTTATCGTATCGGATTCCGCTATCTTGTTTGTATATCGTGCCGACGCTGCTTTTCGTCGCGTTGTTCTTTGTTCCTGAGAGTCCGCGGTGGTTGTTGCATCGTGGTAAGGAACAGGAGGCGAGGAAGGCGCTTGAGCAGCTTCGTGGAAAGAGTTATGCGAGTCTTTTGGCTTCGGCGGGTAATGAGAGTGGTGATGAGGGTAGTGTTGTGCCGACGTTGTTGGAGGTTGAGTGGGTGGAGATGATCAAGGGTGTTCAAGAGGAGAAGCGTGAGCAGGGGAGTGTTTCTGCGTTGGATATGTTCCGAGGTAAGAGGATCCTCTATTCATACTATCTTGGATTAATATATCAGTACGAGATGGTTACTTACAATCTCAGGCCCCGATCTCCGTCGCACACTTCTCTGCTACGGCATGATCGGCTGCCAAACTGCGTCGGGTGTCTGGTTTCTCATCGGTTACCAGACATACTTCTTCACCGTCTGCGGTATCACCAAGGCCTTTGAATTCTCCATTATGAACACCTGTTTCGGCTTCCTCGGCGTCAACGTCGGCATGTACGCCATCAGCCAACTTCTCGGTCGACGGTCCATCCTGATCCTGGGTGCCATTGCCTGTGGTTTGTGTCAACTAGCCAGCGCCATCGCAGCCACCGTTAGCCCGGACACGTTACCAACAGGCCAGACGCTGGTGGCATTCACCGCGCTGTTCATGTTCTTCTATAACGGCTGCGTTGGCGCGGCGAGTTACCCTGTAGCAACTGAGTTGGTAAGTTCAAGGTTGAGGGCATGGACGGTGGGAACGGCGACGTCGTTGGGATACTTGTTGGCTTGGTTGGTGAATTTCTGCACCCCGTATTTTATTAATCCAGAGCACTTGAACTGGGTGAGTTGATCCCTTTTTAGGCGCGGAGATCTGTTTCTGACTCTAAGTTTGGTGATAGGGCGCCCGATACGGCTATATCTGGGCAGCATCGAACCTCTGCTGCGTAGTTTTCTTCTACTTCTTCATGCCAGAGATGAAGGGCCGATCGCTAGAAGAATTAGACGAGATCTTCGCAGCCCGTGTCCCAGCACGCAAATTCAAGTCGTATCAGACTGTGATTCGGGTCGCTGCCAGGATTGATGCGGCCAATGCTAAAGGCGTGAGTCAGCACATTGAGAAGGCCTAGATGAAGTCAGTATGGGACAATCGTGTGGAAAGGGGAAATTCTCAATATGATATACGACGATATCAAATTGAGTGAATGGTTGGACGAAATCTGGAAATGTATTTTTTTTGCTCTAGAGAAGAGGACGGTATAAATGGATACAAATGTTTCACCGAGCGCCGTTGCAACCGAAAAAAGAGAGCAATGCTAGTGTAACTCCGGAACATGCTTGCAATAACCCAGGCGCAAACACATAAAATATCTTCAAATGGTGTTTCAAAATAGTAGACATTGAAGGAAAAGTTGAGGTTGAGACGTGGTGATCATGTCGTAATCATCAGAGTTGGCAGAGATATGGTGAGGTAGAATATCCCTGGTATTGTGGTTCGTTGCAGTTGTACAGAGTCAACTGACGATATATACACATGTGTGAGGTAGCTCGTGTATTAATGAAGCATATAAAGGTCGTTGTTTCATTTCAATCGTTTCGTGTAGAGTGTAGATGGGATGTGCAAACTGTCGGTTGTGGTAGTTATGCGGTAAACATCATTCGCAAGCGACTCGGGCCCTTCTTCTTTTTCTCCTTGGGCCGCTTCTCCTTTTCAGAGACGGTCGAGCCCGCCTTGGAAGGCGCTTTACTTGATGCTTTGCTTGGTGCTTTACTTGGCGCACGGCTCGGTGCGCGACTGGGGGCCTTCGTCGGAGCCTTGGAGGATCGAACGAAGAAACTAGATGGAGCTCTTGAAGCGGGAACGGGCTCAGGCTCTCTTCTGGAGCGGCCACTGCGAGACTCGGCCGTGGTATGAGCGCGGGAGGTGCGCGATCTGCGCGAGCGACGAGACGAAGCGACGGAATTATCATCGTCGAATTTGAATCGAGGATCTCGTTCCGCACGCGCGGTCGTGACATCAATGCCAGACATGGCTGCAGCTCGGGGCGTGATGAACTCGCCGTCGACAGAGGTGCCGACACTTTCGGCTTCGACGTCGGCCACACCGCGCCGCCACATTTCGACCCGACTTTCCGATTCCATGTTCAGTTCCATCATTTCCTCCATTACGATAGTCTCCTCTTCCTGGTCCTCTATGGCTTTCTCCGCATTGCCTGACTGGATCTTTTTGATGATCTTGTAGCCGCCGAACATGACCACTGTCACGCCAAGCCCCAGTCCGGCGGCAATAAGGAATTGCGGGCTGGACAGAAGAGCGAAGATCGTCGGCGCGGCCGTCTTAAAGGCAGAAAGGGCTGCGGGGGCCATCTTGCTGGCCAGGTTACTGATCTCTGCTAGGGTGAGGGCGACGGCAGCCATGGCGTCTGGGTTCTTTTGCAGGTGAGAAATGGTGGCTGTAGCGCTGTGTTGTACACAGTGGGCCTCCTCGAGAAGCCACTGGGCTCTGCTCACCAAGCCATCGAGCTGCTTTTGGTCGTCGATGTTGGGTTCCGGTGGGCTGTACCTCGACAGGGCAGCAGGATGAGCTTCACCATATGCCAAGTCCATATCGATATGAGGATCTGATTTGGACCGTGCGGTCATTGGACGGGCTGGTTCCCGAACCGTAGTAAGTTCATGGTGCGTATGTCGACGGGGGAGACCTTCGGCATGTCCATAGTGAGACTCGGGTCTCCCCGTTGCGGAATGTAGATCCTGTTCATAGTGCGACCTGCTTTGGTGATGCTGGCTGCGACTCGAATGATGGCGTGACCTGCTACGGTGACTGCGCCGGGAAGCTACCGACGGCGAGTCATCGATCTGGTAAGTGGCCAGGGCCTGGAGGGCCTGTTGCTCTGCAATCTTGGCATTTCGCTCCGAGTTAATGTGGGCCTTGCGCTCTTTATAAGCGGCCTTGGCTTGGTTGAAGACTCCAAAAAGTTGTTTACTCTAAGTATCGAGGGTTAGAATTTCAGGTAGTTCGACGATGGTGTAACCGGAGATTTGCATCTGAACTAGCGGGGAAAGGACAAGCTTACCGTACTGACGACCTTGCCGGACTTGTCAATCACGGCGATCGTCTGACCGAGCGGCGCCATCGCTAGCGATAGTCGTAGACGACTGGCGTCGTAGGAAGCTCACTCATCAGAGAGCTTGCGCGATCGACAAAGACGAGGAAGCGGTGTAAAGCGCTAGTCAACAAGGTTCCGTCAGTCGGGGAGAATTCCCCGACAGGCAAGACCTTGGAAGGTGATATATGAGATATGGAGTATAGAAGGAGTAAGACAAGGTAGGAGACAATTCAGGGGAGCAGCTGCAGCCACCGTATTAAAGAAAATCCAGTGACTGGGGGGGGACTTTAAAAAAGACCAGGCAAAGCGCAAATGCCTAAGAGGATTAATCCCGGGAAGTTTACCCTCAGAGAGCAAGATCGGCGGTTAGGTCCGATCGGAGTGGACGAAAAAAAATGAAGAAACTTTGAAAAAGTAATATAGAGGTGGTGTTATTAAAGAAGAAAAGTGATGTACGATCGAAGGAAGCTGGGGTCGATGGCATCAACGTGCATGAAAGGTGCAGCGGTTGGGCAGAGCCAGTGAACGGAGGGGCGAGTCACAGAAAAGGGTCCGTAGGGCAGAGTGACGGGATGGTTGGGTTGATAGTGAAGCGAAGGCAGCAACAAATCAAGGCTCGGCAAGGATCGATTGGAAGCTCACATCGGATAGGATTGGGCGCGAAAAAAAAAGAATCAAGAATGGATTGGGTTGTGGGGGACAAAAGTTGACTTGGCCTCGGGTGATTAGCTGTAGCTTGGACTACACGACTGTACTCTGACAGCTAAGAGGTCAAAGATCAAAGGTACGGAGTCATCCCAGCGGCTACTCCGACGGCTGGGAAGCATAAATAGAACATAGAATACTACGCTCCGCAGAGTCTAGGTGAACAGAGATTGATATGAAAAAGTATGGAAATATATTAAGAGAACGGGGCTAGAACCACATCAGCCGTGTCTAGTAGTCATGAATTGATATTCTCCATGACAATCCAGTTCTTTAGTTGAGTCCCGGCAAAGAAGCGGTGACCCACGGTTCCTGATTGGTGGGCTCTAGTCACCGCCACTGTGGCTGGTGCTTTGACCGCTGGCCAGGGCGGTGTATCATTGACTGGCAGAATGACCTATACTTAGCACTAGCCACACCAGCTGAACACTCCACTGTGGCGGTGCTACTATTAGCTGGTCATCACAAGTCCCAACAAGTTAGTTGAACATATGGCGGTTGTTCTTATGTTCATTCAATTTCCCTGCGGGCAAAAGAAAAAAGAGAAATAACATACTATTTACACATTCTAATAAAGACCATGACGTTAGATGATGCCATCACTTCTGTACTACTCCATACTCCCTCTATCAAACAATCATTTGCTTGGCACAGACATGGACGGGATACCTTGCATATTCCTTAGAGCCTGAAAGGTCGTCTCTACCTACCTGAGAACAAGGACCTAGCAGCGACTGATCCATAAATACGTACTCACACTACTTAGTACTGACGACGATATCCCTACCATAGAAAAGTAGTACGTAATGTGCTAGATCCTAATGAAACTACCAGGGGGCACAACAGCCGCAGCTCCGTCAAGTCACGTCTCCTTATCTCCCCGAAACCCCTGTCTCGTCAATGGATCAACAATCAACGTGTCGGTGTATCTGGCCTGTCGGTTCCCCTTCCTATGACTGCGATGATTTCATCTCCCAATCTTCCAATCTTCGAACCATTCAAAACTTCAAAACTCCCATTACTTTCATAATTTATCTTCACGATCATCCCTTTTCTATTCTGTAGAATAGCAATGCTCTTATTTAAACATCACCTGCTCCTCCTCCTATCCTAATCTTACCCAAAATGGCCATTCAAAGCAACCATCATGCCTATCCACCGGTAGCCCGACTACTCTGGGAGCCTAGGTAAGTGACGAGCTTAGGCTTAGGTTTCTTCTAGTCAAAAACCTCCCTGGTCACTACCCTAGCATGGCCGATCGGTCCCTCATTCTCCAGCAGAGCAGTCGAATAAGGAGACATGGACGGACGGGGAGTATGCGACCGTATGCAATCCAAAGCGTGTGCAGTGTGTTGTATACGAACCAGACCAGAAGCCAGATACCAACAACACATTGATCAATGCCCCCCGATCTCGGAGAGTGCATCCTAGACAAACATTGATACATATGCTGACCCAAATTCTTTTTACCCCCTTTTAGATCTATCTGCCAGGAGAATCATAAAAGTCATGCCAGGGGTGGTGAGTCGAATACTTGATCGATGGTGCAATGTTTTCTTATTTTTCGGGGGGTCTCGTTATTGTTCTTCCTCCCGTTCCCGCACCGCCACTTCGATGATTCATTTCTGTCCGAACTCGGGTTCCCTCACCACGCCCGACTCTGTTACCAATTGAACCAAGACGAGACTGGAGTCATTGGAGTTGCGCAGTGAAGGAATTGTATTCTCTATATACTCTTTTCTTCTATTCATTTTATTTCATCTGCTTTCATTAAGGGCCTCCCTTGGCTGACGGTTCTTCCTGCAATGGACACAGTGGACTCGGGGAGCACCTCGGAGGTCGAGGATCAGTCCAAGACTTGGGGCTCCGATGCTCGTACTCTGGTTCCTCAGGGAGCTGACGATGCGAGTAGTGCTCATCCGCATAGCGACTGCGGTATTGGACACCGCGTGTTGGCCAGCCGCTCGGTTCTGGCTCTCGTCATTGACGAGGAGTGTGTGTTTGCGGGCTTGCAAGGCGGAGATATTGTGGTAAGTTGATTGATCATTGGTCCTTGGAATGCGAAAGGATATTTTTGATGATTCGCGGGCTTGAATTTTATATTTGTGCATACGGTCTAACTCATTGCTCAGGCCTGGTCTTTGGACACCTATGAACTGATTCTCTCGGTGCATGCCCACGAGGAGAGTGTACTGGGTCTTTATCTGTCTGATGATGGCAATCTTCTTTTCTCCAGTGGCGGTGACTCTGTAGTCAATGTGAGTATATTGAACTCCTAAGAGATGTAAGGGACAATACTGATGCCATCCGAACAGGTATGGTCTACAAGAACCTTTGAGCGCCTTTACTCTATCTACTCCCACCATGATGTGGGCGACATCTTCTCCGTGGTCTATTCTTCAAGCAACCAAACCCTCTATTGCGGTGCTCAGAACACTAGCATCCAAGTAAGACAACCATCTCCTGCTGATTGTCATTGATCTCTAACCTCCTTGTCAGTGGTGCAACTTGTCAGAGGAAGGCTCGCTGAATCAAACCTCTGCTGCTCATCCCTCCAAGCGCACCCATCGGTTCTTCGACTCCCGTGGACCAGACGGCACAAGGGCTCCACGCCCCTCAGATGGTGCTAATGCAGTTTCAGAAGGTGGTCGCGTGCTCACCTTCAAGCGGGATCACCACAAGCTCTTCGCTCACCATGGTTATGTCTATTCGATGCTGCTAGTCAAGGGCCTAATTGAATCAGCACCTTCCGAGGAGGCCCTGCTAACCGGTGCCGGAGACGGTGTCGTCAAGTTGTGGCGTCTGGGCCAAGAGCCCGGTTCCGCGCCGACCCAGATTGCCAAATTGCAGAATAGCGACTCGGTACTTTCGATCGCCGTTGAGGGATCGCTGCTCTACTGTGGTCTTGCGGGTGGTGCTCTCAACATCTGGAATCTTGATTCCCAACAGCTTGTGAAGCGGATTGCCCGGCATACTGGTGATCTGTGGGCGGTGCACGTTATTCAGGGCGTTGCTATTTGCGGTGACTCGACTGGCACAGTCAAGGTATGAACCTACAAGGGACAAGTTTGTAGCAGTTCTGATTGCTGATTGATTGCAGAAATTCAACTCTCGGTTTGAAGAAGTTGGTGGCTGGACCGCCCATGAGGGTACCATGCTTGCTTCTGCCGTTGGCCGAGTCAAGGATCGTCAGATCTATGCCACTGGTGGAAATGATAATAGTGTCGGCATTTGGGACTTGACCGAGTTCTTCCTCGCCCAGGAAGAGCTGCCGCCCATTAGCAATGGTAAATTCATTCCTTCGCTCTTGCACGAAACGCCTGGCTGACCCCATGCCCGCAGATGAAATGGTGAACAGCCTTGCCAAATTCGTTTCTTTCAAGACGATCTCTGCCAGCCCCAAGTTCACTGGAGAATGCAATCAAGGTGCTGCATTCCTCCGTCGGCACTGCAACTATCTCGGTGCCAAGACAAAGTTGTTGACCACAGGCGAGGACACAAACCCCATTGTCTTTGCTCGATTCAACGCAACCTCTACCGAAAAGGTTGACAAGACCATTCTCTTCTACGGACATTACGACGTTGTCGGAGCAGACACGAACCGTCCGAAATGGAAGTCTGACCCTTACCAACTGACTTCCATCAATGGTTTCCTTTACGGTCGTGGTGTGTCGGATAACAAGGGTCCCATCTTGGCATCTCTGTATGCTGCCGCTGATCTTGCCCGCACCAAGTCTCTCCGCTGCAACGTAGTCTTCCTCATCGAAGGTGAAGAAGAGTCTGGCTCTCAAGGCTTCCATGAGACCGTGCGGGAACACAAGGACCAGATCGGTCCCGTGGACTGGATCCTGCTAGCTAACAGTTACTGGCTGGATGACTATAACCCCTGCCTGACCTATGGACTACGTGGTGTGGTTCATGCCAATCTAGTAGTTACCAGTGACCATCCCGATCTTCACAGCGGTATCGACGGCAGTGCCTTGCTCGACGAGCCCGTCAAGGATCTTTCCATCCTCGTGTCGACTCTGGTCGGACGCAAGGGCAAGATCAACCTTCCTGGCTTCCACGACCCCGTTCGACCCCTGACCGAGGCCGAGCAGAAACGCTTCGAAGCTATCGCCGATGTCCTGCTACCACAGCATCCCGAGATTCCCGATAGCCAGGCCCTGATCAAATCGCTCATGTACCGCTGGCGCGAGCCATCCCTGACCCTGCACTCGATGGAAGTTCCTGGCAGCAAGAGCGGCACCACTACCATCGCCCGTCGAGCCAAAGCGAGCCTGTCGATTCGCATTGTGCCCGATCAACAAGCAGACGAGGTCGCTGCCAACCTGACAGCCTTTGCACAAGAGCAATTTGATCTTCTCGACTCCCAGAACGAACTTACTGTTGAGATCACCGGCAAGTCCGATGCCTGGCTGGGAGATCCAGATAACGAGATCTTCGCTACACTCTCCGAAGCCATCACCGCTGCGTGGACACCCGACCAACAGACCTCGAAACATCAATACCCCGTGCCGAAACTCGCCCCCGGCCGCGCAACTCCAACTCCCAAACCCACCGGTCCAGCCAGCCAACTTCTCCGGAAGGATTCCTCCGATAGTCTCGCCTCGCATGTCGACCGCGTAATCACATCGACTACAACTTCCTCCGGCAAAGCCGCCGCTCGCAAGCGCTCAACGCAAGGCACAGCCCCAGTCCCAACATCCAACACGCTCGCCAAATCCGCCTCCACCCCCTCCGTAGAATCAACCTCGCTTCCCATTCGAGCCAAGGCAGACTCAGAGACCGAGTCTGACTTGTCTTCACCTTCACCTTCAGCCTCTGCCCAAGAAACCTCAGCTCCCTCCGCCTCAGCTACCACCACCGTGAAACCCATCTTCATCCGCGAGGGTGGCTCTATCCCAACCATCCGGTTCCTGGAGAAGGAGTTCTCAGCACCGGCAGCGAACCTGCCCTGTGGACAAGCTAGTGATAACGCGCATTTGGATAATGAGCGTATGCGGGTGGAGAATTTGTATAAGAGTCGGGAGATTTTCCGATACGTTTTTGCGCACTTGGTTGATAAGACATGATGTGATGGGATTGTGAGAAGGGGATTTAAACAAAAATTGTAAAAGAAGGAAACCTCCTAAAACAAGGGTTGATGGGCATGTGTTTAGGCATTTGCGTGGTGCTCGGGTATAGTTGAGCTTGAGCTTTGTGGATTTTGTTTTGTGCTGGACTTTTTTTGTGTAAAGTATATTTCTTTTTATGAGCTTGCATATGATGTACCTGTGTGGGAAACTCCATAGTGTATTTGATACTTCCGAGTTCAGAATATGGTTAACTTGTCTGCTAGTAAAGAAGTAATTCACCCCTCTGTACAAGCCCTACCCTGTTCTGCCTATCTTTTTATGACTTTGTAGCATATAACATCACATGATTTCCTATGCCTACCCTAGGGATGACCAAGATTTCATAAGAAGGTCATAACTATCCATTTTAGGTAGGCGGACGAAGGGTAACGAAGAAGTCACCGCCCCCGGTGTACTTTTCCTGAAGGATTGCTTGGGACCCCTGGGCTGACCAAGTCGGTAAATGGCTATCCTGCGATGACCGCACTGTGGCTGGTCTGGTTGGTGGAGAGTGCAGGACTCTGCGACGAGGAGGGCCACTGGAGAAAAGTGAGGCAGCGAACCAGATCGCCCCGACCGAGTTTCCGCAGGGCAGTGATATGACACGGGGTTGGATGGGATGGGTAGAAAAGACGAAGAGGCTCGTTCTCGAAACTTTATTAACATGTTGATTATTATCCAGTCTGTACTGCGCTTTAGTTGGTAGTGACTTGTGTTCGACCGTCCTACCGGAGTACAATAACAGAGCCACTTCGAGGTCTCTACCCACACTCCTCCACAGTTCTCCAGTTTATCCAACTCAGAAACTATACCCAAGCACCCATCATGAAACAAAAACTAATAATTTCATTCCTTTGCACCTACAGCGGGTACTCCCACAGCCAGTGTATTGTATTTCCACTTCTCACAAGTTGCCTTCTCTGTCCCCTTCACTTGATTCGCGACAATGAAACCCCCTATAAAGTAAGAACAGAAACCCAGATGTAGCAAAATAGTCACCTAGCGAGATGCAAAAACGAGATCCCCCGCTCTACGCCTGCCACGTTGTCGTCCACCTGCACATAGAGCCTCAGTCGTAGCCCGGTGGCCGCATGGCGGTGCCCAGCACCCAAACCCAAGCCCCAGCCCAAATCCCGTCATGTGGGAAGAGCCTCGAAATATGCCAGTCGGCCCACCATGATTGATTCGAGGAAAAGTAACCCACACGGTACGATAGTGGGTTTATTAGTGATATTTTGGTGAGTTGATGATTTGGGGTTTGGCTAGTGGATCCATTGAAGCAAACCATGGTAAGGTCCGCGACTCCCGCCAGCGAACCATAGCTTGAGGGTTGTTACATCCACATAGTTGACTTGCAGATTTGTATACATTATTTGCTTCAGCGCGGCATGGCCATCTTGACTGTACAGGGCCAAATGCTGGCTTCATTGAAGCAACGTCAACGAGATTATGACCATTACGACTTGGGCAAAAGCGAATATTGATCCGCCGTTCAAATGAATGGCTCTGGAGCCCCCTCGGCGGATCGAAATGGTTGGCAGGTGTAGGGATTACATTTGAGTGATGGCTCGCAGCGGCGGTCTACGCTGCACCCAATCAACCATCAACGCCCCCTCCTTCTCCTCCAGCTTCAGACCGTGGTACCTCGTCATAGTCGATAGAGCTCAGCCACAGGCGTTTGCTATAAGTAAGAGCCGAAGAAGGCAGCTTATATATCCCATTTGCAATGAAAGATCGCATTAAAGGTCTATGCCGAGATGGACGGACTATCGCTCGCAAGCAGCATTTTCTCTGTTGTGTCTCTCGGGTTGACGGTTTGCCAAGGCCTGGCAACATATTGTACAGATCTCAAGTCATTCAACGACGAAACGGAGAGTATATCTTTCAAGATTCAGGGATTGGAAAATGTCCTTAATGCTCTCTCTGACTTGCAATCGTCTTATGGCACCTTGAATTCCTCGTCGGCATCCGCTTTGGTGTTAAAAATGATCTCATATGCCAACCAATCATTGCTCGTCTGTCAAAATGATCTAGTAAAGCTCAAGCAGGTTCTGGACGATGTCAGATCCAATGACTCTTCTGGAAAGGCAAGGGTGGCGCGAAATTATTTGAACAAGATGTTATATCCACTCAGACGCTATGGGTTGGTCGGCCGTGCCGAGGCACTGGAGAGGCTGCAAGAAAATCTGAATACGATCCTGCTTTTGTTGAAAATGTAAGCGCTGCTATCTTTCTGATGATGGAAGGTTCAGTTGAATTTGCCCATGAACTGATTTAATGGGAAACACAGTGCTCTTGATCAAGATAATCAAGAGAGAGTGGTTTCGATAGAGGCGGCCGTTCAGAGCATTTCCCTAAACACAACGCAAATGGAGACTCGAGTGATGGAGATCAAAAATCGCCAGGATGAGATCTTTGATCAACAGAACAATATGGTATGAGTGATCCACCCTATGTAACACTTGACACTAAGTGATATTTAGATATCCAAGATCCTCGATTACCGACTGCAACCAGCGTTAGAACCGGCGGCCATCCAGTCCCTCCAGGAGGACTTTCAGCAGAACGAACGAGATATGCAAGTAACTATTCGAGGCATGCAGGAAGTGGATTCGATGATGGTTCAAGCCCGGAACCAATTCCGCAGTGCTCGCACTGTGTGCTGGTGCTCGTACCATACTCTGCATCCGTTTGGGTCTCCAAATGTCTTTTCTTCATACGAGCTGGTCCATAGAAAGGGATGCCCGTTGCACATTCCAGGACAGAGGATTAAAATCTGGCAGCTGAAGTACACATTTTGCAACATCTTTTTGAGACGATCAATCTGGGCTTCCTGGCAATGGACAGTTGGATCTGGGCCTCATAGGATTGACCGCAACTTTGTCTTCCACACTGTCGTTAATGGCTCGCCAGTCTTTTCACTCTTGGAACGTGCGTGCTGTTTTGGCTGTGCAATAGCAGGAAGAGTGAATATTTGGGAGATTTACAAAACGCTTCTATGCCTGTTCCGGAACAAACAGGCCTTTCCTACCGACTTGGATTGTCAAGGGCGGAATTTTTTGGTTGTAAGTTCTTCAACGGGCCAAGGGCTATATCCTCCTCCATGCTATAAAACTTTTGGCCCTTTTTTTGCTTTCTACAATATGAAATGTACTAAAAATTTATCCAGTGGCTGGTTCAAGTTGTAGAGCTCTTATTGGAGCTCCCAGAAGAGGGTCCTATAGTTCAAACAGAAATTTTGGAATCTTTGCTAAGAATCCTGAAAGATCTTAATCGTCAAGGTCTTCTGTTGAACTGGCCTGACAATTCCGGTGTCAATCCGCTTGATAGATTGGTTCTAAACCAATTCAATGATTTGGAGGTACATGCAGTATATACACGCACCGCTAGGCCAGCATGCGATTATCCCTTCGAGCTCACCCCTCGCCAGCAAATTGTTCTCAAAATCATATCAATATTCTTGGAAGCTGGACACTTTGTCACGTCAATAGGATTGGGCTGGGGTGATGAGAGAATCCGTTTCAATGCCCTAACTACGCGGAAAGCGAAGCTGACTTCTCGTCTATTCCCAGTGGAAGGTAATTAACTATCCGCCATGCTCTTTCTTACACGACTAATGTTATATGTTCTCAGATATTCTAGTACCCAGGGCCCTAGAGCCGCTGCTTACAAGAGACAAGCAGCAGCTCGAAATGGCCATTGGAGAAAAGGTTGATATGTACTGGGCTTTCAACTCATACGTCGAGTGGCCAGAAGCGATTGATGACCTTCTAGATGCGGGATTTGAACCAAATGAGTACTCGTTCAGGCAGGCAATCGTGCAGGGCCAGATACAGACTCTGAAGCGCATACTTGCTAAAAGGAAGAATTACCGCATCTGTCATTGCTTCTTGGAGGCTGCTTCTGCAAAGGATCCCGCATGCTCTTTTGAGAATTTGGAAGTTTTCGAGTTCTTAGCCGATCTGGTGTCGAAGCGACGGAAGGAACTACAGAACATCGCAGAGGCTACCTTGCCGAAAGAAATGCTGTCACACCTTCTTATTCGGGCCGATACACTTATCGGCTATAGGGCCGGCGAGACAGTGCAACTCCTAAGCTCTCACGGCGTCGATGTGGAGTTCGAAGATGAGTATGGATACTTGATTTATAATCAGGTGCATGGAAGAACGGCGTTTGCAGAGGTTCTGTGGAGCTTTGGCTTTAAAGATGTTGATGAAACGGATAGTGAAGGATATACCTGCCTCATGCTGACCCCAGCAGTCTCTACAGCCACCCGTCTTGAGTTTGCGCACTGGCTGAAGGGAAAAGGTGCTGATCTCGATCGCAAGAGAATAGATCAACCAGCCATGTTCTATGTTGCTTATGGTGTAGGACAACTCATCATGCACGATGCGGTGTGTTACCATCGAGCTCATAGCCCATCACATGTGGCTTTCCCAGATAGTAACTTCGGTGACTCGGAGTCATGGGGCATGGTCAACGATATCCTTCACAGGTCTTACAGAGATTCATGTGCTTGTAAGTGTTCTGACGCAGGCTGCTGCTCGACCACTAGATTCGTGCATGGTCTTGCATTGAACAAACTACCACCCAAACGCAGAATGGAGGTTATTTCCAAGCTTGGTGACATTAGCACTCAGCGCTCCGTCACCGCAAATCCTTCTGCTCTAATTCGCGCTCTTACATTTGACACGCTGAGTCTTCCACATACTTGCAATCATTCCACTGATATCGACGACGAAATCTTGGCTCGTGAAACTCAGAATGAAACAAAGGGCTCTGTTCAGTTGCTGGATGATCTACTAGATGAATTCCACCAGATGTATGAGAGGTCAGACTCTACGCTATTTGAGTTCCTTCAAGGGCATTGGGCGACGCGGATGTGTGAGGTTTGCGGCGAGGAGGTAGTAATTGACGAGGACAATGAAGAAGAATTTGTTGACGCACTGGAAGAGGTGACACCTTGATTCAAGAAGGCCTTGTTGTCAGCTCCTACAGTCTCATCATCTATCTATCTCTCTAATTCGGGTATATTGAATTGTTCTCTTGACCAAGCTACGGTCAGAACTATACGAAGCTCTACTTTGCGACACTATCTCTCTCTTCAGCATTAGGCTAGTCTGCCGGAGACTCAAAATTTTAGTCTCTTGCTTATAGTGCCTTGGTCTATCCTTTAGCCACACGGGCCAGTTTCAATTACTGAAAAAGTTCAGGTCGGATTGTCCAAGATATTTTAGTAGAGAGTGCCGACTACATTGATGGCAGAGACCCGCATCCATGAAGAACAGGGCTGACGTCAAGTTGCCACGGGCGGCGACAGGGAGGTACCAGGTAGGAACATGTTGAAGATGTGGAGGTGGTCTAATAGGACCTCTTTCTTGGACTTGCGTTACTATGTGCTTTGACCTGAGTTCATCCCGTACTATACACTTCAAGGCATGCTATTTTAGTCTATCCAATGATGTCTAGTAGGATAGTTAATTCACTACTTAGAGTAAACTGGTCCAAGTTGCTGCACAGGTCCAAGATTACATACAATAATTTAGGAAACGAGGGCGTAGGTACAACCAATAGGCCGAGAATGTATGTAAATCCCCACTTGAGCCGACAGATTATGACTCTGAGAGTCCGTCCTTCAGTCCGGAACCGACCGAAGCTGAGGCGTGACAGAAGGAACCGCAATTCTCATTGTTGTTTTGGACAGTGTCGGGTAGGATTTAACAATGTCACTTCGCCAGCTACTCAATCCATTTGCAACATAATTCAAAGTGCTAGAATGAAATGATTATACTGTAGTATAGAAGTTATATTTGGAATGCTAGAAGCACCAGAACAGCTATGAATCTCACTAGCAAAATAAAGCTCCGGTAGGTGCTCTAAAAGTGGTGGATTTTCGCCAGGAGTTTGTGCTTCTGACTCTGTAGTATTAATCTTACTAAGCCAGTCACTGACGTCTTCTAGAAGAGATAACATGATCGATTCAATTTACTCGATGGCTAGAGTCCGGCAAGAGAGAGGCCTGCGCACTCGCCCTTCTCACCCCCGGTCGCGCCACGCCATAGCAGCACTAAACGGCGCTCAAATGTACCTGGAGATTGTTGAACGATATAATTTACTTCACCGTTATACTAAGCACATACGACCATAGGGTGTGGAGAACAGGGCTTCCCGTCCGCTCAGCCGTACTTAAGCCACACGCCGGCCAGTTAGTAGTATGGTGGGTGACCACATGCGAATCCTGGCTGTTGTATGTTTTTGTTTTTATCCATCTTTGTAGCTTTTTGTCATTCACTGACTTTATTTATCGCTTTGTTGTTGTAGAGATGTTCGACGGTGCTCGAGTGGGAGGAGACATGCGGTGGATTAGCCATGATGTGACTTGGATCTAAGCATGACAGCATTGACCTGCTGGTACTGCCCTTCTTCCTGCTTTTAGAGCCATCCGAGCGCAATTCCTGAAGAAGCTGTCATATTTAGACAAGACTTTAGCAGTCTCTAAACGATCGCGCTGTCAAAAGGGAAGGGGGGAGAGTTGACGTCTCACAGGCACCTTTAACAGGGAGACACCATAAGTTTCGACAGCTCGTGCAATAAATATTGCACCTCTCCTGACACTGCAGATCATCGACACATCAACAATAGGCCTAGGCCCATGATTTGGAAGAAGGCAACGCTTTGTCATAGCTAATTTGCTTGTTTCTGCAGGCAAGTATACACCTCCGTTGGAGCTAGCCGTGATCCGAAAATACTCCACGATGTCATTCGTCTATACCTTGGACGGTCAATTCGATCGATTCTCGATCGAACCTATCAAACGACAAGAATCAATTTCCAGGGGCCCTGCCAACGCAAGTCCGGCACACCGCGCCACTTCCCCGCGGGTGGCCCCTCCTCTGACAGTTGATCTATCGAATGCACGGGCTTCATACCCACCGAACAATCAACAATTGTACCAGAGACCATGTCTGTGGGTTTTACAGGACCCCCGTGTGAGCGCCACCACCGCCGCCTATTCAAGTTAAAACCATTGCAAAAGTTCCAATGCGACATAAAAAGAATGGCATTATTGGGCCGAATATAGGTCAATGCAGAATGAGGCGGTATAAAGTGCCTGGAAATGGAAATGACCGACGAGGAAGCTTGGTTTCTCTTTACACCCCCCGTTTCATCATCGTGCTCGCTTGCGCTTGATATGAAGAGTCGGAATACGACCTTCGACAGCTCACAACGGTTTTTTTGCGGGAAATTTCTCTCGTCATTCAGTTTTGCGAGGTTCTTTTGACGAGGTCGTGATGTATTTGTATCTTGGTGATGCCCTTTTTTGATTGCATGAGTTGCTGGCAATGCAACGAGTCCATAATCTGGCGATACTGAGAAATTCCGCGTACAGAAAGCCTTATATTATTTTGTGAAAATGTTGGCTGGTAAAGGTGTTCGTGCTATCGCGGTGATGTGGGTGATGACCTTCATCTCTTTCATTCTGGTTCCACTTCGACTCTACACGAGAGTTTACGTCGTCAAGGCATTGGGCGTGGATGACCACGTATTCAATCTAGCTTGGGTGAGTTCAGAATTGCTCCTGAGAGATACAAATCATGGACAGAAGTAATACTCACATACCTACAGGTATTTTTACTTCTGTATACCATATTCATGACTATATCAGGTAGCTATGGATTCGGTCAACCTATAACCACCCTCGACATGGACATGGCTGTCAAGGCTGTATACAACGAGATGATCGGCCAGACCTTTGCAGTGCTAGGGATGGCTATTGCGAAGATATCCCTGGGCATCTTTCTACTTCGTATTGTTGTCAAGCAGTGGCATCGAACCTCCATCTGGATTTCCATGGTCAGTCTGGCGATTGTCTCCGTGATGACGGCAATTCTCTTTTGGATCCAGAAGCTCCCCTCGGAGTCTATCTATGATCCTCGTGTCCCAGGGCGCCTCGTTGTTCAAGTGACCCCGTTTTCTATCTTGCTCGGATGTATGATACCCCTTTCCCCCTTGGCTTGCAGGACCATCCATCCTTCTTGGCCGTATCCCTCTAACACTCTTCTTCCTAGCTTGGTGTGCCGCTGTGGACTTTTACTTCGCGCTGCTTCCATGGATCTTCATCTGGAAGCTCAACATGAAGTTCAAGGAGAAGATGTCTATCGCCATCAGTCTGAGCCTGGGGTTCATGTATGTGACTTGATTTCATATTGACTGTCGCAATGAAACTAACCTTGTTTGATAGAGCTTGCGTCTGCGGAATCATCAGAACCATCGATCTAGGTGGACTATCCAGCTCAAACTATACTGGTAAGATACGTCCCCCTTTACAACATGGTAAACAAAATCCTCTAATCTTCCCTGATGTGCTCTAGAGGACACCGTCGACTTGATAATTTGGTCCGCAGTCGAACTCGCCGTCACCCTAATCTGCGTTGGCATTCCCACCGTCCGCCCTCTCTATCGTGTCATCGTCCATGGATCAAACCTAGAGGACTCCGAGGGCGGATACATCAAGCATAACAATTCCGATCAATCATCCCATCTCCACATGCAAAACATGTCGAAGGGTAACTCGGCATTTCGGGCTAAGGATGAGGGTACTACCGAGTTGTATATCACTCGTAATAACCACAGCGATGAGGAAGTGCTTGTTGGGCAGAATGGGAAGAATGGCAAGAATAATCGCGGCATTCGGGTTAGAGAAGAGGTACGAGTGGAGGCGAACTATTGAGGCTGTACACAGGTATTCTATCTGATCCATAGTTCGTTTCGGGGCGGCATTTTTGGGCTATGGTGCTGTTACTTCATTCCTTTTGATTCCCCTTTGTGTTTCTAATGGGTTCGTCATAGTAAAGGACGATTGAAAAGTTGTACAAAATGAAAATCTTTACTTGCAATTCTTGAAGAGAAAGAAGGTGATATGCCACTGGAGTAAGAGCATGACGGTCTGTCGATATATGGTTCGCTCGCCTGTCAATTATTGCACAACCTCATCTGCTTGGAACCTCGACAGTTATGCCATTTGTATTAAGGACCCGAAATGTATAGAGAAGACCGCCTTTTCAGACATCTCTAGGAACACAATCAGATATGTTGAAAGCTCGGAGCTTTTGTATAACATCAATGCTTGGGGAAAAAAGAATGCAATAATGCATGTAAGACAAGGTCATTTGAGCAGTAACGAAAGTATATCCCGATACGGACGCCCGGTCTTCATCTTTATGAATGTACTTTATCGACGATTAAATCTCGTAACTGTTGAACTCATTAGCATCCATACTAGCCATGTCATCTCACGTCTCGAAATTGAACTTACCTCCACTCGTGCGCCTCATCGCCGTACTGGATACCCTCGATCCAGTTCTTCATCTGGAGGGCAATCTCGCCCGCCTCCTCGTCCTTCTTCAGACCGCAGTCAACAAGCTTGCCGCGGTAGCTGATGCTGCGCACAGGGCTGACGATGGCCGCGGTGCCAGCACCGAAGACCTCGATCAGACGGCCCTCCTCGGCGGCCTGGGCGACATCAGACATGCGGATCTTGCGCTCGGAGATCTCCCAGCCCTTGGGAGCGAGACGCTCGCGGGCAAGAGCGAGGACGGAGTCACGGGTAACACCCTCGAGGATGGTACCGTCAAGAGGAGCAGTGATCAGCTCGTTCTTGCCAGTCTCCTTGTTCTTAATGGCAATGAAGAGGTTCATGGTGCCGACCTCGGTCACGTACTCCTCCTCGCCGAAGAGCCATAAGTTCTGCTGGAAGCCACGGGAGGCAGCCTCAAGCTGGGGCAGAATGCAAGGAGCATAGTTGGCGCCAAGCTTCTTGTCACCGACACCACCGGGCCAAGCACGGACGGCATAATCAGTGGCCTCGAGGGAGATGGCCTTGAAACCGGTAGGGTAGTAAGGGCCCACGGGGCTAGCAATGACGAAGAGCAGGGCAGAGCCGGGAGGACCGACGCCCAGAGTCTTCTGAGTACCAATCATAGTAGGGCGCAGGTACAGAGAGTAGCCACGAGCACTAATAGATCACAATTAGCAAATATTGTCTACAAGCATAAAGCTCAGGATATTGCTCACTCCGGGATGAAACGGTCGTCCACCTTCACAAACTCTCCAATCAGCTTGGTCAGAGCCTCACCGTCGAAAGTCGGGAGAGCAATGCGCGCAGAAGACTTGTTCAGGCGCTCCATGTTCTTGTTGGGGCGGAACAACCGGGTTCCTCCATTCTTATCCTTGTATGCCTTCATTCCCTCGAAGCACTCGAAAGCGTAGTGGAAGACGCATGTGGAGGGGTCCAGGCTGAGGTTCTGGTAGGGGACGATTTGAGGAGAGTGCCAGCCATCAGTAGCGGTCCACTCAACGGTAAGCATATGATCTGTACCAAAGTTCAATTAGCGATCAGACTTGTCTAGCATCGAAAAAAGTAGATCCTACCGGTGAAAGTCTTGCCAAAGACCAGATCCTTGGGTGGCGTCAGCTCCTTAGGAGTCGTGGTCTTTGTGATAGACAGCTTCGAGGCATCCAGAGCAGCGAGCTGAGACGCGGCGGAAGCCGTCACGCCGAAGTTTCTTTGCCATAGCCTCTGAGACGCGAAGGTCTGTGAAGCCAGGCGAGGGGTCGCAAGACCAGTGAGGGCCTTCCGGCGAGTCAATTGCTGAAGGGACTTCATTGCTGAATGATGTGTGTCAGCTAATGCAGTGATTTGGGGGGGGAGGATGATAAGGGCGAGGACGGATTTTAAATGCGCGATGACTACTCCGCACGGCACTTTCTGCGGAGGACAGGCACAACTCCCCGGCGCGCCTTACAGCGAGATTCCGCCTCACCGCCCGGTCTTTGATGGCCTTTGAAGGTGATAACTGAATGACTCAAGCGCGCCGCATATCCGATTGCACCAATCAGATTGCTTCAATTGGATGGCCCGCCGATTTCGGATCAGTTTGCGGCCTGAATCTTCAGTCAGCAATCAAAATCGCCGACGCAAAGCGAGAAACACCTGACCGGAAATAGCAGCTCGTGACATTCATCAGCTTATTCTTATTATTGGGCCCACTTTTTTTAGACAATTGGGCAGTTGCACAGTTGAAGTTGGACAGTTGGCGATGACGACACGTGACCCCGCCCGCGATAGGAACATCGTTATCGCAGCCCCGTTGGAGCTTCGATGCAATCGGATGCGCCATTGTCCCTCGGTCGCCCATTGAAGTTCTTGTCGCAGCTGCAGAGCTCCAATTGACGCCTGCTGGGATTGCTCACCCCTGAACCACATAATTTACAGGCACGGATCAAGTCATGCATTGCGCCGCGACTCGACCAATCACCACTTTGTGAATCGCTTCAACGTTGCCTGACGCAGCTCGATCGTGGATGAATAGCACTCCCTCGGCATACCTACACCCAATATGTTTTCCAACGCGCTGAAGTCGTTCAGCTCCAACATCTCATCGAACTACCAAATATCCCCGCATCCCACCGTCTACTCCGGCCCCTGGAAAATCCACGATGCCAAGAAAAAGTCCACGGGCACTGCGGCGTCCGTGTTCATCTTCGATCGCAAGGTTCTGGAGCCGCGGTCCGGTGGATTTGGGCGCTCGGGATCGTCTTCGAAGAAACTACAGGACGATGTGATTGAACGGCTGAAACGGGAAGCTGGCAACCTAGCCCGGTTACGACACCCCTCCATCCTACAGGTGCTGGAACCAGTGGAAGAGACGCGCAATGGTGGGTTGATGTTCGCAACGGAGCATTTGACAGCCTCGCTTTCGGGGCTACTGCTGGATAAAAACGAGCAGGAGGGCGCATCGGGCTCCGGTTCGCGGCCCAGTCGTTACATGGTCCAAGAGGCCGATGGCACACGAAGGCGGCGCGACTTGGAAATCGACGAATTGGAAATCCAAAAGGGTTTGCTACAAGTCGCAAAGGGTCTAGAGTTCCTTCATGAGTCTGCAGGGTTGGTGCATGGCAATTTGAATCCAGACGCCATCTATATCAACTCCAAGTCTGATTGGAAGATCTCCGGCCTCGGTTTCGCTGGTCCTCCTGATTCCTCAGAGACTCGGTCAACACTGCCCCCGTTGGCTGTCTCCGAGGTTCTCTATCAAGATCCCAGACTGCCTGCTTCCGTACAGCTGAACATGGATTACACCTCCCCGGACTTTGCCTTGGACTCCAACGTGTCGTCAGCTGCAGATCTCTTCTCCTTGGGTCTGATAATCATTGCGCTCTATAACTCGCCCCATGTCTCACCCCTCCAAACCCATGCGAATTTGACGACATACAAAAAGCTGTTGAGCTCTCCATCGACTACCCCCTCGCAAAGCAACAACTTCCTTTGCTCTCAGCCCATCCCTCGCGATGTTCTATCTCATGTCTTGCCCCGGCTCATTACCCGAAGACCCGCGCAGCGCATGAATGCTCGGGAGTTCCAGCAGTCGCAGTATTTCGATAACGTTTTGGTGTCTACAATTCGATTCTTGGAGTCTTTGCCAACTAAGAATGCGAATGAGAAATCCCAATTCCTTCGTGGGCTACAGCGCGTGCTCCCGGACTTTCCGGTTTCAGTGCTGGAGAGAAAGTTATTGGGAGCCTTGTTGGATGAAATGAAAGACCGAGAACTATTGCCACTGATCTTGCAGAACGTTTTCGGAATCCTCCAACGAATTCCTAATGGGCATCGTGCCTTGTCAGAGAAGATCATCCCCCGCCTCAAAGAGGTGTTTGGCACGGGATCGGGAAAAGCAGGATCTCAAGAGCGGGACTCCAAGAAGGATGCAGGCCTTATGGTTGTATTGGAAAATATGAAACTTATTGCCGACAACTGCTCAGGCATAGAGTTTAAAGATGGTAAGATATCGCGAAGCAAGCTGGCTGTACATTGCTAACATTGATACTCTAGATATACTTCCCTTGATCCGCTTGGGCATGGACTCACCCACCCATTCCCTGGTTGATGCCTCTCTCAAATGCCTCCCGATCATGCTTCCGGTCCTTGACTTTAGTACTGTCAAAAATGAGGTGTTCCCGCCGATTGCTAGCACTTTTAGTCGCACTAGTAGCCTTGCTATCAAAGTTCGTGGACTGGAGGCTTTCAGCATCCTATGTGGTGGCTCTCCGAGCGACTCAGACGGACTAGACGATGACCTCAACGGTACCGTCCAACCAAAACAGACCACCAAGTCATCCATTCTAGACAAGTACACCATTCAAGAAAAGGTTGTGCCGTCTCTCAAGGCCATCAAAACGAAGGAACCTTCAGTCATGATGGCCGCCTTGAAAGTCTTCCGACAAGTTGGAAGGGTTGCAGACACGGACTTCCTCGCCCTGGAAGTTCTGCCGATTCTCTGGAGCTTCAGTCTGGGCCCGCTGTTGAATCTCCAGCAATTCAATGAGTTCATGGCACTTATCAAATCCCTTTCTACCAAGATTGAAAAGGAGCAGGCAAGGAAGCTCCAAGAACTTTCCTCCGGTGGAGATTCTGGCGGGTTCCAAGCTGCAGCTAGCAGCTTCTCGCAATCCGCCACGGATCTAACTTCTCCTGATACCGACGGTGCCAGAAACAACTTTGAGCGTCTCGTGCTTGGGAAGAATACTGCTCCCGCTAACGGTGCAGACGCTGATCTTTGGGGTGGTATGGATGCCGAGCCCGCTGCACCGAAACGACCGAGCATATCGGCCGCTCTCTCCTGGTCTATGAACAATGCCGCTGGCATGAGCCAACCTTCATCTAACCAACTCGGTTTCCGATCCATTACTCCAGATCAGAAACTCGGTTCTTTCCCATCTTTGGAGCCTGCACGGCAAACGTCTCCTGCGATTCCATCTTTCCCAACTATGCAGCCATCTTCGCCAACTTGGGGTGTTCAATCTCAGGGAGCAAACAGGCCTAGCCCATCTATGGCATCACTGTCTGGCTTAGCTGCCAATGCCCCCATGTCACGACCTACATCATTGTCTCAGCAAGCTTCCAACTATTCCGCCTTTTCTATCCCACCTCCACCAGGAGGTATGGGTGCGAACAATGCGATCCGAACACCCTCTCTGAACATGAATACAACGCCGGTGCCGTTCGCCAGCCAACCCCAACCCCAACCCCAACCCCAGCCCCAGACATCGCAAAAACAAGGATTAGACAAATACGAGAGTTTGCTGTGAGGTATGTCGTCGCGTGCTTGTTTTTCGAATACCCGATGTGGGCCCGTTCTTGTATATACCCATTTTTGTGCAATTTGCTAGCGAAGCGGAGTATATAGAATCATCTCGAAATGAAGTAGCATAGCATTTCTCTATCCCAAGACCTACTAGCGCCTTGTATAGTGGGGTTCCACAAGTTTGAAACTGCGCTTGAATCGAAATTATCGCAAAAGATCACTCGAGATATTGGCGAAGCTAATCAGGAAAGCAAATCAGTAGACATTCTAGAAAGAAGGATCTTTTAAAACTTGAAGCTCATCTCGCTATATTTTTCCTCTAGTCGATAAATTCAAGCCTTTAAACTGCTACCATAACTTCCCTGACCGCATTTCATTTAGTATCACTCCATTGTGTACAACCGAACCTCAAGCCACCACAAGTCGGCAAAAGTGTATGGAGCTTGTGGAGCAAGGGCCAGACGCGTAGCGTCGGCTGGCGGGCGGAGCCTTTAATGATTGGCAACAGGCCCGTTCCCGATGTCATAGTCAATTGGTAGCAAGCTACTTTGACCCCTCAACCCTCCAATGCACTCACTGCGTGGCATTGCGCCGCGTATACTTACCCGGAGCTCCGTATTACCTCCGCTACCCCTCAATCGTCTTGCACACCGATTGCCCGCGCTTCGCTCTTCCTTCTCCATCTCCCACTCCCTTCGATCACCCATCATGGACGAAAACGTGAAACAGCATTATCTGGCTGACTCGCCGCCCAGCGTGGTCCGCCTAGAAATCAAGTCGCACTTTGACACTCTTAAGGATGAGAGTCTTCGGAGATATGCCCACTACATGAGCAGGTAGTGTGTCCCCGCGTGTAGGCGCCACTCGCGCTTGGTCGATTTCTCCCATGGGCACAAGACAACGGGCTAACCGAGAGGTTGTAATGTGTATAGAGCTGCGTTTGAAGGTACTCGTGTGACTTTGCGCCAGGTCTCGCCCGAGTCGGAACCTATCTACGATCTTATTCTCGCCCTCCACGGAGCTTGCAATGGCGACTGGAAGAGTCTCGCCGAAAAGACTCAGGTCAGCGATGAACACCTCCGCTTCTTCCTCGAATACGCCGCTCAATTCCTGGGTAACTGCGGTAATTACAAGGGCTTTGGTGACTCCAAGTTCATTCCTCGGATCCCCGCGTCTGCCCTGGAGGCTTTGGCATCGAGCACACCGGAGACCAAGGAGGCTTTCCAGAAGGCAAACAGCACTGGTGGCGGTATCTATGAGACAACCGAACAGTCTATGATGCATCTGGGTTACCCTGCCAGTGGTCATATGACCACCTACTATCCCGACTCGCCCACAATTACCAAGGACGAGATTACGGCCGTTGGTGATTTGATGGAGAAGAAGGGCCTGGCGTTGGAGAACACGAGAATCCGCAAGACGGCCTCGGGAGACTTTGAACTCTTGATTGCATCTGGAGTCACTAACCCTCCTCGGAGGGATCGCGACCTCGGCGAGACTGATACTTTTGAGCTCGAGGGGGCTCTCAAAGGCAAGACCCTTCGCCTGGTCTTCGGAGACTACCAGGAGGAGATGGCTAAGATTGCGCACAACATTAAGCTGGCTGAGCGTAATGCGGCCAACGATAATCAGAAGAAGATGTTGGACGCATATGCTCTTTCATTCGGTGCTGGATCTATTGAGTCATTCAAGGAAAGCCAGCGTGTTTGGGTCAAGGACCAGAAGCCCACTTTGGAGACGAACTTGGGATTCGTCGAGACCTACCGTGATCCCCATGGTGTGCGTGGAGAGTGGGAGGGCTTTGTCGCTCTGGTAGGGCTATCAAATTTCCTCCGTTCAAATTATTCCCAATGGCTAATTATCTTCTCTTAAAGGTGAACCTGGAGCGAACTCGCGCATTCGGTGCTTTGGTGGACAGTGCTGAGAGCATGATCCCCAAGCTGCCCTGGGGTACCGATTTCGAGAAGGACAAGTTCCTCAGTCCCGATTTCACCTCCCTGGAAGTCCTGAGCTTCGCTTGCTCTGGTCTTCCTGCCGGTATTAACCTTCCCAACTACGACGACATTCGTCAAAACTTGGGTTTCAAGAACGTCTCCCTCGGCAATGTTCTGAGCGCCAAGGCCCCGAATGAGCCCATTCCCTTCATTGCTGAGAAGGACCAGGAGGTCTTCCGTCGCTGCCGTGACCCTGCCTTTGAAGTTCAGGTCGGTATCCATGAGCTGCTTGGCCATGGAACCGGCAAGCTTCTTCAGGAGACTGCACCGGGCGAGTACAACTTCGATATCTCCAACCCTCCTATTAGCCCCGTGACTGGCAAGCCCGTGTCAACCTGGTACAAGCCTGGTCAAACGTGGAGCTCGGTGTTCGGTGCTATCGCCTCTTCATATGAGGAGTGCCGTGCCGAGTGTGTTGCTATGGCTCTGGGCTGTGACTTTGAGATTCTCAAGATCTTCGGTTTCGGCGATGGCAAAGAGGACATGGCCGGCGAGGCCGGTGACGTTCTCTATGCAGCCTATCTCCAGATGGCTCGTGCCGGTCTGGTTGCTTTGGAGTTCTGGGACCCCAAGACTCAGAAGTGGGGACAGGCTCATATGCAGGCTCGTTACAGTATTCTGCGCACTTTCCTCGGTGCTGGCGATGACTTTGTCAAGTTGTCGTACACCAAGGAAGATCTGTCAGATCTGGAGATCCTCCTGGACCGGTCTAAGATCCTGAGCCACGGTCGGCCTGCCGTTGAGAAGTACTTGCAGAAGCTGCACGTTTATAAGAGCACTGCCGATGTCGAGGCTGGCAAGGGCATGTATGACGAGATCACCTCGGTCGACAGCTGGTGGGGATCGCAGGTGCGCGAGGTTGTTCTCAAGAACAAGGTTCCTCGCAAGGTCTTTGTTCAGGCCAACACTATTCTGGAGGGAGACAAGGTTACTCTGAAGGAATATGAGCCTACTCTGGAGGGTATGATCCAGAGTTTCGTGGATCGCAAGGTGTAAAGGGCTGAGCGATAAGGGTAAATAGTAACACAACAACAAACATGGATAGTTAGCGTAGCACATCAAACATATTAAATACCCCTCAGCGACACAGACCTGACTTCCTGCCCTGAAAGTAAAATTTTGAGTTCCTATCTAGGGGATACCACTAATTGCGTAGCTGGGGAGAATCCTAGAAGATCCAAGGTGCGGACTGTCGACTTACCGCCGACGTGATCGAGTAGTCTAGTTAAGCGCCCATCCTTCACCTCCTCTTCCCAGATCGCCAGCTCTTCCGTTTGCCAGCTTTCCACCAAGGCATCACTGCAGTGTCAACAGTGCCATCACCGACGACCTATATCCCTCGAGTTGTTTCTTGAAGATATTCGAACCTGCAAACGTGCGCGGGCTTCCATCCGGGCGATCGTGAGTCTCCTGATCGACAACAAAGCGGACCCTTAGGACGCAAGTCCGGAAGCCATCAGACCAGCCGCCTAGTCGCGATTGGGTCTGATCTGAACGACCACACCGTGTCGGACGAAACACACTCTCAGCACCCATCAACCACGGCGCGCCCGCCTTCTCCAACGGACTCCCTCGCGGAGGACGACAACTACACAGCTCCCCCGCCGCACTCGCCCTCCCAAGCATCCGCCTCGAGCTCCGCGTCCGTCAGCCCTCCACCTTTCTCCTCCCTCTTCGCCTCGACCGAGTCCAGTCGCCCCAAACTCACTGAGTCCCCCGGTCCCGCTTATCTTCCAGCTTTTGCGCCGCCGCCACCCGTCGAGGAGCGTCTCGATTCGGCCCCTTCGTCGGCGGTTGTCGCAGACACCAAAGCATCCTTCTCCGATCCTAAGGGGGACGGGCTTGGCAAGAGTACCGACGACGGGGAACCGCCGCCGCCGTATACTGAAGGCTACAGTCCACTCGAGTCGTTTACATACACGATGGCTGCGGCAGGAGGCGCTTCAAGCATCATCACCCAGGTCCAGCAGACTGGTGGACCGCCCATCAACACTCTCGGAGGTATGTGCCATCCCTACGGAGGGAGATGCGCGACAAGTCGCCGGACTAACTTGTCCTTTCGCATACAGATATCGGTGGTGATGAGCATATCACGCTAGATCTCCGGTAAGCCTTTCGTTTACTACCGCCGTAATGGATGTGGTGCTGACATGTATAGGGGTACCCGGTTTACACTGTCGCGAGATGAGCTGTTAACGCTACCAGAGTTTGTCTTGCTGTCTCTGTTCCCAAATGGCCTCCTTCCAGATGGTCACATGGGTGGATTCCATGAGGGTGATATTTACCCCGTTGACGTAAGTTCATTCGTGTGGTGTGAGCAGTTTTAGTACCCATGAACACAGCTAATAGCTTGCAGTATGACCCAGCATCCCTCCAATTCATGCTAGACTTCTTCCGATCTGTCGCGCAATCCATTCCCTCGCCATTGCCTTCCGCGTCGACATCCCCTGACCTAGAAGTTCCCGATGTCATGCAAAATCCCGCACGCGACATGCTCCAGGATCGTGCTGGAATTATCGTTCTTCGTGAGGATCTCGACTTCTATGTCATCCCGCCACGCCCAGACATTGGCCATGAAGAAATGCTTGAAGTCAAGCGGGCTGCTGGCCGAGCCTTGCTAAAGCAGGATGGCATTTTCTCCGGCCTGCGCAAGAGTGAGGAGGTCGGCTCAACTGAACAGCACCTCATTGAGATGCTGACTGCAGGGTAAGCTTACTCGTGGTCCTGTAATTATGTGAATAGCCACTAATTTGAACCAGTGGGTTTGATCGTGAGGATCACTGGGGTCACCGGGCCCCGGAGCCTAACAAGGCGGTGATCTGCAGTCTGGCTCTGGCCAAGCTTCGCACCGACATTCGCGGTGATCTTTCAAACAACAATACTGTTGGTATGGCTCAAAAGCTTTTGCTTTTCTGGAGAAAGCCCGCTCGCCGCTGCTGGTGGGAGGGTGTGGATCTTGACAACGTTGAGGGTGTTGAGGGTCAGGTTAAGGTCTGGATCCGGAGGGTGTGGACCCTCGAAATGGTGAGTCTTTTGATTCTTGAATGCTAGAGTGCTTGGCTAACGTTTTCTTGACAGAGTGTTATTGGCCTGCGGTGATCTCATTATTATTATTTGCAATTTCTTTTTTATTTTCCATTTATTCTTGTTGTCTGCTGCATCTGTACCTATACCCAGATCCACTGGCTCGTCGCCAACATGTTTTGTCGCCCCTCCTTCTTACAATCTTCAAACACAACAGTGATTATTATTCCAGTTTCATTACTTAGTTTTATTTTCACCAGCAGTCGGGCTGGCGTACTTTGCAAGTTGGTGTTGATATTGAAATAGTTCTTTGTTTATAGTATCCTGCTATCCACAGCTTACTTGTGCTGGGAGCTGTGGATCATTGGTATAAGGCAGATAAAATTGGAACATCTATTTGCCCGTTTTATTTCTTTTCCAGGCTGACAATCTTCATGTTGTATTCCTTGTGAGACGAATGGTTGATTATATGTATGTCCAAGGCTCCGACTTCCTGCCTCAGGCATCAGAGTTTTACTCACGTGACCGTGGAATGGACCCGTCTCGCTCGATTGGGGAAAACGCGACAGCGGCGCAAAAGAATCCCAGCTTAGATCGATTGCTGTTCAATCCACCTTAGTGGAAACGAAATATATACTTGGGTCCTTTTACCTTTCTCTTCTTACCTCAACCTTCTCTTCTGCTCCTATATCTCTCTGCGACTCATTCCTGATTCCCCCGAGTCTGTTCAACCCTTCAATCGACCTTCAAACAACAGAAACCTTTTGCGCCCTCAATCCCCGCGAAGGGGCATGTGCTAGTCGAAAGCAATCGCCAACATGTCCCCTCTCAGAGGTTACATCACATCATACCCGCCACGAGTGCGCCAGTATGGAAACGCGTTGTTGACGCCTGTGTACCCGGTGCAGACGGGTCCGACGCCGCGGACGACAAAGCGCGGAACCACGGCGATCAATTATGCCGAGGACGGTTACGATGATGATGATTTTGATGAGAGCGATGGTCCTCGCCGGCCCACTGGGCTAAGGAGTCTGCGGCGCGAGGAATCGACTGGTGGTATGCTGGCGCCGATGGAGAAACTGGGCAAGGAAGTGCATGCGCCTGTCGAGGTGCAGGGTGTGTTTCGCGAATGGATGATCAAACGGATGCTGCGGCCTGCGTATGTAACTGCTGCTTCGAGTCGCGATCTTCGGGATCCTTCTTGGCTTTGTTGTTGGGTTCTCATGCTAACGTTGAATGTGATTTGTGTAGATGTGCGGACCAACTACAAATCCAAGCGCAGCTCCCCTTGACGCTGGTTCCGATTCGAATTGACGTGGAAGTTGCCGCGCATCAACCCCTCGAACCGTTCCCTTTCCCCCGCCGCGTGAATGAACAAATTATCAACCCGACCCTTCCTGCATACCGGAGACCGGACCCTCTACCTCCCTTCAGAATCAAGGACACCTTCCTGTGGAACCTCCACGAGGCTCTAGCTACGCCGGAGGAGTTTGCTATTGGCTTTGTTCGTGACCTTGATCTTCCCAACCCACAGGCGACGACGATGACCATCAGTAATCAGATTCGCCAACAATTGGAAGAGTATGCAGGTGTGGCCTTGCATCCTCTTTTCCAAAGCAGCCATTCAATCCATGCTCCGAGCGTGCCCCCACAGATGGATGCTTCGCGAGATGTATCCATGACTCCAGCTGCGACCAACGTCGATACACCTGATAGCCGGGTCAACGGGGCTACAGTAACGGTCACAAAAGAGGCATTGGTGAACGACAGTCTTCTGAACCCGGATGATGCATACCGGTGTCTGATCAGTCTCAACATTAACCTTCAAAATAAGCTCTACACAGATAAGTTCGAGTGGTCTTTGCTTCATCCTCCCGGTATGGCCGAGGAATTTGCTCAGATTACTTGCGCCGATCTACATCTCGGTGGAGAATGGGTGAGCGCGATTTCACATGGCATCTACGAGGCCGTCTTGAAGTTGAAGAAGGAGGTCTGCGAAAGCGGCGGCCTGATCAATGGCTACGGAAATGAGATCGACAATCAAGCGGCCAACGGTGTGGAGGCTGGCTGGCGATACGATCCCGAGACCCTGGGTGATAAGTGGCAGCCTCAAGTTGAGACTCTTTCCAAGGAGGAGATTGAGAGGCGGGAGGGTGACCGTGAGCGTGAAATCCGACGTGTACGACGAGAGACTGCACGGTTCTCTTCAACTACGGGCATCACGCCAGAGGTGTCTCGGCAGAGCAGTGGTGGCTACTTTGATGTTGATAGTGAGACCCCGTTGGGTCGTGGTGAGCGGAATAAGCGGAAGCGTCGCTTCCGTAGTCTCAGCCCGTTGGGTAGAGGCACACCTGGCGGTCGAGGCACTCCGGAAACAGGATCAGGTGCTGGGTACGGTGGCGGAGGTGGTACTCTCACGGATTGGTATGTGGTCCAGTCTTCTAGTCTGCAGATTGACATTGCTAACATCAAACTAGGGAACGACAAAGCTGGCGATGCAGCAATTGTATGGTTTGGGGTACAGCCGTCTGGGCAGTACGAGACGGACCGGATGGCCCTCGTGTAAGTCAAGTTATATTGAGAGTGTACTCGTCTCATGCTGACCTGTTTCCCTCTCTTTCCAGACTCTTTGCCACAACTGTGGTTTCCTATACGAGCGGGACAAGACCACCCCAGAATGGTCAAGAGATCTGCACCGTCACGATATCCCCGTCGGCCGGTTTACCTAGATATCCCATGCAATTGCACGATCTTGTTTGAGTATAGGGTTTGGTTTATGTCCTTTCTGTTTCTCTTGTCCTTTCGAGGGGATACATTGGTAGGCGTGGAAACGGTGCTCCTTTTTTTTCATTAACATAATGTATGAATATGACTCTAAGCTGATTCGGTTTCCTGCCGTTTGTTCTTCCCTGCTTGGTGTCGGGTTGTGTAGTTACGCTATGGATCAATTCTTCAGGACTAATGATTATTTTTCTTTGATGAAACGTACTGGATTTTCGAAGATCTATCGTTGGACACATGAGACTAGTTAGTTGAGAACTAATCACAAATTTTTCAATTGGAGATACAGTGCAACTTAGATCGAATTAATTCAAAAAGGGCCGAAGCTACAGCTACCATGTCCAAACCCAGGGTCATTACTGCAGTACAAGTCAAGTTCATGTAAACCGAAACCAACCACAGCACACATGAAATTAGAATATGATATGAGAGAGAACTGATAGCCCTAGCCCTGAATCTATCCTACATATCATTCACCAGAGGTGACGACGTTTAGCAGGCGGCGGGCTGCACTCGTCAGCAGTCACCCCAGTATCCTCCTCCGCGCCCTGCTCGACATCTCCCCACTCCTATAGACCATCATTCATCAGCATCCGTATTCAAATTATACAAGAGATATACATACCGACTGAGTGCCCCGCGACACCACCGATGCAGAACGGATGGTATCACCCTCACCCCCATCATCATAGAAGCCCGCTTTCACAGGTGATCTGGCACCCCCAATCCGGACCTCATTGTCAATGCCCTTTATGGTAATACCGCGCTTGAGTTCGATGGTAATAGGGCGCTTGCGGCCCTTTTCTTCGGTCAGGCCCTGCGCCTTGAGGGCGTTGATGATGGTGCTGGCGAGATGGCCCATCATTTGATCCTGACCGTGGCCGACACCCTTGACATGGGTGCCAGCATTGACAGTGGTGGTCTCAATGACTGGTGCAGTGGTTTCGCTCGCCAGAGAACCAGCTCGTGGCGAGGACAAGGTGACGGTGTTCTTGTCGCCGGTGATGGTCATTGAAGAGTCGATTGTGATGGAGGTAGCGGTTGGGGTGGGTTCCTCCCAGTAATGATTGTAGTCGTCGTCGTAGTCGGCCCAGTTGCGGGAGGCGTACATGATTGGAATGGGAATTGGGGTTGGATTTGATGGAGTGGTTGTGTTGGGGTAGGGTGGTGGTGCGGTGGGTGTAGAAGAGGTTCGATTTGCTCTCTCTTCGAGGTATTTAAGGAGTTGGTGGCGGAGGCTATCTGTAGGCTTCATTGTGAATGTGAAGGCTGTTGGTTGCTGATTATCTTTGCTAGGCAGACGAAGTGGTGGGCTGGTCAAGGCAGCTGTTGGGTTGGGATGGTTGATGGTGAAGAAGTGTATAGATTGATGGGAGGCAACCGGAACCAGCAGGCAAGCCGCAGATATATAGAAGGATTAGGACAGGCAGACAAATAGATCAAAATAGACAGAAAGCAATCTCTAGGTTTAGAGAAAAGGCAACATCTATAAGTACTATTTGACAACAATCGAAGGATCAACATGGGATCAGCGAGAATATGTAGTATACAGAGAGAACAATCGATTTGCAAGAAAATAGGTCCATGGCCATGGCTGCAGCCTAGAAACTCTAATATGTATCAATAACAAAATGTCTCAATTAAACGAATAGAATGAATGAATGAATTAGTCCCAAAGGGGAGTTGAATGGACTCGTTTCGATTGTTCTTTTAGTAAATTGAGATCACGTGATCCCATTGTACTCCCGAAAGAGTTTGAATGGCCGACGTGGCGGTGATTGAAATCCAATCAAACTCTGGGTTCTCTCATGAATAGCCTCTGATTATTGAGTAATGATACGCAGAGCTGGTCCAAGGATGCTCGTGGCTGGTCAGTATCACACCATCGGTCATCGGACAGCCAAGAACTATCGACCACGCAAGCATGGAACATCATTGGGAAGCAGGAGGGTAGTATCAGCCATAGTAAAAAGCAGGGATTTGAATTCGCTGCATCATATTCTCTCGTCATTTCATATTATGCATGTTAAATCATGAGATAACGTTATGTCGCCTGTGGATATAACAATAGATCATGCAAAGCCATTCCCAAAAACTTGGGCTCACCACGAGCAAACCTCGTGCTCTCCTCGAAAACAAAAGGTCGGACGCTGTCGATCAACCAAGCCATGGCTGTGAATCCACCCCTCGTACAATGCGTTGCTATCTCCGGGTGAGATCGGAGCGATCGGGTTGGTCCCAAGACGAGGGGATTCCTCTTCGGCGGTCGAATAGGGCTCGGGGATGTCATTCTCTGGCGGGGGCTCTGGCCAGTCAGACGGGACTGGCCGTTTATGGCACTGTGGACATGGTAGGCTCCTTACTAGTACTGTCGGACGATGTGGTCGGTTCCGGGGACTGGCCCGGGTAATACCGCCCGCCGGGATGGAGAGATTGCGCCGTCTGTCCCAAAGATATTAATTAGCATGAACATGAACCCCTACAGATTGACATGAAGATACCGGTATTTCTGTCACGCTCGACAGTCAAGACCGTTTACGGGTTGCTACTGACTTCGCGGAATTCGTCTCCCTCCACTTGTACCTCACGATCACGAATTCGCCGCATCAGTGCTAGGAAGTTGCTTTGTTGGAACTTCTGGTCTTGCTCGTGGCGAACGCTATCGAGGAGTTGGCCCGCAGTCTGCGCAAGTGCATCCGCGTCTCGATTTCGTGTGAGAGGGTCTTGCTCTGACTGGAGGATGGTGTCGGATCCGATTCTGATTTCTTCGTGCACCTGTGCGGCAGGGTCAAGTTGGACGGCTTCCTCCTTGGCGAGACTTTCGGTCTCTGCTGTAACCTCGGTTTCCTGCAGTTCCTGCATATCGGCTCGAGCTTGCTCAAATGCTGCCTCGAAGGCCGACTCGTCGAATTGCTCTGTCGGTGCAGCATTCACCACGGGAGCTTGCTGTGGGACTTGGTGTGCATTCATAGATCCATTGTACATCGGGTAGCTAGGCGCAAAAGCAGGCTGAAATGCATGGTGTGCCGGCTGCTGTGCCTGGATATGATGGGTTGCAGCTCGCTGTTGAGGCTGCTGGCTCATAAATTCATTTTGCCATCCAGCTTGAGCTGGCGCAATAGACGGCGCTTGTAGCTGGGGTGGCGCGGGCCCTGAGATGTGTAGGTTTTGGAAATCTGACGCCCAATTGGGTCCTTGGTGCACAGCTGCGGGATGGTGTGCAGGAGCTCCAAAGTGAGCTGGATGTTGAATATCTGGCAGATTTGCCGGGACTCCGTGGTTGGCTTCGAAGGCCGCGAACTCGGGGTCCAGGATTCCATCCCGCGGACTTTGTGATCGGAATCCCTGAGAAGCATGACATTAGCTATGAAAGATTACTAAATGAACAGAGGAGTCCAACGTACCTGTCCTGCTGGCTGTCTGGAAATCAAGCGATCCTGTTGCAAGGTCCGATCAACGGCCGTATGCTTCTGGAAGTTCTGCAGCGCATTCGACGGCCCGCATAGTGCATCGCCCATGGTGTCACGTTGGATGTAGTCAATATATAAAGTTGCAAAGGCCGAAGTAATGGGGTATCGCCAAGTTACCAGGATGGACCTAGTGAGAAGGAAGGTATAGACAAGAAATAAAAAGAATCTATAAGGGTAACAGTCAGGAGAAGACAATGCGACAAGAGAGACCGTGGAGTTCCGTGGGGTTCCCTTTACTCCGCAAACCGAGGCACATCACGTGACAAGCCAGAACGTGACCCAAAGTCACGCGATAAGATAAGCAAAGCGGCCAGGTTGTTTGGAGCCGGCCCTCGTGAAGCTCCCCTCGACAGTTCAGCTACTCTTTCACGATTTCTACTTCCCCACGGGGTCCCGACAAAATGGTGCGATATCTCTCCTTCATCCGACTTGCTCTGCTCATAACTAATTCTTGGTGTCTAGGCGGCTGCTCAAGTGATTTCGAATTCGGGGCACGAAGACATGATTGTACGTACGGGGGGTTGCACGGAGAGGGCTTCAATTGGCATCGCTAGAGCGCTTTGCGATTACTGGACACAATTGGGCTAACGAATATGATGAAATGACAGCATGATGCTGGCTTAGATTACTATGGCCGCAGGTTGGCGACCTGCTCTTCCGATAAGACGATTAAGATCTTCGAGATTGAAGGAGAATCACACCGCCTGGTGGAGACCCTGAAGGGGTAAGCTTGTCGATCTGGATAACAAAGGGTTGGCAGAGAAATGAGACATGGTCGCTGATATGGGAATGATCTTAATAGTCACGAAGGCGCTGTGTGGTGCGTCACATGGGTGAGTAGGATGCGCGAACCAATATCCTGTGTGCGGCGCAAGTTGACTGACCATTGCGATTGCTTCATTTCTAGGCACACCCTAAATTTGGCACAATTCTGGCCTCCTCTTCGTACGATGGCAAGGTCCTGATCTGGCGCGAGCAACCGCAGAACGCGACCTCCCCCGCTAGCGGCAGCTCCTGGACCAAGGTCTTCGATTTCTCCCTTCACACCGCTTCCGTGAACATGGTATCTTGGGCCCCTCACGAGAGCGGATGTCTCCTGGCTTGCGCCTCTTCCGATGGTCACGTCAGTGTCCTTGAGTTCCGGGACAATGCCTGGACCCACCAGACCTTCCACGCCCACGGTATGGGTGTGAACTCGATCAGCTGGGCACCCGCGGCCTTTGCTGGCAGCCTGATCAGCTCCAACCCTGGGCCTGGCCAGCAGAGACGTTTCGTGACTGGTGGAAGTGACAACCTCATCAAGATTTGGGACTACAAGTACGTCCTCTCTTGAGATATAGCAGAACGTAAAGCAGGAATCTTTGCTAACTATATGCCTGCAGCACCGAGTCTAAGACCTACAACCTCACTCAGACCCTGGAGGGCCACTCAGACTGGGTCCGTGATGTGGCCTGGTCGCCCAGCATTCTGTCCAAATCGTACATTGCCTCTGCCTCTCAGGACAAGACCGTCCGCATCTGGACCTCCGACGCCTCCAACCCTGGCCAGTGGACCAGCCAAACACTCGAGTTTGACACCGTTCTGTGGCGTGTTAGCTGGAGTCTGAGCGGTAACATCCTTGCCGTCAGCGGTGGTGACAACAAGGTCAGCTTGTGGAAGGAGAACTTGAAGGGCCAGTGGGAGAAGGTCAAGGATATCGAAGAGTAATTGGTATTCTCACATTGATTCCTTTTTTTCCCGCATAATTCATGTCAAGATTTCTATTTCTATAAACTTCAAAGACCCCTTCATACTTTCCAATCATTTCTTGTTTCGATGCAGCAAGTCTAGTTATGTCTTCATAGACTGGGGAGTTATGCGGTGCACTGACATTATGACCATTTGCCCTGCCCTGGTCCATATGGTTCGGTCGAAAGGATATCAGGTACGGAATCAATAGCCATTTTTCGATGCAGAGGTTTTGATATTTGATTTGCTATCTCCAACCTCTCTTTATAGTACCCCTAGTCCAAAGGTGTGGGAGTCCGACACGTTCGACTCATCTACGGTAGTTAGTTCGGTACACTCTGCATCAACCTTATTGCATTACCAGCTACGCTTTGTACTCCACCTATTACTACGTTGGCTGCATCGTGACCTAAATCTTCAGCAGCATCACCGATTTCGTTCACAGTATCTTCAGTACTCGAGGTGGAATCGGGCTAGATTGCTCAACGAAATCTCGATAACAGATCTTTTTGTGACCAGCCTCCTAGTGCTTCTCAAAACGTTGAAATGAACTCTCCCATGTTTGCATGAATCATCAATCGCCACGTTTAAAATGTGTAAGCAGTAGGTTCGTATACAGGTACCCCACTTTCGTGAAGAATAGTTCACTTTGAGGCGTAGGGGTTTCGGTATAGCTAATACCGACACGATCTAAGGAATCCAAATAGACCCTTACCCCCTCATGAGAATGCGGGGTTGTGAACGCCACGAAGGAAGCCTGCCGTGTTTGGATTGCCTAGCTCGAACCTTTTTTTCACTTTTGTCTTATTCTAGATGAACACCGGAGCATTGGACTCTTTAGGACTTGTGACGGATTATGGATTAAGGCATGATTATCAATATACGGGTTAGGCGTGTGCATTGATGTCTAGCCTATTGCATGACATTTTTACTTCGAACTATAAAATATCATCGATGTATATCAATATTTCAAATATTGAAATAATCATCACTGCATCTTCCTTTTGTACCTCTCATTTATGGCTTATGCTCTCTTAAAAACTAGTTTCAGACAATACGTATTAGCCTTGAGAAGATCAACTTCTGTTATTAAGCATCCCTGCATAAACTACTTCCGTAAGCCCGTATCAGGAAGACTCCTATATATGACCGATTGATATTGCCGACGCTAATATAAATGGTACATATCAGGGTAAGACTAACCCACGTGCCATTCATGGAGTATACTGTAAAGGGAGAACCCATGTCTAAGGTAGCACCGCTAGTGCTAAACGTCAACAAGAGCGACTGGTCCTACGGTGGTCAGCAAATTGACATAACTAGGTTCACTGGTATTGGTATCTCCAGGATATGATGTGTTTCTTAAGTAATTAGAAATTATGGGCTAAATGCTAGAGGTATCATAATCGGTTTCTAGTCAGACTAATAGCAAAGCAGTACCGACATGGAGATATAGAAGCTATACAAAATGAACATAGCCTTAGGTTTGTTAAATCCGGGATATCTAGTTCCCCTGCTTAGTGGCTAAGGTAGTGTAGCGGGAAATGCCAGAATCGTAACTAGGACGATAGACGAAAGTAGTATTTGACCTTATTCGAAATTAGCCCAGGACATTTTTTTTCCTTTAATGGTCAGCCCTAATTCGTGGAAATAGTACTACCTTGTTTTCGTGAGTAGCTGAGGATAGTAATTATGAACTAAAACTTGATCAGATACACATTGGACAAAAGGAGGGCACTTTTCAATTACTTTCATAACTGTATATGCTTTATAAATGCCGAGATCCATAAAAGAGACCTGAATCATGCTGCAGAAGAAGAAAGAGTAAGATAATATGCAGATCTGAAGTGTTCTTATGCGGCATTAATATAAACTGAATCTAGGGCTCGGGCTAAATCCAGCCGACCAGTTCGTTAGACCCAGAACAGGTGTCAAGGCCCGAAAAGAGGGAACAGGTTTCTGGCAAATGCTCGGCTAAAGGGGAGACTAAGCCTCAACAGGAATATTCTCAAACAAAGGACCGTTGTAATATGGGGTACTTTTAAGGGATGTCAGCGATCGGCGTTCCTGAAACTATAGGAGTGGATACTCACCCCCGTACGAAGTACATTAAAACATCTCGGTTAGGTAGCGCTCAGGCGGCTAGGAGGGTGATTGTGATCATGTCATGTTCCCTATATCGAACATATTTAATGTTCACCATGGCCTATACTTAGCTTCTCGTGAACGGAAGTAGGAAAACCATCCCAGTCATTTTTCGCATAATGCAGGGCACTCTTCTTACGCTCCTGGGGCTTCTGCCCGTTTTTATCAACGCTCAGTTGTCAGGATCTGTCGGACCTCTTGTTGACTTTGCAACAAAAGCCCGGAACAAGACCTGCGATGTTACCGACTACGGCGCCGTTGCAGATGGGGAGACCGATATTGCCGATGCTCTCTTGAGTGCATGGGGCGATTGCGCCGTTGGGGGTTTAGTTTATATTCCCCCCGGAAATTATTCCATGAAAACCGCCATTGAGCTCAAACATGGACAGTCATCTGCGATCCAGCTGGATGGTATCATCAGTCGAGGTGCCGATTTGGCATACCAGATGATTCTAGTCCGCGATGCGGATGATTTCGAGTTTTTCAGTGGCAATTCCAAAGGTGCCATGCAGGGATATGGCTATGAATATCTCCAGTCAGGAGAGTACGGTGTCCGCTTCTTCCGTTTCCAAGATGTTACAAACTTTTCCGTTCATGGATTTGCTGCTATCGACTCGCCGTCTTATTACTTTGTCTTTGATACTTGCAGCAACGGAGAGATCTACAACATCCTTGTGCGTGGCATCGTCATTGGAGCGACCGACGCTTTCGATATCTGGGGAGAAAATATTTGGGTCCATGATATTGAAGTCACCAACGGTGATGAATGTGTTACGGTCAAGTCTCCTTCCACCAATATGTTGATTGAGAATATCTATTGCAATCTTAGTGGTGGGACTGCTATTGGATCACTCGGGACTTCGACAGACATCAGCAACATCCATTATCGGAATCTCTATATGAATACTGCGGATGCGTGCTACCTTAAGACGAACAATGGCAATGGCACCGTCAGCAACATTATCTGGGAAGACGTGATTGTGCACGGCGGTCCATACCCACTGACCCTCAACGAGGCCTGGGGTTCCGACTCCGGTTCTATTGGTGTCCAGCTTAAGAATTTGACGTTCAAGGTTCGTTAAGTTTCCCTCCACAAGTTCGATGTTACGCCATTTTACATGCATACTAATAAACTGCGCGTTACTAGAACTGGCATGGCGAGAACGCCGCAAACAGCCGCCCAACGATTCGCCTCGAGTGCGACGCCGACGTTCCTTGCTACGACATCACAATTGAAAATGTCAACCTATGGACTGATGATGGCGACTACGTCTACTGGAGCTGCCAAAATGCGTACGGATCTGGTGCCTGTCTCGCCGAAGCCGATAGCACCGCCGATCTTGCGACGTACAATACGGTAGTAACCATTACTGCCACTCCGTATGTACAGACTACTGGTAGTTTCCTAGGGCCAAAGACTGACGTTGGAATTGAATTATAGATCATACTCTACCCGTACTATGGCTAGTGACTTGACTGCTAATCCTCCTTCAGACTCGCCATTCACTATTCCGCCGATGCCGACCAGCTTCTTCCCAGGAGCGACTCCGGTGTCGAAGCTTTTGCACTTGAGTGCTGCGGGAGGTCTGTGAGCTTTTTGAAAGGGATTTGGAAGTATCTTGAGAAGATTCGGGCAATCTTCTACTCTGATGCAGCCCTTGGTAGTCACTGAATATTACTATGCATTAATTTTGAATCTATTAGTCTATCTTCTCTCTGTGTCTGCTGCTAGAACAGAAAGATAATGAAACTCGTATAGCACCTATGTAAAGAAAGCTAGATTGAGATTATGAACATCGATTAATATCAATCGATTGCTGAAAAACTATATGCGAAATGGCTAAATACAAACCCCCCCCCCCCCCCCCCCCCCCCCAATGCACCAATTTAAATACCATGTAAATACCATGTAAATACCTTCCTCTTCCCCCCAAAATATCCAAATTTGCTCATAAATCCCAAAAAATAAAAGGACCCCGTCCACTAGCGTCCATATTCTTCAAATCCATCCACCGTCCCAACATAATCCGCCCTCCAGGCAAGATTACACCCTCATATCCATGAACCCAGTGATAATTCCCATCCGAATCATCATCAATGTCCATCATCTCATCTTCATCGTCACTGCTGTCCGGCTCTTCGCAGATTGCGAAGCAAATGCGCGTCCATCCTGGGAACCCGCCGTAAGGATGGGCGATTGCTTCACAGAATCCGAAGACCGGATTCTCGGCAGGGTCGCCGTTGAGGGTGGACTGTGTGCCGCGGAAGTATGTACGGGGTGTTTCGTCGCCGCCGCGTAGGGGGATGATGCGGTTGCAGTGGTCCGGCCAGAAGGGTTCGTTTGGTTTGATGTGGATGTTCAAGGTCTGTAGAATAGTGTTAGTGTCGTGTTGCATTGCAAGTTGGATTGAGTATGGAATTGTACCATGACTTCGACTTGGCTGAGATGATCTCCCCGGAGGTCGGCGCAGGTCTCCTGGTCTTCGAAGTCCTTGCGTGAGGCTGGCATGGGATGGAGGCATGCTGGTTCACAAGAAAGGTTAGATTGGTGTAAACTGCGCTTTGAGAATGACAGCGTAGTACGTACAATAGTACCCAAGCCATGAAACACTCAGGCCTGCTTCCTGGTCAGTACTGGACTTGCGCGCCTGGGGTCTCGATTCCTCAGGGAGCTTAGCAAAGGACTCATTGTAAGTCTGCTCAGCTTTGTTCAAGAGGTGACGCTGCCAAAAGCTCCGCATGTGCAACAAGGTGGCCAGGTCCAGCTTCTCATGATTAATGAATGGCCCGTCGGGTTTCTTTCCGTGCGAATATACACTTGCAATGTCGTATTCTGACCGTGTGCATTTGTTCTTGATAGCTGGTGTGGATTCATCCGCGGGATCAAGTGTGAGGGCCAAGGCAGTGAGAGACTAAGATGCAAATGAGCAGTCACAGTTAGTAGATGAGCCTCGAATCATGGGTTACAAAGTAAATATCAACTCACCAGTTGAACTGTGCACAAGAGCTCCGATGGATTCTCTCTCCATGGATGCTCCAAGAGGTCACTGTCCGTAAGAGTTTCCCGAATCCGCTTGTACGTCTTGGACGTATCAGACTTCAACGGCAGAGTGAGAGACTCAAGGACCATCTGCTGCAGGACCTCAAGCCAGAGCTTCTGGTGCTCACTGGCCTCCTGTCTGAAGTCGATAGTCTGGGGAAGGACGATAGCCCGAGTTTGGTACTCGGCCTTGAGCTCTGCGTTGGTTCGTCCCACTGGGAGATCGTACTCATCGTCAAAGCGAGCCCTCCAGACCATCGACTCAGGAGCCAGGACCCTGTCTCTCATCTCTCTGCAGACCAGGTTGAGGTTCCTCAGGTCTTGGTCTGTGCAGAGGAAGCTGGCCACGTGCTGGAGGATCTGGGAGATAATGTGTTAGCTGAAGGGATCCGTCAAATCCACGTCACCGCGAGTTCTTCATTACCTCGTTCGGAAGGTCGAGCAGTGAACTTCTACCTGCCTGTGGCTGCATCTTGGTGTGATCCTTAGTGACTTACCAGTCCATCCTTCTGTCCACTGGTTCTCGTATATACTTGTGTGAGATAGTAGGATGGGATGTTCAGGACTGTGCATAAGGAACGTGGAGGAGTCTATTGACAGGGATGAAAAGGAAAAGGTGGGGTGGAGGTGGTGACGATGAGGTGGAAGAGTAAAGACGAAAAGGTTATGAATCGGGACGAATGAGTCTTCGTGCTAAAATGAGCCAGTGAGAGTAATGTGACGTGAGGCAAACGACGAAATCACGAAACGACGAAGCCAACTACGGAATCGCGGAATCACGATGACCCTTTATGATTCTGAATTACAAGTATCCGCATTCAATGATACTAACTATTCTATTCACGCTGCGCATCAGCCCTGCGACGCAGACTTTCCTCCACCCCCCAACCATCAGCCAAAAGACCCTTGACGTCTTCAAGACCGAGTCCACTCATCTCAGGATAGATCCTTCGTACTACAAACCATCCCACGGCACAGACGAGCGCGTAGACGGCAAACGTCCAAGTAGGGGACATCCACTTCATCATGGGGAGAAACGTGAGTCCAACGACAAAATTGGATCCCCAATTAGTGGCAGTCGCCAATCCTGACCCGAGGGATCGGACATTCAAAGGAAATAGTTCTGATTGCTGCCAAGGCACGTTTCCGAGTCCGAATGCATATGCCGCAGTGTAGATGGTCAAACAAAGCAGGATGACCAGGGGATACACTGCTCCTGGACTATCCGGCGAGTCTTGACCCTGGGGTGGCGGCTGCGAATCCCAGGATACATCCAGAGAAGAGAATGCAAAAGCGCACAGCACTAATGCGATGATCATCACTGGTATTGAATAAAGTAGAATGCGCCGGCGTCCAATCTTATCAATCAGGCCGAATGCCACCAACGTGAAAAGGAAGTTGGTCCCGGCCACGGTCAGCGACGTCAATGTCGGTGACGAGAAAGCAAGCGCTGTGAAAATTATTCCAGAGAAATACATGAGGCTGTTGAACCCACAGAGCTGTTGGAGTGCTTGAAGCATCATGGCGATGGTCAAGGCTCGACGATTCCCACCATTGTGGAAGAGATCCTGGGCCCGTTGGGATGCATCGTGGAGCCATTGTGGCTTAGTGCCTGGGTCCTTGTTGGGTCCCATTTCCAATTCCTCTTCTGCAATCTCCCCTTTGATATCACGCATGACTCGGCGAACAACCCGGTCACGACCCGGACAATCTTGATAAATCCGTGTCAGAACATCCACTGCACGGTTGTCAAGACCGGCTTGTACAAGCCAGCGAGGGGTTTCCGGTAATAGCACGAGTACTGCAAATTGCAAAAAGGCGGGTGCCGCTCCAAGACCGACGATCCAGCGCCAGCCTCCAGCAGTTCGGGAGAAAAGCCATCCGACAACGTATGCAACGACTTGACCACCAGTGATCAAGAGACTCAATATCGTGACCAGCCGTCCTCTGATATGTGAAGGTGCCACCTCCGATATATACCTGGTAAGGGCCGCCGTCTGTTAGTCTGATACTCGATCCTTTCGTCCCCTGCAGTAGGTACTCCTCTAAAGGTCCAGGACTTACAATGGAGTTACTGCGCTTGCGCTACCAACCGCAAGACCAACGATACTGCGGCCCACAATCATTCCCCATACCTGGCTACTTGAAGCCTGTATCAACGCCCCAAGTGCAAACAAGATATCCGCAATAAGTATAACCCGTCGACGACCCCATTTATCCGCCAGAATACCCGTAAAGGGACTGGCTATTAGAGCGAAAAGACTGGTGCATGATGTGATCAAGCTCTCGTCGAGGGTTGTAAGTGGTCGATTGGAGAGGTCAGAGCCGATGGTCACGAGTGTGGAAGAGATGACGCCGGTGCTGTAAATTAAGACAATCGTCAGTCGCTATCTAAACCCATGGAATAGAATGGAGCGTACTCATAACCAAACAACAAGCCACTGATACCGGCGGAGAACGTTAAGCTCCATATAAACCACCCTCCCGAGTATTGGAGCTCGGATGCGGGAACCCCGTCATCGGCCTCGTGGTCGTAGTCTGGGAAGGCTTCGGTCGGGGCGAGGAGGGGCGCGTGTGGACCGGAATGGTCTGCTTCCTCCCTCAGAGCCATGTTCTGGAGCTCTGTATCTGAATTCCCATTTGTTGCCGTCCCATCTATCGGCATCTGGGGGGTGTTGGAGATTGAAGGGAGGGAGATCTGGGGTTCCGCGATTAAGTCGATGGTCAACTGCGGGAACACGGGACCCACCTGCAGCCACGCAACAACCTTACGGAATTACTTCCTTACTGTACTTTGTTGAATATTCATATAAACTAAATCATTTCATGACGGTTAAAGCTTTCATTGGATCATTATCATATACATTTTGAATGATCTAATATCCTTTTTATTCCAGATCAAGCTTAGTGCTTGGCCACGACACCGGCCGCATCAGCCTGTGCGGTGATCATCTTCTTGTACGCCTTGACATCACCATCGAACTTGTTCACAGTGCCCTTGTCGCAAACCCAGAGACTCTTGCAAACATTTTGCAGCATTGTCACATCGTGAGAGACCATCACCACACCACCCTCGAACCGTTGCAGAGCCTCGGAGAGCGCATCCATACCCTCAATATCCAAGTGGTTAGAAGGCTCGTCAAGAACGAGGATGTGCGGGTTGGTCAAGGACAAGCAGGCAAATGCAACACGAGACTTCTGACCTCCGGACAGAAGCTCCATACGCTGGAGACCGGTCATACCGGTGATACCGAATGCACCCAGGTGTCGGCGGTACTCCTCATCGCTCTTACCGGGATACGTCTTAGCCATGAAACTCACAGCGCTGGTGGTCAGATCCAGAGCATCAACGTGGTGCTGCGCGAAGAATCCAATGCGCAGTCTTGAGTGTGCAGAGATCAGACCCTTGGTGGGGGCGAGTTGGTTGGTAAGAAGCTTCAGCACGGTGGTCTTACCAGCACCGTTAGGTCCAACGATACCGATACGAGAGTCCAGTTGAACATCGAGATCGACATCCTTGAGAAGCGGCCGCTCTGGGGAATAACCGAAGCAAACGTCGGACATCTGGACAATTGGGGGCGAGAGCTTCTCGACTTCGGGGAATTGGAAGTGCACGACGTATTCGCTTTCTGGGGCCTCGAGGACTGGCATACGCTCGAGCTTCTTGATTCTGGACTGAGCTTCTGAGGACTTGGCCGCGTTGTAACGGAACTTATCAATGAAGGCTTTGTGATGGTTAGTACATGAGAAATAGCGTGGTAAATGCAGTGAAACAAACCTTGAAGATGGGCCCTCTCTGCCATTTGCTTCTCGTACTCGCGCTTGGCATTCTTCCTCCGCTCCTCCTTGGTTGCGTAGAAGGATTCTTAAAAAGACAAAAGTTAGCAGAAGACATGACATCCCCACGGCGGATAACGTACCGAAGTTAGCACCCTTGTAGTAATCCAGGCGCTCGGAGTGTTGGTGGACAATATCTGTAGCGACTTCGTTCAAGAATGCACGATCGTGAGAAACCACGAGAACGGTACTGGGGTAGCCCTGGAGGTAGTTCGCCAGGAAAGTAATAGACGGAACGTCCAACATGTTCGACGGTTCTGTTTGGATTAGCAAAATAATTTGATGGTGAGATTTTAAAGATGTTACGAACCGTCAAGAAGCAGCAGATCAGGCTCGCAGAACAGAGCACGAGCCAAGGCCAGACGCATACGCCAACCACCGGAGAATGTCCTGGTGGCAAACTGTTGTCGCTCGGGGGAGAAACCAAGGCCAGCCAAGATACTGGCGGCTCGGGACTCGGCCTTGTCAGACTCCATCTCGGACAGCTTCGAGTGAATATCAGTCAAAGTGACATCAAGACCCTCCCTCTCGTGATCCAGTCTGGCGGCATCCTTGGAGGTGTCTGCCATTTGAGACCGTTCCTCTTCAATAGCAGACAACTGCTTGGTAATTTTCTATGAGAAGTGCCATGTTAGCAGAATGAACCATCTCGCATCGAGGACGAAAACTCACATCTTGCTCAGCAAGCAGATGCTTGCGCCAAACGTCTGCATCCAGAACCGCTTGAATTGCTGGGGTATCATCACCCATAATCTAATCCGAACTGTCAGTAAAAGATAAGTCGTTGAAATAGACTCGGTAGAAATACCTCCTGCTCGACGTGAAGAATCGAGATGTGATTCGGAATAGCAACCTCTCGGCGACTGAGAGCGCGCAGCAGAGTAGATTTACCAATACCGTTCTGACCAACAAGACCGTAGCGGCGACCATAAGCCAGAGTCAAAGCAGCGTCCGTCAGGATACGCTGACCACCAATAGAAATATCGAGGTTGTCCAACTTGATATCCTTGCTCTTAGACTGCGAGTCCGAGCCCAGCTGCAGAGGGTTAACGGCCATGAAGAACTCTTCGTAAGACATCGCCTCATCGGGCTGGTTGAGCAGGCGGGAAGCCTCATACTGAACAGTCTTCATCTGCTTCTTCTCCTGCTTGGCCCGAATCTTCCGCTCCGCCTTCTCGAGCTTCTTCTTGTCCACGCGCGACTCCACCTTTCTGGCATTGGCAGACTCCAGATCCACGTTTGTACCGGTCAAGCCCAGAGTGGAGGACATGTTCCGCTGGGAGCCCACATTGATGGCCTGATCGAGCTTCTTGGCCGTCAAGGGCATCTGTCTCCTCTCCGAATCCACGCCATTCGCTGAGCTCAGCGATGTAATGAATTTCTCGACGAGTCCACTGATCGCATCACGGTTCTTGGTGGAGAAATCCCCAGAGGCGGAGATCAGCAGTTCCGTCACGGTCTCTGCAGCTTCCGACAAGGGTGACTGGGCGTTGGCATCTTCGACGTAGAGGTTTGAGGCGTGGGTCAGGTAGCCCTGTTCATGATTAGCTTTGCTGCCAAAATCTGCTTCTCACAGAGACATCTTGAACATACCACCGAGTACTCTGAGATGACATGGTCCAGGCCAGGGATCTGCGCCTGGAGTTCTGCCTCCATTCTGCGTTTCACTGGGTCAATTTCAATTCAATACAGTCAGATATATAGTATCTGAGGGGTGGATCGACGAGTGGAATGCCTTTAATGACGTCCTCGTGGTCCGGGGTAATTTGGCCGCAGACCGCAGAGGGGTGTTTTCGAGTGTGTTATCGATAAGGTCACATGACCGAGTCAAGAGCTATACCTACTCAATTTGGAACTTAGGTCGCTTACATCAGGTACAACCCATCGAGAGATCATTGCGCCATATGCTGATTGTTCATTCTATTCTTTTCAAGTATGTGTCTTGGCAAGCAAAATCATTTCCACACTCATTATATCCCAAGAAGGAAGAGTCCTGCCGAAGAGTTTCTCCGAAGTATTCCATATAGTCCAACGAGGTATATCCTCAACAAGACGAGTTTAAAGGCTGGTATTGTATAACCTCAGCAGGTAAATTTTGAATCTTAGTGCAGCGTTTGCTTCAGCTGGACCTGCAGGAAACAAGCATCATGTCACCTGGCGGTTACACAGACCAGAACAAGAATCCTGGGGGCTACGTAGCATAAACCAACATTAGCAATGATCTGTCATTGAGTTGCATTCCTCTGAAATTCTTATTCCTTGGTGAAAACTCGTCATTCTCTTATCAGATATATAGAATCAAACCCGCAGTCGCTAACATTAGCTATAAATCTCTTGATCTGGAGACCAGCCTTAAGACATTCTAGTCTCAGCGGGAAGTACGAGGTCGCCGAATGGAGCTTTTGCTGATTCTACATCCTACATTTATGCAGCAATAGCTTGACTATGCAGGATCTCCTTCCATAACCAGATAGCTTTCGGAGCTGACAGTACTGCATGCATGTATCTTGATCCTTTTTATAGAGACAACGTATGTCGTTTATTGTTATCTAATAGCTCAAAACAGGATGAAACTAAAACACCCTCCACAAGCTGGAGATTCAACGACAAACAGATTAACGAGGATAGAGCCAAGAGTGACTATAACTAGATTGCTGGTATGTAGTGCAACCTTGTCTTCCATTCCTAGATTCTGGTCTGGCAGTACCTTGATAAGTCCATATCTGGGTCCAGACCGGGCATACGACAGAGCTCATAGACTTTCAATGATTGGAAAGTATAGCTCCCAAATCTCATATTATTCCTGTCAATACGTTGGTGATCATATCGGTTGATACTCTTTCATAGGCGATCGAAAGAAGAAAACTCAAATATATTGGTGGTGAAGTTTTAAAAACTACCAATAGTGCAGGGGATATCTCGTTATGGTCTGCAAGTGGATATGCAGGCGAGACCGATACAACGGATATCGACAGTGCTATCGAGGTCCGCGATAGGGGTCTAGAAAGTCAAAGGAGAGGGACGATAGGCCGAGACCTAAACATTAGAGTATGTGAGTTGTTCAAAGATGACGTTTGTAGCAAAGAATAACGAACCATCAAGTCGAGGTTCGTCAAAAATAAAGGTTTCAATGGTAAGCCACGAGCTTTCTACCCAAGGAACCCCTACCAATGAACCTCTATAATAGATAATGCTATTGACCTTCCCAAGGGGGATGATTGGCCATGCCGATCGCAAGGCTTGCAAGCGTTCGTGGCTTCGGTGCCCAGCCGCAGTGATCGGCTCTTGAATTCTTTCCAGGCGGAGGACAGTACTGAGTTCAGTTAGTACTACTGTCGTGCACCACGAGGTTTCCAAATTTTCGGATGGCAATTTCGCGTTCCCAATCTTTGTCGGATGGTAACGCTGGTTGCCGGTGCAAGCTAGACCTCCATCGGACTAGGTAGGCGGCACAGAATCGGTAGGAAGAACCGATTGTCGCTCAGGTTCGACCCACGGGGATTTCCGTTTCATTTGCAGGGTGGAGAGGTATGACGATAGCACCGATCGGGAGTTTGTTGGTTCTTTTGGTTCCTGAAGAGCTTCCAGGCTTTAAATTATGTTTTCTGGTTTTTTTTCGTTTTCCTTGAAACGTGCCCCGCTTGATATTCGGGGGAAGTGTGGGAACCAAAACAATAACAACCCGCGAAGAGAAAAACCCGTCAACCGGTCGGCCCGGTGGGACTAGAAAGAATCGAACTAACGGATCAAGTGGATGTAAAGACCTTCTGGAAGATTGAGGACAAAAATTCTTCGATCACGGCCATGCTCGGTCACAGTGATCGGCATATTGACGGCCTCGCCCTCGTGCAAGTTGTTCAACTTCCTTATGCGGTGTGTTTGGAAGAGCAGGCTGAGGATCCGCATTGGAGTTGGGGATTGGACGAGAAAGTGTTTCAGAACAACAGGATGGCCTGCAGGCGCCGACCAACGCAGCAAGAAAGAAATGGCTGACATCTGTCATCCAATTATCCTAGTCCTCCACTCAGGATTGCGGTGCATGACAGACAGGCCCCCATAACAAGTCAGGGCAGGTCAGCCTCCAAGTCAGCAGCAAAGGTAGTTGAAGCCGGGCTAGCCAAACAGCTCACCAGGGCCTTGGGAACGGGTTTGGTCCAACCGGTGGACACAGATGGACACAGATCGGCCGCACTGGGGCCCCTGCGATCGACTAAAACCTAGGAAGGACTAGGGGGGGCCGAAAGACTGCGATCCCAGCCAGCCCTGAGCCCGAGACGAGAAGTGTGGGGAATTCTGGATCGCATGGCTTCGCCCAATTTCCTTGTCCCCTCAGCCACTGCCCACTCCGAACGGACAAGTCCGTAAAGGAGGAGCATTTCCGGGTTGGAAAGTCTGGGACAGTCCAAAAGGGCCGGTGGATATCTGGACCTATACGGTAGTAAAGAAGTTAGAGAGAAGTCACAGAGAAGTCAGAAACTCCAACCGTTTTGGATGAACCAATTGACAGGAAGACTACTTAGGATGAGTAGTTCCAGCAGGGGCCAAGAGGAACACGAGCGTAAGTCGCTAAGCTGCAATGTGAGCCGCAAGGGATGGGTCTCTCTCTCTCTCGTCAATCGTGGTTGCAATAATCCGCCAGGGATCGTGCGTCTTTTTTGCAGTTGCAGGACTTGCAGTTTGCAGGAGGAGAAATCGGGGGATTTCTATCCAGGGAACGAGGGGAAAAGTGAAGAAGAAGAAACACTGACGATAGTACTCCGTAGTGTTGTGGAAGGAGGAATACTAGATGATGTTGTTATTGTTATTATCTACACCACCACCACCCGACTATTATTATTATGATATTATTATTATTATCTCCCTCTCTCTCCCCCCCCCCTTGTCATCCTCAAATTAAACGAACCAGTCATTCTACTTGGCCAAGTACCCAAGTACTACATTATCGATTCCCTCCTCGCGTTCCCCTCCGATTTCCCACTGAGTTTAGCGTTAAATCCCCCGACTCGCCTTGTTATTGTTGACCTCCAAAACTCCACTTCCCACCCCCTCCCCAAGTCGTCATCGACTTCTCCCTTTTCCAAACGGCCCTGGAGATTCTGACTACAACGGGAAAAGAGGGTTTCGCTCGTTCACCCTCATTCCTCGTTGAATTCTAAATCTTTCGGGTCCAAGGCCTACGGGAAAAAGGAGATCTCTCCCCCAGATTTCCATCTTTGTTTATCTCACGCCTTCGCCCCCCTCGAAGATCGGTTTTACTTTCCCTTCCCACTCCCAAAAAGCCTCAGCCGCATCCCCCCCGAAGCCTATCCTTGATCACACCAAATGGGATGTTCTTCGCAACGGTTCTCGACCCTTCGGAGCTGAGTTGGAGGGTGCTTGACACGCTTCACGGCATCCTCCTCTGAGGATGGATCACATATCGACGGTAACCTTCGCCCTGGATCTCAAGTAGTCTGGCTGAACCCAAGACTAACGCGCTTTTCTCCCCAGCTCTGTGCTCTCAGCACAGTAGGAATAGCCACTTCTGGACTGGCTCTCGGTCGCGTCGAACGCTCCAAGTCTAGCATCTTCCGGCGAAAGACCTTCTCCTATAACCAAGCTCCTCCCACTCCTTCAGAACAATCCACCCCGGTCAATGTGCGCCCCAAGACTTCCCGATCGGCTCGACCACTCACGGCGGGACCAGACTGGACACACTTTTCAGAAAAAGCGATTGACGGTCAACATGGGCCAGGCCGAGATTCGTTGCAGGGCCCTGATCTGCGCAGGGCATCAATGTCCTTCAGCGCGGCCAGACGTCGCCGTCGCGGTCAAACATTGAGCAACCCGCCCTTGCGCATCCCCGAGGATGAACCCGCCGAGTCGGCCACTTCTCAAGAGTCCCACTCACGCCGTCCCTCGACAAGTTGGCTGCGTCGGCTGTCAATGGCTTCTTTTCAAACGGAGAGTTCGTCGATCAACAGCCCTGTCACACCATCCTTTAATGGGTCGGCGAGCCCAATCCTTCCTCGTCCGTCCAGCTCACGTCGAGCACCCAACAAATTAGTGAAGCGCTCGTCTTCACAACATACTAATGCTAATCCTCTCTTTATCAATACGTCCGTGTCCCCGGCATCCGCCCTTCGCAGGCCGGCGACCAGCCATCAGCGGTCAGAATCGATGCGCCTGCAGTCGCCTCTCGCAATGGACTTTGGAACCCGTTTCTCGGACAATTACTCCATGGAATCCCCTACCACGGAAGAGTTCGACATACACTTGCAAACTGACTGGAGGCCATATCTCCTCCCAAAATTAGAGGGCTTTTCAGAGAGATTGGCCCGAAGGCTATCTACCACCGCAAGCCCCAAACCTCCGGGCGTGCGACGGATCATATCCGAACCTGATACGCTTCCTGCTTTGGTTATGGCAACCACAATCACCTCCAGAGCATGTCCGCCGCGAGATGATCAATCAGTGCCCGTCACTCCAGTGATGTTCCGTAATCCATTCCAGACAGAACCGACAACCACCGTTGCTTCTACTGCACTTCCGCCTGATTCAGCAGCGATGTCACACGCACCTGAATCATTGGCACCGATATCGCCGCCGCCGCCCGAGAAACAGGCCCACAAGCATTCATTCTCATTAAATGATGTCGAGCCCAAGAAAATCATCGTCAACACGGTGACTGCTTCGGGTACTCCGATCCCCGGCCGCTCTCGCGCTGGGTCTTTGAAACGGGTCAAGGGTAGGACATTCTCTATTCCTCGAGCAGAGCTTGCGAAATTGCACAGCGTAGTTCCAAGTCCCCCGCAAGCCCCTCAACGGCGTAATATCACCGATCCTTCAGTTTTCCGGCGCCCATTCGTTCTTTCACCACCTGCACTGGCAGTTTCGGCGTTTGGTAGGGATCATCTCATGGCTCCTCGTTCGGTCTCCCAGGATTACGATATTGGTATGCGTGGTCAGCGTCCACTCACGTCTGATGCCGTTGCTCTATCTACGTGGCAGCATTCCGCACGTCCAGATAGTTATACCTTCTCTTCTCTTCGCCGCCGACCGAAACGACACTCTATTGCGGCTTCAGATCCCTCGTCCACCGTTATCGGTTCTGATGACACCCGTGTTTTCACGTCGGGCGATGAATATGAGACTGATATCATGACTGACTATTGGGACTCGATTCGCACGAGAGAGACCAGTGGCGGTGGGTTGAAAGGATTGCACATTGAGACGATGTTTGACAAAGCGGGTTCACGTCTGTCGAATGAGGAAGTCACCACACTCGAGGACCTCCTCCCGCGCGGTTCCTTCGCCTCGCGTCTGGAACAGGAAACTCCTCTCTTCCCCGACTCCCTCGTCCCCTCGGTGGCCCAGGTCCGCCTGAATGATGAGTCTTGGATCTCGGAGGGAGATGAAGAAGCTGCAAGCATGATTGGAGCACTTCCTGGTGAGCCGAATGGTCCTCCAGTGCAGTCGCCACTCCCTGGTTCTTCATCCAAATCCTCGGTCGGACACGCCGGTTCTTCGTCTGCGAACACTCAGCCGAGCTCGCCTATTGCCGAATCATACATGAGTCAGAAGATGAACATCTTCGACTGGTCTGAGCAGGCCCGCCCTGACCGTGATGCCGCGGATACCGAGGCTCGCCCCCGAACCATGCATGGAAAGCAAAGTGGCGTTGACAGAGGAAGTCGTGCGGCTTGTCGAAAGGTCCCCTCTTCTATCCACCTTCGGAGTCAGAGTGTACCCGTGACAAGAGAGCTCCCTCCGAATGAGACTCGTCAGCCATCCGGTAAATTCGGCACCTGGGGTTTGGGATCCAAGGGGGTGAGCGAGGACTGGGACAGCGACTTTGACTTTGACGACAGCGAAGAGCCCGCGGCTAGTAATGACACGAAGAGCTCCGAGCCCGAAGCTGCTCCTCAAAGCATGATGGTCCCCAAGGCTATTCTTGAACGGCAGGCAAGCCTTCGAGGTCAGTTTGGCCAGGTTCAGGAGCTCACACTGCTCGTCGAAGAACTTAAGCGGCTTCGGCACCAGGCCAGTGTCTTGGATCTTGTGACCGGCCCATCGAGTGAACTGTGGAAAGAGGCAGAAGGAATCGTTAATCTCGCAACAATTGACGATGACGAGGACCGCCGGTCTCCTCCCGGATCGCCGTCTTCGCTGACTTTCAGCTTCGACGACTCGGACGATGAAGGTGTGAGCAGTGCCTCCAAGCGAAACAGTGATAACTCCTGGCAAGGTGCTCACCAGCAAAACGCCCGGTCACCACCCACATCACCCAAGCAAACGAAGGAGGATCGCCCTAGTGGCTCTTGGCAAAGCAACGCGCAACATGAAACCCGGCTCTATAATCCTACACTCGGTCAACTTGCCAAGAATTCCCCAAGATCAAAATCGGTTCTTGATATTCTACAACCCAGTCGCCAGACTGAGGACTCTGCTTTGACTCCAGCCCCGCGCACTCAAAAACTTCCCTTTGATACCCAATCCCTTCGTGATCTTGTCGTACGAGCTGGTGTGGTCACACGGGCCTTGAAGGAAGTTATCCGCAAGGCTGAAGGTGTCGATTCGAGCCCGAAAGATGTGTTTCCCTCCGACCCTCCTTTCCGCCGGATATTCGACCAACCACATGACGACCTTGCAAGCTTCGAGGCTGCCTTGGCAGAGATGCATTGATCAGACTTTCATAAGCATCTTGCAACATCATGGCCAAGGCCCATATCTTACTCCCTCTCCTTTTCTCTCTGTTTGATTAATATGCGGCTACAAAACCGGCATAGGAAGTTCATGCATGGCACTGTCATACGATTCTCTCATTCTACCATCTTCCCTATTATTATTCCCTTCGACAGAATTTCTTTTGTGTTCCTTCTCTCTGGCTCTCCCTACAGCGAACGAGTCCCATATCCGTTCTATTCAGGCGTCAAAAAAGCCATTTGCATCTCTGTACAACTTTTCCTTCTTGTACATCGCTGACCCATTACTCCTTTTCTTTCTGTTCGAGTCCTGTCCTCTCATATCCGTGCGAAACTGCACGCCAAATTCTTGTACGAGCAACACACTGGGGGGTTTATGTCATTTATTGTTACTTTCTTTCTCTGTTCACTTCTTGTTTCCAGTCCTCCTTCCAGCGCTGTTCCCACTTTCCTTTTTTTCATTCGTCTCTGTTGCATATATTTGCGCAGCTCATATCCTCATAATTGCGCTGTAATAATCGTGGAAGGGGGGCTCCGAGCTTGTGATGATGTTTGCAAAGACCCCGCCAGACGAGGAGCAATGAGTTTCAATGTCATGCATATTATTTTGTTTGCTGGGCTTCGGTCTGGTGACAGGAGCATTTTTCAAAAGTGGTTCTTGGGTATTGTATTCGAATTTTAAACATGGAATACGCTTGCATTGAATCAGAACATTATTCCTGAGATATTGACCATGTATTTAAAGACTCGATGGTCGGGATTAAGATACTGCAATACTTCAATATTCTAAATCTTAGTTAAGACACTACAAATTAGGGGGTAGAATGTTGGTCTCATGAAATCGCCGTTGATAACCTCGAGGATAGGTCGATGCAATTGCTAAACAATGGGGTATCTTAATCTAAAATTCTAAACAATGTCGTCATCATCATCTTCACCTCTAACTGAATCCTCATGGCACACTCATGCCACGTGCTCATCATCTACATCCAAGGCCATGTGAACAGTTGCAAACTTGCTCTTCGCCCGGATGCTGGGACCGTAGACGTAGATGATGATCGGGAGAGGGACCATCAAAACGGCTACACAGCCAAGCAATGTGCTCGCCCAGTTCACACCCAATGACTTGAACTATAAATACACGTCAGTTTATTGTCCATTCCGATATAAGGGGTTATGACACATACCATAGCGGGGGCGAACAAGGGAAACCCAGCACCGGCGGAAGAACGAAGGATACTATTCGCAGCAAGGGCTGACGCAGCACTAATAGAAAATGAAATGTTAGCAACTCATCTCTTCCCCAGGGCAAGATACATCACACTTACAACGACGTATAGGCATCAATAATATAATTGAAAGCCCCAAGGAAGATACAAAACAGACCAAACCCAATCATCAACCCCGAAGTCATCGGCACAGCCCAGTGGATATCCGCCTTCCACCCAGACCATCCAAACCAGAACAAACCGCCCGCGAAAGCGACACTCCCAACGATAGCAGGAGGCATACGCCACTCCGGGATGGGAACGCCATTGTTAGCATCCAGTTTGCGGTTATACGATGGCTGTGTGAGGATGATATACAGTCCTCCGCAGATTTCGCCAACGACCAGACCCCAGTAGGGAAGACCGGCGACGCCCGGGGCGAAACCGTGGATATCTTGGAAGACGATTGGGTATGCGGTGAGGAAGAGGTATAGCAGGCCGTAGAGGAAGGCCATGTAAATGCTCAAGAAGAGAACGATGGGTTCTAGGAAGAGCAGTTTGATAGGACGGAGGAGGTTCTTCTGAACGAGTTCGACGTAGTCTACCTCGATTTCTTCTTGCTTTGCGTGAATACCCCAGTTCGACGTACGGCGGCGGAGTTCAGCGGCTTTGTGCACGAGGATGATAGGCGGGTATGTCTCGTGTAGAAGGAAAAGATCGATCAATAGCGCCGACGCACCCATGATACCGGTGAGGTATTCGGTCCAGCGCCAGCCAAGGCTTTGCACGATGAACCCGCCCAGCGTCGACGCAATAAGCGGCCCTGTGAAGACTGTCATGGCAAACACGACGATTGCAAGGCCGCGAACGCGATTGTTGTAGATATCCGCCAACACGGCGGCGACGACGGCGAGGGGACATGCCCCGAAGAATCCGCCGAAGAAGCGGCATAGCATGATAGTTTGGAGGTTCTCTGCCGTGGCGACGGCGAATTGGAAAATTGTAAAGCCGAGCATTGATAGGAGGAGGGGGAGACGGCGGCCTTTTAGTTCGGAGAATGGAGCCCAGAAGATAGGTCCCATTGCGAAGCCGAGGACGTATAGTGATAGACCCAGTGTACTGACTTCGCTGGAGACGCCGAATTCGTGCGCGACGGTGCTGATAGCAGCAGAGTAGATACTGCTAGTGAATGTTGAATTGAGGGTTGTCCATGATAAGATGACAGCCGTCAAGATCTTCTTTCTTGTTGGCCAGTTTTGAGGGTGGAGGGGGTCGTCTCGGCCTGCGAATTCGACCACGTATTCTTCCTTGTCTGGTAATGGGGGTGGATAGGGTTTACCAGCTCCAAAGTCTGGGAGAGGTCCAGACTCTTCTTGTTTCTTTTTGTGGCTGGCGCCCACGGTGGCATTGTGTTGGCTTCGTTGGGTTGCGATGCGTTCTAGTGCGGTGGGATGGAGTTCCAGGCCTTGGGCACGATGGGAATGGGAAGTCGGGACTTGAGATAGATATTCAAATTCATCTCTTGATGATAGATAGGATGAGGCGGCTGTAGTTGATAATGAGTCTGAACGGTAGGCGACGTTGTCGACACTTTGGATTGTGGAGGAGGAAGTAGTATTAGGGCTAGGTTGTGTTGAGCCTTTCTCTACATCCCATTCAGAGTCCATGATGGCAGTAGCCAATGTCCAGGACCTTGATATATAGTTTGGACTTATTGGAAATGATGATCAAAAATGCCTTTTTAGGGAGGAGTGGGAATTGTCAATCGTTTATATCCCAGTTTTTTCACGGACATCTCTCGCCTTCGACTGGGACCCATATCTGCTCGGGTGTCAGGTCTCTGCCAAGCGGCAAAATAATGGAGACACTATCAATATCTCTACTATGGATACAGAAGCGGAATGCATCGGTCAAGTTGCGCGGACCTCCCTTTCCTCTTTTGCTGGATCCGCTGCCATTGCACCGTCCTATCCGTGGGCTACACGCCACCACGAGAGCTTGTACTTCTGGTCCCTGGATCCATTGTTTCGTTCAATTGTAGTTTGATTCTACCTTTTATTCAAGGTAGTTACTACTGTTCAATTGAATATACATCTACCAAACAATATGGTAATTCAAATCATATCCCGTTAAACTCAACTACCGAGCCAACATACTTTTCGCACATCCCGACCTCCCACTCGGCTAGCCGAGAGACAACGATATACCCCCAACACCCAAACGTCCGTGCCTGGCCGAGCTTTCTCGGCGCACATGTTTGATAACAGCGTGCACTAGTCTGGAAAATTTGTTCGCAATGGGCCAGATGGGGCCTTATCAGGACGTTGGCCATGGGTATTCTCGGCGTTCCACTTGCGATGCTCGGTTATTCTAGGCTTTTACGTCATCCCGGCTGTTGAACCCGACCATGAAGATGGGATGATATTGATGCTTTGAAAATTTTCTTCCGCACGCGATAACATAGGTTTAGTTAGTTCGTGGAGCTTGTCTTTCGTCTATTCTTGATGTGTCTACGTTGTGATGTCTCGGGTTTTTGAGGTGGGGGTAAATATGATTTATGCCCGTGCATATCGGTTCATAGATATATATCTACGACCACGCCTGTGCCGGGATGCCACCGTTACAACAATATTATTTATCTCAAGTCACAGTGGATATTAGCTTGATAACCAATCCTTCAATTTTTTCTACCTGCCGCTCAACTTCTACTTATATTGGTCATCTTATATCCTCTTTCGTCTCGCCAGATGCCGTATGACCCCTTCAGACCACAGCTTCTGTCTCGAACAAGGCTCCTAACTAGGATAATGGACCTGCCCAGAGTATAAATCAAAATAGATTGATCTTCATGGTCGGATTGAGTTTCGAAGTTCATAATTGTTTGTTGTAAAAGGGAATACCCATACGCTATTCTTCGAGTCGCCAAATTCATGCGTACTTGGTCGAATCCCTAGATTATAGATCATCATCACCGGTAACGATGAGACTGCAGTTTAAACGTAGCCTTGTGGCTGAGAGAGAAATGAGCCATACTAAGCTGTTAATACCTGCTTCCCTATGCCACATGAGGCTCTTCGGTTACTCTTGTGCTACTGTGGCTGAAGCCACGGACATAGTCACGTGCCTGGTGCCTCTAGCGCCCAAATCGAGCTTTCAGTGTACAGTCACAATCAATAAACTTCTCTAGATATTTCTTACTGTTTTTACTGGTAAGTATTATCGTTCTATCTACAGCAGTGACGCAGTGATGTGAAAGCTACGCACTAAGGCTAGACGCCGAGCCCGAGCGTTGGCGCCTACTAGAGGGACAACGAACCAAAGTGGCTTTTCGCCTCAAGAACTCTTGATCGAGGGCTCGATGGGTTATATAGCGTGATGTAGATAAAGCGCTAATAGTAAATAATACGTCCAGTACCAGCTCTTTCAAGATATCGAGTACCAAACATATTAATTGGTCAGGATTAGGCGGGCCACTGCCAAGTAAACAGGCTTGGCCCACTATCCACTATTCAGATAGTGAATGGCAAGCGGGAAGTTCAATATTTCTTGGTTTTTGATAAGCATCGCCCAGGATGCACCTGCCTAGGCACACCATTCTGTGATTCAGGTATAGACATAGTTATCGTTATTTAGTTGTATAAATATCTGACGATCAGTACTGAACTGCCGAGACAGCATACCGTTTTATACATCTGATCAACAAGTCCAACGCTATTGATCCTGGCCTATCCTGGCCTATCTCTAAGAAGTCAAGTCCGAGGATTCTACTGTATCTGGCGAGGAGTTTCTCCACCGCATGAGCCCTGCCAAGAACCCAGTGAAACGCGACCCCGGAGGAACGGTGGGCAACATTCCAGTGGAATGAGGGGGGGACAGCCCGCCAGCGTCTCAGATTGAGGGGGGGCCGTCCGCCGCATTCCAGGGCTGGATAGTGACAGGTCAATAACGATGACAGGAGTATACAGATACTATAGTCTCGGTCAGGAAAAAGATGGGAGATCAGAGTGATAACCATGATAGCAATGAGAGGCTGATAACGAGTAACCAATATGGATCTATTGCGACCGGAGGACTAGCTCTAGCCTAAGGATAACGATAGTGGAATTGACTATCGATCGAACTCCCTATCCTTGTTATGCCAATTATACTCCTAATCATGGTAAATAATCATTATCACCTTATGATTATATCCACTGCCCGGTGGCCCTTACATGTAGCCGTACTCGTTCATCTCGTACACCGTCCTGGAATCAGGCTGCGGTGGTCATCTCCGGCTCAGGGGCAGGCGACTGCTGATTGGCCCCCCAGTGGGCGGGTTCCTGACGCTAAAAGTGGAGACCAGAAAAGGTCTCAGGCACACACTTTACCTTGCTTGGTGCAGTGAGAACTAAAGAGTCAAGAGTAACTAGGAGAGACATAACAAGTTAAAGTCCATGTTATGATCAGCATTTGCAGAAGAGTTCGTTGTCGAAGAGACGAGGTTGTCCTGGTGAAAAGGAAAGGGAGAAGAAGAACTGGTTGCTAATTTAAGAGCTTCAGGGGGAGGCGACTGCGGAGATTCGAGAAGATACAATACGTATGGTATTGATTATTTCATACAGTTTGGTACCAAAATTGCCATTTCCAGTCTAGACGGTAGCCAGTTCCTAACTCCTTCAGGTTAAGTTCACAGCCCGTACGGGTAATCTAATTGTTGTGCGCTAAGAACGGCCCAGAACTGCTCCTAACTGGCGCCCCCCCTTCTTCTCCTCTTTTCTCGTCGCTCTTCATCGTCTGTCTTCCTTTTGTTTCGTCTCTCCTTCTCTCTTAACTCGACACTCTTTCGATCTCCCGACCCTCGTTCACTCCCTCCTTTTTTTGGCTGCTGGCCGCCACATTCCTTTACAACACACCCCTCATCAATCTCTCCACGACACTCCTTTTTGATTTTTTCGTGGCTTCGAAAGCCCGGTTCGATCGTTGTGAAAAAAATTACTCTCAATGACTTCGGTTTAAAACTTCCTACGGCCATCGCTCTGATTTTATTTCGCGCTTGTCGACTGGTTCGCGTGTGGGAAGCAGATCGGGCCGCCTTCTGTGATCGACTACAACTACGACCCGCTTTCCTTTCCCCCCCCCCCCCCCCCCCCCAACGGCGGGCCTCTAAGCCATGCCTCACCATCATGATCCCGATCTGGTGATGAGGCACTCCGTGGTTCCACGGGAGGTCATCCCGTCTGTTCGACTCCCTCTCCTCGTGCCCACGACTACCACGATGCCGGGTGCTGGCTTCCCCTCGTTGGTGGCAAGAGCACCGAGCTCCTCAGAAACTACCGGAACCTCAACCTCCTCGGAAAAGTCTACGAGTAACCTGACAACGACGGTGCTGCCGGTCGTTCTAGGTGCTGGGTACGTCATTTGATGTCTTTCTCTTCCAATCCTAGTTGGGGAGTAAATACACCCCGGTGAACTCGTAAATGGAAATCTAATGATCGAGCAGTGTTCCCGTTATATGTGCCATTGTGGTTTTGATCTTCTTGCACCGGAGACATGTGAAGAAGCTGAGACGTGAGGATGCAATGGATAAGCACAAGTCCCTGGATTTCGGTATGGATATGGTTGGACCAGGTGGAAGGAAGCCGAGGAAACTCCCCAACGGTTTACAAGCGGAAATGATGGAACCCAACCATTCGAAGGGTCTGTCTCTCGATGTTAGCCCGTATCTGATGCCCCCCGGTCTTCACGGCTCTCGAGAATCCCTACACTCGCTCTCTCGATCCATTGATGATGACAAGTACCGCCCGGCGGTCTTTGGAGGTACAGACAATGGATCCGTTCGGTCATTCCCCCGAAACCGCGGTGACGATGGATCGAGCCTGGGAGGTTCTACCCGCCATGGATACGGAGGTGCCGAGGATCCCAACTCGGGTCTCTTGCGGAATGCTCAGCGGATGTCCCGCTCATCCCCTCCTCGCTATAACAGCCCTCCTGGAGAACATCTGCCGCAGCGTCCTCCTCCAGCTCATCATCAAGACAACCCTCGCTCAATGCCCGGGCTAAACCCGGCCCCATCTGAGCACGATGAGTTTGCAATGGCAATTGGCAGTGCTACGACCGATCATATCAAGAGCCCTGACCGTGCCGTTTCACCCCCTGAGCCTCAATTCCACTTGAACAACAACCCCATGTCGGAGCTGCACTTTGAAACGGAGCCTCCAATTGGCCACGCCAACACCTCTCCCCATGAAGAACGCCTGAACTTCCCGCTTCCTGACCATCATGAGCCTGTCCAACACGCGCAGACTTCGAATATGCCATTGCCTCGCATCTCTCTACCCGCCAGTGATATCACTACCAGTGATTACGGTGACGAACGCAAGCCGGAACTGACGATCAATGTTCAAGCTGCGGAAGCCAACCAGTCCCATCATGACAACAACAAGCAGCCTGAGCAGCACGAAGAAACCCAGCAGAACCTCGATATCGCCTTTGACAACAACAACCGCCGCGACACCCGCCGGCTGACTCTCGGTGTGCGCCCCTTGCCCCCAGAAGACCCGGCCGACAACCCCGAGCAGCGTGCCAACCGTATCCGTTCCTTCTACAAGGAATACTTCGATGATAGTAAGCGGGAGACCACCTACTACGAAGACTACGGTTCCGAGTTCTATGACGGTGGCTACGTCTACGACCCGACTACTGGCGATTATTTCGATTCAGCTGCTCCCCCTGCTGCCCCTTACGCACAGCCCATGGAGCGTCGTGCTATGACCCCGCCTCCCCGGGCTCCTCCTCGCTTCCAAGGTGCTGCTCGCCATATGGCCACCAACTCGGCTGGCCACAATGGTTTCGGTGGCCCGGGTCCTCGTGCGTTCTCATCGGCTTCGGGCCGACTTCCCGGGCCTCGTGGTGCTCCCCGGAAGCCAATGCCTCCCCCAGCACCTCTTCAATTACTCCCGACTCCTCACATGTTGAAGGATGATTCCATTTTCATGGCGGCAGACTTTGCCCCTGGTCATGGTTTCCGTGATCGTCGTGAAGGTCGTCCCGAGACTCCTACCGGTGGCTCGATGCCGTACAGCCCTGCCATCCGGGCTCATACTCCGCTTGCTTCGGCGTTCGATGACCTTGCTGCGATTCCCAGCCCGTAAGTTTTGTCTTTTCTATATCTCAGGGCCACCCTCTTGGATATATTGCTAACTTGACCTTCTCTAGTCACGCCTTGCGGAAATCTGGCACATACACCAGTCTGGACTTTGCACCCCCACCCCGGTTTAAGAACAGCGACGGTGGCAGCGATGCCGGTAGTATTCGCAGCAACCGGACGGGCATCTCCAACGCCCATATGAACAATATTCGTATGGGCAACTATCGTGTTAGCCGCCTGCCGGGTGACATGGTCGGTACCAAGGACGATATGATGACCAGTCTGCGACCTGACTGGGGCATGAACCGATAAACAAAAAAAGCATCTTCATTCGCCCGTCTAACCTTCTCCTTCTCCCCCCCGTAACGACTCTGTGCTACTTTGGTGTCTCTCGGAAACAAACCTGTGACGACCTTGCGCTTTTCATGGTTACCTCTCCAATTGTTTTGGCCATATCCAAGAAATGGGTTGTCTCATATTCCATTTCTTCCCGGATCTTTCTTTTCTCATGTGTCTTTTGCACTCTTTCTACCCTTTTCCTCGGGGATTCTTTTGGGAAATCTGCTGTCATTCGGCGTACATAGATAATGGTTGGGTTCTGTTTGTGTTCCCCGATGGATTTTCATCATCATCATCCTTTTTTTCTTGTTCTTCTTTGCTACTGCCCTTTTCTACATTTTCCCTGGTGCTTCGGTCCTGGGCTGTATATATGCCATTAACATTGACATTGGATTGTTTCGGTCTGAGAGGGTCCTAGCGGACAGACTCCGGCCGGCTTTGTGTGCTGATATGTTTTTTTTTTCATTCCTCCACGTTGCTTTTGAGGTATGTACTCGTAGACTCTGGGTCTTGAGCATGACTCCACGCAGATGAAACATTGTTATAGTCGTCACCCTGTAGGAGGTCTTCAGATCTGGACTGAAGGTGTGGACAAATACCAGATGATGAAGAGTCGGATCTTATTCGCGGAAGATGGAAGCCTGGAAGGACGCCTAAGGACTCCACTGGCAGCGAACTAGGCCCCGGGCGACGTAAGACGGGTAAGGTGGGTTAAATTACCGCCCACATACCCCTTTCGTGTTGCGTGCGACCGAGAACTGTTCGATGGAGAGTATATAGTTAGATAGATATATTTCGGTGAGTTTTTTACAAAAAATAACAATATCAGAGTCTAAGATAGTAGAAAGAGTAATAATCACAAGTTGATATCGTGTGTCCATGGTAGAAGCTCGCAGTATTGTGTACCGAGACCTTCAAAACCTTGGAAAACCGTTGGACGATCGGCGTCTGATTCGTGCCGTTTAGGATCCGTATTGGTGGCAACTGAGGACGCCGTGCATCATGACGTGGGATTGTAATTATGCAGGTAATCAGAGAGTCGCATCGTCGAATCATTGAATAATCATGACGGGGAGAACTTATTATACAGTAGTTCTATATTTCTATTGCATAGATCTATGCAACGGAATATATGCTCTACGGAGTATAGCATTGTGGGTGCAATCGCAGAATTATACTTTCCCGACCGGAGATCACCTATTCTTGTGGTGTCTGGGCCGTCTGGTTAGTCTTCCATGGAACTAGCCGGAGGTCTTTCTTTTTCTTTTTCTTTTTTTTTCTTTTGTCTCTGTTGTGGTCCCGGAGGAAATTCTGCAAGGGCGAGTCGCATGGCGGATCTAGGGATGGAATAAACATTGGGATGATTAGATGAGGTCGCCGTTTTCGGTCGTTCATGCAAGTTAGGTGGATGATGGGTTAAATTAAATAAGTTGGTGAGCGAGTGTCTGTTTACGGAGTCCGCAGTAAGAAATTCCATTTTCAATACGAGGGCTCTGGACGCACGCAGCATCTATTAATACTACCAGGTACTCAAGTACCCATGATTTACCATACCGTACCGCTAGGAATGTACTACTGCAAGACTTGTAAAGCTCAATGCACCCGTAAAGAAACCAACTAAATACCCAAATACCACAAACCCAATGGCCAAGCCAGACACTCTCCACCCGTTCCCACCTCAATCTCCTCTTCCCTCTCACTCTTTTGCTCTCTTCTGCTGCACTCCTCCATCCTCCCATGGCTCCCGACTAGATTCGGCGACTGGAGAGACTCACCTATTCCGGGGCTTCACTTCTTTCACTTCTCTCCTCCCATTTCCCCCTTCTTCTTTCTTCGGTATCTTTCAACTTTTACCCTCCCACCCCCCGATTTACAGCCCACTTCCACCCCCTGAGGCCTCCACCCGAACTCCTCAACTCCATCTTTCTCTCCTTACGCTTCGGATTTTGCATCACCGTCACTCGTTTCTTCGGTCGATTCGTCTCTACCTAATCGCATCCCCTTTCCCCAAATCGTCCGATCAACGACTTTGATATTCCAATCCGAACCACCCTTCTCAGAGCCCCTGGTGCAACGTCGCGACTCCTCGTGCCGCTTTTTTCTCGTTTCCGGTTAGAGTGCTTGGAGGATCGCATCCTTCCTCTCACTCTCTTTCTCCTCCGGAATCCGTGTTGAACTCGATTTGCCTTTGCGCTCGTCAATCCCAACCTTTTCGCCATGTCTTCCACGGCCTCTACCACCAAGGTCGACACGTTGGCTAATACGACCTCCGCGGCTCCATCGACTGAAGCAACCTCTTCTTCTTCTTCTTCTTCGGCTGCCCCAACGACGACTAGCACCACCAGCAGTGAACACACGACTAGCACGACTAGCATTCCGTCAACAACTTCCACTTCCACCTCTAGCACTTCCTCGACTACCTCGGTGCCGACCACGACTTCAACTACGTCGTCTACGTCCACGTCAATTCCTCCTACTACTACGTCCACGTCCTCTACCTCCTCGACTACGTCGGCTGTCGAAACTACGAGTTCCTCTTCAACGGTCGTGGTCGTGACGCAGACACAGACCGATTCCTCGACTACCAACACCGCATCCTCGACCATTTCCTCGGCGAGCGCGACTACCTCCGCTGGTTTATCCACCTCGACTTCCGCCGCCAGCAGTGGCCTATCCTCTGGCGGCAAGATTGCCGTTGCCGTTGTCGTGCCCGTCGTTTCCGTAGCTTTGATTATTCTGGCCGCGCTCTGGTTCTGGCGCAAGCGTAAGGCGAACAAGGCTGCCGAGGAAGAGCGCCGCAAGGAGGTTGAGGAATATGGCTTCAACCCCAACAATGATCCTACTCTTCCAGGCATGATGGTTGCCGGTAGCGTTGCTCCCAAGGACGACACCTCTTCCGGATACCGTGGCTGGGGTACCACCTCCGCCGGTCGCAAAGCCTCTACCAATCTGTCCAGTGGAATGGGCATGGCCATGTCCGAAGGAAGCGGTGCTTACCACCACGTCGCGACCCCCAGCGAAGGTACCGTGCAGTATTCTGAGGGTACTCGTCCCGACTCGGGCGAAGTTGAACCCATTGGCGTGCTGGGCGCCGTCCCCGTTGCAGCCAACAACACCCGCACTGGCGACATCCATCGCGGACCCTCGAATGCCTCTTCGGCGTACTCGGCTGCCAACCACTCTGAGGCTTCGGAGGAGAGCCACATGTCGGCGGGCCACCCGTCGGCTGGTTATTACGGAGATAACCCTTACTATGGCGAGATGAACAACCACGGCGCTTACGGTGGTGAGGATTACCAGCCCGTCATTCGGGATGTCCAGGCGCGCCGTAACACGCGCATCGAGAATCCCGGTGTCTACCCGCGATCCGGCAACGCCGGCATTGCCCAGAATTTCTAAAGTGCTGGTCGTTCCGGTTGAATTCTCGCGCCAGTTTTCATCTTTGCATACACTGCATTCGCCCCATGATTGTGATCCCGCGTTTTCTCGTTGCCTCTTGAACCATAAAAAAGCTTGGCATCATTTCTTTCCATTCTTGCACACTCTTAAACACCATACCCTCTCTCTCTCTCTCTCTTTTCATGAAAACCATCGCCGATGTCACTCTTTTGTTTACTTTCCGGGGGTAGCCTACCTGTAACTTTTTGCTGTTTTGTCGGCTAAAGGCCCACTCCTCTCTCTCTCTCTCTCTCTCTCTCTCTCTCTCTCTTGATTCCCGGCGTGATGGACATTCGCTTCGCCATGTTATTATTTGACCTCTTACCTCTTTTTCTTAAGGCGGGAGAATATCCGCTTGTTTTTCATTGTTTTCCATAATTGACTGAATCGTTCGATTCTTGTTGAACCATTTCTATCTTCGATATCTCTTTTCTTTTCTCCCTTCTCTCTTATTATTTCTCCCCTAAGCCCCCTCCGTTTCGCTGTTGATTTTTCTTTCTTTGATATATCCTGGCATTTTTGGTCCCGCCCATCTATCTCTGTCTTATTTTTGTCTCTTGTGTATTGGCCTCCGTTCCCCGTCGCATCATGTATATCCACAGCGCCGTGGTCTCCAGGAATTCCTGGACCGTAGAGGGGTGTCTTGTCTGGGAGCTTCCTGTTTTGTTCTCCGTGTCCTCTCCGTGTCTCTCGTGTTATTCCCCAATGGCCCTGTGTATAGGTTATTGTGTAGCCAATGAAGTGGAGTATTTCTGATCAATTATTTGTTCAGATGATTTGTAATGGATCCCAATAACCTTATTCCGGAGCGGCAATTAGGCTATATTCAGTCTACTAACTGCTTGCTTCTCGGCATATCTAGATTCCGACTAGACGCGTTGACTCTTCCTCTGCCGGACGGGGACGGGCCATTCCGGCCGCGACGCTTCAGCCGACAGAGCGGCGATTTCGAGTCATGATAGGTGATAATAGTCGAGGTATGGAGTCATGTAGGTCCCATGGAGGTCCCATGGGGCTCATTTATGGGGGCCTGGACCGCTGTGGGTTTCAATTTTTTTTGTCGTGTTGAAAGTTGAAACTTATGGGGATTGAGGAGACTAAAAGAAAGACGCGAATGTAAGCGATGGCCCATTAGGCTGATTCATTGGTTATGAGCATTTGAAGGAGGGAATACAAGCCTGGATTGGTGAGATGATCGAGGACTAGGATGAATCGGGCAGTTAGATGATTTATTTTATGGAGTCGGTTTGGCGAGTTAGCGAGGGGAGTAGAATGTACCGAGGGACGACTCCATCGTGTAGACTACTTCCATACTAATCTAAATACGCCAGTACTAACGTCTAGTGTACGGAGTACTAATCTAACTTACTAAGGGAGTAGTTGAAGTACTACTAAAGTTTCCAGAAGCTGAAATCTTAAGTCAGCAAACCCAAAAACGTGCGCGGACTGTCCGCAGTGATTGGCGCTCCCGCAGCTCCCCACTTCCGGCTTAAGTTGAACCTCCAATTTTCCCTTCGGACAATACCAACCTCTCGTTGGTCCAACTACGTCCAACTGTCCTGGTCCGGAGAGTAGGTCCCCTGGTGCCTTTGGGATCATCACTGTTCACTACTGCCGTGTCATAACCCCTCATCCTACGAAACAGCCTACGGGTAGCAGCTCTATCTCTCTCCTCCAAAACCCCAAACCTCGCTCTGTCTCTCTCCGCGTGTAACCACAAGCCCCGAGAGTCTCGAGTCCCCCAAACTAGTCGAGACCCTGAATCCTCTGGGAATGCGCCTCTTCCTCGCACTTCCTATTATTCTGTCATACTCCCGGTGACACGAGCTGTCCCACTATCATCATTCCCCACCTTCTCTCTCTTTCTCTACCTGCTGTTGCTGTCGCTGCGGGCCCCTCCCCCTCGACTCGAGGTCCGCGGAACCTGTCCTGGAATTCCTCTCTTCCTCTCTCCCCTCCTCCTCTCTTTCTTTTCTCTCTTTCCTCTCTCTTTCTCTCTCTCTCTCCGACTCTCTTGCCTTGCATTCAATTCGGCAACTCTTCCCTACGCTTTTCCTCGTTTAACAAGTTAACCGACGAGACGATCCTTCCGCTTCCATCCCCTCGATCCCGGGACCCGCGCGCACGCCTCTCAGACTCCCAGTCTTGAGAGAGCGCGCCTGTGAAGATGTAAGCTACCGCCGGCCCCTTGCAGCACAACCACCCAAAAACCTCCGCGTTTCGTCCCAAGAAGAACTGATGGGCTGATCCCTCCTGCAGGAAGTTCGGTAAACAGATTCAGCGCCGGCAGCTCGATCTTCCCGAATATGCGGCCAGCTTCGTCAACTACAAGGCGTTGAAGAAGGTGCGTTTTTGGACTCCCCGTCTCTCCCCCGTTGGAATGGTGCCGGAATGGCCGAGGCCCTGTTCTGGCCCGTTCCTATGCTCCCCCGCCGAGAGCGCGCTGCTAATTAACCTCATTTCTAGCTTATCAAGCAACTCAGCGCCACGCCTACTATCCCCGCGCAGAGGACTGCCGAAGAGATCGCCCAAGATGGCACGCTGGATCCCCAGGCTGCTCTTCGCGCGAACAAGGAGGTGTTCTTCTTCCGCTTGGTAAGCTAATTAGGCCCCCCTCGGTTACCCCAGATAGCCGCTCGATGCCTGGGATGCTAACAGAATGCGCAAAATAGGAGCGGGAAATTGAAAAAGTCAATGCTTTTTACCTGCAGAAAGAGTCAGAGGTACGTTGATCACCCGAGTCCCTTGTGATATCCTCCCTCGGGAGTAAACCACCTCTCAAATATACTCACATGAAACCATCTAGTTCTCGCTACGTTTGAAAACGCTAGTCGACAAGAAGCGCGTGATCCAGTCACGAACCGTCTCCAATTCCAAGGCTCCGTCGAACTTTGTGGCGCTTTTCGAGGGCTTCCAACAATTCGATGGTGATTTGAACAAACTGCAGCAATTCGTCGAGATCAACGAGACCGCCATGTCCAAGATCCTGAAGAAATGGGATAAAACCTCCAAATCCCGCATGAAAGAGCTTTATCTGCACCGTGCAGTCGAAGTGCAACCTTGTTTCAACCGCGAGGTCCTGCGAGACCTGTCAGATCGGGCTACGACCGCTCGATTAGAGTTGGAGGCGTGGGCCGAGGGAGAGAACCTACAATTTGACACTTCGCGGCCAACCGAGCGTTCTACGGCGCCCTTTGGTACGGAGGAAGAGGAGCTGGATCTTCAAGTCTTGCAGTCCGCATCTACCGGAAACCTGCAGACCCTGCGGGAGTGGATCGCAAAGCTACACTCTTTCCCAGATGCTAGTGATCGGGCGACGAGAACTTTCTTGAATGCGATCAACGGCTTCGCCGACGAGGTCCTTGGTCTTCTCCTTGAAAGTGGTCTGGTCGACATTCACGCTGAAGATGATATCAATGAGCGAAACTGTCTCCACGAGGCTGCCATCTCCGGGCGAGACTTTGTCTTCAAGGCCGGCCTTGCAGCTGGTGTTGATTTCTCTCGGTCCGATGTCTATGGACGCATTCCTCTACATTACGCGTGTATGCACGGCCGGGTGGATATGGTGCGGGAGCTGCTGGCGGCTGGCCCGCAAACGGTGGACATTATGGATCACGACAATTTCACTCCTTTGATCCACAGTATCGTCAAGGGTCAGCTCGCGTGTGCCGAGCAGGTGCTCTATAGCAACGCTCGGATCGATCCGGCCTCCGAATCGGATCATATCCCACTCAATCTGGCCTGTCAACATGGCTCTCTCCCGATTGTGAAAATGCTCCTTGAGCGCAAGGCTCGCTTGTTGCCTGATGCCGAGGGTCTTTATCCCCAGCATATGGTCGCTCGAGCTTCCCAATCACCAGACCTTCTATTACTCCTTAAGCAGCACGGTGCCGATCTAGACCAACGAGACAAATTGTACCAGTGGACGCCTCTGTTCCATGCTGCGAGCGAAGGCTGTGTCCCGTGTCTACGGACGCTTCTTGAGCTGGGAGTGGATGCAAAGGTGGCTGATGAGAAGGGCCTTTCGGCCATGTACTATGCCGCGTGGGAAGGGCATTTGGAGTGCATGTTGCTTCTGTGGGCTCAACCGTCCGAAGCACGTCCGTCCCAGCGGCCGCTGGATCTTCTAAATGGCGTACAGTTCCAGGAGGCTGGCATGATGGAGGATTCAGGAGCTCTCCGCCGTTCTAGCGCCGCTGAGATGGATATTGCTGATGGCATCCCGGACTTGGAACTCCCCCCACCAATCATCCCTCTCCGTCGTTACGGTCACAACTTCCTGGACAAAAAGGTCTTCGTCCAGCTCCTCTTCGACCAGGGCAACTCTGGTTCCATTGCCTTTGACCAGGCTGGCCGCCACCCTGCGGCCCGACTGACTATTTCCTCTAAACTCTCCGACCTTATCCCCCGTACTATTGTTCTCCCTATCCAAGACGACTCTCGCACGATATCCTTCCACGTGGACAATCTAGACACCTTTGCTGTGGACTTTGAAATCTTCCCAACGTTTGGTTCCAAGGTGATTGCAAAGAGTGTGGCTTTGCCCGTGGTCTTTGGTGCGGAAAGGTCTAGCACGGGCTCGTGCTGCTTGCCTCTCTTTGACCCTCGTCTTCGCGCCATTGGTCAACTACGCTTCAACTTCCAGGTTATCAAGCCGTACCACGGTGATCCCCTGGAGATTACCCATTTCGCCACTTACTGGAAGGCGACGAGTGCAGTCGACTCGGAACACAATGGCCTGGTTACTGGCTCAAGTTTGTCGGGAGATTACGTGCAGCTCTTTGTGCAACTCACCCGTGACCGCGTGCCGGTTCTTTACCCCCAGTTCATGATCAACCACCACGGAATCGATATCCCCGTGTGTCAGTTGTCGTACGCTCAGTTCCAGACCATCGGTGCCGAGCGGGGTGTCAACCAACAAGAGATCGCCCGATTCTTGGAGACACAAGCGGTCAATGACATGCCACAGACACATCGTATCCTGGCTGCATCCTTCCTGTCTCTGCGGGAGGTTTTGCGGCAGCTCCCGATTGACTTGAACGTCAACCTCTCCGTTCTCTACCCCTCCGGTGCCGAGGAGAGGGCTCTTGGCTTGACGGCCCTGGCCGACGTCAACAGCTTTGCTGATGCTATCCTGACAAATGTCTTTGATCATGCCCGTGTCGCTCGCGAAAAGAGTCCCGACTTTATGCGCTCCGTGGTCTTCACCTCTTACAACGCCAATATCTGCACTGCACTGAACTGGAAGCAGCCGAACTGTAAGTTTTGATCCTCGAGTGTTTACCCCCGATGAAGTTAACCATACTAATTTGCATTTTTTAGACCCGGTCCTCCTTTGCAATGACCTTGGTCAAATTCGGGATCTTGCTGGTGACGTGGATGCACTGCCCCATGTGAACAGTAGCGGCCGTGCCTCGATGTCCATTAAGGAGTCTGCTCGGATCGCTCAGAGTAACAACTTCATGGGTCTGATTTGCCGGTCAAGTCTTCTGGTATGTCTATCTTTGTTCTAGTCTTGCTGATGAGTTTCTTACTAATTATACCTATTCTAGAACGTCGTCCCTGCTCTCGTGGAGACTATCAAAGAACTTGGCCTCGTGCTGGTGGCTGATACTTGCGACGAGGCTGGGCAGCCTGACCGCGCGGATGCACTCACCTCCGCCAATGCCACGGGCGTGGCCGAGTGGGCGTACCGGATGCCCGACGGTGTCAATGGCGTGATGAAAGCCAACGGCATTTTGCGATTCAACGATATGATCGACATGTGATCGCCACTTTACATTGCATCCCCCCTTCCCCAAATTCCCTGAATCTCTTCCACTTTGAACCTGTTCCAATACGTTGCATCCCACTATTCCCATAACCCTCCGAGACGAAGTCCACGAGTTTCTAGTATCTATCTGCAGTCCAGTCATGCTCAACGATTTTTTATTACATTTTCTTTGCTATCCGGTCTGTCCAGTGCAAGTGGAGGTCCAGTTTAGTACTGGCCCATTGCCCATCTTGAGTCATTTTCTCACATCTTCTGTTTCTCTTCAATCTAAAATGGCGGACCACTTTTTTCTTCTTTACACAGCGAGTTGCAAATGTGAATTTCCGATCTTTGGCACGTGTGATTTTCTACCTTTCGGCCCCATCTTTGCTGGCGCTGGGATATAGATGGTTGATGGCTTTGTTTTGCACCCTGCTAGACTTCCTCGTCTAGCCCGTGGTCTGGTCTGGTGTATCATAAACCCTGTAGATTGATTGCTGATATTTGATGATTATGATTGAGTGGGGATCACACAAAGAACTTGCGCGCCGGTTTAGATCTAAAATGGCTATAAAATAATGTACAAAAAGATGTGAACCCACCTCCCAACACGCCCCCGTGTAGGTCGTCGTCCCGCTATGCTATACAGTAAATCATTCCCCCGTCTATAAAGTGTTTGTACTCGTATTTATACTCGTACGTCCAGCGTGCTGATGCTGTTTAGGTGCTCTTCGGCTTGCGCTTGCCAATATCCCAACCCCAGCGCCGCAACACCTTGACAATCTTAGGCGTAACGGCCGCCGTCAACGGGACACGGATGAAAATCAGACTCTTGTGGACGGCATACGCCAACGCCAACTGAGTCCATATACCTAAGCCATGAAGATTAGCTCAATGCCCACGAAAAATCGTTCACGGAAAATCAGGAGAGACAAGAACACGTACTAGCTTCCTCCATACTCCCATCCTCCTTCACAAGCGCACCACCCTCCTCATCACCCTCACCCTCGACTTTCCCACCCTCTTCCTGCGGCCAGACAGAATAAAACACGTCCTTGACAGATTGAACAACGACATGCTCCCAATGCCCAATCCTCTCCACACCAAGCAATCGCACCGCAACGAAGCAGAACGGGAAATCCAGCGCGGACAGGCCCAGGTACACACCCAGCGCGGCCCAGCCGTATTCTCGGGACAACGTGCGAAGACGCTGTGAGAGGGATCCGCCTTCTTTGGGGGGTTGCGTGCTGGAAGACGAGGAGGAGGAGGAGTTTGCGCGGCGCGCGTTGCGACGGGGTACTTGGATTGTTCTTGGGCGGGTGCGAGTCGTCAGGCGGGTTGTTAGGGAGGTGAATGTGCGTGGTTTGCTGGCTGGAAGGGCGTATCGAGTCACGGATAGGCTCTGCGATGGGGAGGTTCGGGTTGTGAGGAGGGTGCTTCGGTGGAGGAGCTGTGTTGGCTGGGCGAGCCAGCGCGAGAACAGGGATGGCCGGAGTGCCATTTTTTTTTTTTGGTTGGGACTCTTTTCTTGGAGGTTGTAATTTGGTGATTGGCGTCTGGTTGGGGGTGTAATGGGTAGAATGGATGAAAGGGGGTATTGGGTTGGGGTGGGAGAAGGAGTTAAGGGTGCAAATGTTATGTGTATAGTTCGAGGTGAGTCTGACTCTGGAGGATTCTTTTTTTGTCGATCCTTTTCCCGGCGATTTCGGCCGCCGCGCTTCCGATCGCCTCGGAGTTTAGCGGGTTTGCTGCTTATGCTTTGGACTTGGGGGGCTGAGGAGTTAGAGGTGAGTAAGATGGATTTAGGAGGATTGAGGATACTCGGAAACTGGGTTAATGAGTCATTTTTGTATATCCTGTTTTGTGGTGTGCTGGTTGTTTTATTATTGGTTTGTTGCTGCTGGTTACGTAGCTTTTGTATACCTCCCCGACTATGCCGAGTTTCGTTGATCGGGCATGCATCGGGATTCGGGAATTGAGCTTTGAGCTTATTATTCTTGAAAGAAATTAGTATTATATATCTGGCAAACAATTTGAATATGCTAAATAGATATTTAGTGAAAGGATCGATGATCTTGGAAGATAGCTGTTAACGATGATGGGACCTTGAAGCGGAATTTGACCCTCGAGAAGAATATTTTCGCACAATAAAGAGTATTTTATTTCTTCTAGTAGCTCTTAATGCTAAATAGTCTCGAATTACCATAATTCATGGCCATGGCATAGCTTTGATCCGTATTCGCATTGCCTGCTAGTATACTTCGACCCTGCGGAGAAAGATGCTTACCTCAGCCAGCGGGCAAATTCCCGAAAACTTCAGAAAACGAGACACTCCTTCAGCACCTCGACTTTCTCCCCCAAATAACCATGGCGCCACGTCTCCCTGGAGGGCTACTCCAGCTCTCCCAATCCCTTTGGGACGCCCAATTGATCCTGCCCCATGTCTCCGTACGAAACTTTGGCATTCGATCCCTCAATCCCCCCAAGCCCAGTCGCTTCAACAACCACCCCGACCTGCCCATCCTCGAATCCACCTCCACCGCCGCCCTTCTTCGCAAAGCGAACTCGCTCCCCCTTCGAACCGGCGCTATCGGAATCAAAAAGGGCATGACGGCTATCTTCGACTCTGAGTCCGGCAAGCGCATCCCCTGCACTGTCCTGCAGCTCGACCGCGTCGAGGTCATCTCCCACAAGACCCGTCAAAAGCATGGTTATTTCGCCGTCCAGGTCGGTGCGGGCTGGAAACACCCTCGCAACGTGAACAACTCGCTGCTCGGTCACTTCTCCGCCAATGGCATCTCGCCGAAGCGTCACGTCTTCGAGTTCCGCGTCAAGGATGAGGCTGGTCTTCTTCCCGTTGGCCAGAGTATTCAGGCCAATTGGTTCCAGGAGGGTCAGTATGTGGATGCCCGGTCCAACACGAAGGGTAAGGGTTTTGCGGGCGTCATGAAGCGTCATGGCTTCCACGGTCAGGACCGGAGTCACGGTGTGAGTTTGACGCATCGTTCGCTGGGTTCTGCGGGTCCCAGTCAGGGTGGTGGTTCTCGTGTGTACCCCGGCAAGAAGATGGCCGGAAATATGGGTAACACGCAGAATACCGTTCAGAATCTTAAGATTCTGAAGGTGGATGTTGAGTCTGGAATTGTGGTTGTGAGCGGTATGTCCAAGCAATGATCCTTGTTCTCTGGTTTCGTCCCATTTCTGGTCTCGTTGCTAATCTTTATTTGTGATATAGGTGCTGTCAGTGGTCCCAAGGGCTGTGTTGTTCGGATCCAGGATGCCATCAAGAAGCCATGGCCCGAGGTTCCCTCGACGGAGACCGCGTCCGAGGCTGCGACTGCTGCTTGATCGACCAGAAAGACCCGGTGGTTGACTTGAGGGGACGCATTGTACTACTACTACTACTACACTATTCGCGCAGAATTGTTCACTTTGAGCGGCGTTTGTATATGATACATCAAATGATATCCTTTTCTTCTTCAAAATTCCTCTCTGCTCCCATGTCCTAGGGATTGTCTCGCCAACTCGGATTGCCGCATACAATCAGTATCCCGTAAATGATTTGTCCTCCAAACGCCATATCCCATGCACAAGCAGTTCTATTTGTACAAAATGTCGCCTCCCCATCTCTGTCCATCTCTTCTATCGTGCTCGCTTACTCTTGGCGGAACGGATCGGTGTCGCTATCCAGCAGCTGCACCACGGTTCCATCCTCGGTCTCCAGACTCCATACCTCAGTGCGGAACTGTACAATTGTAATTGATAGATATTAGCCAAAGTTCACATCATAGGTCCATGAAATCGTCAGAATGCGACAAGCAACATCATGCGAAAAGAATTCCTCTCGGGACCACTCACGAAACTCATCCGATCCGGTCGAATACTCTTAAACCGCATCTTGCCCTGACCCTTGGTCCCCTTCACCCAGAAAGAAATATCAATGCGCCCATGCAACTGGTTCATTTCACCACTAATCCACGGAATCTGCTGCGCAAAGTAGATTTCATCGCCGAGGATTTCACGCGCCTGCGGCGACGTGCGCAAAGCGTACAGAGTACTGCTAACCACACTCGACGAGGACTTCTGGTAATTGAAAATGCCAAGCATAGCTGCTCCGACGGCTACCACGAAAATTGGCAGCGTCTTGAGCCAGCCCTTGCTGTTGTTGATGGTGGGTAGTTCGCGGTCTGCGCGGCGCTCCATGAGTGGCCCCGTGTTCGGGCCTGGGGCGGGGATCATTGTGCGGCGAAGAGTGATTTGTCGGATGCCGGGGAACCGGACGAGGCCGGTTCGCCTGGGGAGGGCCCGGGGAAGAAGCATTGTGAGCTTGGGGGGTTGAATATGCTGTAGAGAGAGGGCAAGAAAGAAATGCGGGAAAGGTTGAAGGGTGGAACGATGGATTTCGGCGAGCCACAAAAAAGGACCAAACAGGACAAACATCGGCCCTCGACGTCACGGGCTTTTTGCCTTTATCGCTGGACTTGGTGACAGTTCACAATACCATTTGATTAATACTCTATCTATGGCAGCTGTACGACTTCGCAAAGCGTTTCGATATCCCGAGGACTCGGATGAAGATCGTGAAGAGCTCGATGAAGAGGAACAAGAACAACTCATCGAGCAGTTGCAGCGCCAGAATGATGCCCGCAATGCCCAATACCATGTAAATATTGAGTTGCCTGCCGCACATCACCTTTCTTCCTTCCTTGCTTCGAGGATAGATCATATTTCTAACTCGTTTTAGATTATATTTACAAGCATTCCGTTGATTTCCACTATTGCTTTCTTGCCTTCAGTCTTCTCAGCATCGAGTCTGATGGAATGGCTCTTGTCGCTCTTGGGACTATCCTCCCTCTTAGCCACAGCGTATACCATGCGACTGTCTCCTCTGCATCCAGATCGCAAGGGTAAAAAGGCCATAACAGCTGAAAATGAGCGCCTGGCTCGGCTTCAATCTGCCATTCTTTTTGGCAACGGGGCTGTATGCTTGTTGTTGGCTGTCGCTTACTTCCTCGTCGGGACGGGCTCGACTTATACCATTCGACCTGTTCTGTATTTGATCCCGGGAGGTATGTTTCTTTCAGGTTTCTTCACTTGCATGCGACTATGCTTATGCTGACTATTTCCTCGATAGCTATGCTTGCAGCCATCTTGCTTGCCCGAGACACTATGCTCTCCGTGGATCTCTCAGCTCTCAAGGATCTACAGTACCGGTACAAGGGTGCATAAGAAACTCGCTTGGATTATGTTCACAATCGAATGCCTCTTGGCTTTGGAACTTCATCGCACATTCATTATTTGTGTAGCCATGGCTGAACACATAAGAACACATAAGCATAGTAGTCACTAGACATACAACGCTGTAGATTGGGATATCTCAAAAAGACCTTCAGGCACGGCCTTCAAATAATCGCTTCCAGAAACAGACAAAATCCTCCTTCTGCATCAATTCACACTGACTCCTATCACCCTCAACCCAGGCTCATAAACGATCCATCTAGTTCCAGCGCTGGGTCAATCGGGATTCCGGGCAATTGATCCTCATACACCACAGGCGGAGGGCCGTTGGGCGGCTCCATCTGTGACGGGTCAAACCCGACATGAATGTCATTCTCCGCCTGCTCGTGCTGTCGGCGCTTCTCCTCGTCAGAACGCAAACGCTCCAGGCGTTCCGCGTTATCGTCGCCAAATGTTTTCAGGAGTGCTAGATTAGACAACCGCATATTCACCAGCGACTCGACACTACGGGGATCCGCAATCTTGCGAGTGTCATGGCCCAGCAGGATATTAAATGGCTGGTGGGGCGTCATACCGTCATCCATTCGGCAGCTTGCGCAGTTGCAGACCTTGCGGCATTTAGGGCATAACCAGTGAGGCCGTTGCATGGGATCCAGAGGGAGCATGTCGAATGCTCGGAATAAGCTGCCATAGCAGTAATGTAGGTTACATTTCTCACAAGCAGCGAGCTTCCACAGACATTCTGAAGCTTTGCACATATGGCACCTAGCTTTTCCGCTCGGGGTCTTATTCCCATTAGACTTCCTCTTCTTGCGGGCCCGCGAGTCTGTGTCTGTCCCCTCATCATCACTCGGGGTCGGTGCCTTAGTCTCCTTGGGCTTGGTGTGATCTACCCAGGGGCGCAGGCGCATTTGTTCCTGGCAGATCTCAGCCAGAGACTTTCGGCCTAGCTCGGATCGGGCAACCAGCAGGGTTGGAGGATTTTTGGGCTTGGGATCCAGATAATCTCGCTTGAAGGCAATGATCTGCTGCCGCCACGTCTCGTGCCGGCTGGTAAGTTGTTTCCAGGGAAACTGCTCAACCCACTTGAGCTTGGAGATGCATTGACAGCTCCGTCCCAGTACGTAACAATCCATACAAATATCGTATGTGTCGTTACCCTCTCCAACACACCAAGGGCATGTCAAGAACCGGTTGAAAATATTGCAACGGCAATACGAGCATGTGATGTTGCTCTCAAACTTTTCAAATTCAACCTCTTTGCTGGAGGGGGAATTCTTGGAGAAAGTCTCTGAAAGGAGGATGTCCGTATACATGTTAAAGAGGCGATGGAAGTCCTCCTGTAGCATCCGAACTTCCTGGTGGGTGGAATCAGGAGCGCTTCGAAGCAAGCCGGAGTAGCGCTCGAGGGCGTAATAGACAATAGCCTTATTCTTGTACTGCTCGTCGCGGCAGATCATCCGTGCATTTGCCAGTGCCTCATCAAAAGCCATCTCCAACGTCTCGACAGTAATCCGGTTCCAAGCGACCTTCATTGTCCGGGTCCCACGGTTCCATACCTGGTGGGCGGCGAGAGGGGGGACGAGAATCAGGTCTCCTGGCTTTTGTTCGACCACATAGGTTGTGAAGGGCGCACATTTCCAGGCATTGAGCTGGGCAAAGTGGTCCTCCAGATCTAGATTGTGACCCAGAGTTGACATCCAGTATTCGGACACGATCCGACGGTCCTGAGTGCCGGTCATGAACCAGATTGATGACCCAGGTCGAGTTGGCTTCCCATTTTCGTGGGAACCATCCGATGCCTCGACCATCAGGTTCTGCCCCAGACTGGCGCACATTTCCTGGTGAGCTGGTGTGTAGGTTCCCTCATGGCCGATGTAGCACATGAGATTCTCTGCACGCATCTCCGTGGGAAGACTGCTCATCAGGTCCCCTGATCGAGCAACTGCCTCCCCTTTTGGAGTCTTAGGGGGATTGGGGAACTGGGACTCGGGTAACCTAGGTCCATCCAAACGTGACTGATTAAGATAGAAAAAATTTGAAGGAATCAACTGCTCCAGAGCTTTGTGCCATTCCTGTGGGCAGTCAATGTCCTTCAAATACAGCCTTTGGATGCTCTGACGGGCGTACGTAGAGGCATTAATGGGATCAGTGAGTGTTGCCATGTTCTTGAGGTAATGCCCTAGGGTGAGGCGCATATTCGCCCCTTTACCCAAGTCTCTGGCATCGTATGCTTTAGAAAGAAGGTGTCAGTTAGAGATTATTCAAATCATGATCCCAAGTCTGGTGGGAACACCTACTTTGGTTTGAATACTGATGCCGTAGCCACTTCTCCGAGAACAAATTCTTGTCCAGGTGTTTGTCAAACCCTGTGATCACCAGTGGAAGTCCCAGCTTCACCACATGGGTGAGAACGTACAACTCGAGGACCTCTCGTGAAAACTGACTGACAGAGTCACAGGATATCCTTTTGGCAAATTCAAAGCTGGGAGTTGTTCGGACATGGTCCTCGATGTCGAGGTTTGGGGGAAACGGTTCAAAGACCGCACGGGCTCGCTGAATCATGGCGACGCTGTGAAAAGGTACGGATTGTATGTAGGGTGGAGTGAGTTTCGTTGATGGGATGGAGGGGCGAGAGCAAGCAATCGAGGCCGGTATCTAAGTCAATCAGGTACATGACCAGATTATCCGTGGATACTACCAAATGCATTTGTTATACTTCATGCGCAATGCGACGGAGTCGGAAGAGATGCGGGGAGTTGAGGCTCACCTTGCAGATCGACGGGACAGGGCCCCGAAAAATGGGATGTCCCAGAGATAAGAGTCTCGTGTTCGACTGGAGGATCGGATAGCCAAAGGTCTGGGGGTCTGGAGGTCTGGAAAGTTGACGGTCTGAAGATTCGCAAAGCCGCTCCTGCCTGCGCGGATTTCCAGCGGCGCAGGCGCGTCGCGTCGTTTCAGGCACAAAGGTACGGGAGTGGTAGATCGTGGAGGAGAAAAACAGTTGGAAGTGCCAAAGAAGTTGACGGAGAGGAAGAGAGGCAAGGAGGAGGAGAGAAGGATGTCGAGAAGTGGAAGAAGGAAGAGGTCCAGAAAAAGCGTTCTCTTGCTCGTCTCGCCGCCAAAAGTCCCAAACTCCAACTTCTCAAAGGCGATCAGTGGATCTCCCCAAAAGGGTTTAGACCCATCGCGGCCAATTTTTTGAACCCGCATTTCAGTCCACATGCTTATTATGATGATACCGACCTTATCGCTACTTTCTCTGTGACTTTGGTGCTTCCCCAGCCATTGGCAACTCATTGCTGTCCTCTTTGACTGCACCCGACATCGCGGTGTAACTATGCATGAATACCATCCCCTCAATTAACCCAAATCCCTCCCTTGAATCCTCCTCTCGCTCCCTCGGTCGCGATGCCGCTATCAACTTCGAGCGTCCGGCTGTTCCGCCGCGCGCAATTGCTTCAGTGCTGCCGCCACGCCCAATCCCTCATTGGTAGCCGATACCATGGCCGTCTGTCCAGCTCTCTGGCTTCTCAATTGAACTCGATCAAGCCAAAGGGCTCGTCCTCTCCTTTACACCTTCATGCTGCAAAGTCATTGGCGATCATACCGAGGCAAGAATATTCTACGACGACAAGCACGCCGAGTACCGCCGACTCGAAGGAACACAATCCTGCGACTCATTATATGCCGCCTCAGACGGGCCTAATTGCCTCGCTGCCCAAGTCATGGATCCCTTATGCCGAGTTGGTCCGCCTGGACAAGCCCACAGGCACATACTATCTCTTCTTCCCTACCCTCTTCTCCACTCTTCTCGCCGCCCCGATGGCCGGCGTGGAACCGCTTCAAGTCCTAGGCACTGCTGGACTCTTCTTCACGGGCGCTCTGATCATGCGTGGTGCAGGGTGTGCAATTAACGATCTATGGGACCGAAATCTGGACCCTCATGTGGAACGCACCAAGTTCCGACCCATTGCTCGCGGAGCTCTTTCACCGCGGAACGCAGTGTTGTTTACGGGTAGTCAACTGCTGGCGGGACTCGGGGTTCTCCTTCAATTCCCTTCCCAATGTCTCTGGTACGGCATTCCTAGTCTGCCCATTGTGGTGATTTACCCTCTGGCCAAGCGAGTTACCAACTACCCCCAGGTTGTCCTGGGTCTCGCCTTCTCATGGGGCGCAATCATGGGCTTCCCAGCACTGGGCGTTGATTTACTTGCCAACCATGACGCCCTGATGGCATCGGCAGCCCTGTATACCAGCTGCATTTCTTGGGCGGTCTTGTACGATATGATCTACGCGCATATGGATATTAAGGATGATGTCGCGGCTGGAATCAAGTCCATCGCTCTGCGCCACGAACATAACACCAAGGCTGTTCTCTCTGGACTGGCAGTCGCTCAAGTTTCCCTCCTTGGTGCGGCGGGTATTGCTGCGGGCTGTGGACCGGTCTTCTTCGTTGGCAGCTGTGGTAGTGCTATTCTTTCCTTGGGCCTGATGATTTGGAAGGTTCAACTTAAGAGCGTTCCGAACTGCTGGTGGTGGTTTAAGAATGGCTGTCTCTTGACAGGTGGTGGCATCAGCTTGGGCCTTCTCGGGGAATATGGTGCGCAATACTTTGGATTGTATGATAGGGAGGGTGATAAAGAAGGGCTTTTGAAGTCTGAGTGAATACTGTATACTAGAGAATGTATGATTAAGAAGATATTGCAGGAGTTCAATTGTTCCTGGCTATAGATTATTTCCATGTCGCATATCGTAGTCATTTATAGTGATTAACAGTAGGAATATAGACTAACAATCAGTAATTACAGGGTACATTACTTGACTATACGGAGTACTTCGTTATTCTATAGGTACTGCAGTATTGTAGCTTAGGGTGGGGCACGGCGTAGTTAATGGGCAGCCAACGAGTGCTTAAATAATACCAAATTACGAAACCCTCCGCCCGAACTAAAGTGAACGCTCCGCTCGTCTCCCCGAACTTTCTTCCTGGCATCATATCCACAAAGCAATGATGTTCGCTCGCACAGCATTCTCGGTATGCAATACCCAATCACTAACCTGACACTTTCCCCGTTAACAAAGCTGACATGACACTCCCCTCTTACAGGCCTTCCGCCCGATCTCGCGGCCCTCGTCGCTGAACGCCGTCCGCGCCCCGGCCTTCGCTATCCCCTCGGTCCTCCATGCCCGTCTCCTGTCCTCCGAGACCAAGGCGGCTATTGACAAGGCTGTGGCCTCGGCACCCGTCGTCCTGTTCATGAAGGGTACCCCCGAGACTCCCCAGTGCGGCTTTTCCCGCGCAAGCATTCAGATTCTGGGTCTGCAGGGCGTGGACCCCAAGAAGTTTGTCGCTTTCAACGTGTTGGAGGACCCTGAGCTGCGTCAAGGTGAGTTATGGCTGACCGAGTGGGGGTGTGCGCTTGACAGGCAAGCTGATATTTCTTGTTCATTCTAGGTGTGAAGGAGTACTCGGATTGGCCGACTATCCCTCAATTGTACCTCGACAAGGAGTTCGTTGGCGGTTGCGATATTCTGATGTCCATGCACCAGAACGGTGAGCTGGCCAAGATGCTCGAGAGCAAGGGTGTCCTGGTGGCTGCGGATCAATAAATGGAAGTGGCCGTATAGCCTCGGGTTGGAAATTGTTGGTGCCTCATTCCCGTTGCGGGTTGGTGATTTGTATCACCGTGTAAAATAATCGGATTCTGCTTGTCTACAGTATTCATATACCTTCTCCTACTCTTATGACCTACGTGATTATATCTCTACGGACAATGGCAACCCTCGGGATAGTAGGGTGGATAAGGAACAGCTTGAGCTCGGATTTACAAGATTGGAGGATGCTCACTCACACTCGACGAGAATCTCTCTTTTTAATTGCTGAATTAAGTGCCTGCCAGCACTATAGTATGCACAATCTAGTTATATGTACCTACCCCCTACAATACCAGTTGATGAGGCCCAGCACATGTATAGCTGGCATCGGGGGTTTTTTCGTTCCACTATTACTTTCATCACGGAAATAGGTGTTGCTCCGGGAGAAACACATCAGAGAAGGTTCGGTCTAAGCAGAGGATTCCTGCTCTTTGGACTTCACCAAGTCCTCGGCAATAGCCTTCTCCAGCTTGGCCCGCTGCCGAGCTTCGTACGCCTCCCGGCTCTTCAGGATACGACCAACGATTTCACCAGCATTCACATGTTGGAAGGCATGGTGATCCACCTCTTGGAAGATTCCCATCTTCTTGGGGTCACTGTACGGATCATATGTTAAGGGAATGAAGGTAGTGGGTCCATGGTAAACAACGTCCGGTGTGCCCAGCGGCATTGCCTCCAGGTAGGGCTGACTGGGGGTGAAGGGCGCCGAGAAAATGACCGCGTTGATGTACTAGAAGGGCTTGTCAGTAAGATGTTCAAAATCATTAAAGAGAAAAAAAAATGGTAAGTCCTTACGCGGCACTGAAGAACGCAAAGACCACGCTCGAAGATGTTCATGATGGGGTAGTTCAATCCCTTCCAGTGGTTGATCACACCGTCGTCGTGGATACCAGCAAGGATATAGGCCGGGCCATAATCTTCATTGAATTCCCGGAGTCGCTTCTCTCGCTGCTCCGGCTCATACCAGCCTCGTCGACGGCCCTCGGCCTCCTCCAGCTCCGTCACCTTTCGGAGGAATTCAATGTGGCCGGAAGAGAACAAGTCAAAGCCTCCATCCACATAGACGATGCGCTGACCAGGCTTGGGGCCCTTGCCATCGACCAGAGACTCGAAAGATCCAGCTTCTCCAACCTCATTGTCGATCTTGGCTTCTCCAGAACCCACCCATGTCCACACCTGAGGTCCAGACTGCAGGCCGCTCTCGTCAGTCGCATAATCTTGAATACGCTGCAGGAGATCCTCGGCGAACTTCGTGCGCTCCTCGGGGCTTCCTGATCCTTCCTCTCCAGCGAGTGTCTTTCGGACGGACTTGACGAAGTGGTTCTTAGTGCAAAGAAGCATGCGGCCGACAAGATCGGTAGTGGAAATGCCTGGAGTTCTCTTCACAACCTTGAAGCGACCTGCGGCTTTGACGAATCGGTAACAATCGTTGCCATCGCTGTCGGATGTAATGTCGTCGCCGTGTACGACGTACTTACAACCGTAGTGAGAAACCCAAGGCAGATAGGTCACGTAGGGGGCATGGGGGACGCTCTGAGTGGCCCAACGACAGGCATCAACGGCGGCGACACTAAATAGAGAAGCATTTCATGTCAGTGGGCTAGAGTTGAAAAATCAGGCTATGCGACAGAGCTCACCGTTCATCCAAGGACATCACCGTTGGACCCTTGTTCTCCAGGATTGCTTGGTCGGAATGGATGCCCACAACGAGAGCTTTGCCCAAACGGCGAGCTTGAAGCATGGCGCCGGCATGGCCTAGGTTACATAGTTTCTCAGATTAGCCGCGCACTCCTGGTTGAGGTCGCAATGGGCACTGTTTACCGTGGTGGCTAAAGTCAAAGCACCCGTCAACCCAAATGCGATCCTCGGAGATGGGAACATCTTCCTGAGGATCTACTGGCCACTGGCCGGGCAAGGGAACTTGCTCATCGAGAGGTGTGGTATCCATTGAAGAAATCTGGACTTGAAGGAATGTCTGGGAAGAAAAAAAAGTTGGGGAATTGGGAAATTAGGATTATTATATGGAAATCAGGTGGCCTGGAGATCAGGAGGGGGTGGGGCAAGCTCAGGGACCAATTCCACCTCCGTCTCCTTCTCCTCCTCCAAAGAGCTCCTCTCCTGAAACCCTGTCTCGGACTACATTCTAGTCGTATCTTCCGTGCCGCTCTCTTCGGTTAATCCGCTCTCTGCGGACCTAGGCGACCTCATCATCCCATCTTGGGTCCAACCGTCCGAATTGACTGGGGGAAATCGCCCCCCTCGGCCTCCCCCCTTGTCCGACTGTGAACATCGCATTACTCTTCCGCTAGAAGCAGCCCTCACCGACTCACCATGATTACGTCCTCATTTGCGCCGAGTCTGACTCGAAGAGATACCGCCAAATCAACCGGTGGATATGATACCGCGCACGGGGGAATTCCCCCGGTGACCAGCGGCGGAGGTCCTTTTGGCCCGCAGAGTGCCAGCGCCATCTATCAACAGATTCACGATATGGCGGCGAAACGAATCTCAACATTGGACTATTTGAGGAAAGCGTGAGTGGTCATTCTCTGCTATATAGGCTGGAGCCGCCTTGTCATTTCTCTGACTCGCATTGCCGCGTCTACAGACTCGAAGGCCGGGTTTACTGGTTCAATACCGTGCATTTCTCCCGAACAGACATTGGTCGCTTACCATACTTCGAGGCTCGAAAGCTTTCTCGTCGAGCCGTGAATTACCTCCTACTGGGTCTTTCCCTACCTCCCATTCTCGACGTTAATACAACCCCGTTCGAATATTTAAAAGCCCTAAACGCCCTTCTCCTCGAATTCGAAGCCTTTCAGCAGGTACATCCGCCGGATGGAAGTTCTTCGTCAAGTCTAGCGAGAGCACGTATACCACAAATGTTCAAGCGAGCGACCCATGCCGGCACAAAGACTCGACGGGCCAGCTCGGCAACAGAGATTGGATTGCCGATGCAAACCAGTGACCCTTCGGATCTGAAAAGTGCTGCCGCAAATATCAACTCACATTCGACTGCGGCAGCTTCGGTGATCTCATTCCCCTTGACAGAGTCGTCTGATCTTCTACCGGGCGAAGAGTACATGTATCTCTTGACGCCATCATTACCCTTTGAACCAGATTTCTTCGAGACCTTTGCCACACTTTGTGATGTCTTGATTGACTGCTATAGTCGCATCACCAGTCTAGTACCATCGCCATCTGTCTGTACCGTGGCCTTGGGAGAGACGTTTTCCAAAGCAGACGCGAAAATCCGAAAGATCATGGTGGCGGGTGCGGTCCGAGAATTCGAAGACGCGAGCCGAAATGGCGTCAAAAACGAGGTCGCAGGCGTCAGCCGCGTGGTCCTAGGGGGTCTGCTGGGCTAATATAATGTTCATGTCTTCTATGTTTACTCACGATGGATGGATGGCGTTTGGGGTGTTTACATGATTCCTGTCTTGGTATAGCGATACTATTTACGAAGGATATACACAAAGAGAATTAAGAATCTGGAGGATGATGACAAGAGACTTTGAGGTCTAAGTTGATATTCTTCTATGCAGGTATGCCATTTCAGGCGGATATCACTGGTCTTTGAGCAAGTAGAAACGGCAGGCTATAAAAACAAATCAGGAGGCACTTTTTTCCCGGGTCGTGTCGCATCGTGAGGCCATAGGCGTAGGGTGGAGCCGATAGCACAGGGCTCCCGATTCGCGATTGGGAGGGGGGTTGTAAAACAATGATCAAATGAGAACTCCAATCGCGCCGTAGGCTTCATAATGCGGAAAAGAAGTAGCAGGGACAAGAGGGAAGAAAAGACGCCGAAGAATGCAATCGCTGGATGCAGGGAACGAAATAGAGAGAGGTGAGGCTTCGAGAAGAACCATCGATGGATCGTTGCGAGTGGATGGGCAGTGATTAAGACTGCAGGCGTTGGTTCTCAAGGTCGCGTTGTTCGCCGAATACGCGACGGCTCATTTCGAGGACGGTCTCGAAACCTTCACGGCCACGCTTAGCATTCTCGCGGAATCGCTCCACGCTTGCCTCCTCGACCTTGTTCTTGATCTTTTGCCAGCCACCACAGAGCGCGGTGATCTGGGCTTCCTGTGTGAACTGCGTCGTGGTGTTGGGTGCGAGGGAGGATGGCTGGTACACGACGGTTTCACGGACGTTCAGGACATTGGACCAAGTCAGGTTGGTGGAGCACATGGTGACCTTCTTGGAATGGGGGTCGACGTAGGAGATCTCGTAGACGTGGGAGACGGCGTCGCCGCCAAAGAGCGAGGAAACCCAAGACGGGACCGACTGGTTGCAAGTGATGAGGCGTTCAGTTCGTAGCTAAAAGTAAGGGAAGGGCATATTAGCTTGATGTTCGTTTCAGGGTCTTCGCGGAGAATCGGAGCGGACTCACAATGCCGGTATTGGGATCGATCGTACGAGAGAGGGTGTCGACGCCGACGACGTGAGTCGCCTTGTCATTCCATGGGCAGTACTTCCTCCAGTTGGCCGTGGAAACCTCGTCCCAGGAGTACTCGAAGTTGCACGTTGACGAAAAGACCTTCATGGTTGTGGGTGTTGTGATAAGTGTTTCGTGCACGCTTGACGGAGGAGTTTGTTGTCGAAAGCGAGTGAACAACAGATGAGGAGGAGGGCTGGGGCAAAGAAAGATAAGAGATCACCAGTGGCGAGCGCAGGAAAGAGAAAAGAGTCGAAATTGAAGGATGAGTCAGGCTAAAGGGACGAAGGGAAAAGATGGAGAAAAGGTGGAGAGTGTGGCGATCCTGCGAGAACTGTCAGATCGAGTTTTTTTCGCTCTCTTTGCGCGGTTCAGGGCGAGCCGAATTTTCCCGCGGGCCAAGGGGAACGAGCCTATAGAATGAATGCCTGAGGCCGCGATAGCCGGGTTCAGGTAAGGTTTTCGGTTCAGCTTATGTCAGCCAGCATGTCAGGTGGTTCCCGCCTCCGTCAAGCATGAGCTACTGTACTCCGTATGTAGTAGGGTAAAATATAAAAGTACTATACATACATACCACTGTACTGTAGTACAGCACGAGTGATATATAGCACACTAGCTCTTGGTTCCTCCACCAGTCATAATATGACTATGACTATGACGCTGCAAGATAATGCAAATGGGGGCAGTCTCCGAATCAGATCCCACGTGATACTAACCCCTCTCGATCTGGGTTTTGCGATGAAACAGTATATCTTTTCTTTAGGGGATGTATTTATGTATATAGCACCTCTCGAGAGTATCGTCGTAATAAAGCAAGGTACTTTCAATACAACGGTAGTTTTTCTTATACATAAACACATTAATTATATCTTGACTTTTAGAACGATCCAATATATACTCATCCAGCTAGCTACTGGAGCAGTGGTGGGGTAAAAATGTCCGATCGTTCCAGACTTTTTTCATCCGTACCCTCCACATTGACTTCCCTTTTTGGTCCAAGCTATCACGAATCACCCCCTCAAGCCACATACCTTTTTACCCCCTGTCCCTTTTCCCCTCCCTCCCTGCTTCTCCTCTTCGCTCGTCTCGTTTCTTCTTCTCCACCCCTCCCTCAGTATCCCCACGAAACGTTCCCAATCCCCAATCGCCGGTCGCAATGGTTGAACTTCGCAAGCGCAAAGCTCCTGCGCCGCCTCCCGTAGTGGAGAAGAAGAGCAAACCAGCCCCCAAACCCAAGGTGACCGACACCCCTAAGGAGACCTCAACAGACGCCCCGAAGCCGACTGTCCCTGAGGCGGGCGATACTATCGATCTCGACGACTTTGGCGGCGAAATTGAGACCAACGATGGCACTAAGACCACTCTCAAGAAGCTGGTCGAGGAGAGCAAGTCCGGCGTCGTCCTGTTTACCTATCCCAAGGCCTCTACCCCTGGCTGTACGTCTCCCTTTTCCCCCCATGACTCTTCCCATACCTCCTGTGCACTCTTCAGCTTCATCTTTCGCGACCGCGCCATCTCATCACGGTTTTGTATAGGCACTAAACAAGTCTGCTTGTTCCGCGACAACTACACGCATTTGACCTCGACGGGACTGTCCATCTACGGTCTCTCAGCCGATTCCCCCAAGGCCAATACCACCTTTAAGACCAAGCAGAATCTGTCTTATTCCCTTCTCTGCAACCCCAGTGCTACCCTCATCGGGGCCATTGGCTTCAAGAAGGCTCCCAAGGGAACCACCCGCGGCGTGTTCGCCGTGGACAAGAAGGGCAAGGTGTTGCTTCGCGAGGCTGGCGGTCCAGATGCCACTGTGGACGCTGTTCAGAAGCTCGTGGCTCAAGGCTCCAAGAGCGAAGCAAAGGAGGAAGATGGCAAGGACGCTGAGGCCAAGTAGTCGTGGGGCTTGGGTCGTGTTTCCGTGGTCTGCCTGGGAGCTGGTGGGCTGAAGAAGCCACTATCTCGATCGCACCTGTCTCACAACCCACTGGGAACATGTAGCTTGTCAATCCGGCGAAGTGGTGATGGATTAGTTCTAGAGGGAACAGATGGGCCATTTCCGGAGTACACCACGCACAGCGCTAGTATGATCTTCTCGTTCCGAGTGCACGTTCCTTGGTCCATGGATTCGGCGACCAGTAGCCTCCATGATGAAAGTATCTGCCACCAGCTGCGATCTTTCAAGTAGTTCCTTGTGATCTCGGCTCGAATCAGGCTCCCGCATGAGCGAGAAGTTCTCAATGGCCTTCAATGCCTTGCGCGCTGCTAATATATTCACGAAGGTTCATCCATAATGAGGAGATGAACAAAAAAGGTCTTCCAGAGGACCTATCTCCACCGTGGGCCTTTCGCCCAATGCATCATTATCAACATCTTAGCTGTCCTGATAGCTTCTGCGGACACATTCGGATAGTACTCTGTAGGTACTCCGTACTACGAGAACCATTGACCCACAAGCCATAGGAAGCAGACAGGTATATACCTACCATCTAACTTGGTGTATTGCCACGGGTCAATTCTCATTGAATTACAGTATAATGATTTCGAAGGTATTTCACAACTATCATCATTGGGGAGGATTGCAAACTTCTCCAACCCCATAGGGTGGAATCCCCATGACCAGTGGGGCGTCACGTGATTCGCGCACCTCCGTGGCTATCCCGACGTGCCGCATCGATGACCTTCAAGCCCGCCGCAAACGCTTGACCGATTTCCAAGGACTTCAGGAGGTGAGTAGAGGCTCAATTCCCTCGTGCTACCACCGTCCATCCGCCAGATCAGCCGGAACCCTAGAGGTGAAGTGTGAGACTGACCAGGAGGTATAGGTCAGAGTCTTCAGCCATGGCTCGCGATATCCTGAAAGCCGCCCAGTCGGCATCCAATGTGTTCTCGCTCTCCCAGGTAAGTGAAAGCGCCCGCAGATACTCAATGACAATGATATAGGATTTGTACTAATCGCGCAATAGAAATACACCGTCCGTTCCACCGGAGTCTGGGAGCGTCTCCGTTCACTCCTCGCTGTTGATCCCAACCGCTCGACCGGTGTCCCTCTGAACTCGCAGTTCCGCCTTCCCTCTCCCGGTTCCCTGCCTCCTTCATCTTACGATGACCCCGTCACCGTCCCCGCTGGTGACATTGCCGACAACCCCTACTGGAAGCGCGACACCCGCCGGAGCTACCCCAAGCTGAGCACCGTGAGCCAGGCGGATGCTGTCAGCCTGCTTACCGTTGGAAGCCAGGCTGCCCCCAAGGACAACGTTCTGCAGATCGGCGAGGCCGGTGCGAAGCAATTGGTGGAGGTTCAGGAGCAGGGCAAGGAGCGTGGCCTGGCCGCCCTCTTCGAGAAGGACAAGAAGAGCATTCAGGGTGTTTTGGGCGCAAACGGCCTGCCTCCCACGCCTGCCAACATCAACACCGTTGCCCAGGCTTCGCAGTCCAAGTATGAGATTAACCCAGAGCAGAGCTACCCGGATGTGTTCGTGAACCCAGCCCCATATTCCCGACTCTTGTGCCTAGAACTAACCTCTTCTTTTAGGTACCCTTGCCGTACATTTGCTTGATTAGATGTTCCTGTTTTTGGCCCTTCACTAGAAGATTATATTGCCTAAAAAAGAGCGCAATAGTCTTGTTACAATCGAATTCACCGTTTCTTTGTTCAATCCGTTCAATGGTCGAGATCGATCTCTCCAGCCAGGATTCAATCGTTTTATTTCGTAAAATTGTGTTCAGAATAAGCCGGAGGCCTATTAGTCTTGACCCAGATGATTAGCTCAAGTGGCGTATTACAGTATCAAGGCCTCGTCTCATGCTACAGCCATCCCAGGATTCGCAGTGGCAAACATAGTCTGGGTCCGTCATTCAACTGTCAAATCACAGAGTCAAGATGGACAGGCTAACAGCTTCGCAAACCCTCTAAACTATGAAATAGACCAATACTTCTATTGTCGTGGTTTGAATCGCTGTCCTCGTTTTCGCCGTACGACTTCTCGACGATGCTCCATCCTTATCTCGTCAACTTCATCCCGATGCCACATCCGGCAGACGCCCAACAATATAGCAGCCACAGCCCTTGAAAAGGCTTCAAAAGCAGAGATAGCTAAACTTATGGCAGCCGCAGCTTCCTCTGGGCCACATAGACCGCCTAGTTATCGGTATTTAAGGTTACTTGGCGTGGCTGAACTGAATGATAGCCGTCCGAGAATGTAGTAGATGGTAATCCACAATTAGCTTTTCTCGCGGTAAAGTATAATGGCTGGTAGGATCAGACTCGCCAATCGAACCGTTGGTATTCCGTCGTTAGTGAACAGTGTAGACCCCATCTACTCAGGTAGAGACAGCTCAGCGGCTGGATCTCAGCGACTCTAATGTTACGCACCCAGCAAAAATCGCCGAGCATCACCCAAAGGTTATTAGTTGACCGCCATGATACATTTGATTTCCCTCCAGGTGCAGAGTATGACTGCTCATCTAGTGACTAGATATAAAATGATACCAAAGCCTAGGACTAGATATAAGGGGAACGAAGGCTTGAGTACCCAGCCAAGCTCGCATTCAGAGACATTTCTCCAGTGACTGACTATAAATGGAGATACTGAGTACATGAAAAAAATGCAACTAGTTTCAAGTGCCACGAGACAGATATAGAAGACATGTTTGAAATATGATGTGCATTTGCATTTGCATCAGCTGATTAAAATAAGGAAATAAAAGTTGGAACTAGATATACAGGGGTCGCTCTTCTCTCTCATACATCGTGTCTACTTTCCGATTATGATGGAATGGAGTGTCCTGGTCAATATTCATTATTGATCATCGATCGCGTTCGCAGAATTCAAAGCCAGAGATAGCTTAGTCGAAGGGGTTGGTGCGAGTTCCCCACCAGGTCAGGAACAAGCTGAGTCCGACGGTCTCGAACACCCGTGACACGGCGCCAACGGCAACGGTGTCGAGGGGTCGCTTCTCGGCGAAGATCTGGCTGACGAACTATATCGAGGGAAGAAAGATGATTAGCCTGTGAAGGAATGCAGGTAAGGGGTGTCAACAGGAAAGACATACACCGGGAGCGGAGCTAGCGAAGAAAATCAATGTGCCCAGGTATGCAGCGCCCTTGTAGCTCAGAGTGCCGGTGGCGTTGATCAGAGCAGCCACACCGTAGGTCTGGACGGCGCTTCCAACCAAGGAGCTACCCCATGCGGCGGCAGCACCGGCGGCCTCCTTGGACTTGATGAACTCCTCCTTCGAGTTGGCAGACTGGGCGCGGTGGTAGGTGTCGCCGAAAACGGGGGCGAGGATGCCGAGGGAGGCAGTGTGGGTGAAGAAGGTTCCCATCGCAATAGCGGAGGGCTTCACGGGGGAAGGTCTAGATCCCAAAGGAAGCTGCTAGTTAGCTGGAGATGATCTATTTGATTGTCAAGGATAGAGATACTCGATACATACAGTGCAGAGTAGTCATGATGGATGGATGATTTGGATTTCGAGGGTTAGAGATGGGGAACGTGTGATCTGAGTGAATAAGATGATTCTGTAGCAAGCAGAGGCCTGCTTTATGAAGGCCTGCCTTTTAGTTGTAACCAGGGTTTTGCCATGGTAGGGAATGCAGTGACGTCGTCATGATTCAGACAAGCAGCCGATTTTGTGGAGAGCCCATGACGTCAGGTCGCATGTCCTCTTGGCAGGCTGGAAAACCTTCTGAGCTTCCTTGTTCTTTGAAACGCCCTCGGCGGAGATGCGGTTGGTGACGGGCATGTCCGACGAAGCTAATAGGTCAATTGGACCTGGAAGAATTATCTCGCGATTCGAGTGAACTGTGGAGGATTATGTGATACAGGATTCTAGGGACTTGGAGGCCCATCTACTCCGGAGTTGGCATCGCCATGTGGAGAAGGCCCAGAAGGCCCCGATCTGCAGGACCAGACGCACGGGCACAATCTTCTTTCGTATCTACTCGGCTCTTCCTGCTTGCTATGGTTCATGTTATCTAGTCGTGTAGTATTCTCCTACAGGCACGCGACCAGGGTGATCCTCCCAAGGTCACCTAGTCATTGTGCTAAGGTTTCGATCGTCGTCCTCGATCCAGGGATCTTATAATTTTCCTGCAACAGCTCAAGTCGACAATCAACCCCAAGATCTCTGAATAGTTATACTTGAAAATGTCAGGCCTCACGTTTCTGCCTCATCGAGACCGTCATGTGATCTTCACGATAAGGGAAAAAAGAGACCCGCACCAGAGCTTATCGGCGCACCACGACGTTTTTCTGTTTTCTGCAGTATTCTACTCCGTAAGTACTCCGGCTATTCCTGAGACGGCGTCCATTCCTCTCCTCCCTCGTCTTTGTGCTTATCCTTAGCACAGCCGTGCTCATGGAGAGATCGCTAACCCCCGAGTCGGATCCCGACGTACCTTTCAATGTGAGCGACTCGTTGGCTCCCCCGCGGGACATCAAAACCGCGGGGACTACGACCACCAACTTCGACGGTCTTCTGCAAGAACCTTTGTTGTTGAAGGAGGATCTCAAAAATGGCTGTGGTGGACAACTATGGCCGGCTGGCATGGTCCTGGCTACATACCTTCTGTCGCAACACTCGAAGGATATGTCTGGGAAATCAGTGTCGGTATTCCCCTCCCAAACGGCTTCCACTCTCTCAAGTGAAACGCCGCCTGGTTCCCCATTTGTTTCCTCTGCATCTATCCTATACCCACCTGGGAATTGACCACTAATATACCCGTGTAGCGTGGAATTGGGAGCTGGAGGTGGTCTTGTCGGACTCGCGGTTGCTCGTGGGTGTGAAGTTGGCGAGCCCATCCACATTACAGACCAAATACCCATGTTCGAATTGATGAAAGACAATATCACTCTCAACAACCTCGACTCAACTGTGGTAGCGTCAATCTTGGATTGGGGAGAGCCTATTCCCAGCCATATCCCCTCGAAGCCAGATATTATTCTGGCGGCCGACTGCGTCTATTTCGAACCCGCATTCCCCCTCCTCATCACCACCTTGCAGGACTTGCTGGGCCCGAACTCAGTGTGCTACTTTTGCTACAAAAGGCGCCGGAGAGCAGACCTGCGCTTCATGAAGATGGCCAAAAAAGCCTTCGATGTGCAGGAGGTCCGTGACGACCCCAATGCTGCCTCGTACAGCCGGGAATCCCTGTACCTCTACACGATCCGCCTTAAGCCCACCAAGCAGCCCATCACCAACACCCAAACGCAAATATCCCATCCTGTCGAATCAAGGATACCAGAAACAGAAACAGAAAAAGAACACTGATGAATGATGAATGATGAGACAAGAATAAAGGAGCCTTCGAAAATATGTTGATTAATCCAAATGCTAAAAAAAAAGGAATAGAAAGAAACATCTAATTTTATATTCACATATGCTACTTCACAACCATTGAAGTAACTCATAGCTTGAGAGTATCTCCACTGCTCTTGGTACTCGCTCCCACTTTGCTTCCACTCATGTCGGTGACCTTGCCCTCCTTGTTGATGACCTTGACTCCACCCTTCTTCAGGTCGGACACAAGTTGCTGCTTCTCGGCCGCCTTGCCAGAAGGTTTGGTAGACACGTCCTCCTTCTTTTGACTCTTCTTCTGCCTCCTCTTGCGAGCCTTCTCTTCACGGCTCATCTCGTCCTTGGAGATAACCGCACCAGTCTTAAGCACCACCTCCCCGGCGATACGACCATCGTCACCGGGTGCGTAGATCTCCTGTGGAGCAAGGGCTGACGGTCCTCCCACGGCGCTACCGGCTGTAGGTCGGGCATCCTCCATCATGATTGTTGGAGCGTCGGTGACGACATTGATGCTAACCTGGGGTGTTTGCGGCTTGTAGTTCAAGTTGCAGAGCAGATCCAACTTGGAGCTGATCTCCTTCCAGAGATCGGTCACCTCGGCCTGCTCGCGCATCAACTTCTGGTTCTTCGGGTCGACGTAATTGGAATCCGTTGCGCGTAGGTGATCCGCTTCGTACATTTCCGCCAGGCTTTGCTGAGGTTTGGTGTCCTCCAGCTCGAATCGTCCACGGCGTGAAGACTGAACGTCGGCAGCGCCAGGGCGACGACGAATCACTTCATCAAACTCCTTTGCAAGAATGCGACGCTTGACAAGCTCTTCGATGTCCTCGGTAGTTTCATTTGTGACCACGGGGACTGGTTTACCCACGCGCTCAAAGTCGAGGTCCTCCTCAATGAGAGAGTTGACTGGACGCTCGACAGCTCGGGCTTCACCAGTAAGCATCCATTCTTTCTTGGCCACGTTGGCTGCTTCCAGTCGGCGAATCTCATCCGCAATCCGGGCGCGCTGCTTTTCGTGGGTTGATCGCGGGCCATTTGACTCGCCCGCATCGTCCATATCCTCATCCTCGGCCTCGGCCTCGGACTCCTCATCGAAGAGGTCACGTCGAACATCGGCCATAGCGCGTTCCACGTCACCCTGCATCACTTCCGCAGAGGGTTGGGTCTTCGGCAATGCACGGGTCTTCTTGGATGAAGCTTTGCGCGGGGGTGGGGCATAGAAATCGGCGTATTTGATGTCATTTGCGTTCTCAATCCCACCCATACCTGCATCCTCCCCATCGAAGGCATCTTCGTCTGAATCGGAGTCGCCGTGAAGATCCGCGTTTCCAAAGGTTGGACCATCCTCTTCGCTATCGTCATCCATGCCATCGTTTTCATCCAACCCACTGGTTTTCTTGGAAGCCGAAGGTTTGGCTAGAGATCCCATGTTGCCAGCCCCCATAGGATTGGCGTGCCAGTCAATCTCCTCATCGTCGCTGTCGTCGGCATCATTGCCTGCGCCTCTTGCGTCTAATCTCTCCCAGTGCTCAGTTTGTTTGTTGAAATCGTCGATTGAGAAAAATCCGTCGTTAAGGCCGAAGCGATCTTCGACGTAGGTACCTGGATCTTCCCCATCGGAGTCGACTGAAGCTTCATCCATACTCATGGCGTCGTCCATTATACTGCCAGAATCCGATACCTCCTCATCTGATTGCTCCAACTCCTCGTTCATCTCTTCGTCGTTGTCGTCGAGGCTCACATCCTCCGAAAAGGCATCGGACAGGCTGTCGGCGTCGTCGCTTTCAGAAGCCGAACCCTCGGGGTCAGAGACATCCGATTGATCCTCGTCTGCCGAGGATAGCTCGTCGTCATTGCGAGCAAGTAGTGTAATATCCCGTTCGACCTCTCTTCCAGCAGACTCGAGGATCCGAGTGGCTTGTTCCCATATTTGGTTGGAAGTAAAGCCGTCCACGTACAGGTTCTTCAGTTGTAGAGGCGGAACACCATCCAATTCAGCATCTACCCTCTTGCGCTTCTTGTTTATTTGACGGCGGAGGGTTTGGTCATCGACAATGGAAGCGGCCAGCGGATCGAGAATTTGCTTTGCAGAATCCGCGATTTGAGCGTGCAAGTGATCGGTCGGGTGAAGGAACGTCCAGGGTTTCGACAAGACGGTAGGGAGCGTAGGCTCGATTTCGGATGGGTTCGCACCCGTCTGGCGTTTTGCCATCTTGAAATATTTGAAGGACCACCGGTGACAAAAGAGCGGGATTGAAAGCACGGCGTGGAGGCAGCGGAGGGATACTAGGACGAGCAACGGGAAGAAAAATTATTGCGCGCACGGACCAACGGACAGTACAAGTGGCATGGCGATAAGATAAGAGATAAGGTAGCCAAGGACATACTCAGTACCTTACAGTACGACTACTACTCTGCAAAAAGTGAACAAGAAACATTATCAAATGTATTTTATCAAATGTATTTCACAGTATCTCACCAATGATATGTTGTCTATTAGGAACTTAACATGCCTTCAACCCTATAACACAAGGAATAATTCGGCTTGATACCTACACATGTTCGGGACTGGTCTACTTATCCTAGGAGCTTACTACTATATTAAATGGTAAACTACCAAAAGCATGAGGTTTTGGTGGACTAGTTAAACATCACTCTAATGAACCATTATTTCTAGTGAAATAAACTTGGAATGTATCACTGAATAACTGTACAACATGTTCAAGAGCGTTAATAACACCTTATACAACTTCCCCTACCGGCAGTATGGTAGGCTCTCATCTACTACCAGTCATGATGATTTTCCCTCCGCGTCCACCTCCGTCCTTCTCGTTTTCTGGGCTACTTCGTTCCCATCACTACAAAGCCCCCAGATGACGATAAACCATCATCATACCTCGCCACAGAGTGGCGCTGTGGCATGAAACATACCATCGGGCTACGAAGCCGCACCAACCCAGGATGCACGTTTCATTCTAGCCAACAATCTAGAACCCAAAATACAGTTGCTAATCCGCTCGCGAATCATACCTCAATCAAAGTTAGGGCACAGAATCATGGTTAGCAGGAGGCTAGAATGTCTCCTTCTAGAGTGGCTCTAACTTTAGCGGGAGACTTCCATCCCACAGGCGAAAATAAAAACCCACTGGCACGTTTTCGCTGTCATAGTGACGGAGATTTTGTCCACGCGGCCTATATAGAACCTCTGTGGAGTCCTTCATGCGGGATGATAAGCAGCACGATTGAATCACGTTTCTCGGGTTAAATCTACTATATTATCTTCTTCGACTTCTCAAAGGTTGACTTGAAGTATAACCGTGGAGTCCTATTCTCTAAAGCACAATGCCTCCCGTGTCCCAGTTTGTTGAAAGGCCCGCAAGCGGTGCCAAATCTCAGTTCGAGCCTGGTAAGCTATCTTGCATGTCCCAAGGCCAAGTAGCCATTATCCGGAGGGGAATCGACTGATAAATCGACACTAGGCCATAAAATCCCAATCCAACATTTGACCAAGCCTGGTCTGGAGTCGGACCTGGCGGACCCAAAACCCGTCTTTGACAAAATTCCCACCGAAGACGGCGGCTATCAGCTATACAAGGCAGCCGGGAAGCTGCAAGGCAAGAGAGCTATTATCACCGGTGGCGACTCCGGAATTGGTCGTGCGACGGCGGTCCTCTATGCGATGGAGGGGGCGTCGAGCTTGATTGTCTATTTGCCGCAGGAGGAGTCGGACGCCAAGGAAACCAAAAGGATTGTAGAGGAGCACGGTGCAAAGTGTCACTCTCTGGCTATTGACTTGCGGAAGCGAGAGAATTGCAAGAAGGTGATCGATACCGCTGTACAGACCCTAGGAGGTATCGACATCCTGGTCAACAATGCGGCCTTCCAGCATATGCTGAGTGATATCAGCGAGCTCGACGAGTAAGTAGACCTGAAAAGTGACTAGATACATACGAGAGATCCCTCTATACAGAGAGGAATATCTGGTATGGGGCCTGGGGAACATTTTTTATTGATAATGCTGCAGGGATCAGTGGGAGCGAACCTTTGACACGAACATTCATCCATTCTTCTATCTCTCAAAGTATGCTCTGCCTCACATGAAGCGAGGATCCACCATCATCAACTGTGCATCTGTCAACCCATACATTGGTCGTGGCGATCTCCTCGACTATACGTCGACCAAGGGAGCCATAGTGGCATTCACACGAGCCCTGTCGAACCAGCAACTCAAAAATGGCATTCGCGTCAACTGCATTTGCCCCGGTCCCAGTACGTCTTGCGACTCCCAAAGATCTCATATTATCTCAAGTGCTGGATTCTAACTAATGTAACTAGTATGGACCCCGCTCATTCCATCGACAATGCAAACTAGTGCCATGGAGCAATTCCACACAGTACCGATTGGACGGCCAGGACAGCCAAGTGAAGTGGCAACGTGCTTCGTCTTTCTTGCCAGCCAGGATAGTAGTTATATTGCGGGCCAGTGTCTTCATCCAAATGGCGGAGTCATGGTTAATGGCTAAGCAAGATGTTTGTCACATTCTGCGGGTCGAAACCCCAGTTTGAAGCCCTCCCATGACTATGGTGGCGATGACGATTGCTTGAGTAGTAGAGATACTGAGACGACTAGACTCAGATCGAGAATGAAATTACATGGAATCGAGCTAGTGCTACATAGCCTTCAGAAGATCTACTTTGATTTCGGTTGTTCTTACGCAGACAACCTGGGGACGCTTTCTGACAATTTCATTACCCTAGGGTATCGTTCTACTCCCATACGCTCCCAACAAGATGAGCAGATTGCGAAGAATTCAAGGAAATTTAGCGTCGCAGCCAAGGGCCGAGTATTGATGATGTACAAATGTAGGAAAGTAGGAAAGGCACGAAAAGGAATTCACGATGGCTGGAATATTTTGAGGTCCACCGTTCATGATGGGCGCAAGCATAAGAAAAACAAATTTGCATAAACCCCCAGAATTTAGCGCCGGTACCACATGCGAGTGATCCGGGTGTGTCTCATCTTCTTCTGAAGCTGGAAGATACCGTACATCAGGGCTTCGGAGGTAGGAGGGCCTAAAGATTGGTTAATATCGTCGGGAAGGCTAGGAAATAATGATAACCAAGTGCATGGAAAGCAAAGAAAACTTACACCCAGGGACGTAGACATCGACAGGGACGATACGGTCACAACCCCGAACGACCGAGTAACTGTAGTGGTAGTAGCCGCCACCGTTGGCGCAACTACCCATGCTGATAACCCACCGAGGGTCGGGCATCTGATCGTAGACCTGGCGGAGAGCGGGCGCCATCTTGTTCGTCAACGTACCGGCCACAATCATCACATCGGACTGACGAGGGGAAGCTCGGAAAATAATTCCCAGACGATCTTGATCGTAGCGGGGGGTGGAAAGGTGCATCATCTCGACGGCACAGCAGGCGAGACCGAAAGTCATGGGCCAGAGGGAGCTCTGACGGGCCCAATTGGTGACCTGATCAAGGGTGGTCCTTCAAAACGGTCAGCATGAAGGGAGACTTTGAGGTGAGAGTCGTTTTATGGGCTGAGGCACGTACAAGACATATTGCATAGCACCCTCCTTCTTCTCTTGGCTGGGCAGAGGCACTTCCTTCCGGACCTTGCCAGAGGCAGTGAGCGCCTGGCCACTAGGTGACTGGCGCTCAAGAGCGGTCGCAGATTTCACGGAGGAGGTCGACAGGGCGGCGATGGGGCTGGCACGGGGAAGGCATGATGCCAGTCGAGGGCGCACTGTTGAAGGATCTTAGACGAGGAGCTTTCTCGATGGAGAGTCATTTGGGATGTTCTTACCACACAGAGCGCCAGAGACAGCGGGTCGCACCATGGGCAACATGATTGATGTTTAATTGAGCAGGTGGGAACCCGGATGGACTTGAACGGGGTGGCGGATTGCTGGATTGTCGCGGAGGACTTTGGAGTTGCCGGGATTCACGTGACTGAGTAACCAGCTTTGGCCTTTTGGTGATTGGACTAGCCCGTTAATCGACGGATCCACATGCAATTGCTTCGTCGAGCCCGGTGCTCCTCCGGGCGGTCAGCAATGCCCGCCACATCAACCACGAGGTCCCGCGAGAGCTGTGGTCGAACTGCACCAAATTCCTTCGTCACTCACTCACTCAATACTTTTCGGGAAGATTGAGATGAGACATTTCCCTCCCCTGACATCTGAGCGCTGAGACAATCGGGGGCAGACCGTTTCTGTGGGTAGCTCTCGTCACAGTCCTACCGGGGAGCGAAGCTATACAGATCGATAAGCACCGGTTAATCCTATGTGAATTGGCACGCTAAGGGCACTGAAGGAATTCTTCTCAAGCAGTCGACCCGTGTCTTACTCGCAACCATGGCTGGTCCTCGTATCGCCTGCATTGGAGTTATTGGGAAAACCGTATGTGTGATGGAAGCCTCCACAATGATAGCTCCAATGCTGACGGATCCTTGCAGGATAATCCTCTCCATATCTCTCTTTTCCCTCCCTACACAGATGCCACTATTGAATTCTCATTCTTACTAAACTCTTGCCTCGACATCTTCGAGATTCGGCGCAAGCAAACCTCCATCGACCAGGACCTCGGTCTGCTACATGCGATTGACGAAAGGCTTGCCGCCTACGGCTGGCGGACGACAACCGGGGTTAAGCTACTGATCATCGTGGATCTATTTGGCCAGGAAGCCGTGAGCGGCAGGCTTGTGAGCGCAGGCAAGCCTGCCGGCCCTGCGGTCAGCGGGCTGAGAGACTCTGACTTGAAGCCGGTATGGGGAAAGCATTCCATCCCGTACTTTCCCAGTTCCAGAGACTAATCCTAGAAACGTCAGGCATTCCGAGCGTTGCAGAGCGCATATATCCAGCTTTTGCAGAATCCCTTCTATTCCCCAGACGATCATGCTCCAGCACCGGGAGCCACTGCAGGCGCAGCCTCCGCTTGCCAACCCGTTTCCAACCCAAAGTTCATAGCAGATGTACAACGTATTGGTGAATCGTGGACTCCGGGTGCCACGTTGTAGATGCAGAATTAGAATCTTTCAGTTCGTCAATGATACGATCTTGGGGGCTTAATTACTTCAACCCCCGGCTCCAGGGCTCTCTTCCTTCTCCGTAGTTATAAAATGTCAACAAACGCCCAAAACAGACAAAAAGAAAACAAAGACAAAGGCCTGCAGATGGCCTCAGGGAATTTTAAAAATGCAGGAAGGGTGTTCTTCTTTCCAGGAAAATCGTCATGGCACCGGAGCGTCTACGCTCTTGCGTGTTTCCTCCAAAGCAACCATCATCTCCTCTATTTCCCGAGGATTGCAAATCGCCCAGACACCACCTCCTTTAGTGTCCACCCGGCCAACCTCTTTCCCAACCAGATTTCGACCCACCTTTCCCGGTCCAATTCCGATCCAGCATCGGACTCCTCGTTCCTGATGGAGATAGCGGATACTGTCCCACCATCGAATCGTGTCGGTGCATTGTCGGGACAATAGCTGTGTGAGGTCCTCTTTTGACTGGAAAGGTAGGGCCGAGACGTTGGAAATACACGGGATCATGCCAGGGAACGTAATATCAACATCTTCGATGGCGTTTCTCATGTAATCTGATGCCGGAGACATTACCGGACTATGGAACGGGCTATCACTGTTCAGTCTCACGGCACGAGGATCATGGCCGCCGAATTGACGTAGCTGGACAAGAAGGGATTTAATTCGTGGGATACTGCCACTCAGGACGATCTGGTTGGGGGAGTTGATATTTGCCACCATCACGTTTGATATCGGCGGCATCGCATGACTTGTGTCGTCGAGGCGGGAGGTTCCCAGCCCCAGAAAGTCGTAGACGGTCTTTAGTAAATCCTCAAGGCGATCGGGCTCGCAAATGAGAGCCACCATCCCGTAACTTTCGCCTGACTGTTCCACTTTCTGTCGCGTGCATCGAGCCATCACTTCGGCTCGGCGACGGACCAATTTGAGTGCGTCGGCAAATTGGAGATAACCTGCGGCCACCAACGCCGAGAATTCTCCTAGGCTATGCCCCAGCATAACGTCGACGCGAGACTTGGTATCGAATCCAAACTCCTCCTCAAGAATACGGAGGATGAGAACGGAGACTGCCATGATCGCAGGCTGCGCATTCTCGGTCTGGTTCAATTTGGAGTTGGGCCCATCAAGGATGATACGTGAAAGTTTAAATCCAAGAATAGAATCCATCTCATCCAAAGCGTGGGTTGTTTTTTGGGGGAAATGGTCCATCCAGGTATTCGCCATGCCAACACGCTGGACCCCATGTCCTATCAAGATGCATTGTTATCCCGAGTTTCCGAGCTGAAGGGCAGAAAAGAGGGTTAACAAACCTGGAAAGAAGAGAGCCGTGTGAAGCAGCTTCCTTCTAGTGAATGAGGCCGGAGCCGATGGTGTTCGTAGCATCTTGGACGTCGCGAGGCATCGGCCAGGCGACGGCGGGCGTCTGAAGGTCACAGCACAGAGCATTTTTCGCGTGTAAACACGGCACTTCCGGCCTTCATCATAGTCTATTCGGTGTAGCAGGGGGGCATTTTGAAGCTGGCAGTTGTTGTAGACGACACCACTCCATCGAAACGAACATTGCCTGTACCCCAGCCCGCCGCTGGAGCTGTCTTCGTGCAGCACCGACGGGACTCGGAGGGGGGCGATCACGTAAGCCTCCGCAGATCGGCGGAAACACCTACTTCCATAGTCCACCTACCTAACGGTACGAGTTAATATAATAATTTATATAGTAGCAACGAATATCTTTAATGAACTTTTAGTGTTGATAATCTGACCGCTACATTGCAAGCGTATATCCCTCAAATCTCAGTATGATATGTGTTATGTAGATCCTTTGTACCTGGCGACGATGTTTGGTTAGTAAACAGCATAGCTCGGAGGCTTGCCATCACGTGATTTGGTATCTCCGCGTCTCGCGTCCGTTCTTCAATCTGCTTGTCTCACCGCCCGGCCCAAACACTCCCAGAAGGTTGCGAGCTTGCCTACGCAAGGTTGGCTTCTTGAATCATCCACTCCCCGGCCCTCTTACTCGTGGGAGCCTAGTTCCCTTGACCTCTCTCTTGGCCTTGGCCAACATTGCGAGGTCAAACAATTATCCTTTCTCACTACTCGTCTCCCGCTCGTTGCCTCCAAAAAATGTTCGTCCCCAAAACAGCAGCCGCATCGCGCAACCCTCGCAGACGCCAGAGGACTAGCTCCGATGAATCCGTCAAGCCGCCAAAGGCGAAAAGACAGCGCTCAGTGCTGCGCCAAGCTGGCGACTCTCAAGCCACGAGCTTGAACCAGGACCAGCGCGAAGTCGCAGAGCCGTCTATCTCTGTTCCGCCCTCTGATCACGAGGTGGTTACCACCGCAATTGGTCCTGAGTCGCATCTTCCAATTCGGAGCGCAAAGCAGGCTGAACGGCCTAGTGCCGATGCTGAAGGGACGGTCGTACTGGTGCGTATATTAAGATTTCCTTCTATGCAATCTTGCCGTTGAGGTAAGATTGGGGTGTGCAAACCTCCGTTTTGCTAACGTCTCCCGGACACAGTCAAGCACTGATTACTACACCGTCGATCAACTTCCCGCTTTACCGGATCAAATTCGAGGATCACTTTCAGGTATGCTACTCGCCTTTTTATAGCTTAGTTCCTAGTGGCCATAGATCATTAACGCTTAGAGAAAACAGACTCCCTCAGATGTTTTTTCGCACCGAGTCATCAGTACGCACTCGCCTTGACACCTTCACACGCAATCATATGGCCATATTCCGTGACTACGTCGACTCCTTCAGCCTCGGAAACGTTCACGGTCTCGATTCCCGAGACATGTAGGGATACACATGGTGCAGTTCCGCTCGGCGTCCTGCTGTCCACTGCCACAGGGGGACATCCTGGCCTTCTCATTATCATCCCTTCCACAGGAAAAATCATTTACTGGGAGACGGTTTCGAGCGCAGCATCACTAGGACTGTCCCGGCAAAAACAGAATGGAATTCAAGGATCGACGCCCGGTCTCCTTTCCGGCGAATACGCCACGGAGATCATGAATTGTGAGCCCTCGGGGACCATCATCGTCTTTTCCTCCGGGCGAGTGGCACATGTCACTCTAAGAAATCCTCAAGGAAAGCCCTCCGTACTGGTGAATTTCCTTAGCACGTCGATCAGCGGTGGGGCCGGAGGATTCCTTGGTGGAATCAAAAGTGTTCTGGGTGGCGGTTCTTGGAGGAAAGAAGTTACTGCAGTTCAAGCAGGTGGATCACGCCAGCGAGGTCAGCGAGATGTGATAGTTGCCACTTCCGCTGGTCAGGTGGAAATATGGGATACACATTGGAATCACGGAAATGCGCTGAAGAAAAAGTTCGATGTCAGAGGGGACATTGCCGCATCCATTCTTCATGACTCCATCAAGCCAGTTGGGGAGGCGGACCTGAAAATTCTGGATTTCGCATTCTCGGAACAGCAATCTCCAGATGAAGATGACTCCCAAGTATCTGAGGAGTCCTGGCGGCTTTTTATGATTGTCAGCACCCCACAGCTGCTGGAGTCCAAAACACTATTCGTCGTCCAGGTCCTCTTATCTGGAACTGGCGCACGTATCCTTTCTACTCATGCGGTGGATATCCATACCATCTCCGCCGTGCGGAGCGACTTGAAGCCCAAAATACTGGTTCCAAAGGGGGAGACTACTGCGTTTGTCCTTATTGGGCAATCTCTTGTCGTACTGTCTCTTACAAGCATCGAGGAGACCCCAACGTCCCAACTACTTCTGGACTCTCACAGAATGCCTCTGCCTTTCCAGGATATCATCCATCTTAGGTCAGGCAAAGACTATGAAATTCTGGGATATAGCTCAGAGGGCCAATTTGATGATGAGAGCGGCACATCATGCGTGATGATGGTTCGAAATTTTGGCGTCGTACGAGTGAATGTGGTTCCTCAGTTCCCGTCGGCGCTTGATGCGGATGAGGGCCAAGTCACTGCGAAACACAAGCTCGAGCAGGCAATTTTCTTCGGGACCATGGCACAGAATCCCTTGAACTTGCTCGGGGATAGTGACCTCGATTTTCCGGCGACTGAAATCGAGCAAGCGTCTTTGGAAATCTGTAGGGAGCTTCTTCGATCGGATTCCCGCTTCGTTCCTACCTCTGCCATATCCATAGACCAGAGCCTGAGGCTGAGGGCTAAAGCCCTCGGGGATCTTGCGGCGTTGTTGTTGCGCAAAGGAAACCCGCTCAGCCGCCCAGCAAGGTGGGAACTGCTGTGGGGAGCAGAAAAACTCGCTGCGCAACGAGCTATGTGGAAGCTAGAAGAGGCACGCAGAAGCAAAGGCGAGGACGCCTTCCTTGGCCATGTCATCGAATCTATGAACGACAAATTCAAGACGCTCCCTGACCCCTCGCATGGGGACGCTGATTCAGTGCGTCTGTGGTTCATGAAGGACACGCATCACATGGAACATGTGATTCCCTGGATCAAGAACGCCATCAAACCTCGGAGGGGAAATTCTTCAAAGCAGGCACGGAAGCTGTCCGAGCAGATTTTAGAGGCAAGCGAGCTCTTCCTAGCTATCATCGAAACAGCTTATCGGTATCGTGACGAGCACGCATCCGTGTACGGATTGGGCAGTGACTTCGTGGAAGATGGCGTCCTAGCTGATGGGTACGAGAATCTTCCCGAGTTTTGGACCTCTCGTGCGGTCGGATACACCGAGGCGGGCCATTTACTTGACTGGGAGCTAGACAGTTGTCGGGCATGGATCCAACAAAAGACCTCTAGTGCAGACGCCCCCGATGGTCAGGTCTTGAAGAAGATTGCCGAAAACAGTGCCCGCCATCTCCGAGTCCTCGGCCAGATGCACCGTGAACGAACACGCTGGTTGAGTGCACAAGGCGATTCCAAGCTAGCAGACGAATGTGCTGCGATTGAACAGGCTCACGTGAAGGAACGCAAATGGCAACTATTCAAGTTAGCGGGCATCGGCCATCTTCGTGATGCTTTGAGCCTAGCGGAGCGCTTCCGAGACATGGGGGCCCTCGTCGAACTCATCATTGAACTCCAGGACCAAGTGAAAACCCAGGCAGGCCCAGAACCCTTGGTGGATGCTCCTGTCATGGCCGCAAGCGAAGCTGATGTCGCGCATCGAGTTTCTCAATATTTTGATAGATTCGGCGAGCCTTGGGCGGATGCATACTTCTCACGCCAGATTTCAATGGGCCATCCCGGCGCCTTGCTCTCCATGCGCAAGTATCAAACGTCCGTTACTCGGTTCCTCCGGAAAACACCTACCTATTCCAAATTGAGCTGGATCAACGACGTGACAGGCGAGGAGGACTATGAAACTGCTGCTGTGTGTCTGGAAGGTTTGGCGCTTGGTGGTGAAGAAGAACTATGGAGTCATCGAGTACAATTATCGTTGGCAAAACTGAGCAATCTAGCCTCGAGCGAGAAAAAGCAACTGCGAGACCGTCCCTCATCCTTACAGAAGGATATCAAACGGCTGGATGATTGCAATGAGGTCGATGAAATTCAGGACTCTCTTCATAACTATGTGAAGTCATTCTGTGAGGATGCGATCGATCGGAGGGCTGCAGCTGACCTCGCACTGGGCTATTTTGGTGGACATCTCGCGGCAGATCGTCCCTCACTCTACAAAATTTTGGATGATGCGCTTTTCACCCTGTTCAACAGACACGTTGTCGGTGTTGATGCTTTGATAGATCTACTCACGCTCATGGGTCCGTTGCACCACAATGATGACATTGAAAGTGATTTTGGGGGGCGGGAATTTTTCCTAGCCCTTCGAGTCCTTGATCACAGTCGCTACGGCGAGCGGGATACATCATACATGTCAGCATTGCGAAAGTTAATCTGGCGACGTTGCTTAATCAAGGATGACTGGGAAGCTCGGGGAAAGGCCGCCGAGGGTTCCAATGGAACGTCGGACGAGTCTACACGCGACACTGCTCTATATCGTACACTGTCTCTCTGTCTCTCTGGTGAGTTTTCTTTCTAAACACGATCACTTTTGCCCTATTCTAATGATCTTCTTTAGCCACTTGCAGACCCAGTCTCAAGTCTCTGGTCGTGCCTCTTGCTCCGACAGAGGCGCTGATGGCTGATTCTGAATCCGAAATTCTCGTATCACGCTTTCGTCCCGAGCAACAGGCGCGGGTGACTGCTGACTTAAAGCGGGAAGACGATATGCTACGTCAGTTCATCGAAACTGGCAAACTTGACTTTTGGTTTCACAATCTCGTTGCCTCCGTCAAGACTGAATCGGCATCGGATGCGATGGCAGATGGCAACGGTGCAAAGGCCCAATCCTCCCCGTCCACGGACTCCAAGGCACGGTTGACGTGGGTTTGAGTTTAGCTTGTGCTACACGGGTCGCTATTCCGATATTTTGCAGCAATGAATGACTTGTAATACGGATCAAATAACTGGAGTTGGTCACTATCTCGGTGGATGTGCATTATGCATCCATTCTTTTGGGAAGGTGGAGGGGGGAGCAATATTATTGTGTTCATTGTCCATGCAAACTTCGTATATGTGAACTTTCGTACATGTTAACTCTAGCTGGCAACACTAGACGGCGTCAGATGATTGAGACAATGATAACCGGCCGAAGTCTCTTGGGGTTTTTGGGGAACAAAAGGATTGGTCGGTCGTTTATTTTGTTCTATGTAGCAGCTCCTTCCGGGGAAGTAGTCTCCTAGCCAGTAAGCCCTACGGAATACCGGAATTCTTTATTTAATAAAGATTACGGGTGGAATAATAGCCATATTGGTCAAGTATCGGTTTCATATTTCTCGAGGCGGTAACACATCTGAAGCTGGATCATTGCAGCACCCGGTTCGTACCTAATGTCAAATCCTTCAATACTTCATCGCTGCCTGGTCATTCTCACTATCATTGCTGCTACTGGTACTCTCAACCTTAGTCACGGCACTTTCATCGGCTGTGGTCACGTCGGCAGGCCCGTGGAGCTGCTCCTCGAAGACCGGCTCCGGTTCGACCGTCTCAAATTTAGTTCTGAAGTCAGCCAGTCCTTGCGTGCTGCTGTTGGAACGACGCCGAGCATTGTTCATGGTATAACCATAATCCTGCACTTCATCTCCGGAGCGACCCCTACATGTAGGCCATCTAGATTAGCAAAGTAACGGAGTTGCAAGTTGAGGATCGATTCTCACCAATTGCCCTTGCCGCCTCCATCCTTCTTTGTCTTGCGGGGATCCGCGTCGGTTGGACCAGACTTGGCAAAATAGCGAGGAAGGTTTTCACGGGGGGGCATCATGCCATCGAGAGGGTGGTCGCGATCATTGAGTTTGTGGGAACGAGTCACTGTGCTATCAGTAGAGATCGAGGTGGTCAGGATCGTGGTCTTACTGCTGGGTTTAGAGTAAATCAGGGTAGGAAGAAGAGATAATGGTAAAGGGGAGGAGTGAGAAGCTTGGAGAGAGTGAGCCAGAGGCGTGTCAGGTTAATACCCTGTTGCGCGTGACTCGTGACCTCATACCCTCCGGGGCGAGAATGCGGGGGTTACTAATCCCCGGCCCCACCTAACCTTAATCCATCACGACTTGAAACACTTCACAGGGTATTGGTATGGAGTATGGAAGGTGGCTCGGAAAGAATGTAAGGATGGGTATAGGTGGGAGGAGGCCAATAGGGCCTGGTGTGTTACGTGTAGAATGAAGAATGTTTTATGAATGACCAAATAAGAACTAGGATGGGGTCATTCAGGAATGAGAGAGCGTATCCTTGCAGGCTATACTCTAAACTACAGGATCGGAATATAGAGCCGCCGACTAGTGTATGCCTATACATCCTCGATGACCTACAGGATTAATTCGTGATATAGCTACCTTCCCTTATTATATACTCCATAGTCAATTATTAATGTCAACTTACCAAACAGCGCTCGAGTGAACTAATAATAATATTTGAGAACTATTATTTTCTAGAAATTACTGCTCTATACCCCTGCTAAGTTCGTTATATGTAGTGAGGTCAATTTTTGATCTAGACATATAGTCTAAGATCATAGAATATTTATAAATAAGGTAGATCATTAGTGCTAGAAGAAGATACGAGGTTAGTAACAGCGATCTCCCCTTATATGGTTCAATAACAACCATGTTTAAATCCCTCAAAGCCAGCGAGTAGTAATAGCTAAAATAATTAGCTACGTACTTACCACGACATTAATTAGTGATCTAGCCAGATTACTAGCCTAAGGGTATATACGATGAGGAGCCTAAATAGGGCCAGATATCCCTACAAGGTTGATTCTATAACTATGTATAATAATAATCCTTCGATAGTATCTACTGCTACTATTTAACTCACCAGCTTTGTTCCTCACTATTCTGTCCCTTCCGCTTATGCCTACTTACAGGTTATAAGCCTAAATGACTCTGAATAAGAAAGCTTAAGAAACACGGCCCACGGGAGCGTATACCAGTAAGCTCTTTTATCTCCGGACTTTTCCTTAGGTAATATCTGTAATTTTAACAGTGTTAGTAAGATCTACTAGCAGATTAGACTAAGGAAAGGTCGATAGCAGATAGCCGTTATTACCCGAGGATCGGCCGATATAGTCGCACGATACTATAGAAGAAGAAGCACCGCGCGATAAAGGAGAGCTTAAGGTAGTATTGAGGACGAATAGTAGTATATAGAATAAAAGGAGATAACATAAGAGATAGTGTCAACATGTGGATGTTGTGGGGTCATATGACGAAGGACCCACTCATATAACCCCTCTCTGCATATAGATCTTCCTCTATAAGATCTACCAGATTGATCCTCAACGATCTCGCTTATAATTGCCTACCTAGGCAGGAGACTATATAACACTCCATGGTTACTTCTGATATTCCTGATATTTCATGTGATCTTTTATTATGTTTCCTAAGATATAAATACTGCCCTGTTTTCTAGTTATATTGAATCAAGTTTATCATCCCCTTTAATCTCTCTTCTTAATCAGCGATACTCTTCCACAATCGTGGTGCTTCTTCTTATAAGTACGCACGACCGATATACTTATACTAGTGTAACTAGACACTATATTGAGTCCTACTAATTATACGTATATACTATCTTCTTATATATATTACCATAACTTTATGGTCACTGCCTAAAGTCTGATAGTTATAAGCCCGACGCCTCTACTCTAACTATTTAATTAATCTTCTCTTACTTTACTCTCACTCTCGCTTTACTTCTTATCGGACTTTAGGCGGTAACCATAAAGTCATGGTTATATATATAAGACTATAGTATATATAAGGATTAGTAAATACTTAATATAGTATCTAATTACACGGTTATAAGTCTATCGGTCGTGTATACTTCTAAGAAGGAGAAGTACTATAATTATAGAAGAGTACTACCGATCTAGAAGAGAGATTAAAAGGGATAATAAACTTAATTTAATTTAGCTAGGAAATAGGGTGGTATTTATATTATAGGAAATATAATAAAAGATTATATAAAATAGTAAGAAAGTAGGGTATTAAATAGTTTCCTACCTAGGTAGCTAATTTAATATAAGTATATAATTTAATATAAGATCGTTAAGGATTAATCTAATAAATCTTATAGAGAAGATCTAGATATAGAGAGAGGTTATATAAGTAGGTCTTTAGTTATATAACCCTATAATATCTATATATTAATATATCCCCTTAGTTCTCGATATAAGAGTAGAATAAGAGTAAAGTAAGAACTAAATAAGAGAAAAGAGAATAACTAGATAAGAGATAGTATCTCTATACCTAGTGATCTAATAAAATCTTTATACTTCTATCTAGGTAGATACTTAGTAAGACTATTAGTAGGTATATCGGTAGTTTTAACCTATTAGACTAATAGGCGCTTTACTTATATCTCTTAACGAATCTATAGGTAGTTAATATCTATATAATAAAGTTTAGTCTAAAATACTAATTTCTCACGATTTAATAGATTAACGGTTTACTTATTATCGTAATTTAATATCTCTAGTTAGTCGGTATCGAATTCGATAAATAAAAAGAGGCGTTTAACCTAGTATAGCTATTTAGCTATATATAATATAGCTAGTAATTTGGCTTCGGTAGTTAATATAGTTATTATCTTTTACTTACGAGATTTCTACTTAATTAGACTACTAAATAGAGAGAAGATAAAACCTTCTAATAACTTCTTATTAAGATTATCGGTAAAGCTTATATTAGATAAAGTAGTAAAGATCTAGCTATCTAATTAGCTATTACTAAAGTAGATAGCTAGGTCTTTTATCCTATATAAGTAGGAGATTAAGTAGTTAATAATAGCTAGATACTTTTTATTATAGTATATAAGAGATTTAGCTAGTAGCTAATTAATAAAAGTAATATCTAGTCTAGTTTATATAGTAGGGAAAAGGGTTAAACTATACTTCTACTAGTATAGTTTAATAGTTAATTAGTTAATTTAACTAGTAATTAGATTAAGATATTAATTACTAATTAGTAGTATATTAGGTAGTTTCCTACCTAGAAGATTAAATTTAGTAGTAATCTTTTTAATATAGACTAATTAGTTTAGCTAGGTCTTTCGTCGCTATCGGTCGTATATAATCTAAATACTGATAAATTAGATAAGTTTACTAGAGTTCTTGTTAATATATAGATATTATAGGGTTATATAACGGAAGACCTACTACCCCTTATCGCTTCTATATCTATAAGATCTATCAGATTGATCTTTAACGATCTTACATTGAATTACATACTCGTATTGAATTGCCTACCTAGGTAGGAGACTATTCAACACTCCACTTTCTTACTATTTTATGTGATCTTTTGCTATGTTTCTATAATATGAATACTGCCCTATTTCCTAGCTAAATTGAATTAAGTTTGATATCTTTATTAATCAAGGACAGAAATCCTTAGCACTTCTTCTACTACTACGCCCTATTGTTACGGACCTTAAGAGGCGCGGGAGCCGTAGTTATTTAAGGATACCGGAGAGCTAATTATCCTACAGAAGCTAGGGATTAGCGTTATTACGTACGTTTCGGTATACTTAGGCGAGCCCTAATAGGGCCCTAAGGTAGACACTCTAAGCGGGAGCTAGAAACGGCCTACGGCTAACCGTTATAATTAATATCCGCTTACACTATTTAACGGTTAGCGCGACATAGGAAACGGCCGCTATTTTTACTAGTACCTAGTTTCTATCCTAAATACTAGGATACAGGAAAAGTATACACGTAATCTAGGGGAGTAGATCTATCTATAGGGGTAGGATATACTCTAGGGAGTTAATATACTCTAAGGAGTAGGATATACTCCCTAGGGATTATCTACTCCACGAAAGGGCTAGATATATAAGGACACTCGTTTCGTATTATATATTTAGTTCTTCGCGATTAATTATTTAAGTTATTAGGATAGTACCTTTCTTATATTATTACTTAGTTACTACCTTAAGTACTTTACACTTTATAGTTTACCTTTAAGATAACCTAACCTATAAGTAGGGGATTTACTCCGTAGTAATACTTAGTAATTAACTTACTTAGCGCGTACTTCTAGTACGTTCTATAAGATACTTAATAGGACCCGAACCCGACGTAAGGCTTTATATAGTAACGGTATAGTTACGAGATACTCTTAGAATCCGTAGTTAGAACTAGGTTAGTATACCCGTAGATATTCTAACCCGTAGTGACTAGTTAGCTACGCGTAATATATTAATCGCCCTATCTTTAAACTATAAAGCAAAGTTATTATAGTAGGTAACGATAGTACCGTAAGTAACGTTTTAAGTAGGTTAAATCCTATACTACTAACTAATATATAACTTATAGATATAATATCCTAGTTATAGGAATAACTAGTATAGGCGTAAAGTAACTAGCGCCCTACTACTATTAAACTACCTAAGCCTAAGTTCTACTATAGCGAACGAACTAAGCTTCTTTCCTTCTTAACTTAGATAGATATATAGCTTCGTCTTATTAGGTATACTAAGGAAGCCGATAAGATTATTTACGCTTCTACTTATTTCCGAGGATAAGCTTTTAAGTAGTTTAAACCCTTTATTAGAGAATTTAATAATAAACCGTAGAAGGACTAGGGTAACGTTACTAAAGCGATCTTTATCTCTTATATAACCTTTAAGAAGAAGCTTAAGTAGATCTTCGGCGATATTAATACCGCTAGGACCGCGGAATAACGACTTAATTAACTACGATAAACTAGATTAGCTAGCGTATATACCGCTAAGTTCTAGTAGATTATTTCGTATCTTAATTTTAATAATAATACCTATATCTAGCTCTTTAAGTAAGGACTTAAGGAAGATATTAAAGATAAACTTATATAAGTTAATAGACCTAACGAGCTCTATAAAATAATCGAGCTCGTGATTAAGTACGATAACCGACTCTACGAAAGAAAGCTCTAATAA